ATCTTTGTCCTGTTTTATCCGTCTCCGCCCCCCCCCTTCCACCTTCCGTTAATCGTATGTAGCGCCCTCTTGCGGCGAATGGTCGCACATCGAAAACAATAACAATGTCTTGATGCTTGAACAACGTCTAAATCCCCGCGGGAAATTTACGGCGTGATGGCGCGCTCTGAATGAATGTGCATTACAACCGATAACAATCAGATAATGTAGTCGGCCATCCGTGACTTTATGAGCGGATACAAATATCGATAGTTTGCTTTCAAAGTCAGTGGACTCCAACCAAGTACATGTACTGTACATGTTGTAGTTATATCGCGGTGCGCGGGAAATTACTGTTTCGAATTTCTCAAGTTGACTTCCAAATAGGGCCTAAATTTTCTGCACAGTGTGAAGAGCACTCAGCAAGCACTGCACGGCTTCGTTCTCGCTGAATCTGCAGGGAGTCTGCAAATCCGATTCCGACCGACTGATCATATCTGCATGCACTTTGGCAGTCGTCCACATCTGCACAAGTTCCATCCAGTGTAACTGTAAGTGTACTGTAAATAATTTGTAAACACTAAACCATGACCATGTAAACCAGTCAGTAAGTGTGATCATGGTGATTGAAAAGCCTAAGCATACATGTGTCATAGATCATAAGCATGTGCGGTATAGATCACTATAGGCCTATGCCACTGTCACGCCCCAACTATCGCATCGGTCCCAACTATAGTTGGGACTGTCCCAACTATAGTGCGGCAGTTGGGTCGGCCCAACTATAGTTTAGGACTGGAGTTGCGCCGGATGCTTCATGCTTGATAGATCTTGTTGGATTAAATGTTCCGCGGCACTGGCACCGTGTATTCGTCGTGCATGCATGCCGCAAGGCTGGCAGGTCACGTGGTACTGCCTAGTTGGATGAGTTGTCCAGCTGCTGGGTTTAATTATCCAGCAACATTTTGCAAAATTCAAAGATTGCCATGGCCGGCCAACTATAGATGGCCCCTACCATAGATGGCCCCTACCATAGCTAATGTCAAAGGTCTCAAGTCGGACATGTAATAAGCAGAGCTGTAGAGAATGTTTTATAGTCGTACATCAATGTAAACTATAGTTGGGACTGCCAAATAAAAATATTGCGGTGGCCCAACTACAGATGGTCCCCACCCATAGATCATTTCATTGGTCCCCAGTAAAGTCAGATGTATTAGAGTTGTAGGGAATGTTTTATAATCGTACAACAATGTACACTATAGTTGGGACCGCAAAATAAAAAGATTGGGGTGGCCCAACTATAGATTCGCCCCCATCAATAGCTAATTTCAGTGATCCCCAGTAAAGTCAGACATGTATCAGAGCTGTAGGGAACGTTTTATGGTTGTACATCAATGTAAACTATAGTTGGGACACCGCAAAATAAAAAGATCGGAGTGGCCCAACTAAAGATGGGCCAGCCCAACAATGGAACTTACAGTTGGGACTGTCCCAACTATAGTTGGGACAGGCCCAACTATAGTTGGGCCAGCCCAACTGTGGAACTACAGTTGGGACAGGCCCAACTATAGTTGGGACAGGCCCAACTATAGTTGGGACCGATGCGATAGTTGGGGCGTGACACCACCATGATGATGACCACCACAGGTACGGCTACGCTAGAACTATGATGCTCCGGCATCATAGTTCTAGGAGTAAGGTACGCATGGTACGGCATCATCATGATCATCATCATCATTACCATGGAGGAATAGGGCCACTTTTGCTACTGACATTTTAAGAATCCGGTGTTTGTTTAGGATTTGCTTTTGTTTGACATGGGTCACTTCAATTTTGTATGACCATGATCATAACAACTTAGTTGTAATCATGTGGAATTGAAACATAAAGGCTTAGTACTATTTACAAGCAAGATTACAATAACCGCATAGTTTAGGAAAGATTAGGGCGATTGAAGGCCCGTTTCCTATAAGTAAAGGGAACAAACTCCACTTTAAAATTATTAGACCGACCAAACTCAAGTTAGCGCGGCATTCTCAATAAACAGCTATGTCATAGATAGAGGGCAGGATTTTGATTTTTTGAGGGAAATCTGGCGTAAAATGACGATGACAGCGCGGCGACAACACGCAACTGGAAAACAAAGATGGCGATCACCGCGCAATGTACCGTGAGCACGCACGGCGCGCTGAATCGCATGGCACAAACTGCTCAGGAAAATCGTGATTTCTACCCCAAGAAATTGTTCAAAATTGGAAAACGGGTGTCATTAGAATTGAGAAAAGTCTGCTTTTGATTGTAAAGGTGATTTTTAAGCAATAAACAACATTTTTGACTCTAACTTGATCAAAACAAAACAGGAGCCCTACACTACACGAACGTTAAGATTAGAATACATCTTCCGTATGGTAGGGAGGAGGTACCGGAACCTTCCTAGTTAATGATATAGGACCTAGCATAGATAGTCAAATCAGACAATGGAACAATTCCGGCACAGTGGTAAACCAGCTTTCCTACCACTTTATATCCCGCTACCTTTTTTCCTTGCCACCTTCCTTCGTGTGTTTTATTTTTGTTCATACATTTGCAATATATTTTTCACCTTATATTGTCATAAGCATGTACAGTACATGTCATCATTGTAATGTCTTTTTATTTTTCCAAGAAAATTGTGGCTATGATTATTTAGAAATGGTTGCATTGTAGAAAGGCTCCTTTGGACATAATTTTATCAGCAAAAAGTCAAGATAATTGAAGAATCCATCTACCATCTTGGGAAATCTTCCATCTTGGGAGAAAAAAATGCATCCATTTTATTAAAAAGGGTAAAGACAAGAAACTATTTTTTCTTCTCGGCCTAAAATGGGACCCAAACTTCCTAATATCTGAATATAGGCCTTCTACATGTAGAAGCAGTTACTACCGGTAGTTCATATTTACATCATATTTTTGGACACAGCACTACCAATCATGTGTGATGTCATCTCATTGGCATTTGTTTGTCTACTGCACCCACTCGCCAAAATAGGATGTTGTTGATTTGCTTGTTTTTGTTTTTGTATTTACTTCCAGACCAGATACAGAGCTGAAGCATGGTCTATATTAAACAGGGCAAAATAAAATCAAAACTTTTCCCACAGATTTTTTATTATTATTATTCTGGTGTATTATAAATTTGAAACAGGCAGCCAGAAGGCTGACATTGCACAATGAGTGAAAAGGATCAATTCAAACAATTTAACCATGGATACATTAACAAACAAGACAAATACGGAAAGATTTCCATATACAAAGTTCACTAATATTCCTCTGTATTGACTAACAAGCCCCCAGATAGCAATTTCATGTCATCAAAGTCAATTTGAGCAGTGAGAAAATACAAGCATTTTCTTAGAAAACACTTTTTTCAGTCCAATCTCATAGGGTTTGTACACAGGGTGTTGAGTGAACTTTGTATATATGGAAATCTTTCCGACAAATACACTTTTAAAGTTACATTAGACACACAAGTCAATGAACTTAAACATTTTGACCCATTATTTAAAAACAAAAGCAGACGATCAACTGAAAATGGACAAACATACAACAACAGACCATATAGGACAGATACATAGAAAACGGTGGACAGAAAACCAACAAACAGACAGAAACAGACAAACAAACCGACCAACTGACCAATAGATAGACACTGGTAGACAAGATGGCAGTGGAGGCCCGGAGTCACACTCAAACAGTACAGTAACTGGGCCAAATTTCCTGGGCGGGAGCATACGTGGGATTCAGTAGGCCTACATGTATGTGGGAAAAGTCCAGTGATTAAGCTGAATTTGTACACAAAAATTATCACAGGCCAAATACATGCGCATCCGTATCTCGAACCCCACTACCGATCATGTGAACCCAACCGAAGAATTTGTTTTTCAGGATTTGATAATAAAACTGTTTTTCAAAAGTGATGTCATTCAGTTTGGATGAAGATACCTGTTCACTAACTTCAGAAAAAAAAATGTGGGCAGTCCCTGCAGGTGTGGAGATTCTGAGATGCTTGGTTTTCATGAGAATACCCAGAGAACGTGTATACATTTGAGTGGCACACAAATTATTCCCAAGTATACAATAAGGCCAAATAAAAAAAAAAACATGTTTAGCGTCCCCACCCACTTCCTTTTTGGAGGCCGCCTACTTTTTTGTTTTCTTTTTTTTTAAATGAAAAAAAGAAAAAATTATAAATGTTAAACAGTGACATTATTTTGGCCACTTTGTCTGTTGCATCTAGCCCATATAAAGCTGGTATGTCATTTCCTGGGTCCAAGTAGTGGCCATTAAAAAACAAAACTGATGGCCAACTTGAAGAATATCCTAGTTGGGCGGCCATTTTGGAGGGAAAAAAAAGGGGGCCGCCTTTTTTTTCTTCAAAAGGGCAGGACGCTAAACGTTTCTTGTTTACTTGGTCTAATTGACCAAACAATACAAACAATAATTGTCTTCAGCTCCAGAAATGTGCCTGGGTCCAAGTAGCGGCCATTAAAAAAAAAAAAGCTGATGGCCATCTTGAAAAATATCCTGGTTGGGCAGCCATTTTGGAGGGGAAAAAAATGGGAGCCTTCTTCCTTTTTTTTCAAAAAGGCAGGATGCTAAACACTTCTCGTTTACTTGGTCTAATTGACCAAACAATACAAACAATAATTGTCTTCAGCTCCAGAAATGTGCCTGGGTCCAAGTAGCGGCCATTAAAAAAAAAAAGCTGATGGCCATCTTGAAAAATATCCTGGTTGGGCAGCCATTTTGGAGGGGAAAAAAATGGGAGCCTTCTTCCTTTTTTTTCAAAAAGGCAGGATGCTAAACACTTCTCGTTTACTTGGTCTAATTGACCAAACAATACAAACAATAATTGTCTTCAGCTTTAGAAATGTGCCACTTGTCATGCTTGTACCAGGATGTAAAAAAAAAAAAAATAGGCCCTATAATTTTGCAATCTTGTGTTTTATTTCACTGCAGAATTGTTGGAAAGTTAATCCTTCACAATGGCAAGTGGTGATTCGGCCATCGAGATCATGGAGCTGTCTCAGTCCCCTGATCACATTGTCGCTGAGAGTCATGGAGACGGAGCTATGGAAGAAGACGTCTTCCTGCCAACAACACCGGTTTCCAACTTTGCACGGTTGCCCGCCCGGGCTCATTCCACCCCGCGACCCAAGGGCAGTGCGACGGACTCGGACCCGCCGCCGGATTACCCTGCGACGCCTACCAACCAGGCAGCGGAGCGCCATTACGAAAACTTTGAAGAAAACTTTGCCGCCAGAAATGAGGGGAATGATCTGAAGCCGTGCGATCTGTGCGGCGCGGGACGAAAACCGTTCTTCTTTTGCCTGGCGCTGTTCGCCATGGCGGTGCTGGTTGGGTTTCTGGCCGGTTATTTTGTACGGGAGAAGGTTTACGAGAGGGAGTCGGCGATGGTTCGCGGGATGACCCCGGCCGAAACGAGGGAGATGTATCATCAGCAGGCAGTGAACAACGTCTCAGCAGTCGGGATTGCTGATTATGCCAGGTAAATAACAACGATCATAATCAAACACGGCAAGACAGAGCCTAGTAAAGATGGTCCCACAGCACACAAAATTCTGTTCCGTTGATTCGGAATGGCTATTCATTGGTAGTCTGTCGCGCATCAGTGTTACACAAAGGCTAGATTTAGCCCATTCATCACCCTTTAAGGGAACCTATACAATAGCACTGCCCAGCTCATAAGTGACTGTGAGTAAACAGTACAATAGAAACAAATGGGACGCTAGGCTGCCTTCTGTAACCCAAAAATCAATGTTCATGTTTTTATGAGGTATTTTTTTAAGGTAAGGGAGAAACCAGTATTAACCCTCCTATACCATAGGTCTATCACAAACTGTCAAAAAACTTAACCCCTGCCTCTGAGTACACCATTATTATGTTGCCGCCATCTTGATATTTTCCCATTCAAATCATCATAACCAAAGCGAGGCTGGAAGGAAAAGTAGTCTGGTTCCTTTTTGCACAAAATACATCATTCAGTCTTTTATTGGATACAGGAAACATGACTGAAATGGTGGCAGCATGATAAAGGTGACTATAGCTTTTGTACAGGCTGGTCGCCAACTACCAGAAACCCTATGGATTAAGGGGCCATTTAAAAGTTTTGATGTTTTTAAATTTTGATTGTTTTTATCGAAAATATGGGTGGGTGGGTCAAGTTAAATTATCGAAAATCAAAATGTTAGGGCCAAATTCCATAACACCATTCTCTGTCAATGGAACATTCATTTGTCTGTATCTGCAAGACCATTTTGGCTGTAAAAAGGAAATCATTTGCCTCAGAAGTTGTGTAGAATAGTACGAACGACTGCCAGTAAACGATTGTGAAAGTGCTACTTTCATATACTGAGGTTCGGTCATATGATACAAGGCCACACATGAAGATGAGACAATGTTGAAAGAAAAAAATCCCCAAAACTTTTCCCAAAGTTTCGGAAGTTGGAAATATCCAATTAGTAAGTGATTACATCAAAATGTCACACATTTCCTTGTCTTGAGGGTGCATATCCCATCATGGGACTTTGCCAAGGACTGAAAAATCCACGTAGACATGTGCCTTTGTACATAGGGACAGTCCCGATTTTACTCGCGGTCACACCACAAGTCCTCAGGAAATGGCAGAACAATAATATTTATATTTTAAAAACCAAATGAGGATTTCCTTAATGGCGAGTCAGTTGGAAAAGACAGCAATTGTTGCAGACTATGTTGCTTTTTATCTTATTTCCTTAACTTGTGTATGTCGTTTCCTTATTGTTTTTTCCGATTCGTTGCTTCTTACTAAAGAGTACTACTATAATATACATGTACATGTACTTTGAATCATTTTATCAAATTTATGTTCAATTTGAATTCACATTTGACCACTTCCTTGATGAGAATTTGACTCCACACAATAAATAAAATGAGTTGGCAAAAGAGCAAATTGTGATCTTAATGAGAAACAGACTCTTAAGTCTTATTTCTTCTCAAAAACTCAAAACAGTTACAAAAATCACACGTTGGTATTTACAAATATAATCATCTGTTTTGATAGTCGTCCGTGGCACCCTCAAAAGGTGTACTAAATCATGCTGACAATTGTGTTATGGTAGCACTTAAGTTTTAAGTTTTAGTATGATGGCCCACCCATCCAAAGCTTCTCGTGAAGAAAACTATACTGGTACATGTATATTAAAATCTACTTGTACAGTGTGTGATTATTCAAAGTTCTGTTTGAAAAAATGTACACTGACTTCTGTTACTAGTGTCCTCTTAGTACTTTTTTCACTAACTCACTGACTGACTCACTGACTCCCCGACTCACTCCCCGACTCACAGACTGACTTACTCCCCGACTGACTCCCCCGGAGACAGACTCACTGACTCACTGTCTCACTGACTCCCGTTTATGAGCAGGGCAGGCTATTGTCTAGGATTACCCGATAATGCCAATGAATGGGCTAAATCTGGCCCATTGTATAGACTAGGGACCAATTTCATAGAGCTGCTTAAGCACAAATTTTGCTTAAGCACGAAAAAACATTGCTTAGTAAAATTAGGTTACCGGCCAAAACTCCACGTGATGTACATTGCTTGTGACTGGTAATCGCATGGAGTTTTGGCCGGTAACCTGATTTTATTAAGCAAGACGTTTTTGTGTTTAAGCAAATTTTGTGCTTAAGCAGCTCTATGAAATTGGCCCCAGATGCATGAAAAGACTTCCAGTGAATAGCCAATCTGAATCAATGGAATAGAATTGTGTGCGATTTGGGACCAGCTTTTTTAGGTTTGTCTTGTCCCCTCCCCCCCCCCAACTTTTTTTAGAGAAAAAAAAGATCCGTTAGGATTTTTCCTGATATCAGGATTTAAAAAAAATACTGTTTTGAAATCTGGAGTTTGTGTGATTTTGTACCGTAAGGGTATATATATAGAGGTTTATATAAAACAAATGAAAATGGGTATTTTAAGGGTGTTTGTAGGCTAATACAAACATATAGAAAAGTACAAATTGCTCTGGTGCCCCCGGCAACCCTCAAACCCTCGGCTGATTATTTCATGGATTTTTCTTTTCTCCAAACACACCCCTGTGAAATTGAAGATTAAGATTGTTTCTGGATTTCTTCTCTGATAGCAAGTTCAGCAAACACGAGTGTGCGAGTGGCGTGCCGTGCAGTCAAAGCATGTCCACAGTGGTTGTCCAACAGCTGCGGGATTTAGGCTTCACCGACGTGCGTGTGTCATCGTACGACGTCCTCACATCGCACCCTGACATGTCGCGCACGAGCACGTTAAAGACCATGAACCCTGAGGGGGATGTGTTACACACAGAGGTCCTGTATGGGGATGAGATGGGCTCAGATGACGGAAGTAAGCCGGCTAACGATGCGAAGAGAAGAGCAGTTGGTTCGGGTCAAGATGAGACAAGTTCTGCCAGTGGTGCGCCGACTGTCATGTACATGCCATTCTCCGGCTCCGGTAATGTTCAGGTATGTACATGTATGGGCTCCTTGTTCTAACAAGAGAGGCCATTCTGGAGGGGAAACACCTCATGCGCGTACTGGTTTGCGCACGTAAATTACGCACGAGTAATTTTATTCTGAATCTTCGCGTGACCCTCATTAGGCATCATGGGCAATGCATTTGAATGGCTGGCCCAGTGGTCTCCCCCAACCCTAAGTCTCACTAATTTCTGACTGTTGTGGGGTTACTCATGAATAACAATGTTCTCAGTTGTTAAATGTTACAAATGTTAATTGCATTGATGTGTAAATTTGTGACTTTAATGGCGTTATAGTGGCACAATTTATGAAGTCTTACATGGAACAACTTATGGCATACAATGCCATTTGCAGTGTTATAAATCCATTTAGGTTTTTTTAAGGGCACAATTAGTCTGTACGGAAATATAAAATTTCAGCTTTTATATTCAAATTTGTAGGAATCAACGACCACTTATCTATTACATTTAAATACAATTTAAAAATTCACAATCTTAGAATCATAAAAGTGTACCAACAAATGATTGTTCCATTTTTGCCATGTTTCTGTTGACCTTAACCAATTAGTCTTTGTACTGCCCACAAGCACCCTCACTCAAACCACCCCAGCACTCTGGAAGTGGATTTAGCAATGAGTAAATTCAGTGTGGGTAAAATCTGTCACGAGCTAAGATAGCCCATCAGGCTGGTGTTTATCTCCGGTTTCAGTGGCATGAGGCAACTGACAGTATTTTTTCCCCCCTGATGGGATGCCGGTCTATCGCAGGTTACTCCTCAGCCAATGCCGGTACCCATTTATGCTCCTGGGTGGACAGAGGCAAGTGGGGATGAAGTGGCTTGCCCAAGGGCACAACTTATGGCCATCAGCTGGATTTGAAACCCTGACCCTCTGATCATGAGTCACAAACCCTAACCCCTGGGCCACAGTGTAGTACAGTGTAATAAAAGTGATTAATGGTTTTATTCTAAAAGTGCCCACGATCAAAGTTGTTTTTGATGTTTTATATTTTCTCAGGGAGAGCTGGTGTACGTGAATCAGGCTAGTCAGGGAGACCTACTTGTGCTGACAGGAAGCAACATCGGCCTGTCTGGTAAAATAGCCATCGCCCGTCAAGGGACCATGATGGTGATGGATCAGGTAAACGTCCCAAGCTAAATTTACACAACTACATCACTTTGATAAACGTTCGCGCTGGGATTATTTTGACATGGACCAGACCCAAGCGCGGGATTGTTTTTCACAAACCCCGATGCCAGACGGGTTCAGGCCGTCACCTGTGGGTAGCACACCCTGATATTTCCGGTCTCGCTCGCTGCAAGCACGTGATTTAGTTAAAACAAAACAGACTCTTCTGGTCAATAATTGAAAAATGAATATGGATGTTTGTATATTTTGCCCTTCTAGTTCAACTTTTGAACACAGACTTTCCGTTGCGCAAATATGCTGTTGAAAATCAGCAAATTTCCGCATCATTCTCATTGACATAGCCAAGAGAGATCTACGATCTACACATTTCTTGAACTGATGACATTTCTGCAAATCAATCCAAAAAAGAAATGTTAGGCAAAATTACAGTCTAAACTTTAACAGTGTATTTTAGACACACAGAATCACAAAGTGGGTTGTATCTCCATTTCAAGCTATGTCCAGAAGTACAAGTATCTAGGTTTGACAGAAAACATCACAATTGTTTGTTCTCTTCAAATAATTCCAAGTAACTTGAAAGTTCTTCTTATTGTTCGCCATCCTTCTGACGGCAGTGTTTGAGCAATTGTTTTGCAGAGATTTCCATAGTTACCTCCAATACATGCCATTCTGAATTTTTTTTTTACAAGTCTAGCAGCATGCATGGGAATACTTTGGAACTTTTCTTTTGAATGTTGAGAAATTACATTTACCACAAGTCCTTAAAGAGCTTTTTTTTTTTACTGTTTTAAAGTTCTGTCCATGGATCACAAAAAGGCGTGTGTTCTTTCAGCAAAACAAAAACAATTGACACACATCCCTATGTGAATTGTTTTTGTTTTGCTGAAACAACATTTTTTTTGTGATCCGTGGACAATACTTTAAAACGGTGGTTGTTTTTATAATTCTTTAACTTGACTCGCTGTGTATAAGATGAGAGATCATTTATGTGTATCCGATAGGTCAGGAATGTGGAAGAAAGTGGCATGAAAGGACTGATTCTGTACACAGACCCAGCGGACATGGATGTCATCATGACGTCAGGAATGGAACGCTTGGTTGGAATGACCGGTATGATGGGTGATCCATTGACACCTGGTTGCCCAGCCATGGGTAGGTCTACTTTTCTGTAACTTGAAAACGTTGGATCTGTAGCTGCTTTTGCACTGGAGTTACCGCGGTAAAATATTACCGCGGTAAAAAGTTACTGCGAGTGATTGTTAACATTCCATTGTGGTTATTCTACTGTGTGTCTGCATGTCCGTGTGCTTGTGAGTTAATTTCTGCCCACAGAAAGTCTTTTGTTGCGTAAACTTTACCGTACCGTTCTCCCTCCGAATTTAATAAAAGCGCCTTACTATTGCCCTTGTAACCTTACACCGGCTGTGGATGTTAAAGAACGGGCCAAATAGCATTGTTAGAATATGGCAGAAATACTGCAGAATCTCGCGTACAGAATGTCGGCCTAGGCGTGTGACTTACAGAGGTCAATAAAAGTGACTCACATAGAAGTCATAGCAGTGGCCGTCTGCTAGGACTTTCTTGTGATGTAAAGGAACAGCGTATTTTGTTTCTCACACCCCAATTCGCCCTGCCTAACTTCCCACTGCGGACCGCAAAACTAACAATCGACAGTCGACGCTTCGGCGAGTTAACCGGAATTAATAGCGAATGTATTTGAAATGTTACTGTTATTCAGCATAAGATGGCATTGTGACACTATAGTTGATTAAACTGAATGTTGTTAATCCGTCAGATGGCATAAGTCGCATGTCAATGGACAAAGCCAAGCTACCGAGCATTCCTGTGCAGCCAGTATCGACGGAGCTAGCAATGAGTCTCCTGGGGAACATGACTGGACGAATGGCGCCTCAGGACTGGCAAGGGGGGCTAGATGTGACCTACACCATGGGCCGCAGAAATACGAGTAAGAAAATTGTCTGTAAAATAGAGCTCTATCTTCAAGCAACCTTGAATCCATGATCCTGATTGGTCAATCCATGGCAACAACAGTGTGGTATTTTATAATAATGAAAGTTTGTGAGTGCAATGGTAAGAATAATTCCATGAGGTGACAGTGGAGTGTTCCATAGTGGAATGGAACATTCCATCTGCATAGCTGCCAACTATTACGAATTTTTCGTAATTATTACGAATTGTTTGTTAAATTACGAAAATACGATTTGCCACTAAAACATTACGAATTTCCCATTTTCTACCTAACGAAAAAAAAATACTTGTAAAGTATCGTTTTTGACCAAAAACTTGTGGCGAAATGTCGCGATAATGGATGGACTGGTGACAAGTCTAATAAGAATGCAGTCAAGCACCTGATAGACATCAATGCAGTGTGCGCAGTGGAATACTCGAGGACCAGACTAAAAATATTTTTCAATGGTGTGTCATTTGTGTGCATCTCGTGGATGTGTGGTTGTGTGTACTGTATGTGAGTACTTTTCAGTGACGATCGTGAGCACATTTGGTCGCTTATTGCCGGGATGAGACCCATCAGTGCGAGATTTTAATCATGGAATTTAATAAGAGTATGGTTGGAATAATTGGTAAAAGAGTTTGAGTTTGTCACAACGTCCAGAAAAGATAAATCAGCATGCATTTGCAAGGTATGTTTGCGGGATATTTCTATTGCATACGGTGGCCCTAAATCATTGTGTGTAAAAACATGATACGAACTCAAAACTCCACATCGATAGCATGCATCTCCAAAAAAATATGCGCAAGTTATTATTGTTATTATTTATTTGACTTCAACAAACAAATACAGACATTAAAACAAAACTAATTAAAAAAAATAAAAATAAAAAAAAATAAAAAAACCATGTAGCTGTACTCGGTGTTGGTAAAGCTTTTGATAAAACGAGCAGTTGAAAATGACCGCGCGGGTTGATTACTAATTGGGATTTTGAAAAGTTGGCAGCTATGCATCTGTCAATGAAGGCTTGCCAAAATAACGTTAAAGTTGGTTTCAAAGACTTCAATGTCTTGGTCTTTATCAGAATGGCTCACAAACATTTTAATCGTTTTAATGTCAGAGAAAAAAAATGTGGAATTAAACGAACGTACTGTCAAAGATCATAATCATTATCCAATCATTTGTACTGACTGAGTTGATACCGTTTGTATGATACAGAGAAAGCTACTTGGACTGTACAGCTGGATGTAAATAACATGCAGCAACAGCAGGCAATTCATGACGTGGTAGCTACCATCACTGGAACTCAAATGCCAGGTAAAGTAAACTACCAGTTGCATTGTAATATGTTCTGTCAAAAGCAGATACCTTAATTAGTCGAGAGTACTTGTGCTTATTGTTGGTTTCAAAGGGGAGAATCGAGCCATTAATGAGACGGATTCACAACAGTCCTAGAAAAACCCACAGTGTTAACTGGGCCGTTGCAGTGCGCTTGAACGAGTAATCATGGGCGAAGTTCGGGCAAGGACCATTAGTCAAATAGTGGTTGATTTGTGACGTACCTTACGCCTGCGCACTGGTAGCAACGTGCGAACGTCTCTAGTCAAACGCTGGTCAAAATGTCATCGCAAATCTTCTGGATCCTGGCTCCCTGCTAGCGTTATGAATGCGCCCGGATATTGGTTACCAGCGAAGCAACCAACCCCAGTAGGCTGGTTCCAAATAGTCGACTAGCGTAGTCAACCACCGTTGACTAGACAGAGTTCGGGCAAACGTTAGTTAACCATTGGTCAACTATAGTCCTTGCGCGAACTTGGCCATGGTTGCACTGTTGTTGACATCTGAGTGACGTCACGACCATTTCAGCAAATTGACTCATTCTGTTATTTCGTTTCTACAACAGATGAATACATCATCCTTGGTGGTCATTTTGCAAGCATGATGTCCAGTATGGCCGTATCGACCGCCATGACCTCAGACCAAGGGTCGTTGTCCATGTTCATGGAGACGGCCGCCGCGATGGGTCAGATGATGTCATCGGGCTGGCAGCCCCAGCGTAGCGTGGTGCTTGGCCTGTGGGGTGGTGCCGAGTACGGCCACGCCGGCTCCATGGAATGGGTCGAGGAGCATCAGAGTGTATTAATGGAGAGAGCGGTGTCGTACATTGATCTGGATACTATGATGATGGAGGAGAGTATGGTTGTAGCACAGACGTCACCGCTGCTCAAAGGGCTGGTCATGAAAGCAGCTGATATGGTTGGTTACTGACTCATTACTTCTGTAAATACTCTACCCATAATTAGTCCCCATAGCGCCCAAAAACCGTCCTGCCTGTTACCCCTTGTCATGCCCGAAAGCGCCCGAAAAAGCAATGAAGTTTTCAGTGAATAATTACAATATTATACAACGAGGCTCACCTCACAAGCTAGCAGGGGAAGGCAGCTTCATCGTCTATCGCATGCTTCGCGGGCGAGGGGCGACAAAGCTGCCTCTCGCCTCTCGCCAGCTTTGCAGGTGAGAGGTGGCGATCAACTCATTAGCAATCAACTCATAAACACAGTCACACCTTTAAATGGACCGTTATCATGCTGCCACCATTTCAGTCATGTTCCCTGTATCCAGTCACAGTACTGAATGATAATGCTTCTTGTGCAAAAAGGAACCAGACTATTTTTCTTCCAGCCTCGCTTTGGTTACGTTGATTTGAATTGGAAAAATCCAAATGGCCGCAGCATGATAATGGTCTGTTGATTGAACAGTTTTGATCAGTATTTTGATGAACTAGGTCAAGGCTTTTCATAATTTGGTCATTTTATTGTGGTAAAGTGCAGAGCCCTGTTTTAATAACATAAACAGTGCAAGGTGTCGATAGTTATTTTGTATTTTTTATTTGGCTCTAGTTGGAACTGAGTGACATACAGCCAGGCATGCTGAGTGGTGTAGGGGACCATGTTGCATTCACTCATATGATTGGTATCCCATCTGTGCGTCTACATGCTACACAGGGTATGCAAGCGGTAAGTAAGTTTCTGTGAATTCTCAATTCCATCATGTCTGGAGTTATGGGGAGTGTGTGGCCTAGTGGTTAGGGTTCGTGACTCATGATCAGAGGGTCCGGGGTTCGAATCCAGCCGCTGGCCATATATTGTGTCCTTGGGCAAGGCACTTCACCCCCACTTGCCCCTCTCCACCCAGGAGTATAAATGGGTACCGGCATTAGCTGGGGAGTAACCTGTGATGGACTGGCATCCCATTCAGGGGAAAAGAAATATTCTCAGTCGTTTCATGCCAAGGAAACCGGAGATAAACACCGGCCTGATGAGCCATATTGGCTCGCGACAGACTTTACTTTTTACTTTTTCATGTCTGGAGTTATACATTATATATCATTTAACCATTTTGTCTCTGTACCGCCCAAAACCGCCTGGCCTGTTACTCCTTATACTGCCCCAAACAGCCACAGTACTCTGTGGTTTCATAGCTTCATCAAGGTGCAACTACAATGTAATACAATGTAATTTAAGTTGTGATGGATTAAATAATGATTTCCTCTTACAAAATATGTTAACTTCATATTAGTATAATTTTCTAGATATTTTCGGAAGTGTGTGCTTCAGTATTGTTTTATTTGCATGTACACTGTATATAGTTGTCTTTGCCCCTTGCCTTGTTTTGTTGTAAATTTGGAAAAGATTGGTGGAACATACAGGAAAATTCCAAGAAGACAACAGTTTATATTCATTTATTTTATTCAGTTATGAATAAAGAGGCTTTGCCTCGCCTGCTTCAAGGGGAAAGGGGGGGGGGGCTTCACAAGCGAGTAGCCTGCTTCGTGACCAACACACATACCTACTGCAGACATTCCTATTCGTATAGTTAAGAAAAGCCGAAGAAAAAAACTCACTTTACTCTCACTGTGAACACTCTTTCATCCCAAATTTATTTATCATCATTTTGTGGAGTGTTTCTCTTCACTTTGCAATAGATAACCCCAACCCCAAAATGCCTTTAAACCTGTTTTCCAGAGAGGGGAAACCTTGTGTGGACGTGGGTACAATGCAAGTCCACGAAACATTCACATGTCCTGCAGCCTGTGGACCTCTTTTGTCTGCAAAATCGACGTCCTGTCTGCAACAAGTTTGATTTTTCCGTCAATGTTTTGTCTAGGTTTCCCCCACCGGTTCCCCCACCATGTCTGCGCACATGTCTGCGACCCGGCTTGCCACCCAGATGGTACTCCTGCTTGCTGATAGCGATATGATCCCGTTTGACACCGGTGCTATGGGAGAGATGTTAGTGGGGTATATGAACAGTCTGGATTCCAAGATGGGTGACATGTTATCCCTCAGCAATATGACGATGGGTAAGAGCACATTAAATTTGCTTTGAAGGACGGCTTCAAAGCGTCTCCGCATGCAAGAATGAAGAGTTAGTGCTCTAGTAATTATTAATATAGCTCTGTGCACAGGACACGCTTGATTCATGTGACACAAACAATTTCTCACAAGAATTCTTTTCACCTCCTACAACATTTTCTTTGATTTGTCCATGTTTTCCAGATAATCTAAAAGTGGCCGTTACAGACTTCATGGATGTTACTATGGAGATGCAAAGCATGATGGGAAGTCCTTCCATGATGGAGTCCTCTGTTACCATGACGATGGTGAACCACAGGCTAATGTACATGGAGAGATCATTTGTGGACATGGACCCTAGTGGCTCTATGATGTAAGTGCAGACTGGCTTAATCAATTTGGTTACAACGTTATCAGACTTTCTCCTGCCAAACCAAATTATTTTAAAACAAGTGCCAGTGCACAATAAGCTCTGGCGAAAAATGTGACGCCGATGGCACATATGGAACACCATACTTTTGGTCAAGTTTCATTTCCTCCTGGATATTGTCCAACTGCTACAGAAAATACCACGTGACTATAACATTACTGCACATATCTTGCCTCCGTTTACAAAATTTTTGAATTGTTACAAACAATTTTTAGAGTGCATTTACTGATTACGGCAAGGCATTTGCTCAATTGTTGGTCAAATATTTTTTGGTCAAATGTTTTCGGTCAAATTTTTTTGGTCAAGGGACGGACAGACAGACAGACCAACCGACTCTAGTCAAGGAAACAAAAATCTGTTTCGGTCGACCTGAGCTGCTACCAAACATGTTTTGTGAAAAGAAAAGGAAAAAAGGAGGGGAATAGAATATGCTTTATGTCAATATTATCCTCTTGTTTTGGGGTTTTTTTAACAATAGAGAATGCGGGAAAGGGGTCTTGAAAGATGCATATAGCATAAGATCAAAAAAAAAAAAATCTGAAATTTTTGTTATCAAAATGCTGTGTCTTATAACCAGCATGTTACGGGAACGCTGAATGTGGGCGCATGGTTGCGCAAGGCGACGCTCGCATGACGCGCGAGTGTTATTTATCAGAATGAGCATTGGCATAACATGGCAGTTATATAGAACTCAGCATTTTGATAATCAGAAACGCACAACGCAAAGGCATAGAAATGTTGGGTCTAGGGTTTTCAATGTGTATGGTACATACATACATGTGTATACAGTTTTTGAATTTTGAACAGCGCCCCTGAGTAGCAATGGTGTCCAGCCTCCCTCTCCCCCCCCCCCCCCCCCCCCCCCCCCCCGCCCCTCAAGAAATATAATTTCAAACCTCCATGTTCAATAATGTTTGCTTGACTCTCCCTGTAGGCACGTTCTGTACGGTATGACAGAAATGGACACCTTTCCTCTGGTAGCACAGTATTCGCCAACCGGTATGAATAACGAAACCATGACGGCCCTGATGGAGCGTGTCTCCATCATTCAGTGCTCTGTCCAATCGGCGACCTTGTCTCTCAAGATGGACCTCACATAGCCGACCAATCAGATGCATTGCTTTGTAATGTTTTAAGTCAAGTTGTGAATAATATCAGTTTTATGTGCCTTTTTCTGTAATGTTGCCTTTCAGTTGTACATAATAAGTGCGATAAACACAGCGGCAAAGAGCAAGTTCTGGAGTGAACTTTAGTTAACCATAATTTGACCAACTTCGCTCCAACCAAGGATGGTTGGACTATTTCAGTCGACTATTTAGAACCGGGATCTTGGGCTCAGTTGCATCACTGGTTACCAATAGCCGCGCGCATCACAAAGCACAGCGGGGAACCAGGACCAAGAAGTTTTGTGCTGACGTTTTGACCAGCGTTTGACAAGAGGCGTTCGGACGTTGCCAATGGTGCGCTGGCGTAAGTTACGTCACAAATCAACCACTATTCGACTAATGGTCCTCGCCCGAACTTGCTCAAAAATATGTGCCTTTAATATAATGAAATATCAAAAGTCTTGTTGCTTTTAACTGTACTTATTACATACATGCATTTGCAATCGGATATTGCTGTAGATGATGTACTACGAACTTAGTTAGTGTGTGCTTTGCTGTAGTTCAGTCGAAAACGATTATTTATTAAATTGTTGGCCAGTCTCATGTGTAACAACCATTAGGTGTAGGCCTGCTACATGTACATGTGCACATGTACATGTGGTTGCATTGAATTCCTTGTTGCTGAAGGAATGTGTTATTAAGCTGGCATACATGTAGAGCTAAGTTATATTTCAAAAGTGCTTATTTTTATTCAAAACTCAAGGTGTGATTTTGCCAAATCAATGCATTGGTAGAGAGCCTTCAAATAATTTGCACAAATTAACATAATACTGCACGGTTTTACTCCCCTTGTATGAGCGTGTAATACTGTGCGATATGTTGCTTTTTATTTCACTTCTGGTTTCTGTTAAAGAGAAAATACAACATTTGCAAACATCAAAAAATAAAACTACCAAATTATTTTGAAATACCTTGCTGGACTGTTAGTGAATGACAGTGTAAAGCATCCTGTAAAATCATGGCACCTGGTATACTGTCATTTTCAAGAAAGTGGTATTTTTGTATCAATTTCCAACGCTGGTCGGCCGACCAGCGTTGGAAAAAACTGGCTTTTTTCAAATACTGGCCCCAATTGACCATCGTACTTGTTTGCAATCGATTACACACCTATGAACGGGTACAAGCCAGCTAGACTGGTCGCCTGACCTTACAATTCCCCAATGTATGTAAACTGCTCTGTTTCTTCTTATATGGAGTCGGGGAACCAGACTACAGGAAAATGATTGTTTTTCTTGGTTTTTATAGCATTTTCGAACCCAAATCCTCAAAAAAGTCAGTGTAACTATATTTGCTATATATTTCCAACCCCCCAATTCCATCCATTTCTGAAAATTACAGCAAAAGCAAATGATGTATATTCCCTTTAACCGCGCGTAAATGTAGATTTATATCAATTAGTTTATTCATTTGTCATATGTGTATTATGTCGCAGTCTGAGTTGTACATTGCCAATGTGCTTTTCTTTTTACACACTGTGTAGAAATCCATACATTTCTGCTTACGGACTGTCCCCGGTCTCCCCCAACTCTCCATTTTTAACCGTTGAGGGGGTACTTTAGCACAGTCCATACAAATTGCAGCTTGAATTTTTAAAGGTGAAAAGCTTTTAAGGAAAGTATTAGGGTTTTAAAAAAACGGAAAGAATGTTCCAACCTGACGCCTCTTATTCTACAAGGTCAGTCAATGCAAAAATGTTGAAAACACATGAATCTGGGAGTGGACTGGGAAACATTTCCAATTTTGTTAAAAATACTTCGAAATTTTCTTGACTCTCCATAGACTTTGTACACAACCACTGAAGTGGCGTCTGGATACTGCATTCTTTCCTATAAAATAATTATGAAATAACTGAAATGCTTTAACTTTTTTTTAAAAATTTAAAAATTAAATTCCTGTCGTGAATTTATGAGTACTGTGATTTTATAAGTACTGTAGATACAGTATTTCAAAACTATGAAAATTTGTGAATAAAATGTTATCTTAAGAATATAAGGTTGGAAGATTCAATCAGTATTTTATCACATTCCCCATTCTGTATATGTTGCTGTTTTTTTTTTAACAAACAGGGTTATCTCAGATAATTTATAGTAAGTCTTATCAATTTAATCTGAACAATTCAGTCGTGCAGTAAGCTAAAAACATTTGTAGCAGTGTTTAGGTTATAGCACAAACGTGTTGGAGCTCGCCAGTAAAAAAGTTCGGCACATACATTGTACATGTACAGGTACTTTAAAAAAGCCAGGGAAACGTTTGAGCGTGCCGCGTTATTTAGGAGACTTTACAGTATAGTTATTTGTCCACATTGAAAATGTTTATTTGTGGTGGGTAAAACAAAGAACGTTTTGCTTGAGAGAAAAGAATTTTGTTAAATTTTTTTGGGTTGCAAAAAAAATTGTAAAGAAGAAAATCCAAATGTGGATTTAGTGCCTTAAGTGTGCATGCATCGTAAAGTTATTGTTGAAATAATGTCATGCCAGAAACAAAAACTAAATCATCAAGTGATGAAACGCAGTTTGTAAATACATTAGTGTTGTGCATCGGGTCGGGTTAACCAGGCCAAACAGACCTGAAACATTGTGAATATTAATAAATCCTGGCTAAAACCGATCTGAACTCCCTAAAACCGACCGGACCTGACCAAAAATTCAGGAAAATCAGATCCGAACCGACCAGAAACTGAACCTTTTTTTGTCAGTTTATTAAATTTTTTCAAAATGACTTGTAACTGACCCAACCCGAATATCACAAACGCAAATGTGTTGGGTCGGTTTAGGGTCGGGTTTGACATGTACATGTATATTTAATATTAACTGCATTATAAAAGTGCGCATGTTAAATAAGCATGTTACCTTGGCAACTGTTTCAACAATCGGTGCTGGTCCCAGAGGGCCAGCATGGTGTCCTCGTTGCCCCCGTCTCACTTACTGACTGACTGACTGACTGTCTTTTATGAGCCGGGCAGTGCTATTGTATAGGATTACCCTGTAACACCAGTGGATGGGCTAAATCCAGCCCACTATGTGCAGACCAGATGCATCAAAAGACTTCTATAATCATGCTGCCATCATTTCAGTCATGTTCCCTGTATCCAATGACAGTACTGAATTATAAATTTTTTTGGAACCAGACTATTTTTCCTTCCAGTCCGCTTTGGTTACATGGATTGAATGGGAAAAATCAAGATGGCCGCAACATGATAATGGTCTACAGCCATTTTGAATCAATGGAATAGATTATGTGCATTCTTGAGACCAACTTTACTAGGTTTGTCTTGTCTTGTTTTCTTTCTTGTATTACAGTACTGTAAGTGCATTACCTTTGTATCAATGATTTCAGCATCAATAAATCTGCAGCCTCATAAAGCAGTTGTATAACTATCACCACGTTTCATTTGTTTTTATTGCAGTTACTGTATGTATAAGGAATGAATGCTACCCCTTTTTATACAAAGCTTACAAAAAATAACCACATATAAGTACACCAGGCATTACATATTGTTTAACTATTAAATGGGTTTGAAAATTGTAAATACATTACAGGGTACATATTGGACTATATTCATTAGTTATGTCTACAATTATCTCAACCACTCACAATCTGTTGTTATAAATATCAAATTCTGGAAAACTGTTCCAAAAATCCATTTTCTTCATTTCACTTACCAAAATGCAGACTTCAGTGTACAATATTGGTTCATTTGGGTTTATATCTGTGAATACATGTGTCTTTTTACATAGCAAGTTTCAAGTATCTCTAACCCCCTATATTTTTTTATGAGAGACAAAAGTGACATACATGTACATTTGTGAATGATTTTATGCAAGCCAACAGTGCATTGTGCTCGGTATCATTACATTTGGAACTTGTATATACTTTTTAAAAAGGGTTTTATACAGTGCAAGCGCTCGCCATGATTAGTACCCCTGCTCATTGGTCCAATAAAACATTCCAAAGACAATCTCAGCTCTCTGGGGAGTATACAGCTTGATGTAGTCATATGTTTGGCCAAAAAAGTCCCCAAAATCAATCAGTATTCTCTGCACTTGCAGCACCCATTTACTCCTGGGTGGGGAGAAGACAGTTTGTGACAAAGTGCCTTGCCCAAGGACACACGCACCATAACCCTGGACTCGAACCCACAACCTGTGGATCGAATTACCCACAGATCTTGAGTTTGATGCTCCAGATCAAGGCCAATGCACTTACCAATTTAACTTGGAATTTTCATTGAAGTCACAACCTTGCATGCATATTAAAAATGTGTACATATACGGCCAGTAATAGGAATGAGTGAACAAGAAATTTACTTTTGGGTTTAATGGCTTTTCAAACCTTGGTCCTTTATCAGAAATCCTGGCATGGGAAAAATGGAATCTGGGTTTAGCATTTTCACGTTATCTCAGTAATGCCATATTTGCAATTACTACACCTCATACATATTCACGAGTGAAAACCAAAGTCTTATTGGTCCATGAACCATCAATTGTCAACTGTTATTTTTGCTATTAACAAGCGAGGATTCACGCACAGGGTCAATACGAATGCGCAGTCAACTATTGCATTGGTAAACCATGCAATAGTCTACTATGCATTACTATGCAATCATTGAACTATCGCACGGGGGTGTGCGCATGCGTGAACATTGCCCTGCATGGCTACATAAAAAGACAGCGGCACACATGCAGCAATGTTTTGTAAAGATAACTGATTTCCTGGACGAAATTTTGGTGAAACATGTATAAGGTGACTAGTTCCACAGGTGAAACTTTCAAAACCTACAAAACTATTCATCCTCAATCCATGTTATATTAGTATATTAACCATTATAACACCTCACCCACAGATTCTGTATCTTGTTTTGGCCGAGACCATGCATGTCACATGGCATTCGCTATTTTTGCTATCTTGCTTTGCATGGCCAAAAGTACTATACGTGTAGCAACTAAAGTACTACACCATGTATACCCGTAGCAACCGAAGTACTATACGCATAACAACAGTACTGTGTGGAAATGCATTTGGGCGTGCGCGTATTGTTTACGAGCGCTAGCGCTATAGAGCTGGGTTCAAACATTTCGTGAAGGGGTGGTTTGGAAAGTGGTAGTAAATTTTTAACTAATTTTGTATTCAAATAGAAGTACAATTTAATTGTATTTTGATTAAAAATTAATCAGTTATCGCTTAAACTCAAGCAGAATCAATGAGAGAGGTGCTATAAAACAAATATTGACTGCTTTATCTCGTGGTGTAGTAAAACTATCCTCCCTCTGTGATCCATGGAGCATTCTATTCTCTAAAAATATAATGCTCAATGGATCACCTCGGGAGGCTAATTTCACTACACCACGCGAAGCAGTCAATATTTGTAAACTATTTCATCCATGTTAAATTATAAGCTGAATGTGAAATAGGTTAACTTAGAGGCACAGGACTGAGATGAATATTGGTCAGAATTGATACTTTGCATTCAAAGTAAACGGCAGCATTTTGTTCCATTCAATAAAACAAGAAGTCTTGAAATTGCAAAACTTCTACAATTTTGTACACATTTTCCTGTTGGCATATGCAATAATTAGGGATGAAGTAATTTGGAATTAAAGCAAAAACCAAAAACAAATCAATTAGATCGTGACTGCAAAAATGAATCTTTATGAAGTGGGATAAAATCTGTACATGACGAAAGCTCATCTTAAAAGTTCTAAAAAGTCTAAAATACTTAAAACATTTTCACCTGATTATACTAAACCATATAACGAAAATAGGATGAATTTGAAAGATTAATGATACATGTCACTAAGTTATACAAATCGCTTCAAGTAAGATTAAGCACACAAAATATAGTTTACCTAGATATGCGATACAAAATTGAATATTCAAATGTATACTCTACCACCTTATCAAAAAATACAGAAAAAAAAAATTCAAGTTGGAATAAATTCTTACAATTGTTAAAACATCGATTACAATAACGTCACATGATTTCAGTATAATAAAGTAAGTTTAACAAAGTTAAAATCGCGTAAAAATCCACCGACGAATAAAGCATGCAACCAGTAATGATATGCGTTAATTTAATTAGTTAATCATGCAGAAAACAATACACTGGACTACCCATTACAACAATAACTTGCAGTGTACAGCTGGTAAATGTTACTCAGTTATTATATGAAACGGACTGGTAAAGAGACTAGATTCATTGAAAGCAGTACGTTATTAACAAAGTGGCCCCTTGTTCTTTAAAGCTCAGGTACAGGCAAGCAACACAATCTGTAGTCTTGGCTCAAGATGTCTTTAAATGTACAAGTGTTTCAGTGCGCATGGCTTTTAGGCCTGTGCAGTGATTCTGTAGTCTTTGTTCAAGACACCCTAAGTGGCGCAGCAATTCGCTGAAGCGGGTATCCTTTACACACAAGCCAACAGGCCACGTTCTTTGCGTGCCGTTCGTCGCCAAAGTATTGTCACAGAACGCCCTCTAAAGGAATAATATGTGACACGCATGATATGCCACGGTATGAGCCACGATACGACCTTTGTACCGTGGCTCTTGAATGACCGTGAGAACGTCTCATACCAAGACTACCCAATCTGGTGATAAAACAGCTACTAAGTTTGTTTTGCTAAAATCCTACAAATAATAACTAAGCTTGATTTTATCTTGCAATTTTTCAAACTGCAAATGACATAACTGAACAATACGCATATTAGTCAAAAGTAAACAAACTTGTTCTGATTATTGTCCACAAAATGATTCCAATAAGCTCGATCTCGAGAAACACAGTTTCCGGAATATTTTACACAAACACAAATTTTGGAATATTTTGAAACGATTTCGAGCAATATCTCAACCGATTACAGCGAATGACCAGATGGCAGCCTTTTCTACATTTGTTTTTCCTCATACATTTAATCATCCAAAAATATAGAGATGCCAGTTTATGTACAAACTTGTCCTAATGATAATACGAAAAATCTTTTGTTCAATGACTAATAAGCATGTACAATTCATTTAAAAACCATTTTGATAAGTATGAGTTTTTTGTACTCCACTTACAAAAGTTAAAAGTTACACCCTGTAAAAAAACTAAACTACATGTACATGTAGACAGAAAATTCAAACCTTAGAATGGCGAGGCTTAGGACATGTCGGTATGAACTACGGCTTGCATTCTCACAGGTGTCTATGGAAGCAGCTGCAGCCACTTGCCATAGACATGTGTGTGTTCCTGCTAGCCTTAGCCGTAGTCGTAGCTTAGAATGCTTCCAGATCGTTGGTGGTGTGGACAACCACACTGACAGAGCCCGACCTGGTTTCGTCCGTGTTGCGCCCTCGGCCGTGCAGCGGCGACGTATACTGCTTGGGTGCGTTCTCCACGGGCGCCATGAAGACTGCCGCTCCCATGAACTGGTCTTTGACAACGTTGCTGTTCCAAATCTGACGAAGGAAAAGGACCGAGAAATGATGGAATCTAAAGAAATGCTTTGATAAAGAGGTTTACATTTGAACACTACGGAATTATATCTCTTATGTGAAGAGGTGTGGTTCTGGAGCAACAAAAATGAACATTTGGGAAAAGTGTTACTCCCGAGGCAAAGCCAAGGGACCTAGTCTGTCAACTTCTAATAAGCCTTTTCGGAGTTCCAACTGCGCGCATTCGTAACCTGTGACAATGCACATTGTTTGTCTCAAATGCCCTTTGACAGTACCCACAATGCACAAGCAGCCTTTTTGTAAAGTCAGTGGCGCGATGATGTCAAAGGCCTTTTGAGACAAATAATGTGCGTTGTCACTCAGGTTATGAATGCGCAGTTGGAACTCCCAAAAGGCTTATATTGAGGGGAGGTAACATCGACTATCCACCCAAACTATTAACCAAGTTTTATTTGTTTTACTATACCTCATACATATTCAAACAAATTTCATGAAGTTACACATGAGTTTTCTCAGAAAAAAATGTCGTCGTGACAAGTTATGACAGTTTAAAGTTCACATGTATCCACATGTAAAAAAAAGTGTAAAATACTGAGAAAAATGCATTTAAAGTTTTGAGTTTGCAGGCGTGAAAATGAAATATGATGACAATTGTTTTTGCTTAAACACACTTATTCCACAAATCTTATACTATATTTCTTAAAGAGGTTGTGGAATGCTCGAAGACATTTCCGTCATTTTTCGGGTATATGTAGCCTAAGGTGTGATGAAATAAAAACGACTATTGTTTCTGTCATGAAATGAGTGCAAAAGGTACTTTTGAGAGCTGTTTTTCAAGTCCTGTCATGCCTGTTTCGACCCGAACGTGCAATTTGTGTAAAAGTCATCGTTGCGGGCAGCAAACAAAACACAGTAAATCGTGACGTAATAAACAGGACTCCCGATGCAGAGTAGCATAAACGAGTCCTGTTTATTACGTCACGATTTACTGTGTTTTGTTTGCTGCCCGCAACGACGACTTTAACACAAATTGCACGTTCGGGTCGAAACAGGACCTGAAAAATAGCTCTCAAAAGTACCCTTTGTACTCATTTCATGACAGAAACAATAGTCGTTTTTATTTCATCACACCTTAGGCTACATATACCCAAAAAATGACGGAAATGTCTTCGAGCATTCCACAACCTCTTTAAGTATGTGAAGTACATCAAAGAATACAAATATCAGTAAATTTGAAAACAACCTAAAAAAAACCACCTCATTTGGTTTTTGGCAATTTTTCACTGCCATGGCCAGTGCCCAGCTCCGTCTCACTTTGCCAGAACACTTCACATATAACAGTATTTTGTTGTTACTGAGTTTGTATTGATGAGAGTCAGCTGTACATTAACATAATGAAGAGCATCTGCTCAACCAGAAATGTCCACACAAGCTTTAACGTGGGAAAATGACCAATTCCTTGTATCTTCAGAACAGACGGTCGCACAAATCTGGGGGTTGCAGATTATGAAAATTCATTCTTCTGGCTTTAAGTCTATCTATGTCTGGCTTGGAAAGGCAGAAAAACCACTCATCATTTTTTAATTGAAAATGTGGGGTACGAGACAATTGTCTATGGAGCGGAACAGAAGATGACCGTTTGTGACAGACTTTTGGTTGTTTATCTCAACGTATCTCGAGAACCCAATGTCAGAGCACACTGGGGGTAGCGGTTTTGTAAAGAGGATGAAGTTCTCTTTCCATTCATATAAGACTCGATTTCATTGATTAAGAAACCACCGATCTTTTTTTCGTCAAAATTTTCCCCAATGACTTGATTTCTTGCAGAGGTCAGTTGTGTGAGTGTACGTGGCCAGCGTGTTGCATGTGGTATGCAAATCGCAAGGTCACTTGGGCAAGCTGTGGAGCTGTCTCACACACATTGATCTTTTGCGCGTTTGGGCCCCAAACTTTTCATTATGCTAAGCACTATTTTCATGTCAGTTTGAAATAAATTTACCTGGGAATTTGATAAATAACCTTGCTTTAATACAAGTAGTTAATAGCCTCCAAGTAGTTTTATTGAAAAAAACAAAATCCTAAATACTAAAGAGATACTTTACCTCTACTATAATGGGATTTTGTGGTTTCTTGCGGTAGATTAAAGCACTGAAGTTGAACTCAGGATTGAGCGTGTTCTTGATGACCGGGGAACGCGTTGTCTGATTGTCCCATTTCAAATACACATACGGATCAGCACCTGTAGAATATAACATTCAAGGTAGCGTATATCATTTGCAGCTAGCCAAAAAGTAACTGACGTAATTATTGTTGAAAGAGCATACTTGGTTTAAAGATAGTAATGGCAATAAACTCCCTGTGAAATTATTCTTTCTGGCATGCTGTCATTTTAAAGAAAACAATCAAAGAAGGTCATTTCCAAAAGACGCATTTTCGGAAATTTCAGTTTGTAGTTCATTCTTATAGAAGATTTGAGGCTTTGCATGGTGGAGTATCGGTATCGTTTCGGTTTGCGGTAACATCGTCTCCTGACGATGACTAGAGCAGGCCAGTCGAAACGTTGAGAACAAAGACAAGTTCTTTTAGAGCTTAAAGCAGGACTGTTCTTATCAGAACAAAAACTACTTAGCGAAAGCTGATAATAAGCAGGACAAGTTCTTTTCAGGACTAAATATCTTCTAAGCAGTAGTTATTACCACATGGTGTTATCACAAACCGAAACGATAGTTCATTCTTAATTGGGCCATGCCTGGAATGGGTGCGTGCCGGCGTTGACACGTTGCACAACGCGCATGCAGTATTTTCAGTTCAGTGCAGGACATCGCGTAGCTGCAATCGGCTGATTGAGTATCTTACCTCCACCAAAGTGATCCTGTTTCTGCAGTCCAGTAGCTGACAGCACGGTAATCTTGGACACAACTTGCGGATACCCACGGATGTTACTCATCATGGTGCGCGACGGAGCCTCTTTGACCAACTCCCTGAATTAAAAACAAAAAATTCAACATTCGTATACAAAACACGTAGTCATGTCACTAAATCACAAGTTTCACTACAGAATTTCTCTAAAATCAAGTACTCTCAGGACCCAGACAGAGTCGTTTAATTTTTTCTAAATATAAAATGAGATAGAAAGCTGATGTTTTTATTTTTGAAAAATCATCATCATTGTCATAGCATCTAAGTCTCGTGGCAGTTTGTGAGTCAAAATCTGATGAAGAAAACTATGAGTAAACAACATTGTTTGTTATCCCATGCGCATGAATGGACTACAGAATATTATCTTCAAGCAAACTTGAATCCTAGATGCTGATTGGTCGATCCATGACAACAAACTGTGCTACATTATCCTATGTAGCACGGTCCTTACCGGTACTCCGTGTATCACGCTATTCTAAGATGCTCATGCCATTCCTGCTGCACGTACGTGTATTAGGAAAACTGCTGTACAGCACAAGATGCGTATTCCATTTCAAGTTTGCTTAAAGATAAATTCGTTATCCAACTCGTGTTCCTGGAACAAGGAAAATAACACAGACACAGTACAATATTCCGTGTTCCACGAGCACGAGTGGGATATTTAATATTGTCTTCAAGCAAACTTGAATCCTAGATTCAGATTGGTCGATCCATGGCAACAACAGTGTGACATTATACTGTATTGCACGGTCTATATCGCATCCTGCGTATTGTGCTATTTCCAAGATGCAAGCGACATTCCACTGCATGCACTAAACTCCTGAAATGTTCATGTAAAGCCTGCTCGTTTCAACTGTACTGCACGTCTAGTTAGCTTGAAGATAAATTTGTTATTCCGCTTGCGCTCGTGGAACACTGAATAATGTAGTTCCTCTGTGTCCCACATACCACTCGGCCTGCAGCCTTGTGGTATGTGGGACACAGACGCACATTATTCCGTGCACGAGCACGAGTGGGATGTGAATAATGTAGTCATTCTGTGTTCCATAGGGAGTCAGGTTGGCGTAGCGGTACTTTCCTCGCCTTCCCCCGCTGTGACCCGGGTTCGAATCCCGCCTGGGCCAATATGTGGATTGGGTTTTCAGCCCCTGCCTGATTCCGTGGGTTTTCCCCAGAATATTCTTCTGGGCTTTTCCTCCCACCTCTAAAACTGTAACTTCTTCTCATTGTCTTCTCTCCACAGGTTTCTTCAGGCTTGCGAGCTACAGTGCCTAGGGCGCTTTTGAGGAATCCTTGGTTTCATTACCAGAAATGATTAATAATAATAATAATAATAATAATATGCCACTAGACCGAAACCATGTGGAACACTGACGCTTTTGCTTGTTCCACAAATTTGTCTTCAAGCCAACCATAGACACACCAAAAATGCAATGCGCAGACTGTGGTCATGCTTCAGTGGTCATTCTGTTACGGGTGTATACAGCCAGAAAACATGCGCGTGCATCTTGTACTTGTTAAAAAAAGACGTGGTATGCGTGGTGCAAGACGGGATGATACCAAACTCTTGTTGCCCTGGATCGACCAATCAGCAACGACGATTTCAAATTTGCTCGATTTTGTCATTTTACCAGCATTTGGCTCCCTCATCGGAGAAGATCCTCATCATCAAAGGGCCTTCCTCCCCTTGGTCAAAGGTCGTCGCCAGGACAACGTAGCGCCCTCTCTTGAGCGTGCACTTCTCAAAGACGCTGCGCGAATTGATGAAGGTCGAGTTGATGACCTTCTGTCCGGGAGTGTGGAGTCTGTATTTGCGATTGTCTTCAACCTGTCAGGGTAACAAAAAAATGTGCTTAGCGAGTAAACACAGTCTAAACACTTTGCTATCAGTTTGTAAACATGTTTTCATGCTAAATTTTTTTTTTTTAGGTGATAGCAAAAAGGGTAAAACTGGATCGGAGAGATTCGAATATTCGATACTCGGTCAAACAGATTTGAATAATCGAATACTAAATTATTCCGAAATGGAGACAGCTCTAAGTGTTGAACAATATTTTGTGAAATTGACCTTACACTTACAGTGCAGTTGTGCGTACTTTACAATTGTAGAATACATTCATATAAACATACCTTCATTACATTGAATCCAATGGTCTTATTTTCCTTTTTGTCACTGCGCAGATCAGGTTGAGTCAAACAGAGAATGATGTCATCTTCGTCGCTATCCACGGAGATCATGAACTACACACACAAAAATTAACGATACTGTACTTTCACATGTATGCTTGCCAACACTTAAAACTTGGATTAACTTGGTCAACACCTTTGACGTCTTTCCTTTCAGTACATACATATAGGATGATTATAACACATGTGTGCAGCCTTAGGAACGATCGCTGGCGTGACGCCGAATCCACTCTCCACCAGTACCTTCCCGGCCCCTCAAGTGAGCCTACAGGCTGTACCCTCCTCTACAAAAGCACCCAATGCCTGTGAGTGTCAAGTCTGTCAGATGGTGGACCACATCATCGACGACTGTTTGCCAACTGTACCCCCACCACATGGACCAAATATGGCCTGCGGGACCTTGACAATGAGACCATTCGATGGTTGACGGACGAAGAGATTTGAACAGCATCGCACGAAAGAAGAACCATTACAGCAAAGTGTTCCCAGTTCCAAGTAACCTGTAAAACCACACCTCTCTAACATAACGGGGACGAACCTGTGCTCACATGAAGGGCGTGCCAATCTCTCTTTTGAAAGCGATTGGGTCAGACTCGAGTTCATAAAATGCTGCTGTGGGGGGATCGCCACACCTCCTCCACAGCGAGTCTGTTACCTTCCCAGCATTGAATAATGCCTGTCCCCATTTAATACCTAGGGAGGAGCAATTGAGGTAAAGCGCCTTACTCAAGGGCACAACACGCATGGCCGTGGTGGGGCTCGAACCCACAAGCCCACGATCATGAGGCCTGTGCTCTACCGCTAGACCACACTGCCCTCTCTACACATCATAGCAGTCATATATCTAACTTTCTTTAAACAGATGCACATTACACGTACATTTTGTTTTATTTACCTGAGGGTTCTGTAGGAATGTCTCTCTGTTATTGATACAGCCTCCAGCTCTGTTAGCCTTCCCTGGACCCTTCTTCCAAGCAGAGATCATCACCTTCTCGTGCCAGGTCCGCTGAATGCTCAGGAAGCTCTTGTTGGGCATGCGGCAGATGACAAGGTTAGTGAAGTTGGTACAAAAGTCGTCAAATGGCATCCTAAAAAAATATTTTAAATAGGAACGCCACAAACATCTTAGTCTATTGCAAAACAACACTGCATCTTGATTCTGACCATTCAGAGGGTGCCTTCTATTAAGTTTTCATAAATCTGATGTTATGTGACAAAACATGGCCTCTATTGACCAATCATAGGACTAGGACCAATCTGTATGGACCAAGCCATAGCTTTGGCCGAATTTCTGCTCTCTACATGAGGTCACAGAGGCAGCTCCGATTCGCTGGCAACCAGGGTCATATAAAATCTGCTTGCTCGGTTATATTAGACATTGAAGTGTGGTTCTGCACATGTGAATGTCTGATCCTCAGACAACAAACATCTCCCATACTCGCTTCCTTTTTTTGGTCCCAAATATTTAAAGACATTGCGCAGCTACCACAAGAAGTAATTTCAATAGTACAAACACTGCCTAGCTGCACAGTTACTATTTTTGCATAAATTCTACACACGGCATCATATGCTGATCAAGGAAATCTGCTTACCAGAATTCTCCATCGTCGTCAAAGGTGATCCCAAGGCTTTTTCTCTGGCTCTCGCTGACTTTCTGCCATTCTGGCGATCTGAAGATTGATAGAGAAGATCCAACAATGGTTAGAATGGTCAGCCCATGACACAAACAAAAATACTGCAAGTAAAAGTTGCGCGATCCCCCTGGCATCCAGAGACCTCGGAGTCATCAGCAATTACTGAGCTGAGCTCTCCAGAGACCTCGTAAATATCTGTATTGGAAAGGATTTTTTTGACGTCAGCCTTCTCTCCACAGACGACCTGTCAAGTTTGGTTGCAATTTATGACTGAACTTATAGTGAACTGGAACACACGCACACACGGACACACAGAAGGAATGTATACGCGATTGCAATATCCCTGTCTGGTTTGAAAGCCAGGGGGGAAGAAATTATCGATACATACACAATATTCATTGAAAAATAATATTTACCTCAAATGTCAAAATTTGAATATTCGAATATTCGATCAAATCCACGATCCAATAACCAAATACTTAATTATCCGGAAATGCCCAGCACTAACTCACCCATCACTCCATGGTCCGTTCCATTCCTTCTCACCCCACGGATTTCTCAGTCTGACAAGGTGTGCCTTCTCCGTATTGAACAGGGACAGTAAGCCGGCGGCACCAAGCTTGACTGTCTTGACGGCGGTGACTCCGTAGGCGTGACCTTTGACCAGCCCAACATCGGTCTTCGCTTCCATCTCTTCGGCTGATGTCACCTGGTAAATCAACAACAATATTTAAGATTCGTCGCGTCACTGCAGGAAGGTCGTATGTCCATTCTGTAACAAAGTCGTATCTCGCGCGAATACGCTCCGTGCAACAAGGTCGTATCTTGATGTCCATTGACTTTGTGTGTACATCCAGGGGCCAATTTCGCGGCGCTGCTAAGCACAAAAAGTTGCTTAGCACAAAAATAGTCTGGCTTATAAAAGCAGGTTACCAGCCAAAGCTCCACGTGATGTACATTGCTCGTGATTAGTATTCAGCTGTTGTTTGCTTGGCATGAAAATCACATGGAGCTTTTGCTGGTAACCTGCTTTTATAAGCCAGACTTTTTTTGTGCTCAGCAAATTTTTGTGCTTAGCAGTGCCGTGAAATTGGGCCCAGGTTATTTTCAGTGAGATACGACCTTTTGAACATTCTGAATATCTCCCGTTTCACGCACGGCCCATTTTAGGCGATACGACCTTGTTGTAAGGACACAACGATTTATGTGTTTTATTTACTAATCTCATATTTCTCTATTAACAAACTAGTTCACAATGTAAACTAGGCAGCAGGGCTTATTTCCACGTAAAACAACAACCGCAAACTCTTTATTTTACATGGCAACTCACCCTGGTGCTATGAACTGCATAAAAAGGATAATGATAGAGTATTCTATTCTAGGTCAGTCGTACCTTGATAGAGGCACTCATGAGGAATTTCCTGTCGCTGTACTTCTTGAGATTTTTATGGAACTCCTTCTTCTTCTCAAAGTCCTGCATGTATTTCTCGTCCGTTAGGGAGATCGATTCAGCCACTCCACCGGTGAAGTCCACCAGCGCGTCAGCGGTGTTGCCTCCATCCAAGTTCTCATAGCAACCGCTCAGTCTGAAAAGGTAAAGAATGTTTAGTTTATCTCGTTGAAAGCCACGTAGAATGATTTGCAATCACCCGGAAAAGTAACCGCTGATTAATAATGCTATAAACCTTGCTCGAAGTGGAGATAGTAAGGTCAAGTCAAGTCGAGCATAGCCCATTTATCTCCGGTTTCCTTGGCATGAAACAACTGAGAATACTTCTATCCCCCCTGGATGGGATGCCGGTCTATCAAAGGTAATGCCGGTACTTATTTATATTCCAGGGCGGAGAGAGGCCAAGTGGGGTAAAGCGGCTTGCCCAAGGACACAACATATGGCCAGCAGCTGGATTTGAACCCCTGACCCTCTGATCATGAGTCACAAACCCTAACCACTAGGCCAAACACCCCCCCTAAAGTGAAGATAGGACTGGTATATCCAACATCTTTTGGGGGCTGAAACAACTTTTAACATTGAGGTTTCTGCCTGAAATTACATCACACTTTTGCTCATGATTATGGAAATTCGCAAACCCAAAAGGCACCAAAATACCCTTTAAATGGCAAAACGAAAATTGAAAATCAGGTTAAATGGGACACAAAGGTGCATTTTCGAGGATGGCATGATACAAAAAAAATTTATTGGAGGTGCCCTTGAGCAATGATGTTATTTCAAACGGAAAAAAAATTTGCAAAAAGCAAATGATCTTGAGATGTCAACTGACTGAATTGTTGTTTTCTATTAAGCTTACTTGGCATAGGCCTTCTCAAGCAGTGCGCTCCAGAACTCGTTCCTGTCCGTGGAGTGCACATAGATCAGCTTGTTGTTATTGGTCGGCAGTCGGTCGTCAATGACCACATCGAGCCACTTATTGAAACGCCAGAAACGGAAATGAAAGGCTCCGGAGTGCTTCTCCGGATTCTCATCATCCCAATCCTGCTCCTTGTTGTCTGGTACCACCTAGCGAGACATACATGTACGTAAGCAACACAAAACTAATAATGATATGGTGCTTATATACATGTAGTATAGCTGATATACCAACGTTTTACAGCACTTTCCGATTATAATTACCCTGTTCATTAGGCCATGAGACAAGTTTTCTGGAGCTCCAGATCAGCGCAATCTGGTCTCTAAACGTCACATGTACCAATGTATACTCCTGGATAGTGAGGTTATTGGAGAAAAGAGTCTTGCTCAAGAACACAAGCACCATATAACCTGATCTCTTCTCTGTCTCAAAGGTATCCATTAATACTCGTACATGTAGGCAGAGAGAGGCACTTGTAGTAAAGTGTCTTGCCCAAGAACGCAAGCACCATATATAATCTGCTCTCTACCCTCAAAGGTATCCTTTTTACACTCCTGGATGGAGAAAGACAATTGTAGTGAAGTGTCTTGCTCAAGAACACAAGCGCCATATAACCTGATCTGTTCTCTGTCTCAAAGGTATCCATTAATACTCCTACATGTAGATGGAGAGAGGCACTTGTTACGTGTCTTGTCCAAGAACACAATTGTAAGCACCATATATTCTGCTTTCTATCCCTCACAGGTATCCATTTTATACTCCTGGATGGAGAAATTGTAGTGAAGTGTCTTGCTCAAGAACACAAGCACCATATAATCTGATCTTTGGTTATTTGTTTCTCTCAAGCACTGAAAACACAGTGCTAGTGGTACTTATGTCCATGAAGGGCAAAACCAGGATGAAAAGATGTCCAACTGCAATTTTAAGCATTGATAGAAAGTTAAGTAAAGTCCTTTTGAAAAATCCAACATTTTTTAGAGAGAAAAGAAGTCATTGCATTTATGTTATTGCTCAGTGCAAGATAGTTTTATAGTCTAAAAACTTAACGCGTCTGGTACTGGAAAGCAAACTGTTTACATACCTTTTCCCACAGTTCTTTCTCTTGGGCCAAGTTAGCGCAGGAGGCTACGAACCAACAGTTGCCCAGCTGACCTTGCGATACATCCCCGGTGCTTGTCCCTTCCACGACAAGGTGGGGGTTGGGACAAATGTCCTGAAAACAAAAAAAAACACAAATTGTGTGTTCATTATTTTAGCAGATAGGGTTTAAAGTTGCATTCCCGAGCTCTTCAACCAATTTGATTTTATTTTTATTAATACATTTTCAACTTGTATGTTTTATTCCAACCAAAATATGTTTTACCCCTTTAGATGTTTGCAGTCCTCTGAAAAAAAGTTGTTTTGTTTTGGGCACAGACAGATCCACTTTGCAAGCAGATTGGCTTCTGGCAACCTTATGGTTGCGAAGGCCGATTTGTAAGGGTTAGGTTATCGGATAAACTTTGCCTGTCAACGCATGACACAAAGCCTTCGCAACCATAAGGCTGCTGGTCCATACATTATCGCTCCTGATTGGGGGTTGGAACCAGCTTACCTCTTGAGAACAGAATTTTTGTCTCCTACTGCCAGCCAATAACTCAAAACTGTATTTAAGTAAAAATTGAACAACTAAAACACGGGCCAACATTTTTTTGGTCGATGTCTCATTTAAAAGTGAATAACTTTGGTACTGCTAGACAAACAGCAGTTGCGAAAAAAAGTTGTCCATTTTTGGGGATAAAACGCGGAAATAGCACTGGAAATGGTCTTTAACCCTAACTCCCTAGGCCTTTTTGCTAGGATGTAGCCTCAATCCTGCAAAATCCTCCAATTGGCCTCATGGAAAAATAGCATATACCGGTAGCCTCAATCCTGCAAATTCCTCCGTTATTTCTTGAATATGGTCCATGGAGGGATGACCACTGCCTGAATCCTGCAAAATCCTCCGGCTATGTCTGTCAATAGGCTGAGGCAGAGGCAGTGACATCCTGGAGCAGTGCGGAGGATGTCAAGTATAATCAAGGACTAAATTTATGCACGGCTGAGCATAAATGACACAAGGTCTGGCCCAAGACCTTGACACAGTGCATACTCCGAAATCAGCAACGCACTTTTGCCATGTAACCTCAATCCTGCAAATTCCTCCAATTTTCAAAAAGGATTTTGGAGGATTCAGGGCGGTTAGGGCTAAGCTAGCATTCCCTGATGAATTGAAACATTGACCAATGAAATTAGCACATTTGGCTCGTAAATATGCATGAGATCCGAGTAAGGATGTGACTTTGCGTTTAATTTTGTAAACGTTTAGCAAATATTTTTAGGAACCATTCAAACGTTTAAACGTTTAGCCATTCACAAAGGCTGACGCATACTCATTACATGTATGTCTGCAGACTGGTGTGATTAACCTGCTGAATCAACAATGGCAGTCATTGAAAAAGTAAAAACTTAACTACGTGTGACCCGAATGTAATCAAGTATTGAAGTGCTTCAAAGGTCTTGTAAATTATTGTTAATTATTTGTGCTAGGTAGGTTTAGCTCAAAGAAAGACTGCATGAACGTTTATGTAGGCCCCTTTTTTATAATTCGGGTTACGTTTAAAACGTTTTTGGAAAATTTGTAAATAAATTTAGAATCGTTTTAGTTTAAACGTGTAAATGTCATATCCTTAGATCTGAGGGAGTATTCTATTCACCTTGGGTCTCTTCCATTCAATCCGTCCAGGGGAGTTACGCTGGTTGAATAACGAGGCGTCAGTAGCAGGGAACTCTGGGTCTTCCCATAATGTACCGCCCGTCACGCATCGCTTGACTATGTCAGCATACCTCTGTCCCTTATAGGGAACCACTTTTGTCATGATTCAAGCTCTGGAGATGAACAAAACAAGCAAAACGTAGAGTAACACTCATAGCCATCAGCGTAAACTTTTTAGAGAGAATGATCACGTCTGTGGAGCTCTGGCAGAGAATCGATTCCTTGTTTGCAAAGGACGTATTAAGTCTTGAAACTCAAACACGACGGGTGGTGTCAACCAATTGACTCTCCTACCCCCAACCCTAACTCCCCAGCATAATTTACTAGGAACCGTACCCGTCCAGGCAAATTCCAACACCCACATGGGAAATCGTACACACACACAGTTGGACCTAGTTTCTGGAGGTATGCCAAACCCAATGTAAAAGACCATCAGTTTAGGGGTACTGTACCTATCCCAACAGATTTAAACAAAACCTGCTGTTGGGCTTTGATGGGTTGAGTTCGGTTAGGGTTAAGTCGCAAAAGGAATCAAGGATAAACATTGTGACACACTTCGTGAGGTCTACAGTACACTTTCTACTCCAAGTGTTCCAGATAAAAAAATCAACTTTTGTTCAAAATTTTGTAACCAACATTTCAACAGCTGCACTTGTAGAACAATTAAATCATTTCAGCTTTATTTTCCCAGGGATTTTTACACAGACATGATAGATAAAATCCCAGTATATCCCTTTCAACTTATGTTTCTAAACAAAGGGTTCAAAGTACATATTTACATTAAAGTTTTGTGGTTTTGTTTTGCCTAGACCATTCTGCAGTCAATGATTACGGAAACATTTCTCGTAGCTTACAAACACTCTTTTTTTTTTTCAAAGACCGATCCACTATAAGCCCTGCCCTGTGATGTTTGTTTTTGGGGTTTTTTTTACACATCACAACCGTGATTAATGACAGACATGCATGCACAAAGTCCGACAAGCGTGTATAGCGTGCATCATCTGCTACAGTGTGGCATTGAAAAGACTCCCGTGTGTATTGTTTAACCCACGTGTGTAGTGGGCGGGACTTGATGGATTGCTCTACTGCATACATGTATAGGCTGAGTTTAACTTCACTTGAAAATTACATAAAAAAGTGAAATGGTTTAGAAAAAAAATGTCATACATTTTGTTTGACTTGTTCGTTTCTAATAATAACACCATTCAAAAATCCGAAGGAGAATGTTAAAGGTAGAGTGGATCATTTGCAGCTATCCAAAAAGTAACCGACTAAGTTACGGTAGTTATTGTTAAAAAGCTTACTTGGTTTATTAAAGATAGAATTGGCACTATAAACTTCTTGTGAAATTACTCCTTCCGACATGCTGTCATTTTGAAGAAAACAAAACAAGAAGGTCATTTCCAAAGATGTGTCAAGTGACATATTTTTGGAAACAAATTTACTTCTGGTTTTTAGAAACACCCCTCTAGCTGTAGAGTGTCCAGCTCGCGAGTAAGACGTAAACGACTCCTTAATATGGAGATTGGTGCGCGCGTACTGCACGATGTCGCGCAGGTGTGGCGAGTGCGGTGTAAATTTTGGACTATGAAATACTTTCTCACTGGTAGCATTGCGCATGCCTACGTTAGGATTGTGAACTTTTCACCAATAAAACGATAAAAGGCACTGGATTTCATAGGAGTTCAAATTTATGTGACAAGGGAAAAGTGTTTTAGACAGACAGCCATGTCTTTATCATCCGTTTAAGACCGGCCATGTGACGGGCTCTCGACCAATGGAAATGGTTAAAACTGGTATTTCTGAATAATAATTTGGTATGTTACTTTGGGGACGGCCTATAAATGCAAAGTATTATGATCCTACATGTACATGTACTGGTATGTATACATGTACATGTACATGTGCCTTAATTTAGAATCGAACTTTCAACATGAAATTTGACAAATTATGCATTGTTGCATCCATTCCATACACATATGTACCCACGCAAGCTGCCACACAGTGTTACAGTTGACTGATTGTGTAAACGCTGTGAATATTGGCTACATGCATAGCACATGTAGTCTGGTATTTGTGGGGGCCGAATCAAGTGTGTGTAGTATATCACAGAAGTCATGGCCTCCAGCTTGCAACACCAACAAACAGTTCAATTGTATACACTTACCAATTCTGTTAAATTGCACAGAGTCTTTAAAAACTCTTTACGGTCGACTGGGCTGAAATCTAAAAACCGCAGAATGGAATGGCCTACTATATGACTAAAAGAAGACTTGTTTTTATTTTTGTATTGTGAGGAGAAGCACTTTTGCATATATGTATACATACACACGTATTAGCACGTTTGTTTATGGTGTAAATCCAGGATTTTCTTTTGTTCCTCTTCCCTTTTCCTTTGTTTGTACTTAAACCTTTCCGCAACAGCTCTCATTGGTTTTGTTCACGTTTTCTAATCGAGGTCGTCCTCGATTTGGTTCCTGTCCTCAATTCACCAATGATGTTGCATGTGTGTGTCCTCGATTTACATCATAAACAAACGCTGTAGTTGGCTTAAATTCACATTTTTTTTTCAAAGGATTTTCTTTCTTCCATGTTAATCAAATTATTTCATCTCATGAATTGTTCCATGTTCAAACCACGTGAGGACAAGGAATTGTGCTTTTGACAGAGGAGGGGCACAATCCCCCCCCCCCCTTCCTTATTCGCTACAGTAGCAATTACATTTCCATACTTCAAACAAGCAGGTTTTCAGTTACCAGAAAAGCAGTCAATCGCGCTGTGCTAACGGTCATTCATGCTGCGATTTGTCAATCAGGCTGCCCTCGATCTTTCTAATTCACCGATCTGGAGGATCATTTTTCCAAACAGGAAGTAAAATCTGAGATTTTCTACAGTATCAAGTGACACTACCAATCTAACTATCGGGCCCTATACTAATACATTGCCAGAATCGACAACAAACAGTTGTTGCGGGTGGTACACACAAATTTATGGAATGTTGCTGTTTTCCTACAAGTTTATACAGGGTGAGTAAAAAAAAAATAGGAAATTCAAATGGTGGCCCCTATTTTTAAAGAAGTTCTGCATGTAGCGCTTTCCAGATCTACATGTACATGTAGGACATGAAAGCCCAATTAAAATAAGCTTTCCTTTGGTACAAGAATCATTCAAATCGCTGAATGTACTTTTCCAGTTATGGAATTTTGAACACAAACACCGTTTTTTCAGCCTTGTCCATAGATCACATTTAAGGTACATGATATTTCAGTAAAAATTAAACCATGTCCTATTCTGAAAATGATATCAGAATAATCCCATACTTAGTCTCCTGCTACATGTAACAGTAGCCAAGTAGAAGGCAGGGCAAGACTATAAACTCTTGACATTATAAAGCATGTTGTTTTAACATTGGAAGCAGCATGGTTTTTAAATAAATGTTATGATACATTGTAAGTGCCAGTTATCATGATAGTGTTCTGGTGTGTTTTTTATATGTGAATAGTTTTCGTTTTGCTGAAATATCACTTACCTTTATTGTAATCCATGGACAAGGTTAAAAATGGTGTTCGTGTTCAAAATTCCATAACTGGAAAAGTACATGAGCGATTTGAATGATTCTTGCACTAAAAGAAAGCTTATTTTTAGAACTTCTTTAAAAAAAATACGAGGCACCACTTGGAATTTCCTTCTTTTTTTTTACTTACCCTGTAACAGATTCATCTTTTATGCTTTAATGTAGAGCTGGAAAAATTTGATGAAAAATTCTATACTGTGCAAGGTCTTGATGATCTGTGGCAGACTGTACACAAATTGATGGTCTGACCTCCAAATTCTTTGACGAAAATCAATCATTTAAAGTGTAATCAATTATAAATCATATTGCATGTAATTTTTTTTGAAATTATAATTTTGCACATGCTACAGAAGTACAGACCAATTTAGATGGTAGTTTCCTTTGGTACATTTGTAAATTGTACTGGTAGTTTATTAAGACTCTTGTGTCAATGTGTATTGTGGAATATACAATGGGATTTTTTTTTTGTACAGTATATTTTGTCTCAACATGACCATCTGGTATCAGGGACATACAGATCCAGGTTGAAAGGTTTTTATTCATTCATTCATTCATTCATTCATATCTTTTATTTGTCTCAAATCGTGGCCCAGAGAGCCAAATTCCAAAAGACAATTACATTAAAAGCATTTAGGGCCTAAGTTTGAAAGTGAATAAAACTTGCATTTAATACAAAAAAAGAAGCAAAAAAGACAATACAATAAATTGTACGTTAAAGATATACTGTAGTCCATCATTTGTAATTTGTGCATTTTGTTCGTTTAAAGCAACAAAAGTGTTCATATCTAATGAAGGATACTGAATTTACTAACCTGATGAAGTTTCAGCTAAGCTTCAGCTGTATATTCCTAGAAAAACAGCATTCTAGGATCTCAATTTCAAATCAAAAGTTACTGAATCATGTTTTGAATTGTTTTGAATTGCAGCTATACTGATCCGACGAATTATAGCAACCGCGCGCACGTGTGCGTCGTGCCAATGCTTGCGCGTGCTTCGCCGAATAACAAAACAAACTACTAATTTAAATTTTCCTACGGTGCGTCTTAAGACGCACCGTTGGAAAGGCCTTCTTTCGTTGATTTACTTCAAAATGACAGCTTGCCAGAAAGAATAATTTCACAGGGAGTTTAGTCCCCTTACTATCTTTCAACCAAGTTTGTTTTTCAACAATAAAGGAGGGACAGCATGCACCCCCCCCCAAAAAAAAATTGCACACAGTAAAATCACACAGAGGCGGCATTTAAAATGTTTATGAAGTAAGGGATGGGACTTTGTTGGAAGCGATTGGTTCTAATAGGGAGCTGAGTTATTCGGTTGTTTTGGGAGATGGGGTGAGAAATGTTGAGGAGTGCATATATATGCCTTAACCTCATGACAAAGCTTTTGTTATAAATATATATCCTGATGCTTGCCACTGCTTTTGCAGGCATCTTTTAAAAGAAATTTTACAGGGATGTTATTAAAAAGGTTATCTTCAAATTAGAATAGATTTCTATATTTGTTTGGTAACAGACACACATGCAACTTGTTTTTAAAATATCAAACAGACACGTATGAATTTGAATAGTCGCCTGCAGAGTGACGAATGTCATCCCTGGCGCTCAGCCCTCAGTTTCTCATTCAGGCATAATCAAACAGATATGATCCAGACATCGTAAACATCAAACTGAAACTGACCCGTCGGGATTCGTTTCAGTTTTGGATGGAGTTATCACAACTTTATTCTCATTTCTAAATTATGTTTCACTTCTGTGACATATCAAGGACAAGAATATGTACAAGTACTTTGTCCATCCATGGACAAAGTTGTAGTCTACACTTGAGTCAAGTCTGTATCCGAATCTAAAGACACTTGAGTCAAGTCCGTGTCCCAATCACTTGTATTCAAGTTAGGGATAAAAAAATTCCATTTCAGACTAAATTAGTAGGCCAATTTGATTATCCGAACTATATTCGACCGAATAATCAAATATTCCAAACTCACTGATCAACTTTAAGATTTACAAGTTTGCCAGCTGCAACAGCGAGCTGCACCAGTCAAAAATTGTATGCCAAGCGCACAAATTGTGTGCTGCGTTGATATTACGGGCCGATGAATAGAGTGCTTTGCAGTAGGCACTAGGCAAAGGCCTTAACCTGCTAATAGGATGGGAACAATGAACCGTCGTTGACAAAAAAAAGTTAACGTCGACAAAAAAAAAACATGGCATGCTGCAACTTTACGATTAAAATATCATCAGAGTCATGTGTGTACACTGTACATGTGCATACTTTTTATTTTTCTTCGAATATTCAAACCGGCAAAAAGCTATTCGAATATTCGGTTCGTATTCAAATACTCGGTATAGTCGGGACATATCCCTAATTCAAGTCCGGTGTCCGAGTCCAAGTCACATTTGTACGAAATTGATGTGTCTCGAGCCAAGGTGAATGAGTCACTGAAATTGCACCTCAAGATGGTCTAGAGTCATACATGTACAACACTGTCCATGGAACTGGGCATCTGCATTGTAATTGGTTCTACAGCATTGCAGTACATATTTTTAGCAATAACATATTTTTGTAACATGTTTTTTAATCCAAATTAACACAAACAACATCCACCAACATTCTAGTATTTTTGTCCTGCTCCAATTTTTTTCTGAGTTATTTTACCACGGAGCCAGCGACCATAATTTCATGCCCAATGTTACGACCACAATTCAAACTCCATATGTTTGTTCAGTCAGTTCTGTCCTATGAGTCAGCTATCAACTTAATTGGATCAGGGATAGATGAACGCTTCCCTAATTGCAATAACAAGCATGTGGTCGTTGTAGGCTGTTAATTCGGTTTACCATATTTGGCCTTGATACTGATGCCTGATCAGCATCCTGTAATTTTGTGGGTTTTTAGGATAGGAAATATTCCACAGAAAATGTACAGTGTGCATTGATCCCACCATTTTCCCCTTCAAGGCTTCACTGCACACTGCACCCATGAGAGTAAATTTAATCCTTATTTTTAAAGGTAGAGTACAAATGTATAGTGCAGCTATCCAAAAAATAACTGACAAAATGTGACCTGTTCTGTCAAAAGCAGACGCTTCTGGGCAGAGGTTGAAATTGAGATACATGTAGGGCCAAAAAACGCTGTAGGGGTGATTTTTATCGATTTTCAAATTTTTGCATATTTGTAATCCTGAACATGTCTAAAATATATTATTAAAGTTTGAAACCCTAATTTGAACTCTACATGTACTATTTTTGATGAATTTGATACGGTATACAGTTAAAGAAATAACTGTTTTGTGACGTTCGTAGCCATTTTCTCCGTTTTCTACTTTTCGACACAATGAACTTAAAAATAGCATAACTCTGCCCAGGAATGACCAGTTTCAAAACGTAAACCACCTATTAAAAGGAAAAAGAACATATATGTTAACAAAATGTAAAAATATCATTTTCGACCTTATGCCCAGAAAAGTCTGATTTTGACAGAACAGGTCACAAATTATTGTTGTTGAAGCATACTTGGTATAAAGATAGCAATGGCACTAAACTCCCTGTGGAATTATTCTTTCTGGCATGCTGTCATTTTGAAGAAAACAATTTTTATAAAAGAATGTCATTTCTAAAGATGTGTCTAAAGACGCATTTTTGAAAATTTCTGTTAGTAGTTCGTTTTTAATTCGGCAAAGCCATGAATGGGTGTGGGCAAGCATTGACAAGACGCATACGTGTGCGCGGTTGCTAAAATTCATCAGTTCAACGCGTGACATCGCGTAGCTGCAATCAGCTGAATGAGAACGGGATACACCACATAAGTACGCACAATATACTTATTCTAAATGTGCACTAAGGCCATACCGTATTCACGTGAGCATCATCGTCGGCAATGAGTTCGAAATGGTCTCCCCCAACTCTCCCTTTCTTACCGTTGAGGGGGCACACTCAAGTCCAAGAGCCCACAGTTCCATAAAATGTGTCTCAAATACTTGACTTCCTTTGTATAGAGCCACGTTCAATTTCCTTAAACGTTCCCTGAATTTGAAATCTGAACTGTTTTTTTCACTAGAAATTTACTAAGCTACGTAGATGTACATGAATATTTAAAATAACCGAGAAAATCAAATTCTGACTATACCTAGACATCTAGTTATCCCGTAATTTTCAGGGGAATTTGGAGAGAGTTTGTCCGAAATGACTGCAGGATTTTTCTCGAGGTCATGGGTCAATTGTCATGCACCTTTGACCTTCCGTAATATATCAAAATTTCTCCATCTATCTAACTTTTAGTTTTGTAGTGGGCCTAGTACAGTTACAGACCGGAATATACCGAATTTTCTATTCGATCATCCACCCAATATTCGAATAGCTTTATGCTGCTTTGAATATTTCAAAAGCTCCGCACATACACACACGATTGATGGAGCTACCCGGTACTACAGCACAATGAGACATAGGTGAGGGCAGGCTGACGTCCTCCGATGAAAACATCTATTCATTTGCACACCAGTTTTCATTGGTTGCTATGTGTTACCAGTCAGCACTCCAGACTCAAGAGCCATTGAGTTTCATAAACATAGGTCTGGGAGCTAGATAAGCCAATGTAAAAAAAAAATCCGGATGTCTGCGGCCAAATCTGCCTTTCCATACTTATAAATTGAAAAGCAACAAACACACAAAACTGAAGAACTTGCCAAACTTAAAATTAAACTATTTATGTACTCTAAAGTTATGGCGGTTTTGTTGTGTACATGTACCATTCCTAAAATTAAAGAGAAGAAAAATCCACGGAAAGAATACAGTATCAAGATGCCATGCACTTTCTTGGTTGTGTGCACAATGTCAATAACATTTCCAAAGTGTTTTCTAACAAAATTGGAAAAGCTTCTCAGCCCCAGTATCTTTTCAACACGGTTTGCAATAACTGACCTTCATTGAGACAATATATGATGAAACAGGATGCAACATTCCTTCCAAATCCAGTTTGTGAATATACCAATTTGTGGATTCACCCATGGAGGAATTCCTCCATGATTCACCCAACTTTTAGTAGTACAAGTATCAGCAATGTTTAAAACCAACAGGAATGTTGTAGATAGATGGGAAATTTTCGGGTAAATTGACCATTGACAATGAAGACGACAAACATAACATAGAAATAAAGATGGCGATCACCGCAATGCACTATGATTGCACACAAAAAATGATGGCAACAACTTGAAAAATCTAAAGTTATGAAAATCACAGTGCAACGCTAAATGGCAACAACTGAAAAATGCAAATTTATGAAAATCACAGTGCAATGCTAATGCACAATCCCGGCCAAAATGGTTGGGACACTTGGTTGTTTAGACCTAAAAAATAGGGTCATATTATTATACTCATTTATACTACATTGTAGTTTGTACTATCATACTCCTAGGCAGTAGGCCTATTTAGAATTTTTAAAAAAGGTGCTTTAACTTATTGCAGAAGTCACTTTGCAATGATAAAACAACACCAAGTTTAAAAACTAAAACGAAAGAGGGGCCAATTGCAATTGGCGACTCTCCGCCCAAGACCAAAGTCTTGAAAAAAAAATTGACAACTCCCCATGCACATAGTCTATGGGCATAGCCGCATAGACTTTGTACACGACCACCAAGAACGGAATCCCGAGTCACGTCATGCTATTGCTAGTTTATTTCCCCAGATATTTCTTACCCCTAACCTTTTTGGTGGATTAATTAAACGTAAAATCTTTCATGGGTCAAGCTTTCCAACAATACAAGTTAAAAAAAGAGATCGATGTTATTTATGTTACCTTTTCTCTGCAGTAAATTCAAGCATTTGACCCCACTGTACTGTTGTTTACGCTCCGCGTCCCCGTACAATATGCATAGTAAAATAGTTTTTAGGGACACTCCCAAAAATAAGCTAGGACAAGGCCGCGTTATAACGCGACGAGCGCCCCCTTGTGACTGCCACCAAAACTAAACATTTTTGGTGTTATTCAAATCTCGGCTTTGTTCATGGTTGGTACATCTCTTGTTAAATAATTAATTTTAAAGCATGGTTTACCATAAATAAAGTGCTCTCAACTTCAGTTGTATTCTCTGTTTCTAAAGTAGGATATATAGTATATGAACCTGTGTTGAGTTGAATTCTGCAAATCATGGACTCAGGGGGAGGGGGCTGCAAATTGCAATAAAGCCCAATGGGAGACGAAACCAAGGTTTGGAAAATGCAATGGTTTCTAAATGTCGTGTTCCCAGTATTCACGACATCTTTTACAAGCGTCTGACAGGAAAATCGTCTGGTACTACTAGCTTTAATAGCTTTACGATCGTGCACATGTCATGCATATGTGGGTAGCGTTTACGAAATGACGAACGCGATGCCAGCACAACAACATCGATAGATCGAAGGGAAATGTAAGGAACGTGAAAAAAATTATAGCGGGTACATTTAAAACTGTGTTTTTTCCCTATGCAAGACGTTATTGCTCGATAGACCCGTAGCACTGTCATTTTTATTGGGGGAGGGGGTTAACAATTTCTTGAAAAGGACACTTGCCACTCGCGAGACACGTTTTTTTTCTCCGGACACTTGACCTCCATAAAATCAAAAACCGCGGGGGGGGGGGGGGGGGGGGGGGGGCGGGGGGGCTTGCTGTTGATGGGGGTGTGTTCTAAAACCAACGACTATGCTTTTCAGGATACTGATACATGCGTGAAATTAAAAAAAAAAAAAGGCACCCGGATGGAAAGGGCACCACTTTTTAAAAAGTGCACTTGTTCAGAAAAAAGGCCACTTCTTGAAAAAAAGGGCACAAGAAACACTGGTCGCATAAATTTGCATTGCACATACAATTATATCAGACGTTGGCTGACGTTGACAATGGATGATACTCCGACTAAATCAGTGCCTGCCAAGCTTGAATAGGTGATCTTTATCATGCTGCCGCCATTTCAGTCATGTTCCCTGTATCCAATAACAGTACTGAATGATAATGTTTTGTGTGCAAAAAGGAACCAGACTATTTTTCCTTCCAGCCTCGCTTTGGTTACGTTGATTTGAATGGGAAATATCAAGATCGCCGCAACACGATAATGGTCTATTGGACATAATGGCAGGGCCACATCTAATGATCACAGAGGCATTGAAGTGATGTTGCTGTAGGCTAGCGTACTCATTTGCATCCATTTCATTGTAATCTGCTTTTTCTTTTTCATGCAGGAAATGTAAGGAATCCGTTAGAAGTCTTCTTCAACAAAGTTTTGTCCATTAGATGCAGTCGTGAAAGTGCAGCATGGCAATCGCAGACTACATTGCCACTCTGAAAGACAATCCGTACTTTGGTGCCGGATTCGGACTGGTCACAGTCGGCGCGTTCCTCGCAGTGGCAAAGAAAGGTGCGCAGTACGGGACAATCGCGCTGCGTCGCCATCTCTTAATGACGTTGGAGGTTCCGAGCAAAGACAAAAGCTACCACTGGTTGCTGCACTGGATTACCGTCAACGCACGGAGGGCGCAACATCTGAGCGTGGAGACAACATTCCAACAGAGCGAGAGTGGGAAGATAAACACGCAATTTGACTTTGTGCCTAGCCCAGGTAATCATTACTTCCGGTGAGTATATTAAGGAAATACCTCAACCCTAACGGCCCTGAATCCTTCAAAATCCTCTTTGTCAAAGTGGAGAAATATGGAGGATTGAGGTTACATGGCAAAAGTGCGTTACTGATTTCGTAGGTAGCACTTTGTCAAGGTCTTGGGCCGGACCTTGTGTTGCTTTTGCTCAGCCATGCATACATATAGGCCTGGATTATGCTTGAAATCCTCCGTACTGCTCCAGGATGTCACTGGCCAAGCCTCAACATTGACAGTCACTGCCGCTGGATTTTGCAGGATTCAGGAAGTGGTCACACCTCCACGTACAATTTTCAAGAAATAATAGAGGAATTTGCAGGATTGAGGCTATATGCTATTTTTCCATTAGGCCTAGCAAAAAGGCCTAGAGAGTTTTAGGCAATGCTGTAGTCATTTCCATCACAAGTCCTCCACAAGTTTTGTCACAAATAATTCGCAAGTCACTCAAGTCGGGAGAGTGTGGCCCAGTGGTTAGGGTTCGTGACTCATGATCAGAGGGTCATGGGTTCGAATCCACCTGCTGGTCATATGCTGTGTCCTTGGGCAAGCCACTTCATCCCCACTTGCCCCTCTCTGCCCAGGAATATTAATGGGTACCGACATTAGCTGGGGAGTAAGCTGCGATGGACTAGCATCCCGTCCAGGGGAAATAGAAATATTCTCAGTCGTTTCATGCTACTGAAACCGGAGATAAACGCCGGCCTGATGGGCCACATTGGGAATGGACACAATTTCAAATATTGTTTGTAGAACTAGAAACTGATCAGATTTTTATTTGAAAGCGGTGTTCCTCTTATCATGATTTTGTTAGCCACCCCGCCCTTGTTAGTCACATAACCCCACCCCCACCAGGCCTATCAAGTTGTGTTATCACTGTATGGTCACGCAGGCCCAGTATCAAAAGCATTACGCCTACTTTTGTTCATATAATCTGTCATGGGGCAGTTGCTTGGTACAATTGTCGGCACAGTGCTTTCGCCTTTGAAAGGGGCTCTAGCACAATGCTTTTGACATGCTCAGATTAAGTCTATACATTCTATAACCATCCCATTATTACTGCTTATAATTAGTGATTACCGTTTTTGCAGTTACAAGAATACTTGGATCTGGGTTGAGCGTAACAGAGAGAAGCAGATGATAGACCTTCACACGGGCACACCATGGGAAACGGTCACGCTGACAGCTATCAGCAGGAACAGACAGCTATTCTTTGACATCCTCAATCAAGGTTTGTAGTTGATGATTTCCAGAATATCAGTGTAGTAGAATATCATAAAACAACGACTTCGATTACACCAAACTTAAGATGCTTCCAACACGTCCTAACTTCCTTAGCAATGCGAATGAACTCGTCTTAACTTAAGATCGGTTTGAGGGTTGTCTTATGTCATTGATGCATGCGTTAATTAGTATACTGTCTTGAAATCATTGCCGTTAAAGACAAGTGTCCTCCTAGAGTTATAGTTGCGAGGAAAACAACTGCTGTAGAAACACATTTGAAAAGATTTCCGATATGTGGTTAGTTTTAACAAACATAGCTTATTTACAAAATTTAATTATATGCCAAAAACAGGTGTTTTACTCCAAACGTCTTCTCTTTATCTAGCCCGAGAAATGGCCTTACTAAAGCAGGAAGGCAAGACCATCATGTACACAGCAATGGGGTCGGAATGGCGACAGTTTGGCTACCCAAGAAAACGACGTCCGCTAGCTTCAGTCATCCTGGACTCAGGATTAGCCGAACATATACTCCGAGATGCTCAGGAATTTATTAGCAATCCCAAATGGTATTCGGATAGAGGTTCGTAGACAATTTTATCGTCAATTGATTGACTGCATTGTATTCAATGTTGAAGGTGCATACATTTGCATATATTTATTATAAGTGGCTGGCAAATTAAACAAAGCCGTCTCATTTTTTTCTTCGAATTAGTAATTAATGAGCGACAAACATTTTGGTTGATTCGTAGGAATACCATATAGAAGAGGATATTTACTGCACGGGCCGCCAGGCTGCGGGAAAAGCAGTTTCATGTAAGTAGATGTAACTTTTTATCAGTGACTTGTGACAAGCAATCACAACTAAATCACAAGTCAACCACAAGTCAATCATAAGTCCATCAGAAGTCCATCACAACTCCATCACATGGCCATCAGTAGTCCATCACAAGTCCATTCCAAGTCAATCACAAGTCCATCACAAACAATCACAAGTCAACCACAAGTCTATCACAAGTCAATCACAAATCCATCGCAAGTCAATCACAAATCAATCACAAGTTCATCACAATTCCTTCACAAGTCCATCACAAGTCAATCACAAGTCCATCACAAGTCAATCACAAGTTCATCACAAGTCCATCACAAACAATCACAAGTCAATCACAAGTCAACCACAAGTCCATCACAAGTTCATCACAATTCAATCACAATTCAATCACAAGTCTATCACAAGTCAATCAGAAGTCAACCACAAATCCATCACAAGTCAACCACAAGTCCATCACAAGTCAATCACAAGCCAACCACAAGTCAATCACAAGTTCATCACAAGTCCATCACAAGTCCATCATAAGTCATCAAGTCCAAGTCAACTCACAAGCTATTCAAATGAACTGTGACGAAGAAATTCCTCTGTGATCGTTCATCTCTCCCCTGTTTCTTGCGACTTGACTTGTGAAAGGACATGTGATTTACGTGTGACTTGACTTGTGACAGGACTTGTGATATGGACTTACGATGGACTTGACCACAACACCACATTATTGATACTTTTTTTTACCTTAGAATGGCCCTAGCTGGAGAGCTTCAGTACAGTATATGCATGATGAACCTGAGCGAGCGAAGCTTATCCGACGATCGATTAAACCATCTTATGAATGTCGCTCCTCAGCAGAGTATCATCTTACTAGAAGACATCGATGCAGCTTTTATCAATAGAGAAGACAGCAATGATGGTAAGGCACAATTTACAAGATCAACATGTGCCTTAGATAGGTTTTCATGAACAAACACATTGTCATAGGGCTGGACAGCTCAGTGCTTAGAAGTACACAGCCCAGAAGTACACAGAAGATAATGCTTTGACATTAATGTTGTGATTTGTTGATTGTGTGTAGCCAAGTACCAAGGCATGGGTCGTGTAACGCTGAGCGGACTTCTTAATACGCTAGACGGCGTGGCATCCACCGAAGCCAGGATAGTCTTCATGACGACCAACTACATTGAAAGGTCAGCAGTCACTTTTAAATCTCATCTCGTTACTCATTGGATACGTATCCCATCACAAGACAAGTTTGTTTCCAGAATGCCACTTTGATACCGCCTAAAGCCCGGTTCATACCTTCATGCCAATGCGAACGAATTTGACGTCATGAAACCTTTCCTGCCAAATTCTCCAGAGTTGAAATATGTTCGAATTTTATGCATTCACAGAGTAAATACTTGCCTGACATCACAAATTCATGTTCGCTTTCGCGTTGATTACGGAGCACAGCCAGATCGAAAGTGTTGGCGTTTGTGAAGGGAGGAAAACCGGAGAAAGACCCTCGTGGCACAGGAGAGAATCAACAAACAACTCACATAATTATGACCCCAGCCGGGAATCGAACCCAGGCCACAGCGGTGAGAGGCGAGCGCTTTACGCACTGCGCCACCCATGCCACTAGACTTCCGTTAACAAATTTACAGCGTTAGCTGAATGATGCCTTTTTTATTTAAATTCTGTGTGCGTATTTCAGGTTGGATCCAGCACTGATCAGGCCAGGCCGTGTGGACTACAAGGCGCACATTGGCCACGCCACCCATCATCAGCTTCAGCAGATGTTCTATCGTTTCTACCCGGAACTCGACGGATCCGCTGCGCGGGAATTCGCTGATCGCGTCGCCGAATTCAAGCGACCGATTAGCATCGCTGCCGTACAGGGGTTCTTCATGATGCATAAAAGCAACGGACATGCAGTGCTGAACAATATCGAGAAACTGTGGAGCTGATAGGAAGATACGAGAAAAAGACTTGATGTTCTTATACAAGACTACATTCTTATGGACTCCGTGCGCGCACAAGTACCCCCTCAACGGTTACAAAGGGAGAGTTGAATGACCGCTGGGACATTCAAATACACTGCCTGACACTCATGTGAAAATGCTACGGGGTTGTGATATGGAATAGCTTCTGATTCCATTTCTATGGGTTTTATGCTGGTAATGTTTTATACTAGGCATGCGTTGTCTTTGTCAATGAATGAAAGACAGTACAAAGTAATGAAGATACGATGCAAATAACAGAGCCCAAATATTGCTTTAGTTATGCAATAATGCTACGAAGTACACACAGACGTAAAAGAGACGGCACAAGTACCATTTTTCATCAATGATGACCAGTATGAGTTTTAATGTTCATCTTCTACAATTGCCATAAAAAAATCTCAACTAATATTTGACGTACTAGATATTTCCGGCAAACGCACAACGAACAACATGCATTTAACTAATAGCTCAACCAATAAAAGAATTTAAACCAGTACACAAACTATGGTATCATATGCAGGCTGTGTGTACATCACAACTGTCGCCCAAAGAAAATTAAAATGTACAAACCATGTTTTTCACAGAAACGATGTGTACTCTTACAGTGTTATTTTTCTAAGGTCTGAGCTACCCAATCTCAGAGCTACATAATGTGTACATCATGTAGTTATTATTAACCTTAACTCCCTAGGCCTTTTTGCTAGGATGTAGCCTCAATCCTGCAAAATCCTCCAAGTGGCCTCATGGAAAAAAAGCATAGAGCCTCAATCCTGCAAATTCCTCCGATATTTCTTGAATATGGTCTATGGAGGGTAACCACTGCCTGAATCCTGCAAAATCCTCCGGCTATGACTGTCAATAGGCTGAGGCAGAGGCAGTGACATCCTGGAGCAGTGCGGAGGATGTCGAGTAAAATCAAGGACTAAATTTATGCAAGGCTGAGCATAAACAACACAAGGTCTGCCCCAAGACCTTGACACAGTGCGTACTCCGAAATCAGCAACGCACTTTTGCCATGAAACCTCAATCCTGCAAATTCCTCCAATTTGCAAAAAGGATTTTGGAGGATTCAGGGCGGTTAGGGTTAAAGGTATTTGCAAGCATCAAAAAACGAAACTACCAAATTCATATGAAATACCTTACTTGACAGTAAGCGAATAATAGTCTCAAGCATCCTATAAAATCTGGTACCTGGTGTGCTGTCATTTTCAAGAAAAGTGGAATTTGTGTGTCAATTTCCAACGATAGTCGGCCGAACATTGTTGGAAAATCAAATACTGCCCCCCCCCCCTCCATTTACCAAATTTATTTAGTCCAAAATTTTTGTTGTAATCGGTTTATCCGTGAACAGGGCACAACCAAGCTAGTCTGGTCCCCTGACCTGACAATTCACCGACGTCTATAATTTGCTCCATTCTGTCTCAAGTTATCAGACTACAAGAACAGCAATTTTTGGGGGGTTTTCCCGCATCTACAATGTATGAACACAAAGCTTTAAACAGGTCCGTGTAACAATATTTGCTATGAAACACTAACCCCCAAATCCATCCATTTCTGACAATTACAGCAAAAGCAAATGTACACATGTATATAGCTCACAGGTACTGATCTTTAGGTCAATTTTCTGTAATTTTTCCAAAAGTTTTTAGATTATTCAATGTATATGTATGAGAAATATAAAAAAAAATTAACAATTCAACCAAAACAGACTTTGCCTGTTACCTGGCCAACACATCCCTTATATTTCAGAAAATGGAAAGACAAATGGAAATATTTAAACAAAATACATGTAAACTACATTTTGATATGTTCAAGATCAGAAATTATACAAATCAGGAACTTTGACCATTTGACCAATAAAAAAAACCAAAACAATACCAAACCTAAACTCTAAACCTTACAGGAAAAAGCCAACTAAATATCTTTACAAAATCAAGAATCACGTATATCACTTGGAACATAAAAACTATTTTGTTCTATTCCCACAAAAGTTACAGGTGTACCATGAATACCAACCTCGTCCCCAGGGTGTCGAGCAGTACGCACCCATCACTACCTGCTCTCTCACCCTGGTTTTGGATCATTTGCATGTGCAAGATTTTTGAACACGTATGCAAATGAGGAATAGTATGGTGCCTGCATGTGCATTACATTAGCGTTTGTTTTTGTATGCGGGGTCTGGGGTAAAAACAGAGTCAATTCCTTGCAGCGCGAGCATGGCGTGAGTTACGAAAACATGATTTATTCAATTAAACTGTTACGATTTTATCAAGACAACATGCAGTATCACATTTCATATTAATATGAACAAATTGGAAAGGAAATTAGTATTTTCGAGAAGGCGTGGACGAATGATCGCGAAAACACGCACTGCACGTTGTGAATAAAAACGCCAAGTGCACGATAAAAATCCATTACTAGCCAATTGCGGTATCGAATCGGGATACAGGAAGAAAGTTTCCTATTCAGGGCTTACTATTGGAAGCGTGGTTGGAAATAAAGTAAGCACTGGGGACGAGGCTGCATGAATACAATTTCCCATTTACCAACATTTTTAAGAAAGATACCCAAGTTGTCAGTTTGAATAAATTTAATAACTTCAATAACTTTGAATAGCTTTTATCCACATATGATTCTCATCGTAACAATGTTATCTAAGAAAATTCTGTGACTTGAGCACCAATGCAAAACAGTTTGCAAATATATTTCAACAAGTTCATCAGATTTGTGGCAAAATAATAAAATGTCTACTAAAAATTCTATTTTATTCAAGTTCAATAAAAATGTGGATACACTTTTTAAAGTGCGAAAATTAAACGGCAAAAATAAATCTATGCTTTGCGAATAGCCTGTACTATGCTCTAAAACTATCTTCTGAAATACATTCAAGCTCAGAACTTTTTCAAACATCAAGTGTGAGTCATTCTGGCAAAATGAGACAGAACTGGGCAGAGGACGAAACGAGGGTTTGCAGGTTTGTGAGTATTAGGAAAGAGAATAATATTCTCCTTACAATAATGTTAGTTGCACTTCAATTGGACATTCCGTTGACAAGTTGTGGCTGTTTAAAGTTTGCATTTATGGACATGTCAAAAAAGTAAAATACTGAGAAAATGGCATTGAAAGTTTTTGAGTTTTGTATTCGTGAAAATGAAAGATGCCAATTCTTTTTCCTTAAAAACACTTTTATTCCACGTTTTATAAAAAAAATTCTTTAAAATATGTTGAGTAGACATAAAGATAACAAATATCAATAAGTCTAAAAATCGAGAAAAAAATTCAGGCCGATTTTTTGTGTGTGTGCATTTGTCTCCACTTGTGCCCAATTCTGTCTCATTTTGCCAGAATGCTAGAGCCCCATTCTGAAATGGGTGTATATCGAACTTAAGGCACTCCAGTCTGTGGAACTATGTGAACTACGTCTGCTTTATACATATTCAGTGAGAACATTGCCTGCCACTTTTGCAGACTGTTCTTATGATGAGCATTTCTGTCAGGTTCCGCGACACAGGTGTAAGATGGCATAAACTCGGGCACGTCTTCAGCACTGACATGCGGGAAGAAAGTCTTCACCAACTTGTAGTTGTGCTTGATGCCGAGTCGACAGAACACGGGGTCCAGCGACGCTGGCGCAAACACGTACACCTCCTTCTTGAAGAACTTGGGAACCGGGGTGTGCTTGGAACTGAGCAGATTATTGACCGTGGTGCTGAGAGCGAGGTTGTCGGCGCCCATGAGGTCGTGAAAGGTCATGGTGTTCGGCAACTCGGCTGGTTTGGCCGTGGGTTGGTCGAGCGACGGGAGAGCTGGCTGAGACTGGTTGTACAAGGCCAGGTGTCGCGGAGGCATGTAAGTGTGAAAATACACGAAGTGATATTGTATTGGTGTCTGAGTAGGCTGAGATACTAAACCATGCGTGTGCATGACACTGGGCACCACGCCACCCTGATGGACAAACCCAAACATGATGCAACCAAGCACGTTCCAGACAATCCATGGAACATTGGGAACGGAAACGCCGGACATGACAAACTCAGCATACAGTAAAACAAGAGGCACTAAGACAGGAAGGATGAAACGTGCCTCTTGATGTGGCACCAGAGACAAGAGAAACGTAGGCGTGACAAAGCATAGGATGAAGAACGCTCGGCTACTAGACCCAGTAAAACCTGTCGATGTTGTCTGACGGGCCCCGCGGACGACGGCAAAAACCTCAGTTGCGAAACAGACAACGAGGGGTAAGAACAGCATTGGGAGATTGACAAAGATATGAGTGATGCGCGGATGCAAGCCGTGCTGAGCTATGTTGTCAATGTCAAGGTGATACATTAATGAGTTGAGTGGAGTCACTGTTAGGTTATGCACCAGAAAGTCATAGTTTAAGTTTGCAAAGAGGAGCTGGGGGTCGGTCAACACTACTGGGTCTAAACTACCATAGTAGACAGAATCCATTACGATATTCGAAACAAGCATGGTCATAGCTCCTGGCAAGAGGGCCAGAGTGTTTCGGACAACTTCCCGGACCGCCTGAACCCCGAATTCCGTTGCAGATCCCGTCAGCCAAAAGACCATAGGTATCAAAGTATAACAGGGGAAAGATATTCGGTTGAAAGTGCCTTCCACGATGAAGACACCTATCCAGAATGCATGATTCGGCCTCTCTCCTCTTTTCAGCACCTCTTTCTTGCCTCCCTTCTCAGATGAGGGTTTAGCGGATCGAGGCAGTTTGAACTGGTCCAATCTGGAATCGACCACCAGAAGAAGCAACAGGGCAAACGTCATCGTCTCGTAGGAATTGGAGAAGGTTTTGGTGTGGTACGCCAAGGTCACGAACGAGCTGGCGAGGATTGTGAGACACGTCCCGGCTTTCATCTCGAGTAACTTGGAGATCATGTAGACTGGGTAGTCGATGCAGAGAAGTGATACCACAACCATCATGAGACGCGGGATGACTAAAAGTGAGTAAGGACTGAGTGATATAATCCCTGCTGTGTCGGCGTACTGGAGTATCTTCATGCCCAACCCACTGGTGATATGAGGAAAGAAGATGCTTCGCAAGGGCTTTGTGGCATTAAACTCCCAAGGACGCATTGTCTCCATTCCGAATATGTCACCTGTACGTAAACAAATGAATAACAAGACAACTATATAATTAATCAGTTTATCTAAACTTTAAAAAAAATGGTGTTATTCTTGAATTTCCAAGCACCGCCCATTTATCTAAACGTTTCATTGAAAATCATGCGTCCTACATGTAGGCCTATACTATCTTCAAGCAAACTTGAAATCCTCGATCCTGATTGGTCAATCCATGGCAACAATCTGTGGTATCCTTGCTGCACACGTGTAAAACCGCTGAAAAGTTTGCATACAGCGCCATCTTTAGTGCGCGTCAAGTTGCTTAAAGATAATTTACTCAGACCAGTCGCGTTCTTGGCATATGTGACCAGACGCACTACTTTATTCCGCGTTCCATTTGGACTTGTGGGATAACTACACGTAATAGCACAGATGTACGGCAGATCATGTGTCTCTGAGTTTCATCATGATCAGACTTTGTTTCCAATAGGATGTTATTAAATATCTGAAATAAAAATGTTCACATTGATGACATGATTTCAGTTTCAAGTTCTCTGTTTCAAATCTGACTGCAGCCATTTTCTCACAGAGCTTTGCATTTAAAGGGTCTATTCTTCTGTAGATATCTTGCAGGGATATTTTTATTTTCTGGGACGTATACGCTGCCGAAGTCATGACGAATTTAGATCAAGCGAAGCACCAAAAGATTTGTCTCATTCAAACAGCATGATGTACAGGTACATGTAGGTTTTAGGTTCAATGAAAATTTAGCTTGTCGTAATCTAATCTTTGCTTTCAGTTAAAGGGGTAAACATCTATTGTGGCCATACAATGCAAGATGGACCTTACACTTTACATATTGGGTTTGGCAAAGCACAGCATTGTGAACCTCTTCAATTTAACCATGTTTCCTCAATAAACAATGTTGGGCAGATTTTTTTTCGAATTCCAGACAAACAGACAACCAGACATGTACAACAATGTTTTAATAGTCCATACAAAGGACAAATACAATTGTACACATTTGTGACTTCACAGAAAGTCCAAATGGGGTATGAACCCCAACCTTCCCAAATCCTCCAAAATCTTCTTTACAAAATGGAGGATTTTGCAGGATTGAGGCTACATGGCAAAAGTGTGTTGCTGATTTTGGAGGATGCAGTGTGTCAAAGTCTTGGGCCGGACCTTGTGTTGTTTATGCTCAGCCGTGCATAAATTTAGGCCTAGATTATACTTGAAATTCTCCGCACTGCTCCAGGATGTCACTGGCTCTGCCTCAAGATATTGACAGTGATTGCTGGAGGCTTTTGCAGGATTGAGGCAGTGGTCATCCCTCCAAGGACCACATTCAAGAAATAACCGACCATTTTGCAGGATTGAGGCTGTATGCTATTTTTACATGGAGGCAGTTGGAGGATTTTGCAGGATTGCGGTTGCATCCTAGCAAAAATTCATAGGGAGTTAGGGATAGTTAAATATGAATCTAATTTTGTTGTGAAGCAGTTTGGGGTATATTTGGAATTCGGGGTAAAACGGCAATGAAACTGACAAAACGCAAAACAAAAACAAAGAAAAACACCATAATGTAACATAAATGCATAAAACTGCGTTGATTTGCATGGATTCATCTGCCTAGTAATGTGTACATGATTAACTTTTGTTGGATTAATACTGTGGAAATAAATCAACCTGAACCTGAACCTGAACCTAAGAACATCACATTTTCTGCCACCTAACATTATTCACAATCACACAAATATCAGGTCACTGTAATTTAACCCTAACTCCCTAGGCTTTTTTTGCTAGGATGTAGCCTCAATCCTGCCAAATTCTCCAATTGGGCTCATGGAAAAGTAGCATTTATAGCCTCAATTCTGCAAATTCCTCCATTATTTCTTGAATATGGTCCGTGGAGGGGTGACCACTGCCTGCCCTGAATCCTGCAAAATCCTGCGGCAGTGACCATCATTGAGGCTTGGCCAGTGACATCCTGGAGCAGTACCGAGGATTTTAAGCGTAATCCAGGCCTATACTTATGCATGGCTGAGCAAAAACAACACAAGGTCCGGCCCAAGATCATGACAAATGCATTGTACATCCTACGAAATCAGTAACGCACTTTTGCCATGTAGCCTCAATCTTCCAAATTCCTCCACTTTGGCAAAGAGGATTTTGAAGGATTCAGGGCGGTTAGGGTTAAACAAAAAAAAGGCGGCTTGAGGTTGCCAAGGTCACTTTTGGATAAAGCCTAAAAAGTCACATTAGCCAACACGTCAATTCACATTGTGTTGTTACACTACCTGCCAATGGTTCAGTGTTCTGAAAGAACTCATCTGGATGGATGTAAGCATTCATCGGCCACAGACACAGTAGGATCCGGACGCCCACCAACACCACCCATAGTTTGTAACCCATGCTTACACGACGTGTCTCTCAACTGGAAGGGAAAACATAAATTTGATCAAGGTACGTTGTAATTGACTGTGGCAGGATTCAAACTAGTCCAAAAATGTGGCACTCTCAAAACTGTGCATCAGAGTCTCAAAACTTAAGGTACTGAAAACATGCAAAACAAGGAAATGGACTGTTGCATGACACAACCAGTCCAACAGTCCTAGGCCTTATCAGTACTGCATCAGTCAACTTAGCCCCATAAATGTGGCCTATTTACTGGACTGCCTCCGTAAACATAGGCCACACATCCACATGTACAAAAATCGTGTCGACGGAGCCAAATTTTGATTTTCACATTTAGGCTTAGTTTGTAGGGTTTTTTTGCTTTAGAAGCATACTCACCCTCTTTACAGGCTAATCAGAAAGTGCTGCCTTTTTCAGATGTCTAATTTTTGTGAAATTTCATGTTGAAATTTTGATACGCAAACGTGTAAAAATGAATCTGGAAATTTCACGAAAAATATACATCTGAAAAAGGCAGCACTTTCTGATTAGCCTGTAAAGAGGGTGAGTATGCTTCTAAAGCAAAAAAAACCTACAAACTAAGCCTAAATGTGAAAATCAAAATTTGGCTCTGTCGACACGATTTTTGTACATGTGGATGTGTGGCCTATGTTTACGGAGGCAGTCCAGTAAATAGGCCACATTTATGGGGCTACAGTCAACTGTGTCAACAGAAACATTTGGTACCTAGGCTTCATGTACATTGTAACTCTATTTCTACATATTCTCTATGCCACCAGACTACTGAAACTGTGATTGAAAGAGAAAAGATTAATGTTGCATCATTACGCCACTTTTTACATAAACACTAGTACTGGGCGGTGTTCATGATACAGAAGTGCATCTTTTTGGTTGTTGGGAAGTTCGAAAAATACCTCGAAATTTGCATTTTTTTGGTTTCTCACCACGAAAAAGGTGGGGGATGATTAAATCCCCCCCCCCCCCCCCCCCGGTAAAAAGAAGTGGGGGGTATACCCTCCACCCCCCCCCCCCCCAGGATATACGCCCCTGCATGCTAGTTATATAAAAATTATAAGTACACCTTCTTTGTAAATTCCGCCTATTTGAAAATGACATGATTGGCTTCAGCCACGCCCCCCCCCCCCCCCCCCCCCCCCCCGCCAATATGCCATTCATGGCATGACTGAGTGCCACATGGCGCGGCAATATCTCCCGTGTGTTTACTGATTCCTGTCTGCCTGTGTACTCAGCAAGGAGCCGCTGGCCTGACGTTAATGAGGGCTTACCTTTTTACTCACAACGTAGATCAAGAAAAGAACATACGCCCAAACTGTGCAGAACGACAATCACAAATTTCAGGCAACTCAAACTCAGTCAAAGGTCAAAGAATAATAATAGCTGCAGCAACCGTGCAACTACGCTCACGTACGTTCGATCCGATCCATCTGCAGGGTGACCGTAAGGCCAGAGCCAAATTCTGCTAAATGCACATCAAAAATCTGTCAGATTTATCAAAAATCTGCCAAATTCCCCAGAATTACTCGAAATACACTATAAACACTGAAAATCACATGCAGATTGGTACTTTTGCCTTTATTAAGGTTCAAATTACATTATAAACAATCTATAGTCTCATAAAGATGTTGTGAATTATCGCATAAATTTTCGGCAAAACATGGATCCGGCCACGACAAAGTCCGTTTCCAACCTCAGCACCTAGACCAGCCAACCTGTCCCTTTATGCAAGGGTTTGTTTGAAAGGATTGAAGCTTTCTTAAACAAATGTACCATTTTTTGTTCAAATTTGTTGTTTTTCTGTCAAATAACCATTTTTGCAGAATTCTGCCAGAAATCTGCCAAAAAAATCCATTCTGTCAAATTTTCTGTCAAACTCGTTTTTTAACAAAAATCCTGTCAAAGTTAGCCGAAAATCGGCTAAAACGGTCACCCTGTCCATCTGGTGCAGTAGTAAATAGCGCCCTCTAGCGGAAGCCTTAAAAATATGCTATGGGACCGCAATGGAAATACGTTTTTAAACATTTTTGGGGGGTCATGCTTTTATTTAATCTGTATCATTATTGTGTGGAAATTGCGAATTAATCAAATCAAATCAATTCAAATCAAATAAAAAACAAGCTCTATCGGAAATTATCTCGGAAGCTGCGGGCCAGCGAATTTGTGTTCATGCATGAGTGATTGTGCTAGGCCTATTTCTGTTTCGAGTTTTAAAAAAATCAGATTTTTGATCCCATTGACCCTAGATGACCTTTGACCCCAGTTTGGTCTTGTAAATTGTTGGGGTTGGCACTTTTGACAAAGTTAGCTATCACGCTAGCTATCACGACCAACCAATATATCGGACTTGTCGGAGCGGTATAGCAACGTCTAGGGTATCTCCTGGGAAATCTCAGGAGACAGGAACTGGCCTAGACGTTGCTAAATTGAAGCCGTGGGCGATGTTGGTTGGTCGTGATAGCGCCCTCTCGCGGGAGCGGGTTATCGCGGCGGCGGGTTATCGCGTATCGAACCATGCAACGTCTAGCCCCGGCCCTTATGGAACAGAATACCACCTGGGAGATGAAGAGATACCACATGATACTGAAGAAAATGATCTGGGTGTGATTTAATATCATACTGCAAAACAAGCAAGTAATGTGGCAGCAGCAACTAAACAAACCCATATGAGCAAGCTGAGAATAATAATTAAAGAGAACCTCCAAGTACTTTGACAACTAGAGTTGTTTCACGACGCTGTACAAGACATACGCCCTCAGCTTGAATATTGCATCCAAGCATTGGAGACCAAGCCTCAAAATGCATATGTGGCACTAGTACAGCGGGGACCGAGCGACTTGCTGCGGCACCCGCTCGCGGGGAAACACGCTGCTTCAACTTACGAGCGGTACAATCGGTAAAACCTCGAATCAACTTAAACTAAATAAGTATACATCTTTAGTGTCGCGAATAGGCTGGATCGACTCGTGGTCCAAAACATGATAAGAGGAATTATGTCTCCCTACTGATATGTACCATTCTCGGTAATGTCTCTCCAAGGTACTATTCTCGGTAATTATAATACCTTTTTTTAAACTCTGGCAGGAGCTTCTACATGTCACTTGGTGGTCTGTCTGCCTGTCACATTTTTCGGCGCGGCATTTTTCAGCTCTGGCATTTGGGGATCATTTTGATCGATTTCTTTTTAAGCTCGGGCAGGGATCAGCTGTTCATGCAAGACTGTCGTGCAAGACTTCTTGCAACACGGCCAGCGCTTATTGTGCACGCGCACTTTTTTTCTATCCTCCTAGGGAGTACCAATTGCCACTACCTATTTTCGACTAGCTTAGGGGTTTCGATAACTATCATTTTGATCGAATTTCATAAAAAAACAAACCAAGACTTCTTGCAATACGGCCTAGAGCTTTTTGTGCACTCGCACTTGCGCTGTACATCTTCCTCGAACAAGACGGTATCCAGAAGGAGGAAACGTCCATGCAAAATTGACCAAAAGTACTGGTGTTTCATATGTGCCATCGGCGTCGCATTTTTCGCCAGAGCGTATTGTTCATCTCGCGCTTGTTTAATTAAAATAACCGCAGCTCACCCGACACAAGTACATGTACGCACCTTATTCGCCATAAAAGTGTCAGATATGTCAACCCTTTGAATGCGCTGCAATGGACCGATCCAGTAAGCACCGCCCCATGGTGTTCTGACCAATCACAGCCGTGATTTATGTCCGACGTGCGTGCACAAAAGTCCGACATGCGTGCACGCGCGTATGATGCGCGCGGCTGGAAAATGCAGCGTGGCATTGGAGAGGAGCACTTGTTAATTTGCCCAGTGCGCAGTGGGCGGGGCTTACTGGATCGGTCCATTGGGATTTGCAGCGTGACATCCTAGCTGCTATATTAGGCCTACATCAAGGTCCCGGATCATTATCGCCCATCATTATCATTTCCCTTTTAGACCTTGTATTGTGTTTGTGTCTATCATTAATATCGTATTGCTGTGATATACATGCGAACTCGGTAACCATTATTGATTCCTGTGCTGATTTAAGGTATTAAGCATAAGCTAGCATTGACATACGCGTATAGGCCAACGTATACGACTGATGAATAGGGATTGCGCCCGGCATCTGTTGACATATCTTTGGTTTGTATACTTTCGCCTCGCCCGCCCATTAACGGCCAGATACGCTAATAATATGCTTTGGTTGGCAGTGACTTTCAGTTATAACAATGGACCACCGCCAAAATGCACTGTATGTAAATCAATGATTTTGAGTAGGCCTGCCGGTACGGTTTACAGTACACACACGCACGGACGCAATTTTGCCACGTGGACTATACAACAGCTACGCCTCTGCTGTGTTTACCGATAGATATAGTAGCAACAGCTGTATCGTTGAAACAAAATATGTAAATGAAACGCGTAACCACGTGATTGTTTACTGCTTATAGGTGATGACAATGAAGATGCGACGCCTGGACTGCACTGCCTTTGATAATTTTTCTTCACACAATTCCGAGAGCGTCAACGCTGCATAATGTTGTGTCTGCTAGTATTATTATGATTTGCCACATGCGTGCACGGAAAGCTATATGACAACGCCACTGATTGATCGTGCATCTTCTCATAATTCATCGCATGGCTTCCTCGTTTCCATGGTAATAACCTTTAAGATAAAAAAAAATCCTCCACCGCCTGTGGCCTGTTTGGCTCAAGTGTGTGCCGTCTTACTAACAGGATTACATCACACGGGCCAGATTGTGCTGAGCTGGCCTCTGCAGTGATCGTTGAATGTAAGTGTCTCCATGCATGGAATACGATGCGGCCATTTTATACAACTTTTGAAATAATCGTTTGTTTTTCATCAGAAAAAAAAATGAAAACAGTAGACCCAATTGATTACGTAAGGTGCGCATCACTGCTTTATATGTTCGTGTACTGAGCGAGAATTCAATTTATACATGCAAAACTAAACCTGTTATTTGACCACAACACGCGCGCATACATTGTGGTGGAGTGGCTTGCGAGGACCAAATTGTTGAAGCTTCATGCGTTGACTAAACGTGTCCAAAAGACTACAAACGGGTTTCAACCGAAAGAACGTTAGTCTGCAGGATTTATTGAAGTGGCAAACGACCGGAATGGGAATTGATATGACTGGAAAACCACGTTCATGCCTACGCGACTTCCAGCTCCAGCTCTATGTTCTGGGAAAATTATGCTTCTCGCTTCTATAGTGGTTAAAACACGTGCGATGTACTAACACAGTCCCAGCAGGTGAGTACAAATTAAAAACGACGATCATCGACGATGACAATCAATTTAAAGGTACATGTGAACATTTCCTTTTTGTGAATGTTTTTTTTCTTATGAAGCCAAAACAATTACTGCTCACAATCTTGAGTATTATAGTTGGGCAGATATTATAGGGGAAATATTAGGGGGAATTGTGTCTCACGGTCATACAAGCATGGCATTTGGCACACAGCCAGAGTATGTCTTAAGAAAGATATTTGGCTATAGGGCCATCGCAGATTTGTCCTCTTGAAAAAAAATATAGGTTTAGAATAACAAAGAAATTTCAAAATTTTCAAAATGGCTGCCATTGCTTGTTATTCTACCTATATGTTTTGTTTTTGAAATGATAAATCTGCGATGGCCCTACAGCCAAATATCTTTCTCATGACATACTCTGACTGTATGCCAAATTCCATGCTCGTATCATCAAAGGCACAATCCCATCACCTTATAATTATATAGGGACTAACCTATTGCGGTTTCAGCTTAGTGGGTATTATAAATTGTTTTTTGAGAAAACAGAAAACTTAAGTGTTGTGCAAAGATCTTGTAAATATATGTGTCCGACCGTTTCACCCTATTCATTGTTCCTTTTTTTTCTCTTACAAACGGTACCCTGCATTTCAGGTGGATTAATTTCACAGGGTAACGGTAGTCGATTCATCTATCCCCAGCAAGGTCCTTGTCATTATCTTGCAGCGGGGAGGGGGGGGGGGGACAAAATCATGAATATGTATAAACCTGTCGTTCAGTAGGTAAGGCCATTTGGTAATAAATTTACAATGAATGTCCATTTTTCAAAGATTTTAATATAAGTCAAGAACCCTTTTCTCTTACATTCTCATTCCAAAAAAAAAGGAACTTGAATCGATGTTAAATTCGTCTTATTGAAGAGAAGACGATTTGTAAAATTAAAATGTGGTTCTCACTCCAGATTTGACAACTGATTTTTTTTCCCTTCAAATTATTTCAAAATGAAATTAGAGTGGCTTTCGCTCATTATTGTCTCGTCCATAAAGCGCCACTCCTTGGAAATTAGAGAGTGCAGTGGAGGGACTAATTGCCTGTAACTATCCCACTAAGTAATTAATTGGTTGATACATCGAATCAAGTTACTTCCGAAATTTGGATTTATAATCACAATATCGAAACTCCTACTATCTGTTCTTTGTAAAATATTGTTGACGCCATGGTAAAACGGACGTACGTGCGCTGTTGGCATATGTGTTGCCATTTTGATGTCACTGATCAAGGCCAATCTAAAAGCAGATTTGCTGCATCGCCCATTATAGATACCAAAAAAAAATCAAGTTGTCTATATTATGCAAATGAGCCGCTCCACTCAATAAATTAACGCTCATTCATCCCACGCCTGTGCCATATACAGCTAGCTCTGGACTTTGACAACGTAACCTTTGCATATTAGTCACATGAAGACAAATGGATGTCGTTATCAGGACGATTAATAATGCAGCCCATATATGCCGTGTATGCGTCGTTCCTTTTACGCTAATGACTACATTATAAAATACACGCGATACACATTATTGGACCTGTCGTTTCAATTTTCACGCTGAGTTTGCAAGACAAGTGAAGATTTTTTGTTTTATAATTTCGACTTTACCTCTTGAAGTCTTTATTTTAGCAGTGCGGCTTGGAACAACCGGTTTTTTTTGTAATAGGTGTATTTAATGGTGTATTAATACAGAGATATTTTATCTTTCTCGCTATATTCATTAATTCATTTAGTCGAATTGATCGAATTTTCACATGAGTATATCCACTGATTTGGTGTTTTTTTTTCAATGTTTGTAAATTTTAAATTAGAGTGATTTTCATTTTAAATCGTCTGATCCCGAGTTTCCATCTTTGGAATTTAGAGGGTATTGATGAAATTGACCATCTTTCAAAAGCATAAATCATTTTTTTTTAAATAAAGTCGGCCCGATTTTTCAATTTTAACAAGATGTTCACTGGTAAAATGGCAGTGGTATCAAGAACCAAACATGTAGCATACATGGTTTTCCTTGTGTAGTCCATTTCATTGTAAAAAAAAATTGCAAAAAATTGTACAGTTCAAATTGCTTGTATGTGTATATTAGACACAGAAGCAGACAATATATACACTCACAATTAAACTGTTAATTGTGTGTAGTACTTCACTCGAAATTGGCACCAGAAATTTACTGTATTAGAAATACATCTGTTTGATATCTCTGGACTACCAGCATTTATGAACAACTTCATCAGGTCGGTTTGGTTTTATTATCTTGAAAGAGTCTGTATACATTATCTCGATCCATTGTACATTGTATATGTTTTGTATTCATAAGGTACAGTACTATGTATACTTAATTGTCAGTTGATGATACATATTCATGTAAACTTAATGAGTGGTGCCGTAAGGTTGTGGTCAAGTTAGTCTGTATTTGGAACCATCACTGTCTTACCAACCACATAGTATATTGTGGAAAAAAATGACGAACTTTACTTTAAAAATGTATTTAAGTTTGGAATTTGCAACATGGTATTATATCAATTCTCTCGATCCGCAATATTATTAAAGGGTCATGCAATGTAATTTGTTTAATGCTATCCTTGAAAATGCACCTTTGTGTCTCATTTAACCTTATTTTCAATTTTTGTTTTCACATTTCCAAGGGTAATTTGGTGCCTTTTTGGAAGTTTATATGCTTATGCAAATTTTCATGTTAATGAACAAAAGTGTGATGTCATTTCAGGCAGAAACGTCAATGTAACAGTCATTTATAAGCACCACAAGTTGCTAGATTTTTCGATATTTTGCTGTTGGATTTTTTTCTTTGGTGATTCGTTGTTGTGTCAGCACATGACAGTCAGCAAATAAGCAAACTTTTCTCACAAACGTTTTCAATGAGCAAATTTTCGGGTTTACAATTTGTACACAAAACTGAACAGTGTCTTCCTGATATGACATCAAAGCAACTGCGCAGTTGTCCGGAAAAACATGGACGATTTTCAAATGTTTAAAGAAGTGCACTTTTCGTTAAAATTAATCAAATAGGGACGTCCAATAGTTGTCATACATTTAAGAAAAGAACAAAGTTGTACATAATTGACTGACCGACCGACTGACAGTATATGTTTCGCTCACTCATTGACTATCGCTTGTGCATTAGACTTGATTAAGTCTCTCGACACTGACACACTGACTGACTGTCATCACTTGTAAAGACATGCATGGTTACACTTCTGAATTGGACTGGCTACGTATCACACCGATTGACCGACTGTCACTTCTCACTGAATGACTTTCATTCATGAATTAGACTTGCTTAAGTCTCTCACTGACACACTGACTGGCTGTCACTTGTGAATTAGACTGGTTAATTGCCTGTCACACTGACCGCGGTTGACTAGACTGGTCACCTAGCTATCACGCTGACCGGCTACCAGTTTTTAATTTTGTTACCTATACAGGCTCACTGCCTGACTATGGCCGTTACCTTCTCAAGGACTGTCACTTGTGAATTAGACTTTCTTAAGTCTCTTATTTTAACATACTGACATACTGACTGATTGTCACTTGTGAATTAGATTGGTTTAATACCTTTCTCACTGAATGTCACTTGTGAATAAGACTTGCTTAATTCTCTTATTTTAACATACTGACACACTGACTGTTTGTCACTTGTGAATTGGGGGGGGGGGGCATTTGCCCACCCCACCGCATTGGCACCCCATGCGGACGCCCATGTTGTTAAACTGTGCATTAATTCAGGCACCTCATGTTCTTCAGTCTGTCAATTTTGAGTTAGACTGGTAATTACCTTTCTCCATAGCTGATTCACTTGTGAGTTCGGCTTGCCTAAGTCTAACTCACACTTGTGCATAACACTGACAACCTATCTCACTGACTGACCGGCACTTGTAAATTAGATTGGCGCCGCTTGTGTAAGCAAAACTTGAGTCTCCATGCGAAAGGCGAAAGTGGACTTTTATTTTCCATCACGCTACCACTACAGCTTATTTTGCAATTTTTGTGGCCATTCTGAGTCGATTGAATAAAATGTATTTGCCCTCTGTGTCCAGCTTTACATGGCCTACCTAGTCTTGTTTACTTCAAAGACATTTTGTCCGGAATGCACCGTTTTGGGAGCTTTCAAATGAGTTTACCAAATAATGATAAAACGGGTAAGATCGTTAAAAAGTAAAATATAAACATGCACACAACTAGACATTTTGCAGTGTTCGTGTGACGCGACGAAATCTCGTAGCAGATCCAAGGACGAGTGTGTACTTTTAATCAACGTAGGCGACGATTACCAAATGTCAGCTACGCAGTAAACTGAATTATACAACAATTCGGTTCGTTCATCATGAATCAAAGAGCAAACTGAATGAGTAAGTTCATTGTAAAAAACAAAACAAAACAAGATCCTCATTTTCCAGGGTGTCATACCTCATCAGCGTGCCTCCTGCTCCCCCACTCTCTCATAATGCAACGCAAGGGGGATAATCTCCACATGCCATCTGATATCGACAGAGAGTGTTTCCGATAGGAAATGAACCCAATACCGCAATGCACACAGGGGAAAGGATAAACCAAGACGCGCATTGTTTACTGTGTGGAAACAAAACAATCTCCAATCACAGAGCCCATAATAGAAAGGCCATGAAAGGGATCCTGCGTATAATGCACTCGCTCATATACCCAGTACCGTAACTATTATACAGGGTGGACAAAATAAAACCGAAACGACATATTATTGCTAATTGAAACAGAGGTAGGGCACATGTGAATCAAATGGAGATATCCTCTGTTAAGGTTGAATCTCCTCTTTAAAATGACACCCTGGTCATGTCATTACATTCACGGTTGACTGAGCAGTGACCAGTTTTATGAAAGGGTCTATTTAGAGAATTGCGCCACTTTTCAATTGTGGTTTTTGTTGTGTCATTTGTCACAGAGTGAAAGGCTATGGTTGCCAATGGGGAAAAAACAGATTTCATCATGAAAAGTGGCGCAAGTCTCTAAATAGACCCTTTCATAAAATTGGTCACTGCTCAGTCAACCGTGAATGTAAGGACATGATCAGGGTGTCATTTTAAAGAGGAGATTCAACCCTAACAGAGGATATCATCCTTTGATTCACATGTGCCATACTTCTGTTCCTATTAGCAATAATATCTCGGTTTCGGTGTTTTTTTTATCCACCCTGTATAAATTACAATGCAAATGTATTGTACCTTTCTTTGGTAATTTGCATTTTTTTTAATAGTTATTTCGTCGTATTAATAAGAAATGAATTGTGCAAATGTCATCTTTGTTTCACAATATGATAGCGGTTCAAAGTGTATATACGAAGCCTTTTTGGGCAATGCTGCCTGCTTGATGTGTTTAACATCAGCACGCGCTAACACAGGTTACTATGGCAACTGGGGGTGCAATTTCTGGATAGTAGATTGATTTACCGATCTCCATTTGCTTTTTCGCGGCGCCGTGTTCTATCTGATTATATGATGTACCACGCTGTGTCGAATCCCTGCGTATAAATAGTGTGTTTTTTCTTCTAAGCATTATAATATGAATGGTTCCCATCAGCATATGACATTGCGATTGACTGTGTATGCTCGTACAATATCTGAACAGGGACCAGCTAAATGGGTTTGATACAACAGTAGGATATATTTAAAATTTCATATAAATATGATTCTATTTTGAATTTGTGGCGAGGTCAAGAAAGCCACAATGTAGAATGGCCGATGAGGCAGAATCAGAGAAAACGGGCGGCAACATCTGGGGTTGGAGGGGGGACATTTCCCACAAAATTATAGTTTGACCCATGTTTCGCGTGGGCTACACCCTTTCATAATGTGCTTCATCATGTTCATCACTTCAACTGTTCCAACACATAAGCTAACAAAGGTGATTTTTTTCTTGCATTAAATGTCAGTTGTATAAGGACAACAACAAATCGTTCAGCATTAAACGTACGCAGACAGCTGTGGCTTAATGATTGAACTAAAACGACTCACGCTTGTTGTTGATCTAAACGCGACGATTAAAATGAATCCATTTTTTTTAAAACTTGATATAAACATTTTTGTTTTCAATTTGAAACGAGTGTTAGAAAGCCACAATAGAATGGACGATGGGATAGAATCCGAGTGCATGGGCGGCAACACCTGGGGTGGAGGGGCGGGGACTTTTCCCACTAAATTATATTTTTGCCTATGCTGTGCGTGGGCTGCACCCCTTCATATGATGCGTTATCATGCTTATCACTTCAACTGTTCTATCACATTAGCTTTAAAAACTGAATTTTTGTTTCTTTTGGCATTAGAATTCAGTTGTATAACACTTATTTATAGGCACTGTTGTAGGACTCGTGTGCAGGACTCGGACTCGAGTCAGACTCGAGTCGGACTCGGATTCAACCATGATGACTCGGACTCGAGATTGGTGACTCGTGACTCGAGTCACGTATTTTCATCAAATTCAAAAGAAAAACAAACATGATGTTGCGTATTTTGTGCGACGAACGTAGCATTCATTTTTACTCCATGGACAAAACACGGCAACGTAACACGGCGACAACAAATCTCGTTGAGCATTTAGAGTAAGCAGACTGCTGTGGCTTAATTATTGAACGAAAACGACTCCCGCTCACTATTGAACTAAACGATTAACATGAATCCATACAAGCTACAAACCTACTTAACGTACGGCGGTTAATTACTAAAAGACATTAGCAAAATTACCATTGTGGTTTGAGCCCCTAAAATCTTTTCAGCACTTTGTGTTAGCTAATTTGGGCGCACTCTACTCTAGTTTGAAGAATGTGATATTGATTTGCATATTGGCGATGATCTCTAGTGCTGATTGGTCAATAACGGAAGTGGCAGCTTCGATTATTTTCAAGGACATGTCTTGTTACATGACGCTGATTGGATTATTCTGTATACTAGACATGCACGTGAGAATGATATCAGGCCTGCTTGCTTATTACCGTGCTGGCTCGATACAATCGTCATTTTGAAAGGAGAAAATTTCAGCATGCATTTCCCGTATATGAATTGACCATACTGCAGACTGCTTTCTCCAGCAGGTGCTTGGAGCCACACTCTGGGGTGTAATGGAAAAGTATCATACCCAAAGCGCAATTCCCAGCATGCACTACAGGCATATGATTAGCAAATCCGCTGGTAGGCTATAGTGTGGTTCCCTGACCGAAAACGGTGACTTCTGCTGGTGAATCATAGTCAAGTAACTGCAACGGCTAAAAATAGACTAGTCAGATTACCAGACCAAGCGATTCTGACCGTAACTCCGAGAAAATGTTATTAGGGGTGCAACCCTGCCCAAAAAATATCATAGACACTAGTGCTAAATGCGCATACTTCAAAATTCTTTTAAAAATACTCAGAACTCTCACAGGTATTCAAGCTGTACAGAAAAATGATGATCAATGTGTCATCTTTCATTTTCTTTTCATTGTTTGGTGGATTGACCATTGACTTTTCGAGATATTCTCACCCAAAGAAGACGACCCCTAATTTCCCCAAAGCGGAAAAGTAGCCATCTTGAAAAACGATCCCTCCACAACATGGCAAAATAGCGCCAATTTCGAGCCCAATAGCATCCAAAATGCTCATAATTGGAAGCCCCAAGTCCGGGCCAGAGGTTCATTACCATATCTCTTCAATTCCCCAATTGTATGGCTCTCAAAACTCTCTAACATAGAATATTTTGAGGGTATAACTTTTATTCAAGAGACGGATTTTTGGCCTATTTACAGGCGTGCACCCTTAGGTGTAGCTCAGGGTCTGAGTATGACCCGTTGTCCAACGGAGCCCTCTCCGTATATCCAGTGTCTGATATAATTATCCGAGCAATGCAAATTTTATGCGACCCCGGCGCTAGCCAATTGGAGTGCCGTCACTTCGATTAGAAGAAATGTGGACTAAGCTGTTGATTGGTCAATATGGCTGACAACGGGTTAGGGAAGACCCGATACAATGCGCCCGCTGAATGGTCAGAATCTCGAGGTCAAGACGCGGTCTTGTTTTGCATAATTAATCACCAAATCTACCTGTGCAAAGGTCTATTCCATGGTGAAGCCACCCTAATGAAAAAGCATGACTAAAAAAAAGACAAACCGGGCAGGATACTGCCCGTTTCTGAAAACGTCCGAAGCTTACCGAGTGTATTTCGCTAACACTCTGATATTTTCGCAAAGTCTCTCGGGTTTTTAAAATTTAAAAATTTCAGTGCTAGGCGTGTTACCGAGTATTAATGTATTAGGCTATGCCCTAAGTTCGACGTTGTGTCCCAGGTATACACTCATACGAGAGCTGGACTTCGTTTTGTCATGTTCTATTCTTTATGACCACAATGGAAATGAGTTTTGAAAACCGTTTTGTGCGTTGTCCCTGCTTTTTCCACTGCATGGGGGACTCTTTAGATTAAATTTGAATTTACAGTTCTAGATAAAAAATTCTCGTTAAATCTTAACTTATCTGTATCATTATAATGTGGAAATTGCGAATAAATCAAATCAAACAAAAAATAAAATTTGAACTGAAAACATTAACATATTAAAAGATTATTGAAACCATAGACAATTTGAAATAGTCTCATTATGCAATTGCAAGTGTATTCCAATACGAGAAAACCTGGAATAAATACGGGTTATTTCCATTGTGGTCGATAACTTAAAGTAAACTTACAAGGTTCAAAACTGAGCCTTTAATAATCAGGCTCACGCTGACAGCTAAGTATGACCCTCCAAATTTACATGATAACGTATCGTATCAACAAAGACTGGTCGAGGCGTATCTCTATGACTACTTAATTGAGTGGGGAAAAAAATCTTTTTAGAAAAACATTAACGATCAAAGCCATTTTATTAGGAGAAGGGTACCGGCACTTTAGCAATCATTAAACTACTCGTGTCACTAACTGATCTTTGCCTTGCTTTTTTGGGGCGTGCCTCCCCTGAAAAGACATCCTAAGTGGCATAGATAACTTTCGGCGTTGCATACTTAATGAGCTATTTCTTTTGATTGGCAACTCTATACGATCGCTGTCATGGCAACATGTAACTTAATTATTCGTAAACACTTAAAACACACTGCACATTTCACTCTGAACTGAGACGAGGTGGATAAATATATATTGTAACTGAGCTTTCTAGCAGAAGGAATTGTCATCGCTTTAGCTAGCTCATAAGCGTATCTTTGCGAGCTGAAATCAATCAAAAACAATTAAATTAGCGAATCGACACACGTGTGTGGTCGATAGGAAAAGATCAAACCGTTCAGATTTTAATCCTTTTGGGAGTAATGCGATTATTTATTACCGTGACATTACCACAAGGGTTTTTGTTCGCCCACAGGATATATAACCCCGCCTCGCTATTGGAGATCACCCAATTTGATGCTTTCAGCGTGCACTATACAATGGCATCGTGCGGAGTACTGCTTTGAGTCATGAAGCTTGACACTCTGAAGGGACTAGCAATGTGAACATGACAGTTTGCCGTCTGCGGCCAGTACTAGCCATGTTGATCATCAGCAGTTGGGCCGCGAGGACTTTTCCCAGTGACGTCTACCCGAACCCCCAGGAGGATCTGTATCGCTGCGGACGGAGAGGGCGCCCTTCGTGGGTATGCGATCCGGATCAAGTGTTGTCATTTAATGAAGGTATTAATTTGTAACATTATATCCTTTGTAAATAGCGGCCATCTTTGGGGTGCGGTGAAACGCCCTCGCGACTTCAACTTGAATGTTTTACTTTCCTCATGCAGAGTTGCCCAATTTTTTTTGACAAGTTTCAAATTCATAAAGTTAAAAATACTGGTTCGTATATATTAGCTAAATAACGCCTGCTGTTCAACCCCTGGAAACAATACATGTAGTTATTTTTTAGTGTCATTTTAGTCCGAAATTCAAAACCGGTTACGTCCGGATGATGGGCTCGAATTCGGCCGAGTCTTCCTTAACGTGGCGCACATGAACAAAATATCGGAAATTCTATATAAAACATTAGCCTGCGATGAGCCATCGTTGTTTTTTTTTACCTGTAACCCACCAGAGCAATGAACATTTCAGTATGATGGTGCATCGGTGTTATGATGGTGCATCGGTGTTACGGTCTAACACAATTCCAGTGTCTAACACAATCCCTTCATTAGGCGTTTTGGTAAACATAATGATAATCCCTTCTGAGACTCACAGTGTCTAAATAGATGTAGAGAGCAGTCCTCCGCGCTCAAGAAAACAATTTTAAGCCCCCAAAAAGTGTATTTGCCCTGTATTTGGTCAGTACCCGTGCGAAAAAAGTTCTAGTTTTATATCCCTGGATTTTGCCTTGCCACTCCCCCCCCCACCACAGCAGCCTGAGGCTATAGCTAAAAAGGATGATGACCGCCTACTTCCAGCCTTCAAGATGGGCCTGATGACAGGATGATTGATGGCCCTTGTGATAACAGACAGCAGTAAATACTTCACTAGCCTATAGCTTGTGGTTGGACCTGGACAATACAAATCCTGTGGGAGTTGGCCTGGTTCTGATCTTTGCCTCAGGAAATCTGGGTCCATAATACAAACAGGGTTAAAAGGGCACTCAGTGCTTTTTGGCTATGTCTCAATTGGGAACTTGTGGACATGAAATTTTTTTATGACATAGTACTATCAAACATTGCAGGGTTGAAGAATGTCTTTAAAGTTGACAATTTTTTTAACACCATTATTATCTCTGCTCAGTGTTGAGAACAACTGATTTTATTAAATTCAGGATTCCAAATTCCTTACAATGATCCCTGTATGGGCTGAGGGTATCTTAGTTACTTGAGTTTGGCAAAATAGAAGTTGCTAGAAGTAAAAATGCACGATTTGATTGTTCTTTAATATTGTTTTTAATGGTGAATTTACCCTATTAGCGGAGGATGTCAACACTGCCCTCGGTAATATACGTCTAGAGACTGACTGTTCCTGTAGCAATAGCGCCCTCTGCTCCAATCACAGTAGCCATGGATTCAGCGTGGCAGTCGCTGTTATGTCTTTTATACCAACAACTCGAGCGTAAGTATATCAGTCTCACCGATCTCCATAATCTGGATAGCCCATGGGCTGTTAGAAGTGACGTCACCGTCCGTTATTACCACTCCAAGAACAATAGATTTGTTAAGAAAGTTGTGTATAGTTTTATTGATAATGTACACTTTTTGCTGAATAAAATACAATTTTTTTTGCTTTCAAAAAAATGAAAATAGCAACAAACTATATTTTATATGATTTAGTATTTTGTATTTCCTTCTGTGAAGGAAACACAAGTGTCACCATGAATTGTGGGTAGGTCACTTGCCATGACATTGCATGTCCATTTATTGCGCACGGGTCGTGCGCTTACGGAAGTGCTGACCTCTGGTCTCTTGCTTAAACAAGATGTCCTGCGCCTGAAATTAGACCTATATGCCTACAGGTTGGTCCAAGAAAAGTTGACACTTCTTCAGATGCAGATTTCTCAAAATTGGGGAGACATGTTGAAATTGTTTTAAGAATTTTTCAAAACATCAAGATCTTGGTGGGATATGGTGAAACGACTGTAAAAATAAAGTCGAAATTAAGAAATGGCGGTCATTTTACAGAAAAATTTTCAAAACCAGTTTGTCCGCACGCAATGAGATATGATCAAAACTAAAGCTCCCGTACAGATAGAACTGCAGTAACTATGACGAAATCTCATACGTGCCGCTCGTGTGAGCAAAACCATTTTTAAAACCACATTTCTGTTAATGGCTTCCATTTTCTTAGTTTAGGCTTTATTTACAACGCCGTTTCACCATATCCCATCAAGATCTTGTACTTTAGAAATATCTTAAAACAAAAATTTGTCTATAGGCAAGTGCGTACCAAGAAGGAATGGAGCTCAATCAAGGTTAAGTGTATCAACTGCTGCAGGCAATGCCTCATTAATTTATCAGCCATGTTGTAATCTTGAAATGTACAGACAAATGTCTTTTTTTCCCTCCTTGATGATACAGACAGCTCATTAGTGCCAGTACCTATGCAAAGTACCTCAGGGAACACGAATGGCTTTACGGCAATTGTCAGGACGATGTCGTCATCGTTGTCTCCAAACATGACAAACAGGTATCGTCATGAAGTCCTCACATAATTGAACACGCCAATACTGAAATGTGTATTCTTGTGGAGACATTTCTTTGTTCTCGTGTAGTAAAGTTTTCGAGTTTGAAAGTGTAGTTTCAAAATGCTCTTATTTTAACCAGAATTGATTTCCTTGGCTGAAATTCAGACTTATCCCTTTTCAAAACTCTTCCATTTGCGACAGATCAACATACCTTGGAAATTCCGTGATAACCTTACAGTGGAGAAATTTCCCTGTGGAGACGTATACAATCTTTTGTTCCCTATTGTGTGCATGTCTCCAGAGTGCACGGTGTATCATGCAGATCGATCGATCTAATACACGATCGATTTAGTACAGCAGATTGGTGATAAGATTGTTCAGTTTCATGATATAGGCATGAAATTTGGCACACAGTCAGAACATGTCATGGCAAAGATGTTTGGCTATAGGGCCATCGCATATTTGTCCTTTGAAAAAAAAATCACACGATAACAAGTTATTTGCAAAATTTTCAAAATGGCGGCCATTGCATGGTATTATATGATATTTTTTTTCAAAGGACAAATGTCATGCTTTTATCATCAAATGAACAATTCCATCATATTGTGTTCCAATCTGCCTGACTTATTATATTGTATTATCGTAAGTTTCTGAAAGCTATAGGAGATTGATGGGGTAAATATTATTATTGCAATTCAATCAGTTACATAATTCCCATGCCACAATATTGACATTTCACCTTATGAACCTACCCCAAAGAGCCCTTCCCTAAATTGTCCTTCCCTTATATTGTTCAGTTTCAACTTTTGCCGTTTCTGTAAACTTCTAAAAGCGGCGTACTATGTTTTTGATATCACCCCTTCGTTTTTACTGCAGGTTGCTGCTTCTATCGGAGACACTGCTGCCAAGAAGCTCACTCCAAGAGTTCTAAAAGACATCTTGAGCGACACCAGTGACTATTTCCAAAATGAAAACTTTGCAGCGGGACTCTTGGAAATGATCGACCGCATGAGGGCGGCCTTTGAGAACGATTACGTCGTCACCCCGTCGTTTCCAGTGTGGACCGTCGTTCAAATGGCAATGGCCGCTTTGTGTGTCCTGATATGTTTTTTCAGTATGTACATATGCAGGAGACTTTATTCCTAGTTTTGTTTTTCCATTCCGAGGTAAGTTCGAAGACCAGACTTTTATATAAAATGACGACAAATATCAAATACAATATGTTACCGTAATGGCCGATTTAATGTTTACTTATAAGCGAGGAGTTAAGTATTCGACTCATTCGAGCATTGCAGACTGATATTATATCTGTGAAAAGCCTTACTCTGAAGCGAGTGGGGGCGCTCTAACACCATTCAGGGTTACGGTACGACAGTAAGTTTACAAACTATCCAACCGAAGATCTGCCTTTTTCACAAGATTTTTTGACAAATTATTTCAAACTTCAGTACATGTATACAAAAAAAACTCATTTTTTTCACAGTGCTTATTTTGTGTGTAGGTACAGTTTAATAATGAAATATGATATTCCTACTCATTTCATTCGCTCGTACCCACCGCCCAAGCAGGGCCGCTGGGACAGGCTAATTTCGTCTGGATGAATGACGTATAATTTCGTCGAGCCTTCATTGGATAGAATTTGTTGAACATAACACGGGTCAATTTTTCCACGGCCACCCTCAATGTTTTTCGCGCCTGTGCTTCCTTGATCAAATTTTGTGAAGGAGAGTAGCCCTCTCCAGCGCCTCCCTCACAACATCCAGGGAAGAGGCCAGACTCCAACTCTGGAAAGAAAGACTGAGAAACAACCTGTCAACCCCCCCCCCCCCCCCCCCCCGGTTGACATAGCAATACCGCCGGCTGAAAACCTCCCAACGGGTACTACATCGACGTGGGTTAAATGGAAACCTCTCAACCGCTTGTGAACCAGGACTGGCCGATCAAACTGAGACCGCCTTCATCAAATGGGGCTACAAATTTGGTTCAGTTGCATGTGATTATGGAGAGGCAGAGTATACCATGACCGTCTATAGTCTGCCCTCTGCTAACAAGCCCGTGCAGCGCAAGAGATCTTGCGGAGTTCAGCAAAAATGCCCCCAAAAAACTGTGTCAGCAAGTGGAAAAACACATATTTTTGTTGTTACTTCGAAGACACGCAAGGAAGAAGAAGTGGCCTGTTATAGGGCGGTGGGTAGGGATACGAGCGAACTCATTTCATTGCACCCCAAATTGGCGCAATGGCACCCCCTATCGCTCAAGCATATAAGCACTGTTTATCATTCGTAACAAACACCAGGGTTGCTATGAATAGGAAGCACATTTCTCATTAACAAAAAAAAGAAAGGTATATCCCCGTTCCCAAGTTATTAACGGACAGAAAATCCATTGTGGGGAAACAGTATAAGTATGTCGTGCTTCTTTACTGGCCATGCCAACTGCCTTTCTTTCTCACACACCAAAAAAGATTGTTTTTTTTAATTAATGCAAACTTCAGCATTGTATTATGTACCGTATTTTTGGTTTGTTTAATACACCGAATGTCACTAATATAATAACGTTATAGGTAGCTCATAACTAAATATATAATTTATTTTGTAAGCTAAATCAAACTATCATAATAATCTAAAATATCTACCAAACTGAAGTTATATTTATTTCTCTGCAACCACGAACAAATATGCAGCCAGCGTTTAAGCCCTATACAATATAAAGTGCACGCGTTTTTATGTTACGTGACTGTACACAGAATGTTTCGATTGTCGTTCAGTGCGGGCACTGTTATGAACTGTTGTTTAGTGTTGCCCAGGAAATAACGGCGTGGAAAATTCTGGGAAAATCTTATTAAGTTCATTTTATTACGTTCGGGAGAGTGAGAATCTTTACTTTCAAAGGTTAAAGTTCTTTTCCCGTGATGTTTTTTAACAAATTCGATTTTCTTTTTCTCCTGACAAATTTTGTTTGATTTGAGCGTGTAACCGTTTCCCACATCTATATATGACATCTGCATTTGTGATACCTCTGTCTTGAATACTGTATTTTCATTGGCCTATAGAACGATCACGTGAGTTTGTAAAAAGTCATGGCACACTCCCTGTGGAATATATCGCGTACGTGATATCCCACAGGGAGTGTGCTATGACTTTGTACATACGGTACATACGGTGTGAAACGCTTCTATCGTTGGTACCCACGTTTTTTTCACAATGGTTTTACACATGAGTGGGAGCAGTGAATTAGCAGACGATCAGCTGTTTCGAGCACCCGACATGCATGTGAGTTGGAGTTCGATTGTCATGTTTGTTGTGTTAACTGCTGTTTTTTTCTCAGTGATTTTTCCATCAAAATCCGAAGAATCCAAGACAGAGGTATAACAAAACATTGTTGACTGTTGTGATGTGGGATAAGATGTTTTGAACACCCGAGGGGCGCATAGCACCCTCGGCTTCGCCCCGGGTGATATGCGCCCATCACAGCATTCAACAATTATTGTTAAATATTTTTGAAAATAAGTATTTAATTACCTCCGCCAAGGAGGTTATGTTTTCATTGGATTTTGTTGGTTGGTTGGTTGGTTTGTCTGTTAACAAGATAACTCAAAGAGTTATCGACGGATTTCCATGGCAAGATTTGCAAGGGGTGGTCGTTGGTAGTACAAATCGATTAGATTTTGGAAGTGATTCGGATCTGGGTCTGCATCCAAGATTTTTTGAAGGATTCTTCACCAATTTCATGCGAGTATTTCTTTGGGTGTATACTGACAATATGCGGGCGGGGAATTGTGTAGCCTTGGCGGAGGTTTGCGCTCTCTGAGTGCTTTCTAGTTTGGGTTGCTTTTGCACCCGTTATACGCACTAAAAAAAAAGCAACTTTATTTATTATCAGGCCACAATTTCAATCCAAATTTGTGGACTAATTACTCCGTGTCATAGGAAGATTTTTGTTTCATGTCGAATTCAAAGGTGACTGCATTGTGCATTGTTACGAAAATAGCTATTAAGAGTCTATTTTCGGTGTGTAACCCAAAAATAGCTCGGGGAGAACAATTTTAAAATATTACCTGCATCTAAACTGAAGAAAAAAAACAGTAATTAACTAACATACCAACATTGGCCAGCATCATAAACTCTTTTTTTTTTCAGTTCAAAGGTTAAACCATAATTATCGAGCTCTATTAGCTTATGGTTCAAACACGTAACAACTTTGCTGCTTGAATTTAAGAGCCACTGGCGCGTTCCCCAGTAATGCATAATGGTAAACAGTGTTACGTGCATAATTAATGACGACATTGTATACGAATGGTAGCGCATGCGTCCATCACCATGCAAGTGTAGGCCTCATTACCCACTGAAACGTAATGGGACTGGCTGCTGCACGCTGATTGGTCATTGTGCGCCTTGAAGCAACTGGTCCGCCATCTTGGCTCCACAAACGTGTGACGTACATGTACATAATAGTACTGTAGTTCTGCCATTTTGAAAGCCTTTAAAACAAATATACATTCTTATTTGTGCCATCTTAACTTTGAAGAAGAATCCAATAACTAGGTCCTACCGTTAACTTGAAGGAAAAAAAGCGCTTAACTACGCATGCGTTATTGGTGACCCAATATGGCGAACGGCAACTTCAGTGCGCGGGCATGGTGAGCCACTCTAGAGGTCAGTGATTAACCGATAGAGATCTTGAGCCCAAAATCCCGAATACCAAAATATCTTCTCAAATCTTTTAGAATGTAATCTGTGCCTTACTATAAGGCCAAATTGTTTGTATTCATGTGTGTACTGATAGTTGTGATTTAAATGGGTGATCGGCAGCAGGACTGCTTTGCAGTGAATTGTGGATTTCCTTCTTTTTTACGTTCCATTGAATTTTGATGTTAAATGTAATGTTGATTTTACTGGTGAAGGAATTAGCGGATCATAAATTGTATAAATGTCTATAAATCACGTGCACAGGAATATAATCAAATATATTCCAAGACAATATAATATGTGTTTTTAAAAATTGTTAACGTGGTCTAATTTTGTATCTCCTATATTTGTCGTATTTGATCGAACGGTTTTGAAATAAACCTGCGTGACATGGTATTTTTTTTGCCTGTCATGTAAAAGAAAATGATCGATCTTTCTAAGACTCGCGCTTTACTTCAGTCAGGGTTTTCAAACTTGAAGACTGGCTTAAAAGAGGCATTACGGCCTGAAATCCCCGAACATTTTTTTTTATGCTTGGGATTGTTTACTTATCCTTTATTTCATAGGTCTGGTTGAAAGGAAACTAACCTATGTCTTACCGTTTCGAGAAAGACGAAAAAAAACCGGTGCTTTACATCGGACGCGGCGGACATTTTGTGACATATTCGTATGTATACGTATTCCAAGCCATGTCCATGATTCAATGTACGGTACACGTTGTGTATGAGTCACATAATACACACTTGTAACATCAATACACACATGCTGTTTCTCGCGCGTCCGCAGAATGTGATAATGAAACACTGTGCGGCAGGATTCAAAACTAGCACTCAACAGTCCGATTTGTGAGAGTCACAATTTTGACCCCCGAAATTCCTTCTCGCTTGGTTCTCGCAAGAATAACACAAAAAACGCCCATTTTTAAAAGATTGGTTGTGTCGGCGTTTATATCCTACTTTTCAGTGCTCTTTCCAATTAATATCATTTCTTTAAAATACCTTGTGTAGCCCAATTGGGCACATTCGAGGACTTATAACAAAATCTGAAACTAAAACAGGAACTTTTTCAAAACATTCTTACAAGGAATTCAACACTCTAAAACCCTCCGAGTCGTCGCTCATCGGAGGGACCCGATATCCTGGTTCTATTTGGCTTCACCCTTTTCCGGGTCAAAATGACAAGTTTTCCAGGTCAAACATTTTGAACAGAAAAATTGTAATTTTGACCCAGAAAAGTGTCATTTTCAACCCGGAAAATTATTTGACCCGGAAAAGTACTTGACCCGGAAAGGTGTCATTTTGACCCAGAAAAGTTTCATTTTGACCCTGAAAAGTGTCGTTGTTGACTCGGAAACGTGTCAGGCGAAATAGAACCCAGATTGTGGGTCAGTCAAACTTAGGATGTATTAGAGTGTGTTTTAGAGTGTTTATAAGAGTTCTTATTTACATGTAAGAAGAAAGCTTTTTACATCAGTATAACGAGAAAGATTGCGTAAAACACAATATCAGAATAACACAAAGCAACCCATTATTTACATCATAAAAAAAGTTAAATCAGAATAATCTTAAATCTATATTACCAGCACTAGGTTAACACGTCAAACACAACCCGTAAATTATTGTCGAAATATCTAAACAAAAAGAATAACATAATTATACCAAACTACAACATAACATTGAACTACAAATACAGCTGTCGATTTAAATTTATGTCCCCTAAAGTAGCAATGAACTATCCCTTCGTATTGTGGCAATACTTCCTAAGAGCATAGCCGTGTCCGAATTACTTGGCTACGACTTTAAATTGCACACGAGTCTATGGGGAGTGGCTGTAGCCGCTACCATAAACGCGTGGTAATTTAAAGCCGTATCCTAAACTCGGACACGTTATTTGGACATCAGAAATGCCCATTTGAGTCATTTGGGGGTGTCTCATCGCCTTTTATATTTTTATGCTGATGCGAATTTAACTACTGATGAGCAATACTTTCATATTTCAGAAGCTTTAATTCCACACATCAGCTCGAGATAATAGAAACTTTGTTGAAATAATTTCTTTCATTTCGTTGGTATATAATTATACTCGCTGTAATTTTGCTATACCATATGGCGAATTGTTCACCCCGAAAGGAAAATCGTCAAGTCTAGTTTTGCGCATGCGCATTAATTAAAGTACCGAGCTGGCACTATTCGGCAAGGTTGAAATTTGAACCACGCAGAAGTATGGACCGCACATAATTCTTCTGATTGGAACACGAAATTGGATATTTTTGTTCTCAGGAATATGAAATACGATATTGACAGAATATTCACTGATAACTGAATCGTGCCACATATATTTTTGTGTTAAAGGAACATAGGATCTTTGCTCTTTGTGCATTTTTTCTTTGTTTTTCGTTTTTATAGTACCGACGGTAGAGAGGTGATTGGATTGTGCCTTTGATGATTCAAGCATGGAATTTGGCACACAGTCAGAGTATATAGGTAGAATAACAAGCAATGGCAGCCATTTTGAAAATTTTGAAAATAGCTTGTTATTCTACCTATATGTTTCCAAAGGACAAATCTGGTCCTGTATATACATGTAAAGCCAAATGTCTTTCTCATGACATACTCTGACTGTGTGCCAAATTCCATATTTGTGTCATCAAAGGCACAACTGCCCCAAGTTTCTGCCCCACTATTAGTGAAGCAACAATATTGATCAAAATATCTACATGGCCACTATATACATTTTGACGACACAGAGAAAACATAATGTACAATATAGTGGATTCCTTTGCTACCCGCGGGCCCACTTTTTCAATGATTGCTGGCGGGACAACTTCACGGTAGTAGTTGGGACCAGCCCTATCGCCACTTTGGGCAAGTTTTTCTTCTCAATGGGTGTATTTCAAGGTAACTAAACCAATGTGCCTATACGTGCATTTAAGGGCATGTGGTTCCGAGAAGGTGTACTTTTGATTTATTCCTCCATGGAAGAACAGATGCAGTGACCGCGGCTACTGGCCTTGACGGTGTACGGGAGTGGGACACGAGTTAAGCCGGCCTGCGGTGCCATGCTCAACTCAGATTCATTGGTCGGCTCGAAACGGTAGAACTTCAGCAAATTGCTGAAGAAGAGGAAAATCTCCATCTTGGCCAGGCTATCGCCCAGGCAGTTGCGTCTCCCTGTAAGAAAAACAAACAAAGAAACTGTTTACCTACAGCCCAATATTAGGACAGAGGCGACAATCTAAAACCAGGTCCCGGTAAGCGGAAACCAACTTGTGAGAACTGTCTGAACGAATTGCGGTATCAGTGGCGAATAATACGGTGATGTTTAGTAGATCTATACTCCCTAGGCCTTGCGGCCAAGAATATATATAGGAAAAACGTGCAGAAATACTCAGCAAATACCTGCTACCGCCCCCCTCTCTGTCTTTTGCCAGCTCCCTCCCCCCTCTATTGATCCAAACCTAGATCCGCCCTTACAAGGGCTATAGAGATTGAGACCTGTCCAGTTTTTGACATTGTGGCCCCGGTTATTCTTTGTCTCCTTCTGTTTCCCCTGAACTTTACATTGAAGAATAGCTTATCTAAGTTCACACAAACAAACGAACAAAAAAAAACATACCGATGCTAAATGGAATGAGTTCCTCTCGCTCCACGAGATGCCCCTCGTCGTCAAGGAAACGCTCCGGCTTGAACTCCTCGGGGTCCTCCCACACCTCCGGATCGAAGTTGGCGTACAGGTAGTTCAACATCACGATAGTCCCTTCCGGAACCTCATAATCCGAGATGGCGGTGTCTTGAGTTGTCGCTCGCATGACGGCCGGCACGACGCTTCCGTAGCGGAGTGTCTCCAGCAGAACGGCCTGGGTGTACGGCAGGTTGGGTTTGTCCTGAAGGGTGATCTGCCGACTGGTCGGGACCTGTGAGTCGATCTCTTGGTGGATCCGTTCCTGGATCTGCGGATGAACGAGAGCCGCCAGCACTGCCCATGTGAGCACCGTAGCGGACGTTTCCGTGCCGGCCATGAACAGGTCGTTGATCACGAAAGCGAGCGACTCGTGTGAAAAGGAAGAGCTCTCCCCCTGCTTGATTTCGTCCAAGTAGGCATCGACGATAGTTGTGACCACCTGGTCTCCGTTCTCACGTTCCTGCAGGTATTTTTTGATGAAAATCTCGTTACAGTGAATGGCCGTGTCCATTTCCTTGTAAAAGGCCTTCAGGCCGGGCAGAGTAGGGAGATAGCGCATGAAGGGGAGGAAGGTGGACGCCCCGCCGTACTGGATCAGCTGCAAGCTCCGGTGAAGAGCAGCTTTCATGGCCTCGAAGACTGCGTTCTTGCGATCGAATCTTTGGCCGTACAGCACCGAGCCGATGACGTTGGCGGTGGCGTTATTGAAGAGGAGCATCGGGTCGAATCCTTCCTTGCGTCCCACCCGCTGCTCCACCTCCGAGAACATGTGGTCCAGTTCGCCGAGGACGTTGGCTTCGAAGCATCGCCGACCCACGCCGAGAGATCTGAAGATGCGGTGAGTGAAACGTCGCACTTCTTCCCAGCCGCTACCGTATTTAGCACCAGCTATGCCTGTTTATGAGAAATCATAAGAATACTTTTAACCGAAAAACAATTATTGTATGCCGCGCCTTCACATATTTCAGTTGTGCTGGTCCCAGAGGGCGGGCTGATGCCCTCTGTGCTAATCCACAGCTACCTCGAAGGTTAAAAAAAATACTTCATTACCAATTTGTATTCTTTTTCCTCCATAACACCGAATTACTCCCCAGAGCCGGCTATTTAGGGGCGGAAAAACGTTTCAGAACAACCCTGGATCGGCCGACCTTGCGTTGGTAACAAAGACCCAGTCAGGCAATCACAATCACCTAAAGAAACCATCGCTGCTGAATTTGAGGCTAAATATTTCGCCCTGTGTGAAATTTGGATGAAATTGGGCCCTAAAATTCCTCTATTTTGCAATGGAGTGTATAGGCATCATTTTTACAAAATGGCGATAGACTACTTTTAGGGGTGATCATCTTTGAATGGAAAGTTCTCCAAAGGTCATCAGATTACTCCAAAAAGAAATCAACAGAAAATGAAAGATGATGAAATAAGCCTTCTCAAACACCTTGGAGAGTTGTAGGCTTAAGTAATTTTCCCCTGATTTTTTGAAGTGGGGGTCTTTACCACTGCAGGTTTATGGCAGTTTATTTACTGGTCGTAAAGGCCAAACCAAATAGCGTCCTCATATCGCGTCCACCGTCTCTCAAAAAAGAAGGCTAAATTGATTTTACTTTAATCGAGAGCGCCCTCACTGTTGACAGGTTATACAGTGTCAACAAGTATACTTAACACATTGTCTACGTTGAGGGCGCTCGATCTGCGCAAAGGACATGGACTTTCAAAATAACTGGGCTTTTAACCGAACCTGCTCAAAGTCAAGGGAGAAGTGCTGCAGGTGTGTTTACACAGATTATCAGGCATTTCAACACACAAGTTTATATTTTCTTTTAAAAAGGTAGGGCTGTCACGTCGTTTGTTTTTTTCCCTATTATAGGCCTTGATCATAATCGATTCCATTGAAAAAGGGGTAGGTCAATCTTGTCGCGTTTTTGAACAATGCGAAATTCAACAATGAGGCGAACCCAGAAAGGTCGTTCGGGGGAGCAGCTCCGAAAAAAAGGACGACGGCCCCTTCATAGAACAAAGATAGGCCTAAGTAGGGTCGGTTTTTTCTTCATTTACTAACGTTTAGTGTTTGGGGCCTGACTAGCCTTGAAATCAAGTCGGCAAATGGTTGGGTTTAGTTCGCCCATCGCGCACCGGCGTGGACAGATACAGCATGCATATACTGTCCCATCATAAGGACCAAGTTCTCTTTTTATTAGTTGAAACTTGGTAATATTTGCGATTTCTGCGACGTGCAAGATGTACAGTGAGCAGAACATGTCAGGCCCAAGACTTGAGGTCAAGTCACTATAGACAGTCATGTTTTGTCTGTCGGCGCCCGCAATATCTACTAGCACGGCGTATTATCATGCTGCCACCATTTCAGTCGTGTTCCCTGTATCCAATAACAGTACTGAATGATTTTTTTTGTGGAAAAAGGAACCGGACTATTTTTCGTTCCAGACCCACTTTGGTTACGTTGATTTGAAGGAGAAATATAACGATAACCGCAACATGATAATGGTCTATAGTGATGGCCGAGGATGCGCAAACCGTCCCCGCATGTAAGTGCCATACCGCTCACTACACGTATACCCCTGGGACGGTATGCACGCTGTATTTTAATCTTTTGAATAACAATTAATGCCAGTCTTAAGCAAGATATAATCCTAACTCCTGCAGTCCTTCCTTTCTTCGATGAAGTAATGGGTATTTTTTATTCTTAAAAACCCTCGCAGTCCTGAATCCTTCAATTTTAAGAGTTAGGGTTAATAAAAGTACTTTTGAAAATAAAAAAGGATTGGAAACAAATGACATAAATATGTCCACTTGCTCGAAAGATAAACATGTGGTCAGTTGTAGGCTAATAATTCAACAAACTTGACAAATATAATGTGAAATTATACGCCGGTGCAGGACAAAACCTAGAATTTAATTCGTGAATTTTAAACCTAGAAATTTAAAATACCTAATGACTTATTGATGACGAGTTAGGAAGAATTGACAAAGAATTGCCGCCCTTGCAAAATGATTGAACCCAAAAAGGTCTCGATCAAAAATTAAAAAAAAAATGCAGGTCGTGGTACGCGCCACTACTACGCATCACCCACTGAATCAACACAAAACTCGAACAGTACAGTTGTATAACTACCGAACAATGCTTAATCCAAATTGTACGTTTGAACCTTGAAAAAGGTCGGTTCACATGGAACTTGGCCCCGATTAAAGGTCGTTAATCTATGATATTTTAGCTGCGACGAAAGCACTCGCGTCAACCAAAAATACACCATCCCGATAACACATTGTCTCTTAGAGTTCAGGGTTGAATTTCGCAATTGTTCTCATGAATGGAACAGAATTAATAATTAAGCAATGTACCGTTCTTTGAGAAAATGAACAGAAATTACTATGAATGCACATCTTTTCCCCCGCAAAAGTGGTACTGAGCTTGCACTCTGTTCCTGTTTCTTTGGACATGATTCGTCAGTTGATCAACTACAGTACACACTCCTAGAACTTATAAGTTGAAAAGTAGTAAGACTTAAAATGAAGAATAAGAAAGTTTGAAATTGAGGTCAGTGCATACAGGGTGAGTAAAATAAAACGCATCCCAAAATGGCAGGACCAATTTTTGAATGAAGTTTTGCCTGTAGCACTTTCAAAATCTGGGATAAGAAAGCCCAATGAATGAGCTTTCTTTTAGTGCAAGAATCATTCAAATTACTTATGTACTTTTCAAGTTACGGCATTGTTATTTCAACAATTCGCATGCCTCCATATGAGAGTTGTTTTCGTTTTGCTGAAAATGCCGTAACTTGAAAAGTACATGAGTGATCTGAATGATTCTTGTACTAAACGAAAGCTATAATGACTGGGCTTTCATATCCTAGATTTTAAAAGTGCTACAGGCAAAACTTCATTCAAAAATTGGTCCTGCCATTTGGGATGCGTTTTTTTTTTACTCACCCTGTATATATAGTTTCCCGTCAACTGTATAGGAATGGCAGATTAAGTGATCAAACATTTCGTGTCAGTGACAGATCTCAGGGTTAAAGGGGTCTAAACCCCATTTTTGGGCCGTTAAATAAGGAAACAATGCAGAAAAAACACAGGAAATGCCTGCTAAACCCCCTTTTTGGCAGCAACCCCCCCCCCCCTTTTGATCAAAACCTGGATACGCCCCTGCGCGATACTCTTACATAAAAAATATGGTGACAAGTACGCGTGCCCTTGTTATAGTTGCCCTTTTGTAATATTTATAGATGCCGCCAACATATTTGGGTGCTCGAGAGACTGGGGCTCCGGTCCTTTTGTTCGGCGTTGAATAGACGATCAAGAACTGCACCACTGCACCTAAAAAGATGTTTTCCGCTTTACGTACCTTGGTACGTCATCGTGTACGTATATAGATATGGGTGCTGGGAGAAGGTTTGATACCAACACAATGGAAAATTGAATATCCCGCAGCGCGAATTAAAATGCAAAAGCCCACGGAGGGTGCAGCCCAAACAGGACGTTACCCTTGAAATAAATTTAAAAAAAAAAGGTTGTGCGTCCCCCCTCCGTGTTGTGTATACAAACGCTTGGTGTACAGCAAAGGATATGCGAGCAGATTCGGCGATTAAATTCTGCAAATTTACTACGTCTTGCCCTCGAGATTCTGACCATTCAGCGGGCGCCTTCTACAGGGTCTTCCATAACCCGTTGTTGTATGACAAAAAAATGTCGGCCAATTTGACCAATAAACAGCTTATTCCACATTTCTGATCGAAATGACGTCACAAATCGACTCAAATCGGGGGTGGGGGATAGAACTAAACGATATTAAGGGTCCCACACCAAAATTGAAAACTAACCGCTCCCCTCTGCAATGCTTGTTATCCCCGCCCACTCTGTCCACAGAATGGAAGAGTAAAATAGTTTTGGGGATAAGATAAACGATTAAGAAACTGGGGGAAACTACACGACTTGCATGTCCCACTTGATGCGGACAAAGGCGGGAAAAACTGACGATTGGAAATACTATCTTATCGTAATGACGATTGACAGGCACAGCAACAAAGAAATGCACAACGAGATCATTTTTGAACCCCAAAAAGGTCTCTGTACAAAAGAAACAAAAACCAGGTCGTGGTACACGAACTCTACTGATATGACTGAATCAATGAAAACCTTAAAAACAAATTGTGTAACCGCGGTTTCCAGGGGGCGGAGCAATGGCGAGCCAAAAAAATACCACTCGTGCTATGATTAAACCTTGAAAAAGGTCTCTGTCTATTAAAATTTAAAAAAGGATAAAAGGTCGTCAGACTTTACCATTTTGCGTTTGTGACGACTAAATACACGGATCAGCCAAACACTACACGAGTTCAATTATACCTTTCGTGTCACTTGGCTCAAGGGTTTCAGATTTTTGTCAATTTTTCGAAAATGAAAATTGGGTTCCATTCTCAGAGAGAAAGTGAAAGAAATGATACAGAGATGCCAACACATATTTTGTATGCACTCTAGAAAGCCCTGAGTCGGATCCCGGAAACCGGGTCATCATTTCGGGGTCCGACCGAAAGTTCGATAGTTTAAGGCTCTGTAGTCCGAAGGTTCGATAGTCCAAATGCACAATTTTTCCATTAGCGGGGGTTCGTTAGTCCGAAAATGAAATAAGGTGTCATTTAACCCTAAAATGACAAGTCTAAACTGACCCGATTCTCCGAGTCAAATCTAATCCAGGACTTAATATTTGATACAGCACTTATATGTCGGCTAAGCGGTATGAAATTTAAATCGGTATTGCTTATTGCCCCCCCCCCCCCCAAAAAAAATGCAAGAATTGTGAAAGCATGCATGATTTTCTGTATTTCTTGCGCACTAATGCAAAGACAACCCGGCCGATAATGCTCGCACTTTTTTTACCCTCGTATGATATTGTTGCCTGCACAGCCTGGGTGCTTATGAGAGGGCTCCGATCCCGTCCTTTTTTGTTCGGAGTTGAATAGACGATCAAGAACTGCACCACTGCACCTAAAAAGAATGTTTAATGTCATACCAAAGGGTAGGTGCCTTGGTCCATGTTTGCTGTGCCTACGCAACATGGGCGCTGGTGGGTGTAAGGGCAAGGTTGCCCAAAACTCAATAATGTCAACAACAGTTTCCAACGGATGACGAGAGATTGATATACAAGCGACTGAAAATTACTGGGCCGAAATTTCCGGGTTGATGAAGTGAAGACAAAAATGAATCATTTCCCCTCAATGTGCTTGCGAAAATCTTACAATTCATTTTTTCCCTATAGCCTACACTACAAATTGAAGAAAATTAGTTTTTTTGGAACGGTCTTCATGACTTGTTTAATATAAAGACTGAAATGTCATATTCAGGATGACGCTCGATGTAGGCCAAAGTCAGTTTGTGTTGCATGCACACTATGGCACTGGGTGTCTAGTGAAGTTGGGACAGTTTTACACACCTAGTGTAAAATTCTGTGGACAACTTAATTAGCATGATGGACAGACATATTTGTTAAGTGTTAGAAATATTGCACTAGGAACACTTCTTATCAATAATTCGACAGTTTGAAATCTTGTTGACAAAACATCTTCTGAAAGACCACTTAAAATAAATAAATACGGCAACAACAAACAACGATAACAACTTTTTTCCGAGGCATGCCCTAGATCATGATTGATAGAACCTGAAGTTGTCTGTGTGCCTCTGGAAACTTGCCGCTTTAAGTTTTGTCCAAATTAACTTTACAATAATTAGGGTCTTTGCTAAGTATTAGCATCAACTCATCAGACACCCAACGCATTGGTGGTGCTGTTTTTAGGGCCTTTTGTGCGCCCCTTAAAGTAGAACAGCGAGTTAGTTCCAAAGGATATTGCACCAATGTGAGGTATCACTAAAAGAGTGATGGTGCAGGTCAGGCTCAGATGTTGTATACTTTGATCTATAAGAAAGAGAGGAAGATGGTCAACTGGCCAAGCGCTGGGCACTGCAACTACAGTGTGATGAAACTCACTACTGGCATTAATAATCTGCAGTCTGAATTTTAACGTTTGCATTTTCCAGACTAAAATGCAGAATTGTACATGTATCTAAAGAAAAAAACATAAAGACTTACCCCGCCCCTGGAAATAGCAATCTAGAGACTCTATCGGCGCCCTTTCGCTCAAGACGTGACCATCAAGGAGCAGCGGTCGCATCACGTCTCGGAAACTGTTGACGACCACCACCAGTTGGCTGCCAAGACGCAAACTGAATACCCCTCCGTACTGGCGGACAAGACCGAAGAGAAACTCATCCCGTCCGACCCCTGAAAGATGGACGAGGCTTCCCAAGATGGGCCAACCCTTGGGGCCCGGTGGCATCTGATACATCTTCTGATTCTTGGAATGAGGTAGGCTCTTGATGAGAGCGATCAAGCAGACGCCAAGGAGCACCCCCGGCGCATAAGAGTAGTATTCCCAGCTTCTTTCCCCCATAATCAAATAAGTGGAATTTGCTTGCAGACACTTTTGTAAGATACTTTGTTTTAAGCCTGTATGCTTGTTAGTGCGGCCACCGCGAGATAAGCTGTGTTGGATGACAATCACAGAGGCAATATTCGCTTCTAACCTAGTACAGAACAAATACGTGTAAGTTACTGATATAGGGTGCAGTGCATATCGGTTTGCATGAGAGGGCTCAGCTCTGTGTGGGTGCAGCTTTTGTTGACGCGTGACTCCGGGAGCTGATTGGACGATGGCGTTGGCCTATGAAAGATCGATAGCTGCACTGCCACGTGCAATGAATAGCTGGGGGTTACGGCTCTCCAAAGAATATGTTTTTATGCATTATTGTATGAAACAAATTTGCATGTCATTTTTGGGGGCCTTGCAAGGGCAGGGATATAAAGCATAACTTTGAAAAGCCTTTGTGCAGGTCGTTACAAACAGAGGCCTGGTTCTACTTTGTTGATTCACTAGTATTGCAAACACGCACGGGGAAAAATAACTATAAGTGTATGGAAATAAGACCAGCTAGCTATAGCTGCATTTTTGTTTTTAGAGTGCCTTCCGTGTCGTGTCTTCCACGCAACACAGTAAAGGGCAAAAGGTGAAGGTAATGCAAAAACTGAAGTGTTGAAAAAATAAATGGATACCAAGACAAAAGTATAGAAGTTTGAAAAGGGCATTGCACAATGCACTTTCGTCGCGCGTAGGACTAGGGCCAGGGCCGTTCGAACTGTCTGCTTGGCAAATTTATGCAGCTTGTTTCGGGGCTCGACATAGTCTTGGTCAAGGCGTTCGACGATATAGTGTCCTTTATGGTATTATTTTGGCCGTTAACATCGTACGAAGCGCAAGCAGACTGAGATTTCTGTACCTCACGCGACTACCGTGACACTAATGCGTGACCGATCGCTGTACTTCACGATATTTTTGTGAGAGGGTGTGTGTAGGTGTCACCGTGCCGCGTTTGTTTATGGTGTAAATCGAGGACACGCACGTGCAACGTCATCGATGAATCGAGGACAGAAACCAAATCGAGGAATCCTCGAGTTAAGAGTATAAACAAAGGAAACGGGAAAAGGAACAATAGATAATCCTCGATTTACACCATAAACAAACGTGTATGTTCGTGTGCTTATTGGCGGTCCACACTCGTGCAGTGAGCTGATACACCTATGCCCTCTAGCTGGAGACGTGCACACTGCACACAATAGGGAACAAAATATTGTTTACGTCTCCACAGGGCAATTTCTATAGATGAATACGTCTTCACAAGGTTTACACGAAATAGATATGTGGATTTTACTCAAAAACTAGGAATTTCCAAGGTATGTTATCTTTCGGAAATGGAAGAGTTTTAGAAAAGGGATATTAAGTCCGAATTTCAGCCAAGGAAATTAATTCTGGTTAAAATAAGAGCATTTTGAAACTTCACTTTCAACTTGAACTCGAAAACTTTACTACACGAGAACAAAGAAATGTCTCCACAAGGATACCAATTTCAGTGTGGGTGCATTAACATTGTGTGCAGGACCGCGCAGGTACATGGTTGCGCGGATACTGAGAGGACCCCCCCCCCCCCAAAAAAACTTTCCAGTATCGAAATTTCATGAAACCAAGATCGCAAGGGAAAAAAAACATAACTGCCTTGTTTCTCATCCATATACAATATTCGGGTTCTCTTAGAGCATTCCTGTGGTTCTCTTGGAGCATCCCTGTGGTTCTCTTGGAGCGTCCCTGTGGTTCTCTTGGAGCATCCCTGTGGTTCTGTTGGAGCATCCCTGTGGTTCTCTTGGAGCGTCCCTGTGGTTCTCTTGGAGCATCCCTGTGGTTCTCTTGGAGCATCCCTGTGGTTCTCTTGGAGCATCCCTGTGGTTCTTTTACAGCATCCCGTCCCACACTACACTGATTGCATGGGAGTTTCTTAGAGCATCCGAGAGATTTCTTAGAACATCCCAACATGCTCTGACTTCACTGGGTTGTTCTAAGGGACGCTATGGGGTGATCTAATAGCAGCCTTATGCAGTCAGTGCTGTGCTTGAATGCTCCACGCCTAGTCTGATGTTCTAAAGAGAACTCTAAGTGCAACAGTGCAGTACGTGTTGCTGGGATGCTCTAAGAGAACTCGCTGGGGAGAGAGCTGCTATGAGTATAGTGAGGAACAGTATGTTGGAGATATTTATGAGACCCCCACATCGGGGGGCTCTAAGTACCCTATGCAATCAGTGTAGTTTGGGTCGTGATGCTCTAAAAGAGAACCTGCTCTAAGAGAGCCCAATGATGCTCTAAGAGAACCCAAGGGGTGCTCAGTTAAGAGAACCCTGGGATGCTCTGAGAGAATGCTTTCAGAGAACCCAAGGAATGCTCTAAGAAAACGTACCCCTGGGATGCTATGAGAGAACCCAAGGGATGCTCTAAGAGAAAGTTTTAAGAGGCCCCACGGATGCTCTGAGATGATGATCTTGCCGTTGGCCGGCTCAGTAATAAGCGAACGTACCGCCGGTGCGGCACGACCTCAGTACACACGCACACCCGCACACACGTTTGTTTATCATGGTGTAAATCGAAGATTTTCTCTCTTTTTTTCTCTTCCCCTTTCCTTTGTTTGTACTCTGAACTTTTTCGCAACAGCTCTCATTGGTTTCTGTACACGTTTTCTAATCGAGGTTGTCCTGACTGATTTTGGTTCCTGTCCTCCACGGATGTTGCACGAAACGTGTCCTCGATTTGAACAAACTCCCCAAAGCGGCCACAATTTCGTGAAATGCAGCGATACACGTAGTTAATAACTAGAACGTTGATTAATGATAGCGCCCTCTAGCGCCGCGGCGGGAAACATAAGTCATTCTGTGCAGGTACGGAATCATTACCATCATTTTTGGTGAGACCATCATCATGTCGGCTGATGCAAAAGATGACAAACGAGATGCAATGTTTACATTTCAACAACTAGAAGGCAAAACGTGCAAAGCTCTGCAAGTTCAGAATGTGCAAGATCTTTTAATGAAGTGGTAAGCGCTTGTGGGGAGGGATCATTATCGATACTTTTTAGGGGCCGTCCGTCAGCATGGTCAGCAGTCGGGGCCGGCCTCCCTCCCGGCCGTATCGATATCGATATCGTGTACATGTACTCACGCGATAGGAAGGGCATGAAGGGGGGGGGGGGGGGGGGGGGGGGGGGGGGGGGGAAGCAAACCAATGCATACTCGTAATAATTTGTAATTGAATTAATGTATGTGTCATAGTATTATACCAACCAGTACTAGTAGTAGGGCCTACTACTAGGCCTAGTCGCTTTTCCAAACTGTCGAATGGACCCTTCAAATTGCCTATTTTATCGCCAATTGCTTGGGACATGATCTGCCGATTTAGGGTTCATTGATTGCATGCTAGACATGGCGTCGGGAATAACCAACAACCGAACCCTGTGCCAACGTAAACATCTTTTTTTTATTCTTGAAACGGTCACAGAATGATATGCCACCTGAGGCTGAGACATGCTAAAGTAGAGATCGATGATTAGGTTGCATTGAGGCACAAAGGTTTACTACTTACCATGCTTACGACCTGGATGAAAATGAAATTTACCATTTATCAACGAGGGCTCCACCACGAATACCGCTCGCGGACAGCATTTTCCAATGTCTGACAGCCGCCACGCCCCCTCTCCCTCCCCATAAATCTTTCTGTGTCTGTTGGCAAAATTTACCGTAGTAATTTTGGTCACGTTGTATTGCAGGTCAATGAAGGGCCGGATTAGTGCACAGTACTACAGCTTTGATGCCTTGTTCCAGTCCTACCATAAAGATGCATTCGCTCTGGTGAGTGTTAGGCCAAAAAAAAAAAATTCGGTCTCTGGTCAGACCAAAGTTTTGGAATTGACGCGGGGACGCGGCTTTTTTCTTTTTTTTTTTCTTTTTTTTCTTCAAGCTTGGATTGTACAGACAAGGTGGGTACTATTTTGCTTTTTTGGTGTCCTCATGTACATTGGTGTTCTCCATAATTTGCCTTGGTGCTCTCGATCATTTGCCTTGGTGCCATTTCCCATTCCTTGGTGCTCTTTGGTAAAAAAAAATGGAGGAGGTGCGGCAATAGAGGGCGCTGTTGGAGCTAACACGGAACATTTTGGGGAAAAAAAAGATTAACGCGCATGATTAAAATCGACGTGCGCGCTGACCAGAGACCGACTTCTTTTTTTTTTGGCCTGATTAGTTTATCACTATCACGGAGGAGCACTTATGCTGGCTATAGTATACTAACCCTCCAAGGTATTTTGGCTAGAAACCCTACCAAACGCAGCAACATGCAACATTTGTCTAAGTGACAAGCCTTCCCAGTGTAGCAAGATCCATCGAGCAAAAGGTCTCAAGGCCAAACTGTCTCAGAGTCTGTGGTCCCTGAAAAGAGCAGGATACAACTGTGGCATTGTTCTATGGGACTAGCTCTCATTGTCTCAGAAGTGGCCATTTATGCACTGGTGTTGGTAGCTGAATGCATCAAAGTGCACCAGACTTTTCCACCTGATGCACTCTACGTGTTGCGTCTGGCAGGGTAAAGGTTTTAAGATAATCTATCACGGGTTAGTGGCATCACTTCACACTTCGAACCTGACAAATCATACTGTAGTTCTACTATGAAGTTTTTCTAAACAGGGTAATGTTAGATCAGTTTAATTCATAAGCCTACCATGCCAGGACCAATATTCGGTGATTGTGAAGTATCGCAAGTCATCACAATCACAATTAAGTCGTCCAGTCCCAAGTCAACTCACAAGCCATTCTAATGACTGCGACAACGGCATTCCTTCATTATTGTTCCTCCCCTGTTAATTACGTTTGACTGGACTTGTGATTTTGACTTGTGAGTTTGTCGTAACCAGACTTGTGATGTTCGAATACAAGTACTCGTGATACAGTCAACAACACTGATATAGCCTGGTGTTGTGATAATCTACAATTTCACTTTGTTACTTTTTTCAGGATTTCTTACAAAGTCAGAATGTGAAGGCAACACTTCAGGTGCTTTCGGACAGTAACACCTGGTGCCCTGTAGGTAAGTAAACCATCTAAAAACCATCTGTACTCTGGACACCGCATACAAAAACAAACACTGAGTGAAAGCATGGCCTGGCACCAGACTATTCCGTACCTAATTATTCTGAGACAAGATAAGTTTGCGGTAGCACCATGTGAATAAATCTCTTTTGTGAGTATGTGTGGTTCTCAAAACCACACATACTCACAAAAGAGATTTATTCACATGGTGCTACCGCAAACTTATCTTGTCTTAGTATCTTTCCACCATGCAAACCTTCAAATCTCATCTTAAAGCTATAGTCCATCATTTGTAATTTGTGCATTTTGTTCGTTTGAAGCAACAAAAGGGTTCCAAATCTAATGAAGGATACTGAACAACTAACCTGATGAAGTTTCAGCTAAGCTTCAGCTGTACATATCGAGAAAAACAGCATTCTAAGATCTCAATTTCAAATCAAAAGTTACTGAATCATGTTTTGAATTGTTTGAAGCAACAAAAGGGTTCAAAATCTAATGAAGGATACTGAACAACTAACCTGATGAAGTTTCAGCTAAGCTTCAGCTGTACATATCGAGAAAAACAGCATTCTAAGATCTCAATTTCAAATCAAAAGTTACTGAATCATGTTTTGAATTGTTTTGAATTGCAGCCATACGCGACGTAGCGCACTGATCCGACGAATTATAACAACCGCGCGCGCGTGTGCGTCGTTCCAATACTTGTGCGCGCTGCGCTGAATAACGAAACGAACTACTAATTTAAATTTTCCTACGGTGCTTCTTAAGAATCACCGTTGGAAAGGCCTTCTTTCGTTGATTACTTCAAAATGACAGCTTCCCAGAAGGAATAATTTCACAGGGAGTTTAGTTCCCTTACTATCTTTCAACCAAGTTTGTTTTTCAACAATAATTACGCTAGTAACTTTTCGGATGGCTGCAAATGATGGACTATAGCTTTAAAAACAAACACTGAGTAAAAGCATGGCCAGGCACCAGACTATTCCGTACCTAATTATTCTGAGACAAGATAAGTTTTCGGTAGCACCATGTGAATAAATGTGAGTATGTGTGGTTCTGAAAGAACCACACATACTCACAAAAGAGATTTATTCACATGGTGCTACCGCAAACTTATCTTGTCTTATCCACCATGCAAACCTTCAAATCTCATCTTAAAGGGAAAATACAACATTTGCAAACATCAAAAAATAAAACTATCAAATCATTTTGAAATACCTTGCTGGACTGTTAGTGAATGACAGTGTAAAGCATCCTGTAAAATCATGGCACCTGGTATACTGTCATTTTCAAGAAAAGTGGTATTTTTGTATCAATTTCCAACGCTGATCGGCCGATCAGCGTTGGAAAAAAATGGCTTTTTTTCAAATACTGGCCCCAGTTGACCATCGCACTTGTTTGCAATCGATTACATACCTATGAACGGGTACAAGCCAGCTAGACTGGTTCCCTGACCTTACAATTCCCCAATATATGTAAACTGCTCTGTTTCTTCTTAAATGGAGTCAGGGACCCAGATTACAGGAAAATGATTGTTTTTCTTGGTTTTTATAGCATTTTCAAACCCCAAAACTCAAAAAAGTCAGTGTAACTATATTTGCTATATATTTCCAACCCCCCAATTCCATCCATTTCTGAAAATTACAGCAAAAGCAAATGATGTATATTCCCTTTAATTATTGTGAATGTTCCGAAACCTGTACTACTTGTGTAGTGTCTTCAAGTGATACATATGTACATCAGGTGCTAATGCGTTCAAGAGTTCCTCTGAGTGGTCTTCCCCAATCGTTTATGTCCGTTATCCGGTCAAGCTATGTGTATGTATCGCTAAGGTGCAGATCAAGATTTTGCTCATGGGTTGGGGGGGGGGGGGAGGTTAGCTGTCAAGACTGGGGTTATTTGTAATATGCAACATTTGCTTTTGCTGTAATTTCAGAAACGGATGGACTTTGGGGTCATTTTTATAGCAATAATATTTCACAGCAAATATTGTTACACTGACCTGTTTAAAGTTTTGTATTCATAGATACTGGAAAAACCAAGAACAAAATGTTGTTCTTGAAGTCTGGTTCCCTGACCCTATATCAGAAGAAATGGAGCACTTTATAGTCGTCGGGGAATTTTCAGGTCAGAGAACCAGACTAGCTGGCTTGCACCCGTTCACAGATGTGTAACCGATTGCAAACAAAATGTGGACTAACTAAATTTGGTAAATTGGGGGCAGTATTTGGAATAAAGTCCAACGACCATTGTTGAAAAAAAAAATGACTTTTGATAAAAAAATTCCACTTTTCTTGAAAAAGACAGCACACCATGTGCCATGCTTTCACAGGATGTTTGAGACTATTATTCACTTACAGTCCAGTAAGGTATTTCATAACAATTTGGTTTTTTTTTTATACTTGCAAATGTTGTATATTACCTTTAAAGAGGTTGTGGAATGCTCGAAGACATTTCCGTCATTTTTCGGGTATATGTAGCCTAAGGTGTGATGAAATAAAAATGACTATTGTTTCTGTCATAAAATGAGTACAAAAGGTACTTTTGAGAGCTGTTTTTCAAGTCCTGCCATGCCTGTTTCGAACCGAACGTGCAATTTGTTGCGGGCAGCAAACAAAACACAGTAAATCGTGACGTAATAAACAGGACTCCCGATGCAGAGTAGCATAAACGAGTCCTGTTTATTACGTCACGATTTACTGTGTTTTGTTTGCTGCCCGCAACGACGACTTTTACACAAATTGCACGTTCGGGTCGAAACAGGACCTGAAAAATAGCTCTCAAAAGTACCCTTTGTACTCAGTTCATGACAGAAACAATAGTCGTTTTTATTTCATCACACCTTAGGCTACATATACCCAAAAAATGACGGAAATGTCTTCGAGCATTCCACAACCTCTTTAAAACCCTAAACCTTCCGTGTAGATCCGCCCCCATCACTGAAACCACTGATATAACTTACACCCTCATAGGTCATCAGGCACATAAAGTGGAGGCTAATCCCGTCCAATGCAGCGTCACATCCATGAAGTTTTTTGACCGTCTGTATGACGAAGGCATCGTGAGAGAGAGTGGCAGTATCGTCAAGTGTCTGGACGAGTATCACGAGGAATTCCAGATATCGGACGAATTACGCAAGGTTTGGCCAAGACATAAATTTCAAGAAATACCATATATTTATTGATTGACATATCCACTGCTACCTTAATTAACCCTAACTTCTAAAAACCTCTTTGCAAACTGGGGGATTTTGCAGGCTTGAGGCTATATGGCAAAAATATGCGGCTGATTTTGGAGGATGCATGTGTCAAGGTCTTAGGCTAGACCTTGTGTTGTTTATGCTCAGCCGTGCATAAATTTAGGCCAATATTATACTTGAAATCCTCCGCACTGCTCCAGGATGTCACTGGCTCTAGCCTCAACATAAACAGTGATTGCCGGAGGATTTTGCAGGATTGAGGCAGTGGTCACCCCTACAAGGACCACATTCAAGAAATAACGGATGATTTTTGGAGGATTGAGGCTGTATGCAATTTTTACATGGAGGCAGTTGGAGGATTTCATAGGATTGAGGTTGCATCCTAACAAAAGTGCCCAGGGAGTTGGGGTTAAAAAAAGGTCTGCCATTTCCGGCAAGCTTGATGGTCGAGTGGTAAGACTTCTGCACTGGTAGGCAGGAGGGTTCAAATGGGTTCAAGTCCTACCCAAGTAATTAATAAATTGATTAAACAACTAATTAAACAGGTGAATTGAAAAGACAATTAATCAATTAAACATTAATTAAATCGAAAAGCGTTAAAGGTACCCTATTAAGTAAATGAAGTATAAAATACTGACAGACAAGCATAACAAAGCTACAAAATAAAATTGAAGAGTTTGTCTCCAAAACGAGATCAAAGCAATTTTGTTACCTTTTAGAATCCTGCCCTCTCCACCTAGTTGCCCACAGTCAGTTTCAATGACATTTATATAGTTGAACACAATCTAATAATATACAATAAAGCAAAAAAATATGGTTTAGAGACAGCTGTTATACTGTGTTATAAGTAGGAGTTTTTATAACCGTCCAACTTTCTCGCTATTTTGTTTTCAAATGATCATCAAGTTTTTGACACACAATGTAAACTCTTAAATTTTTCTATCTTCATACCTTGATAATTTTTAGAGTATCAGGCCGCCCCCAAAGAAGTCTCTGGTTTCTGGTATGCGCGCGCATTGCTGTAGCCATGCGTGTCGGCAAAATTAAAAAGTTGTTTTAATGTAAGATGATGTCTCAAAACCGCCAAACTCACTGGCTTGACTGGAATCCTGCTGCTGCACAATTTTAATGTGTTTTTAGATGGGGTTACGATCGAGTATAAGCTTTATGTGGCCTCTCTGGGCTCCCATATATTTTGCACTAAATTTAGTCGGGCACCATTTGCAGGCAGTGTTTGCACGATGTCGCTGTATGGTCTGACGTTACCATTTTCTCAGATTTTTGTCTTGACTATCCAAATTTCCCAAAGAATGTTCGTGTCGGTCGAGATTGTAAGTGAGTGCAGACTTCTCAAGCCTTATGGCCTTACTGAGGTCACCTCAAGCTCCACCCTGAAGGATATTTTTGAGAGTTTTAAGGGGATCAAAGCGTCATCTGCAACATCAGCCGACATTTGAAGAAAAAAAAAGTAGGAGGGAAAAAAAAGCGACGTCGCCCATCTACTTTTGGGGCAAGCTCCATACCAGGACTGTTTTTGTTTGGCCTTACCATAAAAACAATTAAGAAATGTCCCAACTCTTAAAGTTTTCCGGGTTTTCAAATTTTGCTCTTTCTCGACAGATGCTTCTGGTGGAAGACTCGGACAACTACGACATCTTCAGCGACAGCGAGAGACAAGAATTCTTCTTTCTTCTCTTCCAGCACTTGTGCCTCGGGGGCCAAGTTTGTCAGTTTGAGGACGACATTAAGCCGTATCTGGACACTGCCAAGTCATTGTACAAGGAGCTCATCAGGTATGGGCGACATCTTTAAAGGGAATATACAACATTTGCAAATATCGAAAAACAAAACTACCAAATTTTTACGAAATACCTTACTAGGATGTTGGTAAATGACAGTCTAAAGCATCCTGTAAAATTATGGCACCTGGTGTGACTCAGTCATTTTCAAGAAAAGTGGTATTTTTGTATAAATTACCAATGGTGGTCGGCCGACCATCGTTGGAAAAACCTAACTATTTTTTAACTACTGCTCTAAATTTACCATTTTTTTTTCAGTCTAAATTTTGTTTGCTATTGGTTACATGTTCACAAACGGTTGCAAGCCAGCTAGACTGGTTCCCTTACCTTACAATTTTCCAGCATCTATAAATTGATATATTTCATAATATTGGAGTCAGGGAATCAGACTACTTGAACCTTTTTTGTTTTTCTTGGTTTTTCCAGCATTTTCGAACACAAAACTTCAAACATGTCAGTATAACAATATTTTGATCTATTATACTAACACCTCAACGACTTCATTTCCGAAAATTACAGCAAAAGTCAATGATGTACATTCCCTTTAATATATCTGTGTGGAAATACAGTGACCCTTTCATATTTGGCTTTGTGAGATAACTTTTGAGAATATATTTTGTGGGTGAAAAAGCTTGGTAGTGGTATCCCTCTCTAAAATGAAGCCGATTAGGGCTTGCAAGACAAAGCATAATTTGTATTTCTTTTTCGCCTTAAGTGTGCAGAAAGATAGTTCTACACAGCAGCTACGAGTGACTTCGCTGGTCTATCAACTGAAAGCTCAGGTAAGACTCATTCAATTGGCAAGTATCTTAGCAGATTGGCCCTCCTGAGGCCATTTTATAAGGTTGCTTTGCATAAAATACTGCTTAGCATGAAACTGCATCGCGATCAAGCCACAGTACAGATCCACCAATTGCACCCAAAACGTCTCAACGGATCAATCGTGCTCTAAAATCAAGACCAGTTTGCTTAATTTTTTTTTATACTTTTCGGCTAAAATAATTCACATTTTACAAGATCCTCATTCAAACAACCAAATAACATTGTGAGTGCTCCTTTAAAGGGGCACAAGGTCATGAAATCCTCGAAAATGTCATGTTTTGGATTATTTACTTAGCCTATTTCAAACATCTGGTTGAAAGGAAACCAACCTAATGTCTTACCGTTCCCGAGAATAGATGGAAAAAACCTGCTTGTTTACATCGGACACGACGGAGCACAAATAAGTTTTTCGTGTCGTTCTCAGTGTACGATAGACACGTTGTGTGTCTCGGGAACAGCGGTGACCAATCACCAACGCAAAAAAAGTGGTTTCTTCAACGTCCGCAAAAGGGGAACACTTCACGAATGAAATCACAACTAGCATCCAAACAGCTCGAATTTATGGAGTCGCAAAACTGGACCCCGAAATTCGTTCTTGCACGCATAATACAAGAATTACACAAAAACGCACAATTTTGAAAGGATAGTTGTGTGAGTGTTTATATCCTACTTTTAAATGTTATTTCCGCTTAAAATCATTTCGTTCAAAGCGCGTTTTGTAGCCCAATTGGGCTGTTCCGGGACCTAGTGTCCCTTTGAAGTGGGTTGAACTATTGACCCTGAAAATCCTAGCCAAACATCTGCCCCTCTGACAAGAACCGCACGCTTGTATAATAAAATCCTTAATAGTGAGTCTAGCTGGCCTCACCGCAGGGCATGGACCATTCTGTCAACAAGACAAGTCAACAAGTTCAAGCGATGGCTGTTTGCAGTCGTCTGACCAATAGACAACCCAAAATTGATAGATGGCCAATGCTTGAGTAGATGTGGACCCTATTCAAACATGTGCTGTAGTTCTCAGTACGACTGTTAGACCGTGGGTGTAAAAAGTGATATCGAGGTGCAGGGTTAATTAATTAAGCAATGGGGGACAAAGGGGGACGAACCTGGGGAATATAGGTTGCAGACCAGTAGATAAACTTCCATAGACCCCAATGGTAAATGCTCCCACTTCAGAAATTCGGGAAAAATACTCACAACTCTCCAAGGTGTTCGAGTCGAGACACACATCAAATTAAAGCTTATTTCATCATCTTTCATTTTCTTTTCAATTTTCGGGGGGGGGGGGGGTTCAACTTATGACTTTTAGGAGAAATTTCCATCCGAAGATGATCACCCCTGAAAATAGTCCTGAAGCCCACCGCCATTTTGAAAAACGATGCCTACACTCCATTGCAAAATAGAGCGCTTTAAGGGCCCCAACTTCATCCAAATTGAACGGAACTACAAGCTCACAGTCCTGTGCACGGCTTCCACCCATATTTTTTACAAACCCTCAAGTTCATGGCCCACAGCATGCTCAAATACGGAAGATTTTGAGGGCATGCAAATCGTGATTTGGCCGGCGTAGGCAATTTCGGACCGATTTACTGGTCTGCAACCTGAAGACAGACGGAGTGCCCATGTCTCTTTTGAAGCGATTGGGCCAGACGAGATTCTGCTGTGGGGGGATCGCCACACCTCCACAGCGAGTCTGTTATCTTCCCAGCATTGAATAATGCCACTACCCAATAACACCTGGGTTGAGAGGAGTAATTGAGGTAAAGCGCCTTACCCAAGGGCACAACACACATGGCCACGGCGGGGCTCGAACCCACAATCTCACGATCATGAATCCTGTTCCCTACTGCTAGACCACACGTGCCCACAATTTAGCAATAGCTGAGCTTTTGGTTGACTTGCTTCGCAATCGACCCACAGCACGGTTCCACTTGTCACACCAACACGTCTGTTGCTTAATATAATACAGGACCAGACGGGATACCAGTACTACCCATGCGACAAGGATCATCCGCAGACATTCGCTTACCTCATCATCGATCCACTGAAGAGACATGTTGCCGTTTTCTACCATAAATTTGGCGGCGGTGTGTTCAGCTGAGGCGGTGGTTGTACAGAAGTTCCATATTGCTTTCTAGGAAATGGATGGACACCATTTGCAAAAACAAAACTTTTGTGTTTTTGTTGGTTCTTGGTTCTTCTCCTTAATACTCCAAGTGGGAGTTTTAACAGGCAGCCAGAAACACCAGGGCGAACCCCTTCTCTTAGCGATAAGTGTCACTGGGTTCTTTTGTGGCATTGCAGTACAACACACGGGACCTACGGCTTTACGTGCCATCTGAAGGACGAAGCAATAATGGTTAAGTGCCTTGCTTAAGGGCACAAGTGTCCACCTGGTGGGCTCGAACCAACGCCACTGTTGCCTCTGAAACACCAGAGCATGAGTCCGGTGCTCTCAACTGCTAGGCCATGACTCTTCATTTCAAGGAACAATGCAATAAATCTGATGTAATCAATCTGATGCAGGTTATTTAGAAAACTCAGTGGATATATATTTTAGAGAAAACTTTGAAAATGCATCTTTATTTTTTTTCAACGCAAAGTGTAAGCTTATGTTGAGTTTGTTTATGGTGTAAATTGAGGACAAACACGTGCAACATCATCGGTGAATCCAGGACAGAGACCAAATCGAGGACGACCTCGATTAGAAAACGTGTACAAACCCAATGAGAGCTGTTGCAAAAAAGTACAAAGGATAAGGGAAGAGGAACAAAAGAAAATCCTTGATTTACACCATAAACAAATGTGTGTGAAAGCGCGATGGTTTGGTCCTAACCGACGCAAAGAAATGATGGTAATTCCCCATTTCTCGAAAATTACTGTACATGAGGTGCAGCAATTGCACAATGCTATTATTTACTCACAATCAAGTAGGATATTTTGTGACATTTTGGCAGTTTCATTTTTGAATGTTTGCAGATGGCTTCCACTATCTTCAAAGGTTTTTTCTTGTGTGTGATGCCTAACAGGACATTAAGATTGTCATTTGAAATAAATCTAGATTTGTAAATATGTTTGTCAGATTTCAAGTGTGTACTTATTTACCCTTCTCATGCAGTTCAATAGTGGTACTATAACCTAAATAAAAGTTGCAATATGGAAACATTGTGAACAATGAAATTAATATATCCTTCACAAAATCGCGAGGAGGGTTCCCTAATTTCAATTTGTGCATTTGCTCACAATGCAATAGATACATGCATGATCTTAAGACTATGTAGAATATGTAAAGACAGTATGAAGTGGGGTGTTTTTTTTTAGGGGGGGGGGGAATTTCGTTTGTGTTTAAAGTATTTACTTTACTTTAGCTTCAATGTGTATATTTGTGTGACACATGAAATAAGCTTTTTGAATTTTTCAAGCTGGTCTGGTGGTCCGATGTCGTGAGCAAATTTATACACCTCCCCAATTGCAATCCTGCGTACGGGCCTGCATCAATGACACATGGAAATTACCCCACGTCTTTCTTTGTTCTCATGTTTCCCAGTTTCCTGTAAGTTTCGTTCTCTAAGCTGCAGCTTGTAGCCTTTGGGGCAACTTCTTTTTAAATAAATAGATCTGGAAATTGATTTTCAGGACCAACCTCTCTGATTTATTAGTTTCTTTTGTCAATTTTTTTTTTAACAATATAGAAATTACTGTTAAAAAACTAATCTCAAGCTATAAGCTAAACAGTCCATTGCACACAGACAATTTTACAGTATGCAAATTGTATTTAAGTAGTGCAGCACTGGACTGTTTGTACTGCACTGGTTATACAGACAATAGCCACGACATAACTCACAGGATATAAAGGGATGTGCTGTTTTATAAATATGCTGTTTTAAACAAGTAGGGCCTATGTTTAAAAGTGGCTAGGAGCCTAGACGCAGATAAAGGCCCAAGCCCAAGGCGAGGGTCATTAACCAAGCACATACTTTATTTCTGAAGATTTTCAGAATGATCAATAAATTCTGTGAATGACCTGGTAGATAAGATCATCTAGCTTACGGCATAAAAATTTGGGGACCATTGTATAATGTATATTGTATTTGACAGGAATCAGACTCGGACTCGCGTACTACTAAGACTTGGCCCTGTACTAGGTCCTGGATGTGCTCAGTACTTTCGCGAGCGTCATAAACGTGAAATATGTTTTATTTTCCCATTTATCCTGGTTTTCATTTTGAAAATTACCCAAGAATGGCATTCAAAATCTTTCTTTTTTTGTTGTCTGCGAAGTTACCAAGTGCTTTGTAAAGTTAGTTACTGGTACCGATCCCATATTCAGGAACCATTTCCAGTCCTCAACGGTTGTGTACCAGGGTAACCGGTACTGATGCAGATCCCTGCAATACTGCCAGAGTTATAATCGTCATCCAGTTAACTCACATACACGTAGCAGTTCGTTGTGATAACGCCCTCTCGCGGCAGGGTTATCGCGACGGCGGGTTATCACATATCTACAACAACAATGTCTTGCCCCAAGACAAAGTGGATGTGTTGCTTTATGAATATACACTATTATTAACAAGGCTTTTATCTTCTTTAAACAACAATGGCGGCAGACGCAAAATCATCTCTTGGCTGGCCTGGGCATGACAAACACTTTGACTGGCTCACACAGATGTAGCGTTCTCTGCTTGCTCACTCGGCTAGATCCTTTCACTGTCAGGTCTCCGATCCGGTCAGGGTCGTAGGTCATCACCACGGATACCTGTATCTGGCAGGGATCTGTGGAGGACAATGTAAAGTACAATAATGAATAGCTTAAAAATGAGACACTGTTAAGTTGCCCTTTGAAATACTGGCTGCAATATTAAAGGCGTAGGGTCATCTGCTTTTATCCTAAAAGCATACTGCTGCCCGAGTAATTCTCAAAAAGCTTACTTGGCTTAAAGACTAATGCGTCTATCAAATGACCCCCCCCCCCCCCTCCGCCCCATGTCCAATGTTGGGATTTTGTCACGTTTTTCATGCCCCAGGGTGGGGATTTTGGTCCCTCAAATTACATTGTTACCATTGGCGTACTACATGGAAAGGCAATCACTAGTGTGCCCCATGTATGTATGTCGGGGCATGGTTGGGGATTGTCACTTAAATTTAGATCAAAATCAATCAAAAGATCTTCCCCAAGAGAAGCCTGGTTCCCAGTCCCTACACCATCGATTCTGATAAGGGTCAGGAACCAGTCTACACTATGTGAACTGGATTTTGTTTAGTAAGACAAAATTCGGATAACATTCATTATATCTGTAACTCTATGGCAGATAAGAGTAAATGAATAAACATTAAAAAAATACCGCTTTTAAAAATAATTCAAATCTACCACAAACTGAGAAAATGTTTCGTTTGAAACATGTACACTTGAATGAATTACATTTTTTTCGCAACCTTTCATTTTCATGTAAGTATGAATACGTACCTGACCACATTGCATGAGACACATAGACTTGCGCATGTAGCCTATGCCTTAGCGGAGACAAACTGTGAAAATCCGACGTCTTTGGACTGAACAATTGCTCCTGGCTGTCCGGAAACGTTACCTGATTTGAAAATTACAAAAAAAATTACACAACATGAGAAATTGTCAACTTTAAACTAGAAGTATTCAGGCCAGTTCGTACTTCCACGCTTTCAAGCAGACCCAGGTGAAAAAGTAGGAGAACAGTAGGATCGCAATTACAACCAAAAAACAGGACAAAAGTAGGACTTTGGAGGACAAAATCAGGATAAACGTAGGACTTTTGCAGGCTTTCCAGGAGTAGTTTTTATTGATACTCACCCATGTCCAGACACATTTGTTTATGGTGTAAATCGAGGATTTTCTTTTGTTCCTCTTCCCTTTTCCTTTGTTTGTACTATAACTTTTTCGCAACAGCTCTCATTGGTTTTGTACACATTTTCTAATCGAGGTTGCCCTCGATTTGGTTCCTGGCTTCGATTCACCGATGATGTTGCACGTGTGTGTCCTCGATTTACACCATACACAAACGCACATCATCATCATCCTCATTTGGCATGTTTTGCACTCAACACTTGTGCTCCATCCTTGACTAAGCTCTTGGAAGTACAGTTCAGAAGTACTCCTGCACCCAAGCTTTTCATTGTGTGATTTACATATGATTTACATGGTTGCTATGCGTATAGTCTTTTTTGGCAGTGTACAGCACGATAGCAAAAATAGTGAATGACATGTGACTCACTCTCGGCCAATCAAGATACAGAATCTGTTGGTGGGGTGTTATAATAAGGGAATAAATGTGTGCTTTGTGGTTTTAAATACTACGTTTAAGACAGGTTGGAGTCTGGATGGGGATAATTACTCGAGCCAAAGACGAGGGTAATTATCAGCATCCAGTTTCCAACTAGTCTTAAACAAAGTGTTCAATACCGACCAAGCACACATTTATTCCCATTCATAAATACCTTTTGGGTAAAAAATCAACACTTTTCAGTCCAAAAGTCAAAACAAGGAAAAATTATTAATTTTTAACCCTCTGGCTTTATATACAATGGCAAGGCCCTCTGGTAAATCATTCCTTATATAGAGATTGACGCACGCGTACTATGTGATGTGGCACACAATAAAGATGTACCGGTGTAGTGTGAATTTAGGACTATGAAATACTGACTCACTGGTAGTACTGTGCATGCCTACCTCAGGATTGAGAACGTTCAACCAATAAAACGGCGCTGGCACTGGATATCATAGGAGTCAAAATTGCATGTGTTTCAGACCAGCCAGCTATGTCTTTATCAACCATTTAAAACCGGCCACGTGACGGGCTCTCGACTAATAGCAATGGGTCAACTGTCTGTTGAATAGAGAATATTGTCCATTAACTTGAACCCCAACTCCCTTGCATGATTTATTAGGAGCCATACCCATCCTGGCAAATGCCAACACCATATGGGAAACTGCACACACATATTTCTGCCTTTGATTCTAGAGGTGTGCCAACCCAATATAAAAGACTGTCAGTTTTGGGGTACTGTACCCATCCTGAGGGGCCTCGTAGCCGAGCGGTTAGAGTGTGGAGCTACGGAGTGGAAGGTTGGCGGTTCGAATCCCATTCGGACCAAAAACTGGAAAACTCTCTCTGACGACCCAACAGTAAAATGGGTACCTGATTCGTTCAGGGAAGGTAAGATGGCGAGAGGAGAGGACTGGGCCCCGCCACTCATATGCCGCGCCCAAGACACAGTGGACCTCTAACATCCCACTGCCCCTACGGCCAGTAATGGCTATGGGATCTTTACCTTTTTACCCATCCTGACAGATTCCAACAAAACATGCCGTTGGGGTTTGATGGGTTAACCCTACCTGTATTCGGATCCTGTTGACATCCTGCACGTTGTCCAGCGTGCAGTCGACGCCGATGGCCAACGCCAGTCCGGCGGTGAATCTCAGCGGATTATCGGAGCCTCCGGCCGGCTCGCGTATCGTCGCCGTCGCTTTACTCAACTTGTTGGACGGGAGAAGCGAGGGGATGCCGTGATGGAGTAGCAGCGGTTGAAGGAATTTGACCAGGATGCCCCCCTTGTTGCTGTCCAGCTTGTGCATCTCCGTGAACAGAGCCTGAGTGAAGCTGTCTGGTTTAACACCGGTTGCTACCAAGTGCCTGCGATTTGAGGACATCACAAGGGCAATAAGTACCGAATTGGATTAAGGGGTTATTCTATAAATTTCAGGTCTAGTTTTTTCCTGTCCCTGTTACATCTGACATCTATGATTGTACAAGTCTGAATGCACTTGTTAACACTCCCTCTCTGGCTGGCTGGCAAAAAATAATAATTTAGGGTGCGAATCATCCTTATTCACAGCTGAGAAGCTGAATTGCAAAATACGCGGCTACAACGTGGTCGAGCCGAAGGCATGTAAAGGCACCTTTAGCAGCTGCCAAACATCCCATGAAAGGCTGGTCTATGTAACAGACCATGGGCCGTGGTCTATGATATGTGAGCAGATTCGCTGATTAATTAGGCAAGATAACCGCCTCTTGACCTCTAGATTTTGACCAATCAGCGTGCGCTTTCTGTATCAGGTCTTTGGTCATACACAATGGATAAACAAAATCCTGTGTCACGCGTAATGCTTTGGTAATGAAATGAGGTCAGGATTTAGTAAAGTCGACTCCGATTGGCAGGTGCGCAGCTTGTATGAATCTGCATGGCTAGACATTATATACAGGAGACTTGCTCCGTGGATAACGGGTGATACTCAGACTAATGAAAGGCCCGCTCCAGTCAATTTCTTTGTTCAACTCTTTAGAAAACTGACTAGGTGAGTCAGTTTTCCTTTCTGGTTCATATGAAACTTTGTAATAAAAAGCCGTATCCTCTCTGAGCGATCCCCGTTTGCTATTTCCCAGGTCTGTATCGTGACTTTGGGCGTGACCCCTAGCTGCATGGCATACATGTATAGGGGTTCATGGCTTCTGACTAGCGCCTCTTAAACAAAGTAATTGCCTCAATAGGGCTGGACAGCTCAGTTGGTAGAACACCGGAACAGCAATCCAGAGGTCGCAGGTTCAAGCCCTGCTCCAGTCAATTTCTTGTTCAACTTTTCAAAAAATACTAACACTTTTGATTAATTTTGTTGCTGCACAAACAAAAAATCCACAACACAATGATCCGACGTGCCAAAACACAACCCCCCCCCCCCCAAAAAGAAGACAACGAAGAAAGGTAGTATTACGTACCTGTTTAGAAGTCCGAGTCTGTTCAAGTAGTGCTTACAGGCAGTCTGCGTGGCGGCCTGTTTGCTACCACTGTTGTTTATCTTCCCGCGCAGCTGAACGAGAAACTCCAACGTCCAGCCGCGAAACCTCATCTGCATGATGCTAGCCTGCTCCGATACGCTGCAGCCCAAGAACAAATGCTCCAACTGGTAGCTCAAGTCTAAGATCTGAGCGACAACATCGAGAAGAAATACCAAGTTAGAGTGATGAATATAAACACATGTGTAACCGAGCTGGAAGGTTACGCAGAAGATTTGAAAGTGACACTGGGATATAATTTCACTTAATTGATCAAAATTTTATTACTACAAAAAACCAAAAACTACAAAACGACAGTCATTCTTCAGCAGTCGGAGCAGTTGCGGCCTGTGTACCTTATGCCTCGGGATGTTCGGGCAAACTACACGTATGCATGTACACGATGTGTGTATGCACATGCGGCGTGCTAACCATGACAAAACCACGTACGAAACACAGCAAGATATGGACAAGCTGGCTCGCAATAAGGTGTGGTTGGCTGCAGCGACGACGAGCAGTCAAGTGACCTACCCATTCTTGCTTACTCTCCGAGAAAACTAGCGAAAAATTCAAGGAATGTGCGTCCGAATCCCTATGCTTTTATAACACTGCACGGAATAAAAGGTTTTTCGCACTGCATGCCATGTGCAAATTGTTACGCAACTCTGTATGCTCTATTCAACGGAAAACACAAGAGGGCGCTCGCAATGCTTCGACAACTTTCGCATCGCTGTTTATGTTAAAAATATAAGACGTTGACAAAGAAACATTTTACAGACGGGACCTGGCAGCATAATTACAGGAATTTAAGTCCGGCCGGTCACACATGGTTTAAAGGTAGAAACATCATTTACAGATATCCAAAAAGTAACTAACCATATTATTGTAAAAAAGTTTTGGTTTAAAGATAGTCACAACACCACAATATGTATCAAAAAATATATGCAAACAAAATATAACGGAATGACAGACATACAATGTGTAACCAACATAGATAATATAGGAACGGTTTGAAAGATACACTTTTCCACTTTAAAATGAGACATCAAACATCCAAATCTGATCATTTTGGACAGAGTTATGAGTAACTTTCCAAGAGAGTTCAAATTGACCATGGGACCAAGTTTTCAATTTTAGGCATTGGGACAAAGGTAGCATAATTGCCTCTGTGTTGATATTTGCCTGGCCTACAAAAAAAATGTGTTTAGCGAGTCAACACAATTCTAAACACTTTCTTGCTATCACCTCATGCTAACAATGTTTTGTAAACATGTTTAAAAAGTCGTAGAGCTGGTAAAAATTTCCATACCTGTGTTGCGGCAGCCAGCATTGTGTCGGCACTCTGTTGTGGACAGAGAGGGGCGGGTACGTTCCATCGATCCTCACTCAACGCCTGGTAAGCAATTGATATGAACAACAGAATTAATCCACTTCACAAAGTCTGACCGGAAACAGATCATGGAGCTGTAATAAGCCCAGAAATTTGCTGAAAAACAAATGGGTTACCGGCAAATATGAACATGTGATGCGTGTTGCTTTTCACCGGTTCTGCGCTGATTTTTGCTAACAAAAATATTTGTTAAACAAGATTTTGTTGTTGCTTAATGGCTCAGTGAAATGGGGTCCAGGGCTGTTGGTCTGACTGAAATTGAGAGAAATCTTTAAGAGACTCTAATGCAACAGAATGAAAGACATATCATTCTTCAAGATGCAAATTATAGAGAACAGAAAAGGAAAAATTTGACTTGTTTTTGACAAAAATTTCAGGGGCAAATCCTGGAATTGGCTTTCAGCTGGAAAGTCTATAGGGAACCAATCCCCCCAACCCCCCACCCAACCCTTTGCCCAGGACCCCCCCCCCTCCCCCACCAATAACAATTTGGAAAAGGTAAAAATAAACACTGAAGTCCCCCTCCAGAACATATGGCCCCCGATAAGTGCCTGCTGCTACAAATTGAACCCTAGTGACGTCACTTGTTACATTCAGGGCTTATTAATACATACCTTGTACAAGACGAGCTGGCACTGGATGTATTGAGCACAGAAGTCTGCACGTGCCGACAACCCTGATTCCACTACACTCACTCTGTGCAGATCTCTGTCAAAACAAACAAAATGACGCAAATGAACCTACGTAATATTAACTGCTGACAGAAATTGGCATGGTCAGTTAGAAATGTATAATAAGCAACACGATTACCCCAGATTGGGAAAAAAAAATTACAAATCAGCTGTCTTACAGAACCATGTGGCCCATCAGGCCTGTGTTTATCTCCAGTTGCCTTGGCATGAAAGGACCAGTTTCCTTGGCATGAAAGGACCGAGGATATTTCTATTCCCCCTGGATGGGATGCCAGTCCATCACAGGTTACTCCCCCGCTAATGCTGTTACCCATTTATACTCATTTATACCAGTGAGCGACAAATGGGGCTAAAGTGGCTTGCCCAAGGACACAACACACGGCCAGTGGCAGGATTCGAACCCGTGGCCCTCTGCTCATGAGTCATTATAAGCCTAACCAGGTTTACTCCCCAGCTAATGCCAGTACCCATTTATACTCCTAGGTAAAGAGACAATTGAGGGTGAAGTGGCTTGCCCAAGGACACAACATACGGCCACTGGCAGGATTCGAACCCCTGACCCCCTGACCATGAGTCACTATAACCCTACCCAGGTTTACTCCCCAGCTAATGCCAGTACCTATTTATACTCCTAGGTAAAGAGACAATTGAGGGTGAAGTGGCTTGCCCAAGGACACAACATACAGCCACTGGCAGGATTCGAACCCCTGACCCTCTGACCATGAGTCACTATAACCCTACCCAGGTTTACTCCGCAGCCAATGCCAGTACCTATTTATACTCCTAGGTGAAGAGACCAAATGGGGTGAAGTGGCTTGCCCAGAGACACAACATACAGCCACTGGCAGGATTCGAACCCCTGACCCTCTGACCATGAGTCACTATAACCCTACCCAGGTTTACTCCCTAGCTAATGCCAGTACCTATTTATACTCCTAGGTGAAGAGACAAAATGGGGTGAAGTGGCTTGCCCAGAGACACAACATAATTATGGTCACTGGCAGGATTTGAACCCCTGACCCTCGATTGTGAGTCAGAAACCCTGACCACTAGGCCACACTCCCCTGAATACCAATTTTCACTTGCCTGATGACAAGTTGCATGAGATTGACAGCGGGCTGTCTGGTCATCGTATCCAGATGCTTGACTTTCTCCAGAGTCTGGCCGAGGAATGTATCGTGACTCTGCCCTTCACTGAGTGGCTTATGCGATGACTCCAAGCTCCTGGATGATATGTACTGCGGGACGATAAAACAAATGCATGTTATAAATCGTATATCGGGGTGCATTCCACAATGCTAACGTTTGCCAACGTTGGCATGGGTGGCGCAGTGCAGTGCTCGCCTCTCACCGCTCTGGCCTGGGTTCGAATCCCGGCTCGGGTCATATGTGAGTAGAGTTGTTTGTTGATTCTCTCCTGTGTAACATGGCTTTTCTCCAAAATACCCCGTTTTTCCTCCCTCTGCAACAATCTGAGCTGCGCTTCATGGTCTTTGGCTCGACCGTGTTATAGCTGCGTTTTTCGCTTTCCAGCTTCTGCCCCCACGTGAATGTGCTTCAGCCAACCAGGATAAAGAATCGTGCAATACGACACGAAGTACGCCACGACCAACTTTAACTCTGAATGTGCTCAAACCCAGACAAGTGTGTATTTGCGTGCAATCGGGCACCCCCTATTACTCCTCTTTTGTTTGTACTCTTACTTTTTAGGAAGACCTCCCATATGTTTTGTACACATCGCCAAATTGGGGACCTTTGGCAATTGGGGACCTTATTGTCCTCTATTGTTTAACGTTTGCAGAAACAAACTCAGAGCAACTTTGCGAGAGCATCAGGCGATTGTTGGAAATTATGCGTTCCAGATTCCCACCCAGTGATTTTCCCCAACTTCTCCTTGTAACCATTGACAGGGTACTTGTGGACGGAGTCTATGGTCTACTTTACACGATTTGTCTAAATTTGAATCGTTACCTTGACGTAAGGCACCAGGTGGGGGAGGCTGTCCCTCAGATATGAGTAATGTCTGATTGTGTAGTCAGGAAACAAAGACACCATGGTGGGGCTCTCTGCTGCCGAATTCAATATCAGAATCATCACACCGATGTCTAGAACCATAATGTCAAGGATTAAAAATAAAGCATTTTTTTCACCCGTTGAAGTAAAACCTGACATTTGCGCATTTTGCCTAGTGTCCTCTTTGTACCAATTTCACTGACTGACTGACTGACTGACTCCCCGACTGATTGACTGACTGCACAGCACCCTCTAGTCTGGAGTATCACCCATTATCCACGGAGCCCATTCTCCATATGTGACCCGCTCCACAAAAATGAGTCTGTTGTGGCAAAACTGAAATTTTGAGTAAACTACATTAATAAACTGGGAATGAAGTAAGCTTTCATTTGGTATATCACGGACCTCTCTAGGACGTTTGGTTGCACTGTTGTGCCTTTTTTAATTCTGTCAAGTTTTTGCAAAGCAAGAAATGTCTCAATGAAGAAAAAAGGGTTTAAAAATTACAAATACACTGTAACTAACCAAGAAAAGCACCAAAAATCATAAATTTGTTAGTCTTTTTCTTACAATATTTAAATTTCTGTGTAAGATATCTGAACTAAAACTATCAAACAACCAAAATAAAACAAAAACAAAAAATCCAAATTTTGAGCAAATTTTCACGGTTTCCATTTAAAAGTGGTAAAAGCTGGAATTCAAGCTATGCGACATCAGACTCATTTTTGCAGAGCGGGTCACATATAACGTCCGATATGTCTTAGCATGCAGATTTATGCAATTCTGTGTCTGAGCCAATCGGATGTCCACTTTACTCAATCGTGATGTCATTTTGGTTCCCAAATAGGGACTAAGTGTTTGATTGGTCAATTCGAACGCAGTGTTTTATAATATGGCCGGGCGCGTATTGCGTAACATAATACAGAGCTCACAACCACAGCCTTTGTTGCTGAGGCTAGGTTGTTTTATCCATGTCTATGACGCGCCAACGGGAGAATGACTGAAGACCCGCTATAGAAAGCGCCCACTGATTGGTCAAAATCTAGAGGTCAAGAGGCGGTTGTTTTGCGTAATTAATCAGCAAATCTGCTCACATATCATAGACAGCATCCTCAGCCTCGGGGGTTAAAACTGCCAAATCCCACCTCACAACAATCACCCTTGTACTCCTACTTGTACTTGTGGCTAAGTAATTATACTCATGGAAATATACTCGACTACAACATAACTCAGGGAATACATACGTGCTTGGCTGGCTTTAAACAAGTACGTTTCAAACAGGGGCCTGGATACCGATAACAGCTAAGCCAAAAAAAGGCAAAAAGTCAAATAATTTATAAATTCCCAATGATTTTGTTCAACACTTTTACTTCGTGTTTTGTGAAACACCCCTCTAGCTATGTTTATAGTATGTTCCTTTTACGAGTAGTACTAGAAATCTCCTTATATGGAGATTTGCGCACATGTGCGCGGCGTTGCCGTTGTAGTGTGAACTTAGGACTCTATGAAATACAGATTTATTGGTAGTATTGCGCATGCCTAAGTGAAGAGGGTTCAACCAGTAAAAAAGTAAAAGGCACAAGACTTTATAGGAGTCCAAATTCATGTGACACTGCAAAAAAAGTGTTTAAAACCAGTTGGTGTTTTATCAAATGTTTTATCAAACCACCCATGTGACAGACATCAAACCACCCATGTGACGGGCTCTCGGCCAATGAGAATGGGTAAACTTTCTCAGGTGTTTATGATTATTGGTTCAACTGTGTTAAGGATACAGGCAGGATCGTCCATGTCTGGTTCTGGTGTGTCGAAGTATGGATGGGTGCCCAACAACTCCGGTACGAGTGTTAGAGTCAGATCATGATGGGCTATACCTAGGTGCTTCAAACAACTGTTGGGGGAACAACACAATAGATCAGAAATAAAGAACACCTTCAACTGGGAATAAAAAGGCTGGGGAAAAAAAAACAAAGACAAAGATTTATAAGATGGCATTTTGCATCGGGGTGATGTATTCAAATTAGGTTTTGCCCTTCACCGATGTATAAACACTGTATACTCAGTGTGTTACCTCCCGAGTGAAAGTTGGAAAAATCACTCGGGTGGGACTGCGGTACCCGCTGCTATGTACATTACATTCGAACCAGCCAACCGATCCCGTTAGCTCGGTGGTCGAGTGGTAAGACATCTGCACTAGAAAGCAGGAGGTTGTGAGTTCGAGTCCCACCCGAATGATTTTTTTTTTCCAACTTTCACTCGGGAAGTAACACACTGAGTATACAGTGTTTATACGTCGGTGAAGGGCAAAACCTAATATGACAGACAAAGATGTTATGGATCAAATTTAATAAAGGGAAAACAAAAATTATGGACTTAAAGCCAGTTACCTGAGTGCTAATGCAAAGCCAATTTGACGTCATGAAACATTCGCTGCAAAACTTACCAGAGTTGAAATGTTTTCAACTCTCTGCAAATTCACAACGTGTTAACGCGTTGTGACGTCAAAAATGTGTTTTTCGACTTGTGATTATCTGAATAAAAGTTTGTAATATAACTTTGTGTAGAACCCTGTGTATATGTACTTACTTCCAGATGGAGTGTTTGTCTTGAGGATACTTATTCAGATTTCTGAGCAGAAAGTGCAGTGACCTACTCAGGCAGGATTTGGTTGCCAGGATGACAGTGCACAGAAGCTCGTGTAGCGCCTCCCTAATTTCCCCCGAGAAATCCTAAAAAAAAATACACCGATCAAAGAAACCTACAAATAATCAAATGTCACTTCAACTCTTGAAGATATGGCTGCATCCGAATCAACTGTCTAAGGCTAGGTCTAGGTCCACGCCCATTGAAAATACGCGGGGTTGCGCTGATAATAGTCGTAGCCGTAGTTATGGAAGCCCGTTTTGGACACGGCCTTTCTTATCTATCAACCAGGTTCATAGATGGTCAGTCAAAAAAAAGAAAACCCAAATGGTGGCCCCTATTTTTAGATGAAGTTCTGCATGTGTAGCACGTTCAAGATCTAGGATATGAAAGCCCAAGTAGTAAGCTTTCTATTTAGTAAACGAATCATTCTTATCGCTCACAATGTACTTTTCCTGGGTATGGACTTTTAAACAAACACATTTTTGTAATTTTGTCTAATGATTATCAGAATAAAGGTAAGTGATACTTCAGCAAAATGAAGACAATTCACATATCAATTTTGCTGAAAGCACATAAAGACAAACTATATTGCAAATATATGATTTAAAAAAAAAAGCGACAAGGAAAAATGAAGCAGTCTGGGACGAGAACCTTTTTGAATATTTTTACTCGGCCTAAACTGTTACTTACATCCAACACACCGAGGATAATTTCCAGCTGATCCTGACGAAGCACTATGTGCTTAGTGATCTTTCTCATGCTGTAGATCGCATTGAGTCGTACGCTCTCGATCTCATCGTTGAACATGTCGACCAGGAAGTCGAGGGACATTCTCGCAAACGACGGCGAGTGTGACGCCAGTTCACACAGCGAATCCAAAGCTGCTGAGCGGACCTCTGTGGAATAGAATTCAAACACAAAATTGCTTAAAGGAATATCTAACTATAATTCCGAAAATCTCCATGTGTCTGTGAGTACGTGTTCATCTTTTCAAACTGTGGGCGAAAAATACCAGAGAACAATATCGTCCACGATTCCCAGCACACGTCCGCGATAGAGGTCGTGTACAAAACCTATGGGAGTTTTCCTAAAAAGTTAGAGTACAAACAAAAGAGGGACATTAGGACGTCCATGGTCGGCAGTGTCAAGTTTGAAGTTGTTTCAATGAGCGATTCTCAAAAAAGCTGCAAAAAAAGCAGCCTTTTCTGAGGTAAACGTTGCAGTATATAGCCTAGACCACCACGCACTGCATACCAGATTTTTCTCCGTATGTACGTGTTCTACATAACCCCCAAGGACCGACACACGGGGAGAACAACAGATCCTTTCAGTCCTCAGGAGTTGGGTCTTTTGTTGTAAACGGTCCTGTGTAGTAAGTTGTTTGCTTAGTCTATGGGAGAGTGTTATATTACAGGGACAAAGTGAAACACAACGCATTGTCCTCGAGAGTATAGTAAAACACGACTGTGTGTACACGTATGTGAGTGGCAGGATGGGCACATGCATTTTGTGTTTAACTGAGCAACCATCCCTGGGGGTCAACTGAGCAACCATCCCTGGGGGTCGACTGAGCAACCATCCCTGGGGGTCGACTGAGCAACCCTCACTGTAGAGAGATACCATTGTCCAGTAGGGGTGATTATCAGTGCCAGGGGATGACGACATGTACAAAGTGCGCATTCAACGTGTGAGTGTGCGTTCAACCTGTGAAAACAACACCACTGAATCGTGTGCGTTATTTGCATGAGCAGTTCTCAATTGCCCTTCCGAACAGGCACATTTTCGAGCGGCGCTGCACTAGTACGATCAAAAGTAACTTACCAAATTACTATCAAAAAGCTTACTCGGATTAAGAACACAATCCAGATCAAGTCTAAGACCAAGACAAGCTGAAGCCAAGGAATTTGAACGCCGCCATACCTAAGAATTCATCTTCCAAGCCGTGTACAAATGCACCGCAGGCTCCACTATTGATGAGACTGATGTTGCCGGGATCTAGGTGTTCCTTCGGTGCGTCGTCGTTCCACTTCTGCCCAGTCGACCAATCGCCCGACGCATAGCTCTCTTTCTGTCGTTCGTGAGAAGTGCGCTTCCTCTGAAATGAGCAAATTAGCAATTGGTGATGAATACTTAAAATAAACAACTGTTCAACACTTAACTCAAACATTTGGTTCAAATTCTTTAACTTTTAAACATATCAATGAAGGTACATACTACAGTATGTCCACACAAAAAAAAGTGTCCGTCTAAATTTTTTGAAATAACAACAAAACCACGAAGTAAATTTTGAGAATGTTTAATATTGCAGATACTCCTTATCCTTGGCCTCAACCCATTTGAGTTTTATTTGATTTCACTCACGCCTCACTACACAATGGTCGATTGATCACAACGACATTTTAGGACACTGTGACCAAGTTCCTTGCCTTAATTAATTCAGTGCTTGGATATGAAAGCTGTGGAAAATCCTTCATGTTGTGAAAAAGGGCTGCGGTTGGGATTGGAATCATTTGCCTGGCTATCAGTCATCATGGCAAGACATCAGTTTAATGCTCAAGGGCAAAAGATGACTGATCGATGCAGTTTGGGTCTGCATTGGAAATCTCACTGCAACTCTTATGTCAATTTAGAAACAGAGGCCAAGTTTGCGCAAGGACTATAGTTGACCAATGGTTAACTAACGTTTGCCCGAACTCTGTCTAGTCGACGATGGTTGACTACGCTAGTCTACTATTTGGAACCAGCCTACTGGGGTTGGTTGCATCGCTGGTAACCAATAGCCGCGCGCATTCATAACGCTAGCAGAGAGCCAGGATCCCGAAGTTTTGCGATGACATTTTGACCAGCGTTTGACTAGTGACGTTCGCACGTTGCTATTAGTGCGCAGGCGTTAGGTACGTCACAAAATCAACCACTAGTCGACTAATGGTCCTTGCCCGAACTTGGCCTAGGCTTAGGGCCCGTCTCAATTCATATCTGGGACGAGTTCCGGACAAGTTGCTGGTAGAATCATTCACTTTGTCCGAAAGAAGCTCTGCATTTGTCCCGGACACGTTCCGGGCACATTTTCATTAGCAAACTGCTTGACTCACTGATACTGATAAATTCATTGCGGGAAGATTGTAGGGAAGTTGTTCAGAATCCTGCAACTTATACCCGACACAATGCCCGGAACTTGTCCGGAACTCGTCCCGGATATGAACTGAGACGGCCCTTAAATGGGATGAGCTTACCCTTAGTCCTGACATGAGTTTCTTATCGAGTGTTTGCTGCAGGAACTTTGGGCTGACAAGATGGAGCGACCCCAGCAACCCGACGGCCTCAGCTCGGACATTCATGGACGGGTCATTCACCTGGGAAACATCAATATATAAATCCGAGATCATTTGCAAAGTTTGTTGCATCGTGGAACACAGGATGACTCAATGGGAAAAAATTTCACAAGCTTACCATGGTGGGACTCGAACCCACTACCTCCTGCTTACTAGTGCAGATGTTTTTCAGCAAGACCACCGAGCTTGCCAGGGTTAGCTCGCTGGCTTGAATCAGAGGCCAAGTTCGGGCAAGGACCATTAGTCGACTAGTGGTTGATTTGTGACGTACCTTACGCCTGCGCACTGATAGCAAAGTGCGAACGTCTCTAGTCAAACGCTGGTCAAAATGTCATCGCAAAACTTCTGGATCCTGGCTCTCTGCTAGCGTTATGAATGCGCGCGGCTATTGGTTACCAGCGAAGCAACCAACCCCAGTAGGCTGGTTCCAAATAGTCGACTAGCGTAGTCAACCACCGTAGACTAGACAGAGTTCGGGCAAACGTTAGTTAACCATTGGTCAACTATAGTCCTTGCGCGAACTTGGCCAGATATGGTAGTGGGTAACGCAACGGATTATTATTATACGATGACTTTGATGAGTTTGGGAGATGTAAATTCCATATCAGGTTTTGCCCTTCACCGAGTGACTGCCATATCAGGGTTTGAGTCCCAACCGTGTAAGTTTGCGAATTTGTTCTTGCAAGCCTTCAGACGAAAATGAGTATACAGCAGTGTTGAAGTCGAGTTGCTTGGGTCGAGTCCGAGTCCCAGTCTCGGGCCGAATCCGAGTCGGCGTCTAGAGTCATTTTGTTCAAGTCCGAGTCCTAGTTCGAGCCAGAGTCTTTGCTGATAAGTACGTGTACAGTTAAACCTATGCATTGTACGAAACAGATGTGCATGGACACGGACACACATGCATGTAAGGGATAGGTAAGGGATGAGCTGTCGCAGGTTATAGGGAGCGGCGCAGTTAATAACGCACATTATTATTTGCAACACCACCTGGAGATAGTGGTCCAGTACAGTTCGTGTGCTTAACCTTTTACCCACTGTAGCCACCGAAACCGCCCGCGAACTCTTTGGTTTTATTGATTTTTCAGTGAATAAATACAGTGTAATACAATGACGTCCAGCTGCTAATGGGTGAACGTTCTCTGGCGTTGCTTTGACATTACTTTCGGAAAGAAAATATCAGAATTAAGGTACTTTTTTTTGGTAAAAAAAATATGACTCACGAGTCACAAGACTTAAGTGTCAAGCCTGAGATATAATGGTTGAGTCCAAGTTCAAGTCCGAGTCGGAGTCCAAGTCTTTTGTCGATGTAACTTGAGTCGAATCCGGGTCACCAAATTGCGACTCGAGACGGATAATTATGTCATTGAAGGGCAAAACCTGATACCAAATTTACATCTCCCAGGTGTTGTACATCTGGGGAAGTGTGGCCTAGCGGTAAGGGTTCGTGACTCATGATCAGGGGGTCAGGGGTTCGAATCCGGCTGCTGGCCATACGTTGTGTCCTTGGGCAAGGCACTTTATCCCCACTTGCCTCTCTCCACCCAGGAGTACAAATGGGTACCAGCATTAGCTGGGGAGTAACCTGCGATGGACTGGCATCCCGTCCAGGGGGAATAGAAATATTCTCAGTCGTTTCATGCCACTGAAACCGGAAATAAACGCCGGCCTGATGGGCCATATAGGCTCGGGACAGACTTTACTTCACCAGGTGTTGTACATCTACAACACTGGCCTCCATTACCATTTGGCAGATGTTGGTGAATCCATCGTCGATGAGCCGTAACTGGTCCTCGCTGGATCCCGGCACGGCTAGCATCTCCTCAGGGTAGACGTGGCTCAGCACCCAGACCAGCTTGAGGGCGGCCAGCCTGACGCCATCATAGTCGTCCGTGAGTGCCTTGACTGACTGTTGGTAGATGGACAGGTCCAGGCGCTGCCCGCGCTGATGTAGAATCAGCTGTAATCAAGAAATATGATGCATTCTGACAAAATGAACAGGGCATAGGTCGTAGTGGAGAAAAATGCAAGAAAAGGAATGGGGTGATTTATTTTTTTGATTTTCAAATTGATCAACAGTTATTAAATCTCTGATATGTCTGCTACACATCTTTTCAAGAAATATTCATAAATACCAAAGACAGTTAACCCATTCCCATTGGTCGAGAGCCCATCAAGTGGCCGGTCTTAAACGGATGATAAAGACATGGCTGGCTGGTCTTAAACACTTTTCCAGTGTCACATGAAATCTGGACTCCTTGGAAATCCAGTGCTTTTAACTGTTTTATTGGTTGAACGCTCACAATCCTACCAGTGAATCAGTATTTCATAGTCTAAAATTCACACTAGACCAGCCCAGCTGCATTTTGCGCAACATGCGCGCCAATCTCCTTATAAGGTGGGGAGTTGTAGAGGGATATTCCATATCATAGTCAGAGGGGTGTTTCATAAAACATGCAGTAAAATTGTTGAACAGAATGGTTGGCAACGTCTAGTTTTTGACTTGTTTTTGGACCGAGAGATTTAGTTTTTTGACCGAAAAGATATCGCTTCGCCTCGGGTAATTATCAGCATTCCAGACTCCAACCAGTCTTAAACATAGTGCTTAACACCTGCCAAGCACACATTTATTCCCTTAGTATACAAATCATGGAATAAAAGTGTTTTTATATATAGGAAACACAATTGGCATCTTGTTATGGTTCGTAACTCATCATGAGGTCAGAGGTTCGAATCCAGCTGCTGGCCATGATGTCCTTGGGCAAGCCACTTCACCCCACTTGCCTCTCCCCACCCAGGAGTATAAATGGGTACCGGCATTAGCTGGGGTGTAGCCTGCGACGGACTGGCATCCCATCCAGGGGGAATAGAAATATTCTCAGTCGTTTCATGCCAAGGAAACCGGAGATAAACGCTGGCCTGATGGGTCACATTGGCTCATGACAGACTTTACTACTTCTACTGCTACTAATTCAAATCTTCGAAGTAATTTGGATTATTTTTAGTTCAGTTAGGCTCTGCAATCAACAAATAAGTAATTGTATACAAACCGTTGACTTCAAAGCACTCTCTCTGACTCTAGGATCTTGATCGTCGATGTACGCACAGAGAAGACGTTGGAATCGTTTCTCCTCCTTCTTACTTCCAGCTTTGTCCACCGTACTGAGAGTTCCAATCAGGGACAAGCACTCACAACGCACAGTGTGATGGAGGTCAGACAGATGCTGTAATGAAAACGTGATTAAAGGTAGAGTATATCATTTGTCTTTGTGTATTTTTTTTGTTTGAAGCAACAAAAGTGCTCAAAATCTAAAGAAGGGTTCTTAACAACTAGCCTGATGAAATTTTAGCTCAGTGAATGCTTTGCGTTCTGAGACAACAATATTCTAGGATCTCAATTTCAATTCAAAATTTGCCAAGCCGTGTTTTGAATTGTACCTGAAATCAGTGTCCGGGACTCATTCTCATTCAGCCGATTGCAGCTTTGCAATGTTATTGCACCGAACCGACGAATTATAGCAAACGTGCGCACGTGTGCGTTGCATGCACCCATTCATGGCTTTTCCGATTTAAAAACGAAGTACTAATAGACATTTCTAAAGATGCGTCTTTAGAAACATCTTTGGAAATGACCTTCTTTTTATATTTTCTTCAAAATGACAGCATGCCAGAAAGCATTATGTTACAGGGAGTTTAGTGCCATTATTATCTTTAAACCAAGTATGATTTTCAACAATCATTTGTCAGTTACTTTTTGGATAGCTGCAGATGATAAACTCTACCTTTAAAGGTATGTAAAATCATTTGCTTTTTGTGCCTATTTTTTGTTCTTCGTTTGAAGCAACCAAATTGCTAAAAAAATTTACGTAGGGTCCACAACAACTGACATGTTGACACCGCATGGCGAAAAAAATAATGACCACAACTAACCTGTTTTGCAGCATCGACCATTTTCTCGTGAAGATCAGCATGATCGAACAAAGACTTGCCCAGAGAAGTCAACGTTGACAACAACTGCACCTTCAACCTGTGGGAGTCTGTGATAGATTTGACAACAATCGTAATGCAACCATCAAAACTTGTCAGATGATCCCGAAAGGTGCATTTTAATAATTTAACAACTGAACAAAAAAATTGACCGGAGCATGGCTGAACCTGCAACATCCGGATTGACGTTTCAGTGCTCTATCAACTCAGCTATCTAGCCTTATGTTGGCGGTACCCCATTTACCAATGTCTTTCTACTTTTTTGTCAATTTTTTTTTCTTCAAAATTCTGCTAAATGCAACAGAATGCAACACAGCTGAAATGAGAACCCTGCTAAATGCAACAAACTGCTACAGTAGATCCTGTTGCATCAGCCTTGGCACCATGCAGTTACCATGCAAAATGCAACAAGATGTTACGCAGGACGAGACTTGACTGCTAACTGCAACAGTGTGCAACAACTCGTTACCATTGTAGCTTTCTGTTAAATTTAGGAGGTTAGGGTTAAAATTATATAGGATCATTTGCATTTATCCCAAAAGTAATGTACTTTATTATCAAAAAGATTACTTGGATTAAAGATCGTTCTGGTGCTAAACACCCCGTGAAATTATTCCACCTGGCTTGCTGTCATTTGGAAGAAATCAAGAAATGTCGGTGTTTTGGGAATAAAGAGTGCAAGTGATGAAATCATGTTTCGTGCTTTAAAGGGTTGTGCACAATTTTCCACTGTTTTCCCGAAAAGTCTAATCCACTGAGCTGAAACTTCAACAGATTAGGTTTTTACCATTCTGCGTTGGATTTTGAGTGCAAAGTATTGGAAATGAACAAAATGCATGAAAAGCAATGATAATGCTTGCCTTAAAATTCTGTAAACATTTTCCCAACTGACCTGTTGATGACAGAAGAGCTAGCAGATCTCCCACAAGTGTCGCGGCATGGAAACCCGGTGTTAGAGCAACTTGACTTAATAGATGAAGCAGCTTCACCTTGACCGAGACGCTGGCCTGTTGCTGATACTGTTTGAGAATACTCTGCACTACACTTTCTATTTAAGAACAAGAAAAAAAAGAGGAAAAAAAACCTCTCAAAATCTCAAGTTTCACAATATCAGGTACATGTGTATGTGTAGAAAAAAAATCAACTAAATTCTGTTTTATACATGTAAATACCAAACAATAACAATTATTGTGCTATATGAGCACAATATGTGCTCATATAGTGCTTTATACCAAAGGTCTCAAAGCGTTTCACAATTATTACCCCTGTTCATCAGGCCATGAGTCCAGTTTTCTGCAGCAGCTCGAGATCAGCGCATTCTGGTCTCTACCTTCACAGGTACCCATTTATACTACTGGGTGGAGAGAGACAATTGTAGTAAAGTGTCTTGCCAAAGAACACATGCACCATGTTCCCCGTTGGGGTTAAAACCCACATACCACTGCACATGAGTCAAACACCGTAACCATTGGACCACAGCTGTCCACAAAACAAGACAAGCCTATCATTTTATAAAGTCATTTTTCGTCAGAGAAATGTGAATTTTTATGTTCGGTTTTGCCCTGCCAATGTAATTTTTAAACAATGTATATCAGTGTTGTTTAAGGGTTTGCAAGAAAGACGTCTGCACTAGTAAGCTGGAGGTCATGGGTTCGAGTTCGAGTAAGCTGGTGAGTTTGATTTCGAGTCCAGCCTAGGGTTATGGTGCGTGTGCCCTTGGGCAAGGCACTTTGTTACTCACTGCTTCCCCATCCAGGAGTAAATGGGCACATGTGAGGGCAGAGATGGTTATTGTGAATGATTCAAGCTGCTTTGGGCCGAAATGACGGCATCAAGCTGTATACTCCCCACGGAGCTGAGATTGTCTTTGGAATGTTTCATTGGCCCGATGATCAGGGGTAATAAGATTGTAACGCACTTTCCTCTCAGTTTAAAGCGCTATATAAGTATCTGTTATTATGAAATGGTGTCCAAGGTCCGGCCAAAGACCTCAGCACAGTGCATCCTCCAAATCAGCCACACACTTTTGCCATATAGCCTCAATCCTGCAAAATCCTTCATTTTTTTGCGAAGAGGATTGTAGAGGATTTTGGAAGGTCAGGGGAAAGGTTATTCAAATACGATGCGAGATTAACCTGTTTGGGTTGTACTGAGCGGAAGCTTGTTGCCGAAGTCCAGCAGAAGTGTCAAAGCCTCATCCACGCTCCGTCCTTCCAAAGACGGCAGATCCAAGGTGCTCTGTTTATGTCTGAGGCATAGTTTCTTGGCTTGTGGTTTGACCTCCTCCTATTGTAAGGTAAAAATATGAGTGAATTTAAAGTAAGAATTTTAAGTCGCAGGTTCAAACCCTGCTCCAGTTAATTTCTTTGTTCACCATTAAAGCTACAGTCCATCAATTGCAGCTATTCAAAGAGTAACTGACAAAATTATTGTTGAAAAGCTACCTTAGTTTAAAGATAGTAATGACTAATGGCACTAAACTCCCCATGAAACTATTCTCTCTGGCAAGCTGTCATTTTGAGGAAATCAATGAAAGAAAGCCTTTCCAACGATTTCCTAAACAGGCATCGTTGGAACTGTCCGTTAAAAAGTGGTTCGTTTTTGTATTCAGCAAAATGCGCGCAAGCGTTGATATTTCGGGCTTTTCCAAAATGGCTTAACTGACACGATCCGACCCAACCCGAAAATCGCAAACGCAAACGACCGAAACCAACCTGACCCGACTGAAATGATGGACAAACCAACCCGACCCGAAGTCGGTTTCGGGTCGGCTTTGCACAACATTAGTTCACACATCAGTTGATTGAGCAGGCATCTGGTGATCCATGGAGGGAGATTCATCGAGGATCTTCCTCGATGGTTGATCATGTTGATCATTGATTGTCATCAGTCAATCACACCCTGGAGGAAGTCTATTCCCTCCTCCAAGGCTCCATGATCGCACATCGCAGAATTGATTGATCGTGAAAAATAGATTTTGTGTGATCAGTCTCATGATCATGCAAAATGTTTGACAAATTCTACTATGAGTCTATGTGCATTGACCAATGCGCTTGTACAATAGGCCGATACGACACCAACTGACCAATCCATGCCTAAGTGAAAGATTGCATGATCTCGCACCCAGGTCCCCCCGCCCCCCCCCCCCCCACCCCGGAAATGGAAATTGGAAGTGGAACTGGAAGTTGAGGATCGCATGTGGTGTGGATTAACGTCAACAGCATAAACCAGAATTTTGTAAACAATGTTCCCATCTTCAACATGTTCAATGATCTTTTTATCTTCTTGCCATCTTGGCATATTTCCAAAAATCCAACGCAACCCTTTGGGAGTTAGAGCAAGGAAGCCAGTTTTTTAATCGGCCTAGGCCTACGACCCTGTTGATCGCCTATTTCATACTTGCCTGAGTGACAGTCGGTGCCTGTACGAACTCTTCGTACGCTCTCTTCTTCAGATGCGCCGCCATTTTCGATGCGACGAGTACGTATCGTACGTACGATCGATAGGCCTATAAAAATTACTAGCCTACGTCTTTTTTTGCCGATCGAAAACGACATACACCGTGCGACCCGTGGGGCGCCCTCATCGCCGGCAATCTGCACGTGTTCTATCTGATCCCGCGCGTATCTTGTCAGTTATGCCTGCCATATAATTACTTGTTCCCAGCCATCCAGGGCGGATCTAGCTTTGGTTCAAGGACGGTTACTAAAATAAAAAGTAGTTTTAATTATCTCTCACAATAATGCCTCTTTGGACCAAATTTATAAGGGCCTTGCATTTTTATTCGAATTAGCGATTTAATCACTCCGTTGAATTCGGCAACTAATTAACCTACATCCGATTATTCCGACGCGTACGTTCCGACTGCACCATATCATATTCCACTTAATTGTTCAAAGCAAAGGTGTGATAACTTTGTAGCCATTTCCTGGGTACTAGATCTGGGTGCAATCAAAACTTTCTTGGCGCGACTGAGACTCACTGGAACGTCTGCGGGCATAATTCTGCAGATTGTGGGTTCTGGAGTCCTGCCCGTCAGCGCTTTCTATCAAAAAATGTATACTGAAATTAAGTATGTCCTAAAAAGATTTTTTTTGGTTTTTTTTTTTTTTAAATATTGGTTGTACCGGAAAGGTTAAAGTTATACTCCCTGCGTTCACAGTAAATCAAGAAACGCGAACCTCTAGTTTTCCAACTGCTTATGTCGCAAATTAATTATTCATGTGAGGCCGAGCCCCGAATTTCGCCGCTCGTACCCCGTCCGGCAGACAGGAGGGGGGGGGGGGGGAAGTACGGGCCGGAAACCGCGAATCCGCTTAGTACGCGTTTGGGACTTTGAAGATTGGGTTTTCAGTCCCTACCTGATTCCGTGGGTTTCCCCCAGACTTTCTTCTGGGCTTTGTCCCTCCCACCTCTAAATCTATAATTTCTTCTCATTGTCCGAGTCTCCGAGTCTAATAAGTCGCCGGGTGTGATGTTTCCCCTGGGTGCTTTGCCGACTATGATACAGAGAGTGATCCATCTTGCGCGCCTACGGCGCTATGGACTTTGGTCACAGCACGGAGCTATATCCATGGTCACACCGGAGGAATATTCCTCCATATAATACTGAGGACGTCAGACATACTTATGTACACATCGAGAACGCCCTATCGCGTACATTGGATGGGAAAACTAGTCTGCGAAGGACGAAATATTTTTTCTCCTCGTTTTCACTGAATAGTCTTTTGAGAAATGGCATGCAGGATTCGTTCTTATTCCTCCACGGAGATGTTAACAAAATATGGTCACATGTACGTGCTCAGCCAACAAGAAGAGAGTCCTCTGTCCGGCGCCGGATGCAATCGTACGGCTGGAATTACCTTCCAATTCAATGAGTAAGAACTAAGATTTCATGAAATTTGCACTTTATCACGCCATCCTGCTGACAAGACAATTTTATACGCATCTTCAGTCGAAAACTCCAAGTCATCATGCATTCATATTCCGATCCACCGAGGAGGTTATGTTTTTATCACCTAGCCCGGCCAGCCTGAGGTGGACTCCCTTACCTTAGTTGTAATGCCACGTCGTCCAGGCGCGGTTCTATAGAGCCTATATTTGTTGTTGTTGTTGTTGGGGGGGGGGGGGGCTATAGCATGGGGTGGATCAAGACATTTTTGGCAGTGAGGCGTGCTGAATTGCAGACCTTTTCTCCGGACAATAATTAGGCCTCCGAAAATCAATAGGTGGGGGGGGGGGGGGGGCTTATTTCTAACATTTCCTTATCGCTTTGCGCTCGCGTCCTATGTGTGCGGGCGCCCTGTTGTCTACGTTCCCCCAGGGAATTCATATGACCCGAAAACTCATGAACTCCGTCATTGATGATTTCGAATTATTTCCCGAATTCACTTGATTTTTAACGTGTTCTTTTTACGTTGGACAGAAATCGGCTAAATATGATTGTTGAATGGCTGATTCCCATCGTCATCAGCATCATCATCATCGTTGTCATCATCATCGTCATCCTTGCCGTCACGTACGTCGGCTAATGCTGCATAGTACCGAGAAACTTGACCATCCGCGATGCAGTTGAGCACTTCTGCGCCTGATGGGTGGCTTAAAGAAGGGCGCACTGTCGACTATTTTTCTCTTCAATGGAGCTCCACAACCTCAAGTATGACGAGCACAAGACAATCAAAAAAGACCTTTCCAAGCAATTTTGTATGAATTCTTTATTTATTTCAGCAACAGTGATAATTTCTTTCAATAAACTTCTCATATCTTTATGTTGGAAGTAAAGCACAACTTTGTGTACTGCCGGGCCCATCCTACCACGAGATTTAGTACATGTATATTTTTTTGGTATTATTTATTAGGTGGTAAAAGTCAAACAAAAACGATTCATTGGAATGAGGCATCCGTCAAGCCAAAGTTCACCGATTTGCCGATGACTTGACCGAGTGCTGAATTTTAAGCCTAGTATTTTATTGTATTTCAAACCTGTAGTATATTTATTTCATTATAATTATGATGTATCCGGTGTTGTAAATTTTTCAATGTACATGTATTTTTAAATAGTTATTTTTTAATGATGCCCATTGAAATCACAAACGAGGTGACATGGCTATACCATCAATAAATAAAGCTATTATTATTACTATTTTTAATTTGCATCATCCTATTTTTAATTTGCATCCTCCTATTTTTAATTTGCATCATCCTATTTTTAATTTGCATCATCCTATTTTTAATTTGCAAAGATTGAGGTGCAAAGCAAAATAACACTTAAGCCTTTACTCAGCAGACTGCTCAGAAAAAAATTGTTCATTCGTATGAACTTTATTGTTCTAAATTTTGTATATGCCAAGTTATATTTTTCTTAATTTAGTTAATTGCCAAATCACACATCCATTCGGAGTAAAAGTTATATTAACCGTTCCGATATTACATATCACTTTCACCTCTTCCAGTATCAATCTTCTTGTCTTTGTAAAATGGGAAACTGTTAAACTTAACTTAAATACATATATTATTGTATTAATTTAGAATAAAAAGTTAAAATTTTATCCACCTACAAATTTCTTGATTTCTGCAAGCAAAGTTATCAATTAAAAGGTGGGGAAATGGTCCTCCAAATTTAATTGCGGACTCTTTCTATGTGATGTATGTCTAAAAGATTTATATAAATAAAATTCAAGTGTATCAAGTGAGACATCTATTGCAATTTTAAAATCACTTCTCAGTCATAAAACAAATAACATTTGGTTATTTTTGAAATGGGCCAAGAATTAATTTAAAAAAAAACCTCCTGTGTATGTATAATTGCTTCTGAAACTGATTTAAACACAAAAAGTGTATATAAATTACTGTAGCAATTGCATAAATTATTTTTTTCAAAATTAAAATAAAAACACCCTAAGTGAGGGAATAAATATGTACTTGGTCGGTGTTAAACACTATGTTCAAGACTGGTTGGAGTCTGGAATGATCAGCATTCCAAACTCCAACCAGTCTTAAACATAGTGTTTAATACCAACCAAGCACATATTTATTCCTGTTCATAAATACATGTATATGTACCTTTTCGGTCAACTATTTTTGGTCCGGAGGTCAAAACAAGTCAAAAATTAGACAATTGTACTTTCTGTTTTTCGAAACATCCCTCTAGCTATATAATGGAGTGTCCAGCTCACGAGTAAGACGTTAACAACTCCTTTTATGGAGATTGGCATGTGTGTCGCGCATACTGCACGACAACGCTCAGATGCAGCTGTGGTGAGTGCGTTATGAATTGAGGACTTCATGGGAATCTTTAGTCGTCCAAAATAATTTCATGTGGCACTGGAAATGTGTTTAAGATTAGCCAGCCATGTCTTTTTCATCCGTTTAAGACGTGACTGGCTCTCCACCAATGGAAATGGGTAAACGTCTTTGGTATTTATGAATAAACAGTTATTAATGAATGTAGTTTGTAACAACAGTCCAGTAAGTTGTTATAAACATGATTCAAAATTTGAAATTCTAGCTAAGTCTTTCTCTGCCGATTCTACAACTGAGCAGTCGAACTCTCTGGCAAAAGCCTCCAGGAACACCGGCACTACTTCTTGAACGGTGATCTCCCGTTTCAGTTCTCGCGTGAGGGAGGTCACGCCTTTGTCTTTGATTCCACAGGGAACAATGTGCTCAAACCAGGACAGGTCCGTGTTGCAGTTCAGGCTAAGTCCATGCATTGTGATGTATCTGCTGCACTGAATCCCTGTTGTTAAAATAATAAAAACATACAATTATAATGTTGTTATGTTATCATGAAACCACTCACTGCTGCAGGATTATTCAAAACGGCCAGATTAGGAGAGTTGGGGGAAACCTAGATTGGCTCCTAGTTCATCGTTTACGGATTTTGAATGATCCAAAGTTATAGGGGTTGGGTATTAGTCTGGGATTCCGAGGCCATCACAAGATGAATTTTAATGCACTAACACAACGACGACGCTTGATGCTCAAGCAAAGACGCCGTGGCTAATAGTTTTGGCACACTCAGGAAGTCGTGCCTACTTTGCGCGGTAACCAGTAAAGCACAGTACACACAGTCGCACATGCTGTATGTCCCGTCCAAGGGGCTCTCAAAAGTGGTAAAAGGCACCCTCTTTTGTTGGCACACGGATCCCATAGTCAACAAAATTAGGACTATCATTACTGGGCATATTGGCCCCAGATTCGTCTATAGATTCAATAGCACTGCCACTTCACCAGTCGACAGTCCAGATCAAGTCACTCACAAGTGACAGTCAGTCAGTCAATCAATCAATCCGTCAGATAGGTACAAAAAAGACACTACAAGGCTGGCCCTCTCGCATGTTGTCCACATGACCAGCTTGACCTAATGGGTCGATCCATTGTCGACCTAAATCCATGACAATCATTCGTACCTATAGCAGCAACTTTGTTGTCGTTCACCCACACGCCTGTATCGGGTGACGTAGTGGCCGCGATCCCAAAGTCTTTACACGTGCTGATAATAGTCCTCTCCAGCTGAGAAATGTACCAACGTACGCTTTTCGTATAATGAGCCAAGTTGATGATTGGATAGGCCATCAACTGCCCAGGTCCATGAAATGTGATCAAGCCACCGCGGTTTGTTCGATGAAAATCGGCTCCTAGTTCTCGCAATCTCTGCTCTTCGGAGGCCAGGTAGTCTGCATGTCTCAGGCCAACTGTGTAGACAGGTTCGTGCTCGCAGATTAGCAATGTATCCTGTACTTCCGGGCGACTGGTCCTGGGGGATCTTATCTTGTCCAACATGCATCTTTTTAACAGTGTCTGTATCTGCAGAGCCTCGTGGTAGGCAATCCGTCCCAGTTGAACATAGGAGACGGTACGATGCATGGCCATAGGCTGGAACTCTCTGGAAAACAGACCAGAAAAACAAGAAACTGTATGGGCTCCATGCACAAGTACCTCTTCAACGGCCAGAAAAGAAGAGTTGGGAAGAATTTCTGTAAAGTTGATACATTCTGATAAACCATTATTATCTCTACTTTATACATACCCAACTAGAAGTTTGTCAGACATGTCAGAAAACTATTTTCTAATTTTTGTGGGACATTTTTAAAGGGTTCACGGTGCAATTCGAAATAAAATCAGAAAATCGCGCTGAAGTATATTTTTCTTGTAACTTTGTAAATTTCAGTTAAAACTTTTGCTCTAACTAGGCGCTACTGGCGAAAAATCAAAGTGCGCCACGTTAGGGGCCGCGCCACGTTAGGGTACATCGGTACGTCATCAATACTACTACGTCGCATTTGCTTTGCACGATGCATGCGCATGCACGGCACAACATCTTGCGCGCATGTTGCAGTCCTTTTTTTACTGCGTTGGGAGTCGACCTTGATTTGAGACCAACTCGTACTTTTTTTATCCCAAACGTGGAACTCACACTTGTCAATTCGTTCGTTCACTAAAGTAATTGAGTACTTCATTTTACTCTGGAATCCCGTTCATCAGCTGCTGCAGCAAAGTCATGAATTTCGAAACGTCTACTGTGGCGTAAATGGACGACATGGGGACAAGGCTGCAGAAACAAGACTGGTTCCCGCCCCATTAGAAGTAACGAAAACAGAGGGATGAGGAACCAGTCCAGTCTGGGCACGAGTGAGTCACCGTCAGTTCCCGCCACGTTCACAACATGGTGGCGGGAAAGTCGAAAAAAATAAAACCCTCTCAACACTCGACTGCCAAAAAGCTTATAATCGTTATCTTTTCAGTGTGACATCAACATCGACCGTAACCATTAACTACGATAGTCCATAACGATTTTCCTAGTTTCATCTAGAAAGAATGAGGAGGGGTGCGTTGATTGTTTTTGAGGGTTGTGATCGTGCGGGCAAGTCAACACAATGTCGGAAGCTTGTCGAGGCACTGCAGGCGAAAGGAAAAGCAGCTGAGGCCATGCGGTTTCCAGGTAGGTTAGTTAGCCTATCATCAATCATGCTTAGTTGCAGTCATTAGTAACACTGTTGCATTACTTTCAACGAATTCCTGGCATTTCTTAGCCCCATAAATGTGGCCAATTTACTGGACTACCTCCGTAAATAAAGGCACTTCCACCATGTACAAAACTAGTACTATTTACTGGACTGCCTCCGTAAACATAGGCAGCCACACATCCACATGTAAAAAAATCGTGTCGACTTTGCCAAATTTTGATTTTCACATTTAGGCTTATTTTGTAGGATTTTTTTTGCTTAAGAAGCATACCCACCCTCTTTATAGGCTAGTCAGAAAGTGCTGCTTTTTCAGATGTCTAATTTTTGTGAAATTTCATGTTGAAATTTTGATACGCAAACGTGTAAAAATGAATCTGGAAATTTCACGAAAAATAAACATCTGAAAAAGGCAGCACTTTCTGATTAGCCTATAAAGAGGGTGAGTATGCTTCTAAAGCAAAAAACCCCTACAAACTAAGCCTAAATGTAAAAATCAAAATTTGGCAAAGTCGACACGATTTTTGTACATGTATGTGGATGTGCATGATGTGTGGCCTATGTTTATGGAGGCAGTCCAGTAAATAGGCCACATTTATGGGGCTAGTACAAAACATGTCGAAGTTTGTCAAATTTTGATTTTCACATTTAAGCTTAGGCCCTAGTTTGTAGTTTATTTTTGCTTTAGAAGCATACTTGCCCTCTTTATAGGCTAATCAGAAAGTGCTGCCTTTTTCAGATGTCTAATTTTCATGAAATTTTTGCGAAACCGTCCTTCTGCAACTCATCAAAGTATTGTTTACAATTTTTTGGGGACTACTCTCTTTTGTTTTACAGACAGAACCACGGTAATTGGCAAGACAATTGGTTCCTACCTGGAGAAGAAGATGGAAATGCAAGACAATGCAGTTCACCTGCTGTTCTCTGCTAATCGATGGGAGCTCGTGTGAGTTGTGAACATTGAGTACTCCGTGCACAAGTACCCCCTCAAGAGTCTCAAAAAGAGAGTTGGGGGATACTACTGGAGGGACATGTTGTCGCGTCAGTGCAACAAGGTCGTAACTCGATTGTGCAACAAAGTCGCATCTTGCGCGAGTACGCTCCGCGAGTACGCTCGGAGACAGAGAGGGCTCTATTGGACGATGGTCGATACTCTTAGTCAGACTATACTCAACTCGGATGGACTTAAAACTCGCAGATAAACTTTAATTAAAGACAGTCTTAGTTAGGCCCTATTAACATTTCAGTATCAAATAATCAAAGATTAAAGTATTAAAATATTACGTGTTTTATCTTTGTGAATTTGGATTATAAGCATAGGTATTGTTTTTCCTCACTGCACAGGCCATATATGCAGAAGCTACTGAATCAAGGAACAACGCTGGTAGTTGACAGATATGCATATTCTGGGGTTGCGTTCACAGCAGCAAAACAAGTAAGTGACATTTAGGGCCAATGTCATACAAATAATGAAGGTTTATTCATTCAATATTTATTGAGTGCAATGGTAAGAATAATATCATGTGGTGACAGATGGAGTGTTCTATTTCACAAGGCTAAGCCAAGTGGAATGGAACATTCCATCTGTTACTTCATGAAATTAATCTTTCCATTGCACTCAAAAACATTCATTATTTGTTTTATTTAGGTGCCTGAATAAATCCTCGTCATCTAATTGGTTGGTACATGTAGTATGACCATGCAATGAAAGTTCTATTTACCGTGCAGTAAAACTTCTATTTTTTGCGGTGCAGCCGGGCCGTGTGTTGGGACGAATAATTCAGTGACACGTGAGCAACAACGTACCAATCCGATGACAGGGATTTATTCCAATGTATAATTTTGTTTTTGCAATCCTTAAAACTGCACCTTTGTTTCTCTTGTAACCATATTGTCAATCTTCATAAGGTCATTTTTACTGTACTGTGCGATGTTGCATAGAACGCAGCAAAGTTTTACCAGCAGTTTAAAACCAACCACGCATGGAGGTCAATCGGTGGGGGGGCAGAGGGGACAAGGGCCCCCCCCCCCCACCTACACTTTTTAAAGTGGGGGGAGGGGGGGAATATTATGTCATTTTTTCCCCCCCCCCACTTTTTTCGTCCCCGAATACAAAATTATAGCCTTTTATAATGACTCTATAGCTCAGAATAGCTGATTACATGACTTCAAACTCAAAAAGATGTCTCAAAGATGATCTTTTGTTAAAAGAAATTGTCGTTTGTGGTCAGAAATTGCCTAAAGCCCGGTTCATACTTCACGCGAAAGCGAAAGCGAAGCGAAATTCGTGACGTCAACAATACATTCGAAGCGCGTCCGCCATTGTTGACGACATGAATTTCGCTTCGCACATGCTTTCGCGTGAAGTATGAATCGGGCTTTAGATCGCACCACAGAGCATCTAGAATCCAAAGCCCGGAACCGTACGCCGTTAGGGCTTCGCACTTCGCACTTCATGCTCGCATTAGTGCTCATCAAGGTATGCCCCCCCCCCCCCCCCCCCCACTTATGAGAAGCGATTGACGCCCTTGCACCACGTGACAGGCTCTCGACCAGTAGGAACTGGTAAACAGTCTCGGGTATTTATGGATGTTATTTAATATGATTATTCACAGGGTTTCGATCTGCATTGGTGCAAACAGCCCGATGTGGGCCTCCCCAAGCCGGACCTCGTCTTCTTTCTCGACATTAACCTGGAGGAGGCGGAGCAACGGGACGATTTTGGAGAAGAGCGTTACGAAAGTACACTGTTCCAGAAAAAAGTCAAAGACAACTACGACCAACTAAAGGAAAGCACATGGGAGGTCAGTCATACACGTGTTAGACTTGTTTGCCAGAGTCATGCCCTAGTCAGAAAGATTAATGAATAACTCCCTAGGCCTTTTTGCTAGGATGTAGCCTCAATCCTGCAAAATTCTTCAATTGGCCTCATGGAAAAAAAGCATATAGCCTCAATCCTGCAGATTCCTCCATTATTTCTTGAATGTGGTCCATGGGGGGGGGGGGGGGTTGACCACTGCCTAAATCCTGCAAATTCCTGCAGCAGTGACTGTCAATATTTTGAGGCAGAGCCAGTGACATCCTGGAGCAGTATTAAAAAGGAGGATTTTAAGCGCCTGACAATGAAATTGCCGCAACTTTATGATAAAGTAATATCATAGTTAGGTGTGTATGTGCGTAGCTTCCCGTTTTTGAAAATTCAAACAGGCAAAAACTATAGAAGTATTCAGTTTAGGCCAAAACAAAAAAATACTCAGTCTCTGGACAGGTCAGCGTGCGCGTCGATTTTAATCATGCGTGCAACCTTTTTTTTCCCTTCAAATTAACACGGAAGCTACAACAGCGCCCTCTATTGACGCACCTCCTCAAATTTTTGTACCAAGGAGCACCAAGGAATGGGGAAATTGCACCAAGGCAAATGATAAAGGGCACCAAGGCATATTATGGAGGACACCAATGTATATTGAGGACACAAAAAAGCAAAAATAATACCCACCTTGTCTGTACAATTCAAGCGTGAAAAAAAGAAAAAAAAAACACCCCCCAAAAAACCAAAAAAAACCGCGTCGCCGCATCAATTCCGGAACTTTGGTCTAACCAGAGACCGACTATTTTTTTTTTTTGGCCTTATGATCGAATATTCGGTATGTAGATTCGGGAATCGGCACAGCCCTTGATCGAATATTCAAATTTTGGTATAATCGGCACAGCTGAAGTTATTTTCTACACATGTTCCCGAAGTAACCAACGTATTCCCTTTCTTTTCCGACAGTTTCTTGATGCAAGTCAAAGCATTGAGGACATCCATTGTTCAGCCCTGGACATTGCTGAGGACATTGTCGATGGTGAATTATGTACTCCCATGGAAAAGCTGTGGATTTGAACTCTTCAAAATGGGTGTATTTATGTACTTGCAGTTGTATAAAGTCAATTATTAGAAGTTTAAAACTCAAAATATTATAACAAGACAAGGCAAGTATAGTATTGCTGGTCCTGGACCCATTTGGTCTAAAGGGGTCAGGTCGGATCATCTGAGTCACCCAAAATGAGGCTTATGAAAGTCTAAGTCAGAAGTGACAGGGAGTCAGTCAGTCAGTCAGTTAGCAAAATAGGTACAAAGATGGGGGGGGGATGTCTGACGTCACTATAGTCAGAAGTACCATTGGTCCGATGTCCCATTGGTCCGAAGTCCCATTGGTCGGATGGCCCATTGGTCCGATGGCCCATTGGTCCGATGGCCCATTGCTCTATACATTCCCATTAGTCCGACGTCCCATTGGTCCGATGCCCCATTGGTCCGATGCCCCATAGGATAAGGGTTAGGGTTAGGGTCAGTCAACCTGAACCAGTGGAACTACACAGTTATTTTTCGTCGGACCAATGGGACTTCGAACCAATGGGACGTCGGACCAATGGGACGTAGGACCATTGCAATGGGACTTCAGACCAATGGTACTTCGGACTATCGAGACGCAACCCAAAGATGGTTGTAGGCTTGCCCTTTGGGACAAGCAAAGTAAACTTTTGAGCTAAGATGAGACTTATATAGTCAAATTCACAAATGACTGGGAGACAGACGGGGAGGGGAGTCAGTCAGTCAGTCAGGTACAGGACTATAGGCTAGCCACTGTAGGTCCCACGAACAACGAAATGAATTGTATTTTTAAGAACAACACAATGTAGGTGCATGACATGTTTGCAGATATTGAGCTTGAGAGGTAGATAAAGAATGCAATTACTAACTCACTGTCTGACTCCCCGACTCCCCGAGTGCAAATAATCTTCTAAACTGAAACCTCTCAGTATAAAGTGAAAATGGCAATCCTGTCTTTTTTTCTCGGTTTCTGAATATAATATTGGATAGTGTACTGTGTAGAAAGTGTAATGTTTAATACACTTTTAATTATTCATAAGATGGAATTTTGCGTCGGGGTGATGCAAATCAAATTAGGTTTTGCCCTTCACCGACGTTTCGCCAGCCAACAGATCCCGTAAGCTCTGTGGTCCTGTGGTAAGACATCTGCACTAGAAAGCAGGAGGTCGTGGGTTCGAGTCCCACCCGAGTGATTTTTTTCCAACTTTCACTCGGGAGGTAACACACTGAGTATATCCGTGTTTATACATCGGTGAAGGGCAAAACCTAAATTGAGATACACTTTTAACTAATTTAATATTGAAAAAAAGAAATTGACTGGAGCGGGGTTTGAACCTGCGACCTTCGGATTGCTGCTCCAGTGCTCTACCAACTGAGCTATCCAACCTATGCCGGTGGTTCCCCAGTTTGTCAATACATGTGTCTTTGTTCAAGGGGTGTTGGTCAAAACCATAAACTCCTGTATGCTATGCAGCCAGGAATCATGCTTAAAGCAGAGTTAGCAATGCTGCAAATTTATCTATTATTGAGTAAATATCGAAGTAAACATGAACTTTTAACAAAAAAAAGGAAAAGAAGAAAAGCCAGACACAGAAGTCAAAGTACAAGGGTGGCCCCACAATAAAGACTTACATTCATATACATTCTTTTCATCTAAAACACATGGGCAAAGAGGAAAAAAACACAAAGAGAAAAAATGTTGACACAAATTATTAATAATAAGAATAGCCGTCTTTTAGTACATTTTTAGGTGATAAATAAACTCTTTGTAGTTAGTTTAGAACAACCCTTCCAATTCTAATACCTCAAGGTGTAAATTTGACACCAGTTTGTTTTTGCAGTGCATGGAATCTTCATATTTATTTGAATAACTCATATTTCTATTATACATAAATACTGGTATATGGCATTTAGTTGCATTTACAAATATAATATTGGAGGTAAACTATGTTCTTTTATTTGTAAAATAAAAATGATGTTCTCATACATTGTATTTGTAAAATAAAAATGATGTCAATCACCAAACTGAAACAAAAATTGTTTTTTTTATATGTCTTATTGACAAAAAAAAAGTTATTAGAGAAAAGAGTTTAGATGACAAATAGCTTGATTCTATATTTCATCACAACCTTGCGTTTTAAAACTGCTCACTTCTGATTTTGGTTCGGTCCGGTCCTTTTACTTAAGTGTTCGTCTCAAGATTTCCATCTCGATTCTCGAGTACTTTTAAAGTTTGGACGGTACGTTGAGGCTTAAGCTATAGGGACCGTTGTCAAGTCGGGGTGTAACAAACATTTAAATTAAGCTTGCCAACAAAGTAATTGTGCAGCTAATATATTTGCATTCTGAAAAAAAAAATGGTGATAAAGAAGCCATAATGATTCAAAACTGTTACGAAGTTACAAAGAATTTCTTAATACAGTGATTTCTGAACCATTTGGTAAACAGTTCAAAAAGTTTTATTTAGTTTGATGCCGCCTTTTAGCTGACTCTATTCTAGCATGGCCATGCACGATTTAGAAACGGTAGGCCCTAGGCCTAATCAGAAGAAAATTTTGGCCGGGAGCGCAACACTTGTTGTTTTCTAAAACAATATTGAAATGTAAGCACTAAAAAAAAATCAAAATCTAGCTGTGGGTTTCTTCAGGCTGCTGCCATATGGCTCCAACTATTGGTGGCGCCCTTTGAATCGTCCGTGCGTTAGAGTCGTGGATGTTGACGTGTAAACGTGAGCAAATAAATACTTTTCAATAACACTAGTCGTAACTCAAATCATGCCGTATTATAAGATTTCACCGTGAAGCATTTTTTTTTACCTGGGTTCCTGAAGCACGATCAAACACTGATCAATCAAAAGATGTCTGCCGGCACAGCCACGGGTACGGGATATGGTTTGCACGCTGACGTGTCAAGCGCGAGCGAACACGAAAGTGCCGCCGTGGGACAGCATGAAACTGCACAAGAGAATGTCCAATCGGCAAACCCACTCTCCAGAAAGCTGAATAAAATACTCGACATAAGACTGGAAAATGACAAGGTAAGTGTCACTATCACGGCTCGGAGAGTTTCTTTTAACTAGGCCCTAACTGTTAGTGTTTCTACCTCTTACTGAATTAAGGGTGCCATTTTCACCTCAAGTTTTTGGGAAGGGGAGCTTGCAATTTGGGGGGGGGGGGGGGGGCGATTCCCATATCTGGCCATCACTAACTTCAGCGACCTATAACTATCACTATCAGCTATCAGAAAGTGATAAAATTTCCTTAAAAAGTCAAATTTAGCGGGAAAAATTTACTGAGAAAACACTTAAGAAATTTTCAGACAGTCTCATATGGTTTGTGCACAGGGTGACAAGTGATGGCCAGATATATATGGGAATCTTACCGGCACCCATAGTCAATGTACATTGTACTTTTTGTAGGCCTTAAATTAAAACAAGAGTACTGTTTAGGCAAGTCTAGTAAAGCTGGTCCTAGAGTGCACACAAGTGGATCCAGATTCCAGAATCTCACCTCTTTGTGTATCTGCTGTACACAATGGCCGGGAATTCAGCCTATTCTTTTGGCATTGTACTAATTTGTATTGTAATCCTACACAACAGCACTGCCCGAATTCCGAAGCCCCTAATGTACACCACACTCATAGACCTACCTGTAATTTGTGTTCAATAACTGAATAATCCTTTTCTTTTGTACAGGATATTTTGGAAGCATTAAAAGTACTGTCAGCATTTTTCAGCCAGAACACTTTGCGAAGCCGTAGGAATCTGCGTGGCGACATTGAAAGACGGAGCCTTGCAATAAGTGAAGATTTCGCCGAGGCATTTGAAAAAGTTAAAGGGGTAATAACAACTTAACAAATACTTGTTTTGTGATAGTAGGGACCATCAGAAATTATGCAAGTACAGAAAATGTATCAGACTGGGGCCTTGAGTGCAGAACAAAAATGTGAAAAATAAATTCAGGCCAACTTATTAACTTTTATGTTTACCAATGGAATTAAACCAATATATCAGATCATATAAACTAGGCATTTAATGTAGCCAAATTCATCAGCTTTGTGCAAGAGAGTGAGATTAAAGCTATAGTCCATCATTTGTAATTAGTGCATTTTGTTCGTTTGAAGCAACAAAAGTGTTCAAAATCTAATGAAGGATACTGAACAACTTAATTGATCAAGTTTCAGCTCAGCTTCAGCTTCATATTCCGAGAAAAACAGCATTCTAGGATCTCAATTTAAAATCAAAAGTTGCTAAATCATGTTTCGAATTGTTTTGAATTGCAGTTGTACACGATGTCGCGCACTGATCCGACAAATTATAGCTACCCCGTGCGCCTGTGCATCGTTCCAATGCTTGTGCGTGCTGCGCCGAATAACAAAACGAACGACTAATTTAAATTTTCCTACGGTGCTTCTTAAGAAGCACCATTGGAAATGCCTCCTTTTGTTGATCCTCAAAATGAGAGCTTGCCAGAAAGGATAATTTCACAGGGAGTTTAGTCCCCTTACTATCTTTCAACCAGCATGTTTTTCAACAATAATTACGCCAGTTACTTTTTTGGATAGCTGCAAATGATGGACTCGGGCTTTAAAACGCCATACGAAAAAAAATATTCACTTTCAGAGTCTGCCCTTTTCAGCTTGGCGTCCTGCATTCAGCAATGTCGATACAGTGAAAGGTGTGTGCTGCAGTCAAAAGCTTCTGAAGGAATGCAGGGTCACCCTTGATGTGATTGCACACCTCCTCTATCGTTTGGCGCAACACACGATCAAGGAGGTGTGCAATGACATCAGGGGTGATCCTACATTCCTTCAGAAGCTTTCGGCCGCAGCATGCGCCTTCCGCCACCTTCTCCAGCGCTGTATCAACATTCGGAAAGGATTTTTTTCGAATGGCATTTAAATCTCACCCTCGTGCACAAAGCTGATGAAACTCGCTCCATAAAATTTGTCATGCCTTGCTTACATGATCTGAAATTTTGGTTTAATTCCATTGGTAAACACCAATTATTCAGGATCAAAAGTTGGACATACATACATGTTTTTTTGACACATAGTACATTTAGGTATAAATTACGTGTATTTTTTTGTTTATTTCTCTGTTATTCCTGCATGTGTGTGCACTTGTGATGCTCAGTGTTGATATTTAATCTATTTTCGTAAGGTATATTTATGATCCATTGCTGAAACAAATAGTAAATGTAATTTGTTTCAGGGCCTAGACAGCATTCACAGTGATGTTGAGTCCATGAGATCAAGTTGTCAAGAAATGACAGGAAGACTGAAGGTGAGTTGTTGTTATTGTTAATAAAATTGAAATAATAATCATGAAAAGGTTTCGAAAACGGTCTCTGACACATTTTGACTCTCAATAGGGCATATTTGTGACCTGTTCTGTCAAAATCAGACTTTTCTGGGCATAAGGTCAAAAATGAGATTCTTGCATATTGTTAAAATATGTACATTTTCTTTCTAATAGGTGGTTTAATTTTTGAAACCGGTCATTCCTGGGCAAACTTATGCTGTATTGAAGTTCATCGTGTCGAAAAGTAGAAACCGGAGAAAATGGCAGTTAAAAGTTTGGGGTCTATTTTAAGACCTGTTTCAAGTGACATTTCTTTAACTGATATACCTTAACAAATCATCAAAAATATTATATTTAGAGTTTTATAGTATATTTGAGACATGTTCAAGGTTACAAATATGCAAAAATTAAAAATAGAAAAGAATCACCCCCACAGCGTTTTTTGGCCTTATCTCAATTTCAACCTCTGCCCGGAAGCGTCTGCTTTTGACAGGACAGGTCACATTTACCAGAACTTCAATGTTGATTTAAAAAAAGAAAAGCTCAGCATTCTTTCATGAATGACACTCTGTATCAATGTTATTTGACATATTTTGCGTCATAAAATCAAACAAGTTGGGGGAACGCTGAATGAGGTCTTGAATGGTGTCGGAAAGTCTCAAATTTAACACCATTTCTCAGAAAAGAGGCAGCGCACCACTTCAGTTTCATAGGCAACAACTACTATGACACGATGGACTTTTAGTCCATAATTTTGTAGAAATGACAAGTTTGTTGTAAACGCAAAACAAATGTACTTTTCAAATGATATTAGGAAAGTCAATATTAACTGTATTTGTTTTCTTTAAACTAAATTTTGATTGACAGGCAGCTCGTGAACAGACGTCCGATTTGATCAGTAAGACAACGGACCTTCATAAAGAAAGGTGAGTATATGGCAAAGCACTGTGGCTTGCAATAGACACCGTGCACAAGTACGCCCTCAACGGTCACAGAGAGAAAGTTGGGGGAGACCATTGGGAAGGAATTAACCTATCGCGTTAGAATTGCATCAACGCAGCTTGTAAATATTGTCCAATTACATGATATACAAAGAGACGCAAAATGCGCAAAATCTGAAACAAACAAAAGTTAACATTCACAATACCATGTAGGGTTATCTATGGGGCGTGGCTAACTCGCAAACAGCGATAGGTCAAATGTGTACAAATGTGTACTGCTGGAGCTCTCTGTTTTAGTGACTAAAAGCGCCCCCTAAGTTCATGCACAGAGTCCATTGTAGGCATGGCTATTAGCGAGGGAAATAAATTCGTCTAGGAAAGACGGATTTTTTTGTGGAATCCCGATTATCTTACGATTATCGTTTTTATCCAACTTTATTATAATGGTAGCATGTGTCTCTTATACGATGCTTTCCTCCAAAGCTAGTCCTCAAAACGCTTCAGGGTTATTACCCCTGTTCGCTAGGCCATAAGACCACTTTTCTGCAGCCAAGATCAGCGCAATCTGGTCTCTACCTTCACAGGTACCAATTTGTACTCCTGGGTGGAGAGAGGCAATTGTAGTGAAGTGTCTTGCCCAAGAACACAAGCACCACATATATGTACCTTGTATATGTACTTGTTCTTCCAAAGGTACTAGGGCTGTCCATTTTCGATTAATTTAGTACTGGAGTACTCAAAACTGTGTTAGACCGAATATTTAGATATTCAAAACTGCAACTGAAAAAGTTGCACAGAGAGTGTGCCAGTTATAATTTGTGTGCGGCGATCGATGTATGGCAATGAAGTGTTTTGCTGTAAGTGTTTAACTGTAAAAGGGCTTTAACCTGCTATCAGGGTGTGAACAATGAACTGCCGTCGAAAAAAAGGGGGACCTGACAATAAGGCGCCGTAAGGTGAATGTACATACTGCTTTTCTTCTTTTTTTTCCTTTTTCGAATAAAATTAATCCGGTAAAACGCCATTTGAATGTTTGGTTAACTAAGTCGACAATTGACTCGACAGTATATTAACTAAGTCGACAATAGACTGGTTAACTAAGTCGACAATAGACTCGACAGTATATTATTCATTTCCGTCACAATACCACTACAGCTTACTCAAACTTTTGAGCCATTCTGAATCAATGGAACGTAGAAATATTTTGCGATCTGAAACCAATTTTACTAGTTTGCCTTGTTTTGCCTTGTTTTATTTGTTTCCAGCCAACAGCTTGATATGAGAGCAAATGTCACTGACGCATTTCTGGAAAAGTTCCAACTGACAACCAATGAAGTCATGGCTCTTAGGGGACCGCGAAATGGACAACTTTTACAGGTGTGTTCTTTGTGTCAATTTTGTCATGCGGCAAATGAATAAATTTACCCCATTACGTTAAAAAGATTTTCTTCAGTAGGGCTGTGCTGAATATACTGAATATTCGAATATTTACTCATAAACGAATATCCAAGTAGTATTTTTTTGTCTAATCAAATAATGGACACAATGTGAGTGGCCTTTAGGAGATGATGAAAAACGTATAAATTGTGTGGATTTATTGTGTGTCAAATGCCACACTTTTTAGTTGAATACCACTTTTGTGCATGATATGAGATCTCAAATTTCTTCCTTAAATCGGTCAAATATCAGCCATTTTGCCAGTTATTCTTTGTATTATTTTCACAAAAGTACAGTAAAGTTAAGTCTGTCACAAGCCAATGCGGCCCATCAGGCCGGCATTTATCTCCGGTTTCAGTAGCAGCTGAGAATACATCTACTCCCCCTGGATGGGATGCCAGTCCATCGCAGGTTACTCCCCAGCTAATGCCGGTACCCATTTATACTCCTGGGTGGAGAGAGGCAAGTGGGGGTGAAGGGGCTTGCCCAAGGACACAACATGTGGCCAGCAGCTGGATTTGAAACCCCTGACCCTCTGATCATGAGTCACGAACCCTAACCACTAGGCCACACTCCCCACTTATTTTCACAAGCTCTTCCTAAAATATTTGACAAGCACAGGTGAACGCAGATCCCGAGAATTTTAGGCTGACGCGTGTATTTGAATATTCGATCAAGTCCAAGCTGGAATAACCGAATGCTAATTTATTTTAAAAATGCATAATCCCAGGGAATAGTGGAGACATCAAAACATTAAAGATAACTGTCTTGAACAAATGTCTTTTTTCCTCCACATTTTTCCAACTGCAGGAGTTCTTTGCAGCTCTAGAACGAGTCAAACAGATTCATAATGACTGCAAGATTCTGTTACGCACTAACCAACAAACTGCTGGGTATGTACAAGTTATTTTGTTCTCCAAATATTTTCTTGCATTGTAAACTGGACAGTAGGGATTATTTTCCTGCTTGAAAAATGCCCAGCTGTACATTTATTGGCTTGAATTTATTATTATTATTATTAATAACCTCTGGTTGTGAAACCACAGGCATGCAATTTTTCCTCAGATCCGCTGATTTCCTTGTTTTTGACTTCTCATGAATGCCATTACAAATTGAAAAACACTGTACAAAGTCTTGTGTGGTTGGGAATTTCCTCGTTTTTTTCTAAATTCCCAGTTGCATGCCTGAAACCAAGGATTCCCCAAAAGTTTCTAAGCACCTGTAGAGATAAGACAATGAGAGGAAAGTACAGTTTCAGAGTTGGGAGGAAAACCCCAAAATATTGTTCTGGGGATAATCCACAGAATCCAGTAGGGACTGAAAATCCCATCCACATGTGGCCAGGGAAGGAATCGAACCCGGGTCACAATAGTGAAAGGCGAGGAAAGATCTGCTGTGCCAACCTGACTCCGTTGTTTTTAATTCAGTTTTTTTTTGTACCCTACAGGCTTGAAATAATGGAATCTATGGCGCTGCATGAAGAGACTGCTTATGAACGGCTGTACAGATGGATTCAAGGTTTGTAGTGCTTTTGAATTAATCAACGGTGGTTACAGATCTGAGATGCCAGCCTCTCTAAAATTTTATTTTTCAATTTTGCTGGTCCAAGCCTAGAGACTTCTTTGTACCTGACTGATCAAACAACAGGAGGGCTTGAATTAACTTTCGATCATCAAATATGGTTAACCCAGGGTTCAACTCTAGCTGTAGCCTGCTAGCCAAAACAGCGACGGGCTAGTCAAGCTATTCCTTAAGTAGCCCAGCTGGCAAGTCAAAAAGTATTGGGATATGGCAAAAAATAAAATTTAAATTCAGAAAGCCAACCTGTTTCAATGTGTGTCTAATTTTATAAACTTTAATATCAGGTTAAATATCAAATCTGTTTATTAAAAACACTGACAAGATTGCCTCAGGATACACGTTTTACATGTATGCACATTGTTGTTTATGAGACACTCTATAAAAGAAAAATATGCGGGCTAGTGAAAATGCCCGCGGACAAGTTAAGAGTCTGTTTCAGTAGCCCTGTTGGCTAGTGAACGAAAGTTGAGGTCAATCCCTGAATCGTGTGTGCTCTTGGACCAGCTTTACTAGACTTGCCTCATCTATAAAAACAATCAGTGGCGTACCCAAGGGGGGGGGGGCGCTCGGGTTGTCATATTTTTTTTTTAGTCCCACGATTTGACCTTGGTGATATGTTTGTGACCTATTTTCGAGTAGTATAATAGGGATGTAAGTGGCGCCACCAACGTCAAAATAGTCCGTCCCCCCAAAAAACAATTTTTTTCGCACGGCCAACAATTTTGGACAACTTCTTTTGAACGTTTTTTTTGCCCCCCCCCCCCCCCCCCCCGCAAAATCCTGGGTGCCCCACTGAAAACAAACATAATAACAGTCACCATGTACATTTTAACTCAGTACATAAACGATCATCAATACGTTTAGCGTAATATGGCATAATTTTTATAATTTCTACCACAACAGGAGAATGCCGTGGGCTAACAGGAGACACTGTGGAGATATCCGCCTTACACTGTGAAGCAGTGGCAGCCTTGCAAGACAGAACTGTGCTGTTTAGGTGAGAACCTCTTAAATTTTCCGAAATAATGCTGTTTTCATTGACCATGTATGTATTGTAAGAAAATGCTGATGTTCACAAAAATATAAAATGTCCAAGGGAGCTCAAAGTTTGCATATTCATTAAGCATTATAATTTCTTTTTTCTATAAAACATCCCTTCCTTTCTACCTGCATTTATTTGTTATATTTGTAGATGTTTTTAACTGAAAATCATTATTATTGTCAAATTTAATTTGTGTTCCTATTATAATAATGAGCCCAGTTTACGGCCACAATAAGTATTTATTCGGTATATATTGTTTGCCAAAAAATAGATATACTCTTGATGAATTTGGTACTGCAAGAAGAAGTGCCATGGTGAGGGGCTTCATTGAAGCTTTGACAAGAGGAGGTGAGTGTGGGTAGTTAGCAATTTGGGCCCAATTTAAATATTTGGCAATTTAAACTGAAAATCTGGGTTTCGGGGTAAAAAAAGCATGGCAAGAGCCAACTTGATAAAACAATTGCAGACATTAAAGGGCAAAATTTAATATTGAATTTACATAACCCCGCCGCCAATTTATCGCAAATGATAAATAGTTTCCACTCGAATTATTTTTTCTCAGTTTTTCTCTCTTTCACTCGAGGGGTAACATACTAAGTATACAGTGTTTATACGTCGGTGAAGGGAAAAACCTAATATTGAATTTACATCACCCCTAAGGAAATTCCATCTTATGAATAGTTTCATTATGGTACCTGCTGCAACATCAGATTCGAACCAGCCAACAGATCCCGCAAGCTCAGTGGTCAAGTGGTAAGGCATGTGCACTAGATAGCAGGAGGTTGTGGGTTCAAGTCCCACCCGAGTGATTTGTTTCTCACTTTTTCTCACTTTCACTCGGGGGAGGGGGACACATTGAGTTCACAGTGTTTATATGTTCGTGAAGGGCAAAACCTAGTATTGCATTTACAACACCCCGACGCAAATTCCATCTTATGAATAGTTTCTTTGCGATACCTGCTGCTACATCAGATTCGAACCAGCCAACCGATCCCGCAAGCTCGGTGGTCGAGTGGTAAGATATTTGCAGTAGAAAGCAGGAGGTCGTGGGTTCGAGTCCCACCGGAGTGATTTTTGCTCTTTTACACTGGGGGGGGGGGGGGGTAACACACTGAGTATACAGTATTTATTTGTATTTATATAATAGAGCAAAATATTGAATCTCAGAAATTGTAATTTTGTTGAAATGGATCAATAAAAAATCTTATCTAGTCAAATCTAATCTCATTTCCCTTTCCAGGACCAGGTGGTACCCCACGTCCCATTGAGTTACACTGTCACGAACCTCTACGCTATGTAGGCGATATGTTTGCTTGGTTGCATCAGACAACGGCGTCGGAAAAGGAACACATACAAGGCTTTCTCCGGCTTGCCACATCACAGTGTAAGTCTACAGTATAACATGTACTTGACATGCATATTTATGAGCTAAGCAGGCTTCTGTCATTGGACCAAGTGCCGCTGTCGTAGATCATGTGCTGTCATTTTCAACAAGTGTCGTAAAGCACTTCGTTCCTCCGCAGTTGTGCATCCCTTCTCCCTACAGCATCCCCTCCCTCCAGATCCTGCTGAATTATGATAGGAGCTTCCTGCCAGTCGCTGTAAACATCTGGACTAAGCTTCCCTCTGACGTCATCGGGCAGCCTTCAAAGGATGGGGCTCAGTCACTGATCTCTATAAAGACTGGATAGCGGATAAAGAGCCGCACAATGAATGCATTTGACGCCATATTGGTGAGACCGGTGAGACCGGCTGGTGATCTACAAAGGACAAGTTGCCGTCGTTATAGACAGCATGATTTCCTTTGTAACGTCACGGTTCACTTTTTAACCACCACCACTGACCGAGGTTTACAATTTTTCTCACGTCGTGGTTTACTCTTTTAATGCCGCAGTTCACTTTTTCGGCGTTTTGGAAATAATAATCACTACGGAAATGTGTCCTTTTTAGAACATCATAATTTGTGTACGTGACCAAAAATGCGCGTCAACTGTTGATACAACGCACGCTGTATATGCGTAGAACGTTCATAATATACGCGGCCATCTTCGTGAGACCGGGGGCGAATTGGTCAATATGCAAAGTCTACTGTGTGACTGGTGTATGGTTATCCGCTATCCAGTCTTCATATAGAGATCAGTGGGCTCAGTGTTTTTAAGGAGGTTGTGCACCATTTTTTTTTGCTCAGCCATACATAGTCCCAGGCTTCATGTATAGTCGTGTTCCCTAACGTGGCGCACTTCGAAGCTTACCCAACTTTCCTCGTGTAGTGTTGCCAAACCTCTTTGTTGATAAACCTCAAATTCATGCAGTGAAATACTGGTACTTTTACCTTTTTAATGCTTGCTATTTAACCTCTGTGAACAATTTCGGTTTCATAAAATTTAATCCGAAATGCAAAAACGGTCGCGTCCGGAAATTGGGCACAAATTAACGGAGTGTTCCCTAACGTGGCGCACTTGAATAAATCTCAGAAAATTCCAAATTAACATTTAAGAATTTCTGTAAACTTGATAAATTCTGATAAATCATTATTAGCTTTACTTACAAACCCAGCCAGATGTTTGTCAGAAATTTATTTTCTTATTTTTCGGGGCATTTTCAAAGGGTTCACTTTGCACTTGAAAATAAAAACGGAAACTCACGCCAAAATAATTTTTTCTTTTAACTTTGTAACGGGTAAATAAACTCGCGATTTATGAACGGGAGTGTTTAGAACTTGATGAAATTTCACTTTCTGTGAAATTTCAGTTAAAACTTTTGCTCTAGCTAGGCGCTACAGGCGAAAAATCAAAGTGCGCCACGTTTGGGGCCGCGCCACGTTAGGGTACATCAACAATATATGTATTAAAGTTCAGATTAGTCCAAGCACGCTTCTAGGCTCTATTTTTTAATTCCTATTAACCCTATCTCCCTATCGTCTTTTACTAGGAACTGGACCAATTCCATCAAAATCCATCAATCACTGTGCGTCCAATACAAAACTGTACATGACATACATGTGATGGAATCCACCACTGATACACTGGTTGACATTCATGGACTTGCTACACATGGCTTTTATCACAATAGCAGTATAGCAAGCTAGGCAAAATCAATCAGATACCCCTAGCACTGCTTCAGGCCATTAGGCCCAAGTCCATCATACTCCATCAATATTTAGTCACGCTAGGCCTTCTGGACCAAGTCCCCCAAAATCCACCAAAAGGGGGAGGGGATGGATTTGGATGGAGTTTGGGTGGTTAGGGTTAATGCTACTGTGCGTGCTTCTAGCCTGTTGTTTTTCCCATGAGATTTTTTTTTCTTAAATTAGATAAAAAGCATCTTGGCAGTAAAACTAGCCATCATGGCCACGCCCTAACAACTCCCCCCCCCTATCATACATGTTCCAGTCCCACTTATCTTTAATTTTTTTTTCCTTTTTAGCAAGAAACAGTGACATTGAGGATGTTCTTGGGCATATCACAGAGGGAGTCTGTCGGCCATTAAAGGTATGTACTTATTCAAGTAAAGATGTTCTGTCCGTGCTATTTTGAGTGCACCCAAAATATTAGATTTGTTTTTTAAATTGCTACTTTTGTAGTATCACAAAACTTACTGAGCCAAAAATTTATCCACAATTACATGTCATTATGGAGTGTTACTTGCATCAAATTCAATTGACTAAAATAGAACCAGGGCACAGCGGAAACAACGAAAGAAAGAAAGGACAAAAGTGAAAACTAGCAATTAGATTTGAACAAGTCAATATTTACAAGAGAAATGATACCGGAAGATGACGCATTTTGGAAATTTCCGTTATCCAAAGCCGTGAATGGGTGGAGCATTGTCACAATGCACGCGCCAAGTGGTTGCTGTTATTCGTTGCTTCAATGCGTGACATCGCCTAGCTGCAATCGTCTGAATGAGAACGTGTCCCAGATGCTGATTTTGAGCGCAATTCTAATATGCAACTTTGAATTGAAATCAGAATCTTAGAATATTGTTTTCTCGAACTATACAACATTCACGGATCCCAAAATTCATCAGGTTAGTTGTTAAGCAGACAGGGCTCTGGAGTGCTCTGAAACGTGCAAAACTAAATCGGGCCCACTTTACTCACACTTTAGCCAGCAAATTTCTCCAAAAATTCCACTTGGGCAAAGAAAATGTCTTCAGTATTTCACCAAGCAAGTTTGCAGACTCAATTCAATTTTTAAAGGAGACTTTTCTTCAATATTTTGCACATTAGAGGGAAGTCAAGTGATTTTAAAATCGGGCTAAATACTAGACTGGTACATGCCCAACCATGGTCCAACTATTTGAAAAGACTGAGTGACCTCTTCATTCAGTGTCAATAGTCTGGTGTCTTGACTATGGAGAAATGTGTAGTAAATTGAGACTAGTTCCCGCTTCATGCCACATGTTTCTTAAATTCTTTTGGCATATGGTTGATTGATGCAGTACTGAAGTTGTGTTGGACTGGTTGTTTTAGGTGCCAGTCTATTTTCTTGTTTTGCATGTTTTCAATACCTTAAGTTTTGGGACTCTCATACACAGTATTGAGAGTCCCAAATTTTTGGACTAGTTGTTAAGCACCCGTCTTTAGATTTTTACAACTTTTGTTGCTTCAAACGAAACAAATGCAAAAATGACAAATGTTCTACTCTTCTTTAACATGCAGGTTCGTGTGGAGCAGGTCATCGTAGCAGACCCTGGCCCAGTACTTCTGTACCGACTGACAAATCTGTTGAAGTTCTACACGCATACTATAAGGTAAGCAGTTGTACATCTGTGCATTGTTCCAAAAATTTAGTCGTTGATTATTCTAACTTGGACTTGATCATACATTCAAATACTCGAAATGTAATGATTAAAGGGAATATACATCATTTACTTTTGCTGTAATTTTCAGAAATGGATGGAATTGGGGGGTTGGAAATATATAGCAAATATAGTTACACTGACTTTTTTGAGGTTTTGGGTTCGAAAATGCTATAAAAACCAAGAAAAACAATCATTTTCCTGTAGTCTGGTTCCCTGACTCCATTTAAGAAGAAACAGAGCAGTTTACTTACATTGGGGAATTGTAAGGTCAGGGAACCAGTCTAGCAGGCTTGTACCCGTTCATAGGTGTGTAATCGATTGCAAACAAGTGCAATGGTCAACTGGGGCCAGTATTTGAAAAAAAGCCAGTTTTTCCCAATGCTGGTCGGCCAATCAGCGTTGGAAATTGATACAAAAATACCACTTTTCTTGAAAATGACAGTATACCAGGTGCCATGATTTTACAGGATGCTTTACACTGTCATTCACTAACAGTCCAGCAAGGTATTTCAAAATGATTTGGTAGTTTTATTTTTTGATGTTTGCAAATGTTGTATTTTCCCTTTAAGTTGAACATGTGCCAGTCTAAACTGGCCAACGATCGGGATTTGCGTTTGCCTGCGCTTATTTTAAAATTGACAAAGACGTTATTAAAATAATAACAAAAGAGATAGCGGAATGGATTATTTTTACTCCATTATATTGTTGTATCCATTATAGTTATACTCCATGAAACCAAAGATTTTGCAGGTCAACTTAAATTGTCAATGTCAAAAATAAAATTTCAATTAAAAAAATTAGGTATCTATTTAACACTAACAGTCCTGAATCCGCCCATATAAATTTATGGAAAGATTCCCATATCTGGCCATCACTTGTCAACCTGTGCACAAACCCTATGGGACTGTTTTCTTAGTAAAAACTGCAATATTTTCACAGCTAAATTACACATTTTAGGCCATATTGTCACTTTCTGATGGCTGATAGGTCACTGAAGGGAAAAAATTAGTGATGGCCATATATGGGAATCTTTTCAAATTTATCATTATCAATTTGAATTTTCATTTTTTCCTTTTAGTCAATTTCTTGGGAAAGAAGCCATGCTGCTGTCATGTCTGGAGGAGCAGCAGGAGCTGTGCCAAAAGGTTTTCTTCAATGCACTGACTGTCCTTGCTTCCAAACTCGTGGATAAGGTTTGTACAAATAAGTAATTTTTACCTTGTTTAAAGGGAAATTACAACATTTGCAAATATCAAAAAATAAAACTACCAAATTATTTTGCAATACCTTGCTAGACTGTTAGTGAATGACAGTGTAAAGCATCCTGTAAAATCATGGCACCTGGTATACTGTCATTTTCAAGAAAAGTGGTATTTTTGTATCAATTTCCAACGCTGGTCGGCCGATCAGCGTTGGAAAAAAACTGGCTTTTTTACAAATACTGGCCCCAATTGACCATCGCACTTGTTTGCAATCGATTACACACCTATGAACGGGTACAAGCCAGCTAGACTGGTTCCCTGACCTTACAATCCCCAATGTATGTAAACTGCTCTGTTTCTTCTTATATGGAGTCAGGGAACCAGACTACAGGAAAATGATTGTTTTTCTTGGTTTTTATAGCATTTTCGAACCCAAAACCTCAAAAAAGTCAGTGTAACTATATTTGCTATATATTTCCAACCCCCCAATTCCATCCATTTCTGAAAATTACAGCAAAAGCCAATGATGTATATTCCCTTTAAAGCTTTGGCAGGAGTTTCTACATGTCACTTGGTGGTCGGTCAGTTGGTTGGACGGTCTGTCTGTCCCCGGAAAATTGACCAAAAGTGTGGTGTGCCATCAGCGTCGCATTTCAATCGATTTCATTTTTAGCTCTGGCAGGGATCATTTCCATGCATTTTATGCAAGACTGTCATGCAAGACTTCTTGCAACATGGCCAGCGCTTATTGTGCACTCACACTTTTTTCTATCCTCCTAGGGAGTACCAATTGCCACTACCTATTTTCTACCAGCTTAGGGGTTCCTGATAACTATTTTCTAGCTTCCTAAGGGGTTTAGCCTTGGTCAATGCTCTCGTCGTTATTCGTCCCGTACGCGGTCAATCGTCGGCATATATCCTCTCACGCGCTATGCACATGCATGTAAAAATACAGCGCGAACAGTGACCTCATGCGGCCACTATTTTTTTATGCAAATCAGTTGGGGACGATCGAGAGCTTTGGTTCAATCGTTGGCAAAAGCTTATGTTTTTCTTTATTTTGCGCTGGATTTGTAGCGCACGACCTCGTATGCGAATACAGATAAGTGTAGGCGGGGCTAATATGTGGAGTGTCCAATCACACCTTGGTAAATCCGGACGTCATCAAATTATTTGCAGCTATTCGCCTTTTGCGGACGTGACAGGAACCACAGTTTTTGTGCATTGGTGCCGTGTGCAGAGACACACAACGTGTACGTGTATGGATTATGTACGGTGCCACGTTTCACTATACAAGTTTCCACGCAACGATCGACCAATAAGAAAACGACATTTAAGGTCAGCTAAGGCTATTAACATAATGAGCACCACCCCATAACCTCACATGGACGATTGAACCAAGGCTCTCGATCGAGAGCATTGACCAAGGCTATAAGGGGTTTCATGATGCCTGTTTTCATACTTAAAGGGGTTTCTTCTCAGGAGATTTCAGGGGTTTCTCTAACCACTTCCTATTTTTAAGCTTTGGCAAGAACTTCTACATGTCACTTGGTGGTCGGTCGATCGGTCCTGAAAATTAACCAAAAGTATGGTGTTCCATATTGCCATCGGTGTTGCAGTTTTCGGCATCACATTTTTCAGCTCTGGCAGGAATCATTTTGATCGATTTCATGCAAGACTTCCACGCAGGACTTCTTGCAACACGGCCGGAGCTTATTGTGTATTCACACTTGTTGTATCACTAATCCACTAGTCATGGTCCCCTGCCACTCTGGAAATCAAGGAAAAACCTTGAAAATTAGTTTTCATTTTTCCATTCATGAAAACTGAGGAAATGGGAAAAACACCAAAAATCAGGAAAAACTCAGGAAATTTGACTGTGACCCAGCAGGCCAGTTTGGCGTATGTGCGTCTTGTGCCATGTGTCCAAGCTGTGTCCATTGACTGGAAGGATGGCTCTAAAGGGAGAAGGGAGGCCGTTGCTTGTCAACAAGTTACCTTTGTACTATCAGTATCTTATCAGTATTAGTTGCTGTGCTGCAACCACCCCTTGACTCCCAGCAACCTCATTAATGTGAACATATTACGGGGGGACATCAGGGAGAGCTCAGGCAATTTTGTCTTCATAAATTGCTTGGAACTCTGCTAGTGCCAAATCCTGTACAAATGTAGGGAGTAATCTCGATAAGTGTCCGGAATAAGTTGCGGGAAAGTTCATCGGCAATAGGCCCGTTGTAGCAGGTATTTGTTGAAAAACTTCCCTTTAGCATTTTCGAATAATTTAGTATTCAATTTCTCGAACTCGAACTTGATTGAATATTCCAATTTTCGAAATGCTTTAACATTAACATAACACCCTAAACTGGCCAATGATCGGGATTTGTGTGCTCTTGCAGTTCTTGAAAATTGACAAAGATCTTATCAAATTAATACAGAGAATGGAGCGGCTGATATGTAACCAATTTCAATTAAAGAAGAAATTTGAGCTGATATTTTCTTGTTTGACTCTCACAACCAGTAAAGCAAATCATACATGTTTGTGTCTGAAGTAATCATAAATGTCCATTTGCAAGAAAAATGAACATCAATCACAAATTTTGTACTGTACAGGTTGAATTGCCTCCTGCAGACCTTGGGCCGACTCCAACTCTGACACAGAATTTGGCTCTTTTAAGAGAGATACTTATGTCTCATGATTCATCAGTCGTTCCTTTGGATGCCAGACATTCCGATTTTGTTAAGGTAAGTAACGTACCTCCTCCGGACAGTTGCTACTGTGAAAGGCATATGGGATCATTTCCTTTTTGTGAATTTTGTTCCTTTCCAATAAAGACACCAATCAAAATCCAAAGAAGAGTGTCCAAAGTCTAACCTGTTGAAGTTTCAGCTCAGTGGATATTACACTTTTCGAGAATACATTGGAAACCATGCACAACCTTTTGATCACGAAACACAATTTTCTCTATATAACTCTTTTTTTACAAAAATCAGTCAATTGACTGATCGTTGGAAATCACATACATTCCCTGATTTCTTCTAAACAACAGCAAGCCAGACGGAATAATTTCACGGGATGTTTAGTACCAGTACAATCTTTAATCCAAATAAGCTTTTTAATAATAATTTGGTGGGTTACTTTTGGGATAAATGCAAATGATCCTATGTGCCTTTAAGAAGGCCAAGAAAATAAAATAAGAATATAATAAGAATTATGCAGAATCTACATTTTTTATTTTGATAAAAAAAAAAAATTGAAACTTAAGGCTCTGTCCCACCCTATTTTTTGTGGACTTCGTCCTGCATTGTTTTGAACATTGGTCTTCAGTGCAGTCTTGTCGCACCGTGTAGCTAAACTTGAAAGATCACAACAAATGTAAGTGGCATGGGTGGCTAGTGCATAAAACGCTCACCTCTCACCACTGTTGCCCGGGTTCGATTCCCGGCTGCAGGCCATATGTGAGTAGAGTTGCGCGTTGGTTCTCTCCTGTGCCACGAGGGTTTTTCTGCGGGTTTTTCTCTGGGCTCTCCGGTTTTCCTCCCTCCGGAAAAATCAACACTTTCGATCTCAGGCTGTGCTCCCTGGTCAGACATGAGTCGTATGGTGGCTGCCTAAGGCGCCTTTACATGCCAGCGGCTTGACCACGTTGTAGCCGCATCCTTGGCAATTCAGCTTCTCAGCTGCCAGTAAGGATGATTAGCCTTCCAAAGTATTATTATTATTACGAATGCAGAATAAGCAGTTTAAATCGCATGCTAGCTGTTTCGTCGTCCCCCCCCCCCCCCAAAAGAAAACAATTTAAAAGACCTATATTTCTTCTGGCTAGTATAAAAAGTTAAAAGATTCTATCCACCAACCAACAATATTTTTTTCCCGCTGTAATAGCCCAAGGCTAATTCCATCTTATAAAATTATAAGCTGAGCGTATACTTGTATTGCAACTGCCTTTATTTGTTACGTGCAGATCCTCGGTTGTGTGCTGGATCCTTTGCTGCAGATGTGCTCGTTGTCTGCGAGTCGGCTCAACCCCTGTGACATGGCAGCGTACATGATCAACTGTCTGTATGCAATGCAGTCCTGCTTAGCGCTGTACGAATTCACCGACCAACGCTTGGAAATGATAGCCGCACAGGTATGTATTGACAAGATTTAACCCTCCACCCCTACCCCCTCTGAGCTGTCTGAGCAGTCACAGACTGTCAAAAATTTCAGTCCCTTCCCCTGCTATGCGTAGACACAGGCTTGCCACCAACAGACAGAGAATGTTTCTAGTAAGCACTGTAACTAGTCAAATTCCATCAACGGACTAAAAACGGGGAAAACTGGCAGGCACAGCTGACTTATCAATCACCTACAGTCAAGGCAGAGCTGCAGCAAGTTGCATAAACAGTCACATTTGGTTGAGCCTGCTTTATGTCGGCAAAGGATTCCTATTTGTTAAAAAAACAAGGCTCTTAAATTATTGTGACCGTTGAGATGGCTTAGGGCCCGTGACCATTCAGCCCCGGTATGAAAAGGGCCCCCCGTTAAGCTCGTCCCCTCCCAAGAAGTCCTTTCGTACCGTCCCAGCTACCGGCCCAGGAGCTGGTCCGGTTGCTAATCAGGAACTCCTCTATCCTGGGGTCTATTGTTTGCAAGTATTGACACACATAATATATCCCTGAAGAAACCTGATTGTGGTTTTCATCCTTCAGCGCGAATGAATAGAACACTTTCGTCGGCACAGATCAAAACCCCTGCCATGCGGTTTCGCGCACAATGGGTCCGTAAATTACCAAAGAGTTTGGGAGGATTTGATCTTACTTAATCCGATAAGTCTGCTATTGTTCTGCTCAGAACGTTCTCGGAAGGGCAATAAATTGATGCGCCTGACTGACTTCAAAACTTCTGGTCAGACAGGACCATGTACCGGACGAGACTGGGCTGAAGACCGGACTGGCTTTGGACCGGACGAGGTACCGGGGGGCCCTTTTCATACCAGGGCTGAATGGTCACAGTCCCTTAGATGTCGGCTAGAACATAAACGTTTGTAAATGTTTGTAAAGTTTTTATTTATTTTTTATGTGCAGATATCAGCCCATCAAGATACGTTGGTCAATGAGCAAGCTTCGTACGTGCTGTCAACAGTGTCTCTGATCCAGGTGTACAGCATTGCCCAACAACACAAACCCTCAGAGGTAAATTTAAAAACCAAAGGAACTTATATGTTGCTATTTTTGTAAAAATGTGTATTTCTAAAGTGCATGTATCCACCAGTATTGGTGCTCAAGGTTTAGAACAGGCATCAAGATTTAGTATGATACTGCCGTGGCATCATGGTCTGTAGATCTGTGGGTAATACTACAGGTTGTGAGTTCGAGTCCAGCCTGTGGGTTGTGGTGTTTTGTGTCCTTGGGCAAGACACGTTGTCACAACTTACTTCTCCCGCCCCACCCAGGAGTAAATGGGCACCTGTGAGGGCAGAGATGGTCATTGTGTTTGAAAGAGCTGAACGCGCTTCACAAAATTGCAGCATTGAGCTGTGTACTCCCAAGCGAACTGAGATGACCTAAGGAATGCATTGTGGCCCCATGAGCAGGGTTAATAATATTGTGAAGTGCTTTGATAGTTGAAATCACTATACCGCTTTGAATTGTGCCACACAAAATCTGTGGCATGTAGTGTCTTGAGGTTGATGCAGAGTCATTTTTCTCAAACAAAATATTGTGTAAGAAATACCTTTTCCCTTTTTTTTTTCTTTTTTAGGGTCCTCTGTCATTAGTGCATGGTATGGATACAACAGCACTCAGATCTGCAATGGTAAGACATTTCAAGAATTTACCATTAAAAAAACATGTTTGTAAGTTTGTGTTGAAATCGTCCTTAGTTTAAAAATGATCCCCTATGACTGATCCCCCATTCTTTTCATACATTTATGTTTGGTTTAACCAGTCACTGCTTTTAGTTTTAGGGGGAGGGGGGAAATGGATCTGGGCTTTATATTTCAATCTTTATAACAAGATGAGATATGGCTGTTGATAAAGGGTGACCCCCAAAAATGCAACCCTAAAACATTTGCCTTAAAAAAAAAAGGGATTGGTGGATTTTTATGTTTCTGGTATCAGATTATAGCCAAGAGCTGTTTCTTATAAATAATGAAACAATAATGAAATTGCTGAGAAAATGCCAATTATGTAAACGTAGTCAATATTCATCCTGTACACAACATACATTGTACACAACTAAAGAAGTGGCGTCTGGATACTGCATTCTTTCCAATTTTGGTGGTGTCTTTTTGTTCAATATTCCATTTTGTTCATTTTATCATTAAAACAAATTAAATGAATATTTTTGGTATTTTCTATCTAGGTGCGATTTGATACTTATCTATCCTCCCCTGATAGTTCAATACTATCACAGTGCCATTTGATCAACAGTCCCGTTTTGAGGTAAGTTCATTTTGAAAAAGTTCGTATTTTCGGGATGCCTAATCATGGAAAAATACAGACACAGCTATCAAATGAGTTTATAGTTAAGTTCAAAAGTTGTGATTTTGAATTGTTCCAATATGAGTGGATTCATAGAAAAAATCAAAAAATAAAATTTTGTCCCAATTTTCTGCGGCTTTCTCTGGAGCAAAATAAAATTGCTATCGGCGATATGGATATCAAAATAATATTGAATAATCGAGTAATATCGATACATCGACGGTGCTTAAGGCTTACCTACTGCAATGGTGGTCGAACCAATCACAGGGAAACGGGAAGGTCACGTTGACATTATATGATTTATATATGGAACCCATATGATTGGAACCCATGTGAAGAAGTATTATACCAAAAAGCAAACACAACACAACCATTCAAAATTTTACAAACAAGTGTACAAATTTGAAAGTGTTTTCTTTTATTGTGTATCTGGGTCTGTCCTCACTAACGGTTACAAAAGTGTGACATTTAGAGGGAACCAGGGACAGGAGTCAATACATGAAGTAATATGTTAACTTTTCCATCTTTCTTCATCCAATATCTCGGTAAGAACATTGCCCACTAACAAGTTTGATCAATTTCTCAGGTTTCGAGAAATTATAGAGGATTATCTTCAAGATTTAACGTTCATAACATGGACAGACATTTCATTTTTATGTGATGGGAAGCAGTAAATAAAATACATGAATTATCCCAAATGTGTTCCTAAATGTAAAGCTACCCATTGAGAGATTGCCACTGGCCAATCTCAGGTTAAACCTCTAGGTATTTTTAACTACAAAGTGTACACATCTTCAAGACTTCATGTTCATAACAGGGACAGAAATTTTGTCACAAATTTCTGTCCATGTTATGAACATGCATCAAGTCGCATCGTAATTTCATAAATACTTAACAGGTTGCTTTAATGTTGAATGATACCAATTCTTCATTAGATATGTAATAAAATGGAACATGGGCTGGAGTTACTACATGTATAACAAGAACATGTAGTTTGATTCAAGAGTGTCCGTCCATGTTATGAACATTATCCTTCATTTCATCTTAAAGATGGCCGAGTAATTTCCTACATATCCAGTGAATCAGCCTAATTATTTATCAGTCCAATCACGGATAATACAGGAATGTTTAAAAAACAAAAATTAGCAAAAAACCTGCTTTGAAATCCACCTCCCATGTCTCACCCATTGAGTTATAAGTTATAACCGTTGGTGTAGACAGACTTATCTACTTGTACCAATATTTCTAACCAAAAGCTGAAAAATTTGTCCTCTTCAGGGAAGAGATCACCAAACGAGGAACGGAGCTTGTTTGTGGAGCGTATCAGTTATTATTCGACAGCATCACCAACCCTGCAAACGGTTACCAAGAACCGAAGAGCATTGTTATAAGAACGCCAGACCAAGTCAGGGCACTTCTACTCTAAGTCTGAAGTTGGTACCCGTGGGTGTTGGGGGGGGGGAAGTTAATGGGTGGAAGGGGGTGCATGGGTGAAAGCGGGTGCATGGTTGGAAAGAGGGGTGGTAGAATGAAGATGACTTAACTTAATATTCGCTCTTTATAAGGTGGAATTGCTACATCTCTGATATATAAATTTAATATTTGGTTTTGCCCTTTAACTTAATTTCAAAACCCTGTTTAGAAAAAATAGTGTTGTCTAAGGCCATGCAAGATGAACAAATTCACCAGCTTACTCAAGTGGGACTCGAACCCACAACCAAACGAAATGATGTCAGTGAGGAGCAAATTTTAAAATTGAATTAATTTAATATTCTACCTGTATTCTATTTTTCGTAGTTTTATTTTATTCATATACGGTCGAACACCTTTATAACAAGGTCCTTGGAACTTTACGAATGACCTTGTTATAACAGGTACCTTGTATTAACAGTAATGGAAAACAAAGGAAAACAAAGAAAAACACAGACTAGGGACCAACAGTTTTGCTTGTTATAAGCAGGACCCTGTATTAACAGTGCTCTTCTTATCAGGGTTCGACTGTATTGATATTGATCTCCACTTAATCATTTTGAAAAGAAAAGGTTCAGACAATAATTTAGATACACGGATTAAGCGGTGGGCTTCTCCAAAAAGCAGGCTTCTCCAGAAAGCAAGCATGTCAAGTGGAGAAGTCCACTATGGAAAGAAAAGAAATATCATGATAATACTATTTATATTTGTTCCTTTTACTTAAGTACACAATGAAGTACACTTTAAGTTACACATACAGAGACAAGGGACCAACACAAACAGGACAAGACAAAAACATATCAAGTACAATCAGAACCTATACATTGCACATCATTAGAAGAATATGTTAGCAGCAAATAATATTTTAATTGAAAATTATTATAACTTTGCATAAGCAGGGGCCTTCACTTTTTCTTGCATAAAGGCCAACGACTGACACTTCTAAGAATTTGATGTAATGAGTTCCAGAATTTGGGGTCCTGATAAATAATGAACTTTTTAGCTTGAGCAGTATGTACAGGGTGAGTAAAAAAACTTAACCCAAATGTCGGGACTATTGTTTAATGAAGTTCTGCATGTAGCGCTTTCAAATTCTAGGATATGAAAGCCCAATTCATAAGCTTTCTTTTAGTATAAGAATCATTCAAATCACTCATGTACTTTTTATGTTACATAATTTTAAACACAACCACCGTTTTAGAGTTCTGTCCACGGATCACAAAAAAGTGCATTCTTTCAGCAAAACGAAAACAATTCACACACATCCCTGGCCCTATGTGATTTGTTTTCGTTTTGCTGAAAGAGCACAACAAGTACCATGAATTGTATCACCATGTGGCGTATTATACAAATATTGAATGCTTCACGGTTGTAGTAAAACTAGCCTCCCGAGGTGATCCACGGACATTCTATTTTCCCGAGGCGAAGCCGAGGGAAAATAGAATGCTCCATGGATCACCGAGGGAGGCTAGGTTTACTTCACCACGAGATAAAGCATTCAATATTTGTTTTATAACACTTCACCCACAGATTCTGCTTAAGGTTTTAATATTTTAAATTATTTAAATCTGAACACAGTTGAAATAAACTTCAATTCAAAACAAAATTGGTGGAAAATTATTTCTCTCTTCCAAACTGCCCCTTCACGAAATGTTTGAACCCAAGTCTGCGGCGCGCTCCCTTTGGAGTAATACGCGCTACGCGCAACGCACAACGCGCACACCAGCATCCATTTGCACACAAATACCGCGCCGTGGAAATAGTACTTTGGTTGCTACGGGTATAGTACTTTTGGCCGTGCACAGAAAGATAGCAAAATTAGAAAGTAACATGTGACTCGCTCTCGGCCAATCAAGACACAGAATATGTGGTTGAGGTGTTATAAATACTACCAGATTATGCTGATGATTGCCTCTCGATCTCCTTAAGATTATTATGTAGCTCACATGGAGTTCTGTAGTAAACCTGCAATTTGTTACCACTTTTGCTATACATTATTCGAACAAATGGTGGTTTGTTTTTGTGTATAATTTTAATTATGCTCTCATGCAGCACTGATGATTCCTTCAGCCCATCTTTGGCAGCCGTGCATCTTTGGCAGAACATGTGAAAATGTGCTGGCATTTTAAACCAACATTAGACCCTATCTGTGCATGCTTAAAAACAGATCACTGAGTATAAGTAATGTTAAAGGGAAAAATACAACATTTGCAAACATCAGAAAACGAAATGATCAAATTATCACGAAATACCTTACTGGATTGTTAGGAATGACAGTCTAAAGCATCCTTTAAAATCGTGGCTCCTGGTGTGCTGACATTTTCAAGAAAAACTGCATTATTCCAAAACTGGCTTTTTTCAAAAACTGTTCTCAATTTTTCATATTTAGTTTTCTGAATTTTCTTTGCGATTACACACCTCTGAAGGGGTACACGCCTGCTAGACTGATTCTCTGACCTTACAATTCCCTAAAGTGTATTAAGTGCTCCGTTTCATCTTATTGGGGTCAGGGAACCAGACTACAAGAACGTGATAGGTTTTCTTGGTTTTTCCATCATCTACAAGCCCAAAACGTGAAACATGTCGGTTCAACAATATTTTCTATAACATAGTAATCCTCCAAATCCATTTATTTCTGAAAATTGAAGCAAAAGCAAATGTTGTACATTCCCTTTAAATATAGCTACCACACTGTAGTGTTGTACATGGCTTTTGACGAAACACCGCGTTCCCACTTGAATTGGGAAAAGGTGGTTCAAGATCCGGCACTTTGGTGTAATCGTTATCTTACCGCAACGAAACCGCAAGTCCCGTTCCCACTTGTGCTTGATCCACCTTTTCGAACGGAAATGTCGAGTCCGAAATGTCACTGGGTTCGGTATTTAGCTTGCTTATGAACTAGGGCTTCGAAAGTAAAACCAATTTGGTAAAGATCTCGACATGTGTTTGTCGTCGGTGTGTTTATATTCCATCATTATATTTGTGTTTCAATCATGTAGTTCAGGCTCATTACACATGGCAAACACGGTACCTGACAATTAGAGCAATGTAATTACGCATAGAGTCAACACTAACAGTTATTAACACAGATCATTATTTTTCTTTGAGTACTTGCTTGTGTGACTGTTCTGTGAGTGCTTAATGTGCTGGTAGATCGAGTTGGTATTGATCAGCCAAAGCAGATGCGTTGTGCATGTTCGGTAACTTATGAATCACCTCGCGTAAAACTGTCGCAGTTCAAACTTCTGTTTTCGGGGAAGTTGCATCACCTCGATTGGTACAGGCCTTGGCAAGATACGGCATGGTTTAGCCGACCACGGCCCAGCGTGGGACCAGTGCCGGTATACCATCTGCTAATCGAATGCAATCTTTCAGCGCATATATAATAGGAATATAATAAACGAGAAAATTGTCACATGAGGGTTCACGAATCAAAAACTCAAACACGGTGAACCTAACACAGTTTTTTTTTAGTAAAGGCCTAACACTAAAACGCAAAATAAACCGGGAGTCAATGCTAGCATTTCCTAAGAAAAAACAGGACGCAAAATATTGGCCTTCCCAAAATCTGACTTTTGGGTAGCTGAAAAGCATAGGCCTAGAAGTAGAAAACTATTTTCAAAATGTTCGATGGGCTTTTCTGCTTTTACGAATTTATAAAAGCAGATGGCAAGTCTTCTGCTCTCTGAGTGAAATATGCTTTACAGGGAGCAGAAAAGCAAGAAATGCAAACGACGAACACGGTTGATCTGATTTTCTGCTCCTCGCACGAGAGAAAAGCAGATGGCCACTGTTCGTCCGCCAGCAAAGGAAGAAATGAGGATAGCACGCAGAAGAGCAGATTTCATCAAAAGGTAAATTCTACCTCTCTGGTGGCAGAGAGGCAAAAAGCAGATAACGTGTTCAATCTGCTTTTCTGCTAATAATTATAAGCAGAAAAGCAGACGGCCAAGTTCCTCCATGGTTGGCAAATTGTGGCTTAATATTTGTCTTTCACTTTACACAGCCTCTCATTGTATGGTTAAGAATCAATTTCGATACCAAACGCATTAATTGATGCTTGAAGTCAACCAATACCCGCGATCAAAAACTCTAGCCGCTAATGGGTCGGAGATAAAACAAGGTTTGCTAGTCATTATATTGAAAAAGGCAATTCCGTTGGTTGAACATTTATTCAGTATAACCACTTCAACCACAGGAGATGAAAAATGCCGACACACTTGGCTGGGACATGAGACTAACTGGGGAGTTGATAGGAAACTCAAAACTATTACTGAAAGTAAACACGGCGAATTAAACTAGTCACTTTAAAACTGGATCTCATCATGGAATTGAGTACTGGAAATCTGTCAAGAACTGTTGACAGGTCTTCAATTTTTAACTTAATTCGAGACTTCAAGTGATTGTGTCTATTGTGAAAAGGGAATTGTGGTTCAGTTTATAAACCTGTTGCAAGTGAATGTGAGCTGAATTTGCTCAGCTGGCAGCGCGGCCAAATTGCAGGTAAGTTCAATCGCGGTTTCTTTTAGGCCCTATACGCGTGTCAAATAATGTGTTTTTGGGGGATGGATTCTTCAGCAAGCAGTTACTCCCGTGTGGAGAAATAGATTATTAAGGAATTGAAGCCCCCAAAAATTGGAATAGAGACTGACACGTACACATTAATCTTCTAGTAATTGGCGTTTGTTTGTTCCTATAGTTCTACATATTTTTTGTTTCTCGTGTCTTTATATCTGAAAATTTTGCCATGATGTCAAGATTTGATTGAAGTTATTTAATTTCTATATTTTCAAGAAATACTGAGCCGGTTTTATTGTTGCAACGATGGTCCGAGTACGCCGACGAGACGAAGGAAGGACCGGCGTGATGCTTGTGATGCTGTTGGTGCTGATAGCTCAACTACCAAGCGTATTAGGTGAGAGCAAAGTAATCTGTGGTGTTGTCGAGTTTACCCCACGTTGGGGATTCGGCGTCCTTTTTAAAATTTTAGGTCAAGTTATACAAGTTTTAAGTTCATGAGGATACCAGCGGATTTTTGATTGAGAGTGTTACTTTTAAGTTTTAGCGGTGTTAATAATGTAGCGGTGCGCACGGCTATAAGGGCAACCCCAAGTATTTGTTTTTAAAGTTTCTAGTAACACCGTCAAGAAACCAAGTTTTTATAGGCGTCTGTATAACTTTATTGATCATGGGTATGGGGATGTGTTTTGGTGGGCATGCAATTCTCGGAAATTTAGGCACGGGCGTTGCTACAGGGGTGTATGGGGGGTGTTACCCCACCCCTCCCCCAGTTTTGTCGGCAAAATCATGGTGCTGTCGGCAAAATAGAAAATGAAGAATAGAGAAGAAAGGGGAAAAATTCAAAAATAATTTCATTAAAATAAAACATACACAATGTGACATTTTCAATTTGATTGTTGAACCGTATAAACAGTATACATCCTTAAGTCCCAAAAGTTCTAAAGTAAAAAAGGGTCAGGTCCAGAAATTTGGCCGAAGCAGGCTCCCTATAGAACGGGGCACCCTAAACAGAATTTCAAATCCCCGAGTAAAGGTCATTTTTTTTAGTTTACCAATTCAGGAATTAAACTGAATTTTCATCATTTTGTTCCAGTATTCTCAGGCTTGGGGCAATTACCTGATTATATAGGGTGCTATAAAGACAACACTGGCGATCGTGCTCTTAGAGGAAGTGAAGTGAAGGATGAGAGTTCCATGTCTTGGCAGTGGTGCATGAAAAACTGTATAAATTATAATTATATGGGACTGGAGTTCGGTGACGAATGCTTCTGTGGAGATAATTCTGACTATTACAGGCATGACAATGGTGGAACTGACTGCAGTACGACGTGTGAAGGAAACAGCGGTGAGACATGTGGTGAATATAAACGCATTCAAGTCTACTTGAATCCAAATGCACCACTCCACTTATTTCTCTCGAAATCCTGTCTACGGGCCTGTTATTGTGAGTCCCCGCCCCCTCTCCCAAACAACAAGCACTCCTTTCCCCTATGTATTACGTTTCCCATTTTCCCAAATTCATGTACTTGCCTAAATATTAAAAAAAAAATTTGTTCCTGTGTTCTTAGGGCAACCTGGTTATCTAGGGTGCTATGAGGACAGCATATACGATCGTGCTCTTCAAGGAAGCGAAGAGAAGGATGAGAGTTCCATGTCTTGGCAGTGGTGCATGTCTAAGTGTAAGAATTATAATTATATGGGACTGGAGTTTGGTAACGAATGCTACTGTGGAGATAATTCTGACTATGGCAAGCATGGCAATGGTGGAACTGGCTGCAGTTTGACGTGTGAAGGAAACAGTGGAGAGACATGTGGTGGATCAGATCGCATTGAAGTCTACAGAGGTGAGACATGAAGCATGATTGTTTTGTTTTGATTGTTATAAATGAATGTAAAATGCTGCCTGACAATTAAGATCGAATCCGGAATTTCAAAGGGTGCATACCTATGTTCCCCAATACCGATGTTCCCCGAAACCTTTACCCTATAACCCTATAACCCTAACCCTAATCCTAATCCTAACCCTAATCCTAACCCTAACCATAATACTCACCCTAACCCTAATCATAAGGATTTCGGGGAGCATCGGCATTTGGGAACATAGGTATTGGGGAACATCGGTTAGACCCAATGTCAAAGTAAGACACTGAAATAATTACTATTCTAATTACTGTGTGTGGTGTAAAAGGTCAAACTAAACAGAACTTTCCTTATATTTTATAAGGGATAATGAAATTGAATTAAATTGAACTGAAAAATCAGAATGGAGTGGTCGAGCTTGTGTGACCAACAAATGTTAGTCCAATTGATGTCTGTCTGTCGGGGGAAGGAGATTAAGGGCAAAGAGAAGAGGTATTGGATAACTTGGCTGCTGTACAGAGGGGCCAGATTATATATGCAGTCCCCGCAGCCCCTTTGTATTTGCTTATCCTCAGTCAGGAATTTCCTTTTTGTTTTCCTATATTTTCTTTTATTTGCTCATCTCAGAAATTATATTCAAGTGCTTTTTCAACTTTATTATGCAATTATTAATTTTTTTTAAAATGAGACTTTGCAAAGAATTTACACAAAAAGTGTAAAAACTGACTCCTTCCTCACAATCAATTTTCCTTCATCCCAGCAAGGAATGGTCTGTGCTACAAGCCTGGACAACCAAGTCATGGATCATACTCTGTATCCCGTCCTTACAGTTACAACCTTGGTAACTATGAGTATGCAGGTGCTAGTTTACGTTATACCTGCGACAGAGGTTACTATTTTCCTGCAAAGCCTCCGACTGTCACATGTGTGATAGGAAAGACATGGAACCCTGCCTACAGCACCTGCCAAGGTAAGTTTCACTGCTTCAACCACAGTGTAATCAAATATTATTGGGGACGCAGTTTGAATTAAACACTTGGGCATATATCAAGTAACACCCCCCCCCCTTCAAGCCAAAGTTGAACTTGTTTTAAAAAAAATTACAGTAGACAATTGGAACTACAAATGGTTGCACTTTTAACAATTATTAAACCCATACTGTAGTTTACTTTGCCTGATCTGCTTTCGAAAAAATCCAAGTGGTGGAAATATACCTAATTTGCATAAATTCAAAATGGCCACTAATTATATGATTTTCATATTGATTTGGCCATAACTCTCGATCTACATTGCTTTTTGGGGTAATTTAAACAACAATTTCCAATTTTTCACTATTAGTCTTGGGTACCTTTTGAGATCCCTATGTTTTCCAAATTTGCCAAATGCCGCGTAATAATTTGCATAAATGCCGTATATTAATTTGCATAAATAAAAATTAAAATCATGGCTGCCATGTGTGGACATGTTGACATTGGATTTTCCCTGAAAATACAAGTTCAGTTTTGTATACATAAATATCACACCACAGTGCATTTCTGTAAGGTCCTTAAAAAAGTCCCAAAAAATCCAAGTTGTGGAAATATGCCTAATTTGCATAAATTCAAAATGGCGGCGCAATGCGTATCTCTTTTTTCCAATGCCGTTTTTCTCGAAATGAGGTCGGCGAAGTTTGGTGGGACACTGTTGACATTCCTGCGGCGTGTCTTTGGAATAAATTAAGCTACATAAATCAATTTGGTATCATTGGAAAACCAATGATTTGCGCTTTAACATGATGCATGTAGCTTGAAAAGTCAAAGATGGGGGTTATTTTCATTATGCTGTGGCAGGTTTAAAGTTTCATTTAGATACCCCTTTTCTACATCGCTCTTAATTTTCTTTTCTTTTAGCATGTTCACCAATATCACACTGTGTTTTTGGCCAGTTGCATTGCACCACTGCCACTGACCAACAATGTGACCAGTGTGATGGAGACTATGGGCCCAATGGAGCAGCCTACTCAAGAGTCAATAATGGAAGAGAGTGCAGAAGTAAGTGGACCAGTAGGCGTATTTTACGTTACTTTATGTCAGGCCTTTTCACCTTGCATACCCATTTCGAAACAACACCAACACCAACATTTCGGACCACATTAAGCAGAATTAACTGATGGGTACCATCGAAGACAGGTAGGCGAGGCATACCATTCACACGTACACCAGTGTGTGTACAGATCAGCTGTAGATTTTGGACTTTCTATCACCCTGGTCCCGCGGACCCAACCCAACCTCATAACTCAGATATGGCGGTGTCCATAAGACGGTCTATGATTTGACTTGTACATGTGCAACTTAAGCTATAGTGCTGCATCTTTCTGTGCTTATTCTGATGCAATTTTGCGAAACTGACAGACAAGATGTAGGAACTAGGTTTCACAGAGTCAGTGACACCAACTAAAATTCATATTTTCTTCATTGGAGTTTTTTTTATTTTACAAGCACCGACAAAAGGCAGTTTTGTAGCTGTGACTAACTAAACAAGAATAAATCATAATGCGTCTTGGAATTCCCATTAGCGTGGAGGTTAACCAGAATGATCTTATAAGATGTTGAGCAAGATTAGGGAGAACAGAACTGCTCAGAGATAGTTTGCTTATTTAAGAACAAGCCTGGATATATATACACTCAACCAAAAAAGAAAGTCCCCCCTTAATATTTTTTTGTCTAACTCAAAAAGTACTGGGCACATCTTGCTAAAATTACGACTGAGGACTACAGAAATTCCTTAGCAATCCAGCAAAACTCTTTGTTTGGCAAACCCCCCCCCCCAGAGATATTGTGTACACAATTATGCAATTTATGACAAATGGTACCGAAAAAAGTTGCAATTTTGTATACATGTAAGGTGAGTGTAAACCACAACTTGCACGTATACAAAAGTGCAACTGTTTTCGGTATCATTGGTCATAAATTGCATAAATTCGAATCACTGTTTTATCACTCATTTGGGCCAAATAAAGAATATGGCTGGATTGCTAAGGAATTTATGCACTGAGTAGTCGTTATTTGAGCGAGAGGTGCTGATTAGTTTTTGAGTTAGACAAAAAAGTATTGGAAGGGGGGACTTTCTTTTTTGGTTGAGTGTGTTATTTGATACATTCATTTCAATATTAGAACAATGTTCTTGGAGGACTGACAGCAATGCCTGCTACCCAGGCTCCTGCGCAGACGCCCAGTGCGCATGCAGCAGTGGATTCTCAGGAACGGACTGCAGAACCTGTAAGTTCAATTTGGTAAAGCCAGATTAAAAGCAAAAAGAAATTTCGTATTTTCCCTTCCCCTCTGTCAACGCCGGCTGCAGGGACAATGATTTCCCACTCTTTCAAGCGCATTTTTCGGCGATCGTGCTGTGAAGCACCCCTGTTTGTTTTGATCAAATTAGAATCAAGATTTTATTTTTAATCTAAAAAAATGACATTGGAAACCTAAATTAGCAGATTTCTCTCAATGTTATTAAATGACACTTTTTGGTAGTTTTGAACACTTTCTTGGGGTAGAATTACGATTTTCCTACGCGTTTTACGGGCCGGTTGGTGCCGTGCAGCGCGACTTGCGTGCTCACTGTACACATCGCGCGGCGATCGCCATCTTTATTTTCGTGTTGCGTTTTGTCATTGTCCATTACGGACACACTCTCGCAAAATGTGGTCCGGCCGCTTTCTATACAAAAACCTCGTTGGCTCGGGGTTTTGTACGTAAACCTTATCAGTCAGCCGATCATGCTCAATTGACTTCGGCCAAACCGCAAGTCCCATCATAAGAAATAAGTAAACAATGTTAACCGGACCATTTTTTTCCAAGAGTGTGTCTCTAATGGTCGATGGGCTTTTAAAAAGAACTTTTGAAAATGGGAAAGACACTTTGGAAACATCCAATCAGTTTGAATATGCTTCATGAATTTCTGAATAAACGAGCACATTTTTTAACAGTATTTAATTACTAGTATTTTTCGGTCTGGTGGTGGTGGTGGGGGTGGGGGGGGGGTTGCTGGGGGGGGGCTAGACAGAAGATATATCAGAATGGCGCAATAAGACCGACAGCGGGCGCAATAATTTTGATTAGGGTTTAAAAAATTTCTACGCGAGTCGTTAATTTGCATAAAAAGTGCCCCACAATTTTTTGTAAACGAGACCGTCTAATTTAAAAATCGGTGGAATCGTGCAAATATAGACGAGGATCATCTCCCTAGCTTTTGGGCTATTATCTAAGAGTAGATTGGATAAAATTAGGGTCCAAAAATGGGTCCTATTTCTACGAGAAAATGTAGGGATGCCACTGGTAACTTTGGCAGTATGCAGGCTCAGCATTACCGGCAGGCTTCAAGAAAATTTCCTGTTTGCTTTCGGTAAACCCTAATAAAAAAAATGATCCGATAATTTTCATAGTTTTTTTTTTCAGATGCAATTGGCTAAGAAATTCCAATGAATAGGCCTAGATGTCACAAAAACCATTGGATTGATTAACCTGCTTGTGTCATTTTTTTCTGGCTGATTTTATCCACATGCCACTTGAGTAGTCCAAGCTTTTTTGTGGCTATTGAGGCCAGATGTGTTAGTACAACCCAGAGTTTTGTTGTACACCACAAAATTGACCTCAAAGTGTCTTTTTTTCTGACATTGTATCATCTTATTAGAGGGTACATAAACTAGAACTGATGAATGCATCTTTGCAAATATTAATATATCGAGACTGACTCCCCTAAAAAAAAATGGAAGTAAAAAAGGGTAAGAAAGATCAACCCAAACAGATTTTGAGGAAGTATTTCTTTTTCATTCATTTAATATTTACAGTGGGTAGCAGTCAAGCTCCAGACTTATCAGAGCACCGTGCCGCCCTGATCAAGGGGACGACAACACTCGAATCACCCACGGTCCTGGGCAGTACAGCTACCGTCTTCGCCAATGTCCCAGACTTTACAAGCATCAAGATCAATTGGAAGAGCTCCTACCAACCTACTGGACTTCCAAACCCATCCGCTGGTGGTCACCCATACATACAGCGCGTTAGCCTGGGTGTGATTGGAGGAAACGTTCAAGCTTACGTTAATCGTGAGTTCAACCTCCTTAATTTACAGTGAAAGTGCACACCATTGACGTCGCCAGGAGTTTTTAGAGGGGGCAAAGCTCTCAAAACCCTTTCACTTTCTCTAATATGTTCTCAATTTATCATTTTTACTAGGGTTGGCTGAGGGGACGTTTGCCCACCCTACCCCCATTGACACCCCTGCGGACGCCCATGTTGTTACATGTGCATTAAATTACCAGCAATATGACTTCACACCTGTCTTTTTTCCTCTTTGTTTTCTTTTCTTTTCGGGGGGGGGGGCTCCCCTCCCCCTCGCTGGTGTACACGCATGTGATTTGGTTGAGAGTGACATTCTTTGCAAAGTTTCTGTCGCAATCACTGGCGGAACCAAGTTTTTCTCTGTGTTTGATTAGTCACAGACTTCCCCTTTAACATTGACAAGATTTGATATACACGTTTTTTTACTGAATATAATCAATTCCATTTACCAAAAACGGCTGCAAACGTATATGTTTCGTGTCAATATATTGTTTGCAGGTCTCAACCATTATTTCTTTGTTTATTTAATTGCGCATAAATCATTTTCAGGCAATGTAGGACAAAACGAAAAACTTGAACATCGTTTATTTGAAGGGCGTCGTCAAAATGCAGCTATATTTGTGTGTATTACATCTCTCTAGAGTTGTCCTGCACAATGTTCCTTTATCTTGTAAATAATCAGTGTTTTACCATTTTGTCCTATGAATTAAGGAGGTACATCAGTTATATACACGATAGCCTCTCGATCCTGCTCAACAACGACAAATGGAGTGTATTTTAGTCGAGACAGCCCGGCTGCAATCCTAGTTGTCTGTGAATTCACGTACAACTTAAACTACAATCTCTGGACCCCAGCAAGTGGAGATGTGTAAGTCTTTGCCCGCCATATTGGAGGCAACTCTGATTGAACAGAACATTAACAAACGTTCCCTTCGGGCCATTGTATGGTCCATAGTTGGACATTTTTGTCCATGTCCTTTTTAAATGCCATTGAAAATGATCACAAACTAATTTTTAATTGTTGGCTAGGTCATCTTTTCCACATAATCACTCGTAGACGAAGAATACACGCAGTTGCGTATCCAGAATTACAAAATCATAGATGTCAGATTTATAACAGGAACTGGAAAAATGTATCGTTCATATTTCTTAAAAGAGGATTTACATTTTTTTTACAGCATGATTCAAATGTTGACTTCGAATCACTTCTTTTGTTTATTCCTTTTCTCCCCCTCCCTTTCTCTTTTGTTTAATTTGTGTGAGTGGGGCGGGGGAGCGGGGGATGCACTAAACTTCCCTTCCCCCTTAGCACTGCCAACGTACTGAGGAAGCTCGTATTTTTTTATGTTTAATATCTGCAAAATTCTTGCCTGTTGCAGAATGAGATATGATGTATCTTCAACCAATGGCGGGTACATGAAACTCTACAACAGAGACTCCTCCAATACCATCATCACACGCTACTATAATGGACAGACAGTGTCTGGCTATTCAACTTTCACCTTTGACTTTGTTGACCCTTACCACTGTGTAAATGTCGGTAGTGGATGTCGAACCACCATGCTGAATGCAGGGAACGATGTCACCACACAGGTAGGTTGAGTTTTAGGTTGATCCTGTTGCTTGCGGTTGGCAGCAGATCAGGCAAAGCAAACAAGTATAGACAGTTTTAAACAGAAATTAAGAGTTGACGTGACGTGACTACTAGCATTCAACATGAGAATAATTCGTCAGCCTTTTGTCAAGTGTAAAAAAAAAAAAATTTCCATACAAGTATTTCCATACAAAAAGTTAGATATGTTGCATGAAAGCGATCCTAATTAGGTTAAAATATGTCAAAAGATGAAGGCTGATTAATGTTCACATGCTCAATGTCATCATGGGAAAAAAAGTTTAAAAAGATGAGGAGCATGTGCATTAATGTACATAATAATATGAAAGTTACCCCATTGGCACCTGAACAGCATTGTATTGTGTTAACCCATTAGCCACAGCACTCTGTGTTTTATTGATTTTTGGAGGAGTTAATGCGATGTTATACAATTTAATACAAGTGCTAATTAATGGGTTCGTTCATTGATTGATCATAAAAAAACATAGTGTGCTCGGCCAATTTTAGGTGCGACAGGGAATTTTAAAATAGGTTCACCTGGTCATTGTGAAATTGACCATTGCATCAAAATTGTCGAGGGAAAGGAGTTAGTTGAAAAATCTCTTTAATTTGGGATCTCTTTAAAGGCAACAATGACGATCACTTGGCAAGGCTGGGCCGACGATCTAGCTGGCATTAAAGAATACCACCTGGAAGTACGACAGCTATCGGGAATCCATGGCAACGAGATGACAGAAATCTTTGACACCCCTGCCGTTTATTCCGGAGTAACCAACTCTGGTCAGACTGCCACTTTTCCTCATGTTGGTAGGTTTCGCTGGCTTAATTTTTCTGGAAAAGGGCCGTTTAAATTGAAAAAGATATTTAATATTGCTGTACGTAGCAGAGTTAGTCAGTTAGTCAGACCTCATCTTGAATACGCCGCTGCAGTTACTGATTATTACCAAGCCAAATACGTCCAGATGTTGAACAAGGTTCAACGCAGAGCTGCCCGATTTGTTCTCAAAGATTATATCGTACATCCAGCGTCACCAAAATGATCGAGTTGGTAAAATGGGATTCGGTAGCAAATAGGCGGAAAAATAACAGACTTACTCACTTTTGTAAAATCCACACCGGAAGTTCTCCTGTCACCATCCGGCTTAACAAAAGAACAGCTGCAGCTGACCACTCCAGTCGCCACTTCAATTAGGATGCCTAACAGCGACTTGAGACCAGAACTACCAGCAGTGGCGTAGCCACCGGGGGGGGGGGGGGGGGGGGGGGGGGCCCCCCCATGAAACCTTGTCGCCCCCCCCCCCCCCACTGAGATTTTGAGTTTCTAAAAAAATTATCATTGATCTACATGACGCCATGGGCCCTATTTTGTACTACAATGTATCTAAGATACAGTATCTTTTGCTTAGAAAATATTGGTTAAAGTGGTCAGAAATTGCCTCGGATAGCACCACAAAGCATTTAGAATCCAACATTTTTCGGGGCCCTTAAGCGGGCCCCGAACCCCACGCCTATAGCTCAGAATTCTGGTAGCTGATTCAATGACTCCAACCTCGAAAACAATGTTCACAAAATTTTCTTATGCCTTTAGCTGAAAAAACCTCGAAAATTATGTTTAAATTATTATCTTTTGTGCTAAGATAATTATTGGTTAAAGTGGTAAGAAATTGCCTCAGATCACACCACAGAGCATCGAAAATCCATTTTTTTTCGGGGCCCTTAGGCGGGCCCCGAACCCCACGCCAATAGCTCAGAATACCGATAGCTGATTCAATGTCTCCAACCTCGAAAACGATGTTCAAATAATTATCTTTTGCCAAGAAAATCTTAGTTAAAGCATGGAGGAAAGTCGTAAGAAATTGCTTCAAATCACACCACAGAACATCTAGAATCCAATTTTTTTCGGGGCCCTTAAGCGGGCCCCGAACCCCACGCCGTAAGGGCTTCGCGCTTGCATCAGTTATGATCAAGGTATGTCCCCCCCACTTTTGAGAAGCGATTGACGCCCCTGCTTGATGCCCCCCCATGAAATGTTCCAGCCCCCCCTCCCCCCCCCCCCCCCCCCCCCCCCCCCCCCCCCCCCCCCCCACTGAAAAATTCATGGCTACGCCACTGACTACCGGGTACCAGAACTCTTTAATTCTTCCCCCGGACCGTAGTTGATTGGAATCAACTCCCCCAGTCCATCACCTCCCTGAAGTCCCTTGAGTTGTTCAACGCGGCCATCCAACCTGGACAGAACTGAGCACACACCCCATGGCGTCATGGGCCAAGTTTGGCCTGTTGCCATGTATTAAGATGAAGATGAAGATGAAGATTGTATTATGATCCCATCGGCCATTCTTTTGGATCATTCTAGCCGCTTTCGACATAATCGTGAAATCTAACATCCACGTACCTACAAAATAAAGTTTTGTTTGTTTTAAAGTTGTTTTGTCAGTTGAAGTCGATACTACCTCTAGTTCTAAATTATGACGTTTCAATCAAGTTTTCAGTTGGATTACCTTGAAGAAGAAAGCTGTCACATAAGCAGATTGAGTCCCGCTCCAATGAGCCTATTTGTTAACCCCTTATTACCTACCTTTCCCACCAAATGCTCTAATTTCATATCCACACTTCTCAACAGGTGTTTACTCCATCGTCCTCACTGCTGTCGACAACGCTGGAAACTCCAAACTCAGCAGACGCTTTGTGTTCTTCGACGACGATCCTGACGATGTCACTTTGCAGAACAACGCATCTGTGCGATTACTTTTAGCGACTGAAGGAACCAACTACGAGTGGTTGATTGACCTCGACTCCAACGGAGGGATGACATCCGTAGTTCTTGATTGGACAAACAGATTCCTCAATATTCATCACCTGAATCAAGGATTGCTGAAACCCATCGGGTCGTACGTCAATGCAACTATTGATAGTGGTAATTGATTAGGCTCGATGAGATACCAATCAAATATAAACCTTTTCAGCTGTAGCAGCTATCACTTTATGAGATTTTGAAAAGATCGTAGGAGAATCAGATAATTACAAAAATGAAGTTCTTGTCATTTCCAACAGTGTAGGCCTACTATGCCTTTCATAGTAAGGAAACAGTAGGGTAGAGTGGAGTGAAGTGGAGTATGAGAAGGCCAAAAACATTATGTATAATCATATTGATGCCCTTTTCCGCCCCTAGGTTATGACCAGTACTTTGGCCAACGTGGTCGTGCAGCGGTTCCCAATGCCCTTGGAGTGACTGAGTTCCATGTCTTTTACGACATCGACCACAGCGGTGGAAGGACCACCGTCAACGTGAGTGACGACAACTCGGACAATTGGAGTAATGAAGCCACAAACACACAGGCGACCTACAACCTGACCTTAGTAGACGGTGATTCCATTCGGTTCTGGGTGGAGGCTAGAGACCTAGCCGGTCACGTTGTGAGGGACAGTGTGTTAGTTCACGCTGATTCAACCCTCCGACTATTCAAGATTTCAAGCTCATACCTGGTTTGTCGGATATCAGGTAAGATTTTAAACTTCCCTCGCCGAAATTCGAAAATTACAAATTTAAACTAATTATTATGTTTTTCTTTTCTGAATTTCAGCCATAACTTACTTGTAAAAAAAGCGAGCTTCTTTTTTTTTCATTTCAGAGTGGAGTGTACGACGTTTGATGAACACAGTGGTGCAAGCACTGTCAAATGGCGACTCTTTCACGTGGATAACGGCACTGAGATAGAACATGTCAATGAAAAAATTCCAGTTGAACATATTGTAAGAACAAGATGTAGACTGGTCTTGTAAAAAAAAATGGGAGCTGTACATTATGGCAAATTCGTTAAGCTATTTTATTCTCCCCTTCCCAAACAAACTTTTCATGAATATAGGTATATGAAAATGAAATATTGATAACGCACCTTTGTAACACACCTTGAAATATTTGTGTTATTTTTCCAGGATCGTGAGGACTGCAACCCTGCAACCTGCCATTGTGTCCCAATTGGTGACTGCTACGCCACAAACTACAAACCTTCATTCGTCGTCGATGATAGTGACTTTGAATACTACATCACACTGACAGTCACTAACCATGCAGGACTTGTTATATCCAAGACGATAAAAGTAGGTGATTGGAAAGATAGGTAATCATCCTCTCATAAAAATGTTATGGACACGAAAGGATAATAACAATATAATTTATTCGTTTATATTGCGCAAATTCCATAAGAATATGATCAATGTGCATCACAGTTTCAGCGTGAGATCCGCGCAATGTGGTCTCTACCTTCACAGGTACCCATTTAGTAAAGTGCCTTGCCCGAGTGCATACGCACTATGTTCTCTAACTAGTTGTAAAACTCACATAACGCCAGTTCTGCGTTCCCTCCATTGGCTGCCTGTAGAGTTTCGAATAGTTTTCAAATTACTTTTGCTTGTTTTTCATTGCTTACATGGTTCTGCCCCTGGATATAATTCTGATTTGCTCATTTCTTACAACCCTGCTAGATACCTCAGGTCTGCAAATTCGTCCCTGCTTGTGCCAAAAACTATTAAATCTTGGGGGGGGGGACCGTTCATTTTCTCATGCTGGACCTATGTTATGGAACAAACTTCCTAAAAATATTCCTGATAGTGCTACTTCCCATGAGTTTAAATGTGCTCTGAAGACCCACCTATTCAAAGCAGCATTTCAGTAATCGTCCTGTTTGATTCACTCTCATGTGTACTGTTTCATATTCATGTATTTTCATTTGTGCGTACTTTTGTTTCCTACTGTTTTTGCTGTTCATGTTTATTTGTTTGTTTTTCTGCGCCTTGAGCATCTAATCAAGACGGATTTGGCGCATTATAAATGCTCTTTATTATTATTATTATTAGTATTGTTCCCTGTAATGGTTTGAACCCATGTACCACGCGCGGCACACAAGTCGAACACTGTAACCATCGCACCATACACAGCTTAACAATACCACTCACAGGTATGTCATTAACACTCGGAGTCATTTTTGGTATCGCTTTAGACCGAACGGATAGTGACGCCAGACAATGTGGAGCAAACTGCCGAATCTCTGGCCAAACAAACCAACGACACTTCCTCCATCAGTGCCGATGATGTAGCTACCGCGGCCGACCTGTTGGACAGCATTGCCAACGCGCAAGACACATCCCCAGATGTAGGTTAAATAAACTCTAAATTTTGTTTGGTTTTGGTGTGGTACATCTTGAGCAAAAAGCGTCTGAAATATAGTTTCTAATAAAGGTTGTAATTTGACGGCTGTATCATGCTTGCTTTTACGACTTGGCGTTTGTCCTTGGAAAAGAAGCATGCAAGACAACTGGCTTAGGAATGGTAGACTAAAATATATATCGGGCATTAAAACCTGTTTGTGTATGGAAACTTGAGATATTGAAACGCTTTATTTCAAATTTCTAAAGAAGGAGAAGAAGAAGAAGAAGAAGTGTTCAAAAGGTAGAAGGTAATTACTTTCTACCTTTTGAACCGGTTTTTGTCTTTGACTACTAAACACTAATTCGGTAACAGCCATTTTCTGCGATGGCACATGTAGGCTCTCACAGGTTGTGCTCAGGTAGTACGCACGCACTCCGCGCTATACCAAAAACGGTGACCAAGATGCATGTACGCCTGCTGCACGCGAGCATGACACCACCACAAACGTGGCTTCTACTTTTCTTTTCTATTTTAGGCAGATTACACTTTAGGAAAAAAGAACATTTGCCATATTTTTAAAAACTCAAAAACCTGTACAGGTAACAGCTAATGTCGTCAAGATTGTGGAAAACCTTCAACAAGTAGACACTCATGAATTAAACGACACGGGGGGTGCGGCCAACTCATCCTCACGCATCATCCGGGCTCTGGAGAAGCAGATCGCAAACGTTCTCGCCGCGGGGAAGGACGTCAGTGAGGTGACGAGCAGCGTCGCGGTCTTTGCGATGATTCTGGATCCCAACTTGGTTGTGGAAAGGCTTCAGTTTGTAGCTCTGTCTGACAGGAATGAGACCAACTCTCTTTTGGATGATAACCTTGAGGTTTATTACGGTACCAACAGCACGGACGTCCCTTTAGGGAAAGTTGAAGCATCGGTCTTACTACCAGGCGTTATACTGAATCAGTTCCCAGCAGGTGAGAAACTGGTCCATAGGTGTCATTATATCATGGTATGTACATTTCAGAAAGCAAGAATAGTTATGAAAATCGGTATGTTATCAATATTTACAAGCGTTACATTCAGTGTGTTGATTTCCGAACAAAAGATGTCCGCATAACTTAAACCAGGTTTCAGATACGTTTTGTGGACTTGCCCAACGTCCTACCAACGTAAACGTAGGTTTTCCCCTCTCTAGAAAACAGGTTTAGAGGCATTTTTGGTAAGATTTATCCGTGGCAAAATGAAGAAAAACGCTCAAGGGAATCAAAGTAAAAAAACGGGTTGAAAGAGTTTTTATAGTGTGAGTAAAATGAGTTTTTTTCACATGTTTTTCTGAACTACACGAAAACATAGGAATTCCCACATTATAGGTATGTAACGTAAATATGTATGGAGGGTTTGATTTAACCGGAGGATGCAAATCAGACATGTAAAGTTCAACATTAGAGGCAGATTTCTGTCATGGTTCTGTTTGTCAAACATCCTGAAAAGTGAATCATATCGGTTGGAATGGTGAACCACAATGTTTAAAAGATAACTGCAATGGACACAAAAATGAAAAGCGACAGACAAGAGGTGACGAACAACGTTTGAAAAGTGAATCACACATTATTGAAAAACAGAAGCAAGACGAAAACATGTCCTCTTTACAACAACTATGCCTCTCAATATAACTGTTCAAATTAGTTCATGCTGTGTTCTTTGTGCACTATGTACCAGCTCATACACACGCGTTCTCAAAGATGAGGCACGGGTGCATTTTGGTTAACACTAATGGTCGCCATTGGTGCCACCTAAGAAAAATGACTGTCGCCGAATTGGTCCATATTCTGTGTCACTTTTTTCTCTGACAAATCAGTCTGGATTACTTTTGTGTTAAACAGACAGCCCGCTTCCGGTCAGTTTTGGCCTGTACACCAGCAGCAATCTCTTCCGATCCCAACTAATTGATGACAGTCGGTCCACGGACAATCCCCAGACCATCGGTAGTCTCATCATCTCTGCCAGTCTGCTGAACGTCAGCATCACCGATCTCCCTCCTGAAACGCCTGTTGTCATCACCTTCAATCTACACAAAGTAAGAATCTACTTTTGCCGTTGGAGTTCCCAGAGGACCAGACTAGTGTCCTCTTTGTGTCTATCTGACTGACTGACTGACTTTTGTCGCTTGTGATTCAGAAAACTACATGTATACGTAGGCTGGTGAAGAGAAGCAGACAGTGCTATCATATAGGATTCCCCTTTAGGCTAATGAATGACACAAATCTTGCCCATTGTGTGGGCAAGATGGATGAACAAGCTTCCAGTGAATAGCCATTCTGAATCAATTCAATATTTTTTTTATACAACACCTGAATAAATCCTCGTTGTCTGATAATGGTTGTCATTGATCCCCAGTCATTGCTTTATTCATCCCAATCGACCAGCCGCAATCGATTCATCCCAATTGACCAGCCGCACTGCAAAAAAAACAAACCTTTTTCCAAGTTTCCCTTGTGCTAGAAAGAATGTGTATTATAGGGGCTAGCTTGCATTGGTCCGAAATGGCCAAGTTTGGCCATTCCCAGTTGAAAGTGATTGCATTGATACATATTTCACCTGGAACCTGTGCGTGAACCTAGTGACATACAATATCGCATATTTGTAAACGTGCGTCTGCAACATTGCCGCACGACAAACTGCATGTGTATGCCTTTAGCTATTGTATGCCTTTACCTATATTGATTTGTAAGTCCTATAGGTAAGTGGTTTTTTTTTTTTTTTTTTTTTAGGAATTCCGCCAAAATGAAAACTCCTATCAAACGGAGACCTGCGTCTTCTGGGATTTTAGTCTTCGTGGCGGCATTGGTGATTGGTCAACAGAAGGCTGCAGGAAAGGTCAACCGACCAATGGGAGAATAGTTTGCATGTGTGACCACGCCACCAATTTTGCTATACTTGTGGTGAGACTGTTTTTTTTTTCGAAGAGGAATCACATATTTAAAACATAGTTCTTATTATTGGGGGGGGGGAATCGATAGTCTACTGCTGTGCCAGTAGATCATTTTTACGGATTCATTATTACCCCTGGTGATTGCCGACAATTAAACATACCAAATACCATCTCAGCTGCCAGGGGAGTATACAGCTCGATGCTACCATTTCGGGGCAAGTTAGCTAATCACAATAACCATCTCTGCCCTAACAGGTACCCATTTACTCATGGGTGGGGAGGAGCAATGAGTGACTTAGTGCCTTGCCCAAGGCCACACGCACCATGACCCCAGGCTGCACTCGGACCCACAACCTGCAGAATTAACCACAGACCACAAATTCAATGCCCCAGACCATGAGACCAAGGCACTCCACAAGTTCAATATATTAACTCTACCGATGGACACACACGCCTTTTAGAGAAATATTTTCAATATACAAATATTGAGTGGCTCAGCGTGGAATGGGAGGAATATTATAGCAAGGTAAAATCTGGATTTTTCCATTTCACGAGGCGCAGCCGAGTGAACTGGAAAAGTCCAGATTTTACCGAGCGATAATATTCCTCCCATTTCACAATTTAAAGCCACTCAATATTTGTTTTATATAACTGACATATAGATCCTTGTCATTTGATATATTTCAACCCTTTTTTTTAATACAAAACTGGAGGAAAATGTATTTCTCTCTTCCAAACCACCCCTTCACGAAAATGTTTGAACCAACGCTGTAGCGCTGGCTCTTTGGAACAATACGCGCTACGCGCAACGCTGAACGCGCCCACCAGCATGCATTTGCAAACAAATACCGCGTCTTGATCCTAACTGTTGAATAGTATTTCCCATTTCCCATGGGCGGATAGTATACAAATATAACATGGTTTGAGGGTGGACAGTCGATATTTGCTCCCCGAGGTATTGGAAGTTGACAAACTAGTTCCCTCGGCTTCGCCTCGGGAACTAGTTTGTCAACTTCCGATACCGAGATTTCATGATTTGCAATCACATGTACGCGTGATTTTTTATATTTATATATATATATGCACCTACAACAAAATTCGGGGAAACTTGTACAGCTCACAAAAAGAATATTTTGGTTGCTCAACTTCAATTACTAGTTCTGTTCGTTTGCAATATAATACAGTTACTACAGTTGTATACAGTTGTTTGTGTACAACTTTCTTTCGTAAATTTTCTCCAGTACGGCATCATTGAGTTCTGGAAATTAACATTTACGCAAACCGTGCAACCATGCATCTCTCCTGGGCGACTGATGTTTGTGCATGCGTACTGCACCCGTGCGACAGTTCCTCGACTGCTCTGTAAAGCGCATGCGTAGTAGACTGTCGCACGGGTAACCCATGCGACAGTCTACTACGCATGCGTATTTACCCTGTGCAAGAATAACATCTGGCACGTGATGGTGAATTGACCAGTGAGAGTTCGGCTCTTGATCACGAATATGTATGAGGTCAACCTCGTCCCCAGTGCTTACTTTATTTCCAACCGCGTTTCCAATAGTACACCTTGGATAAGAAACTTTCTTCCTGTATCCTGATTGGATACCGCAACTGGCTAGTAATGGATTTTTATCGTGTACTTGGTGCTATATATTCACAACGTGCAGTACGTGTTTCGTGATCATTCGTCCACGCCTTCTCAAAAAAAATAATTTCCTTTCCAATTTGCTTATATTAATATGAAATATGATACTGCATGTTGTCTCGATAAGATCGTAGCAGTTTGATTTCAAAAATCGTGTTTTCGTAACTCACGCCGTGCTCGTGCTGCTACGAATTGACTCTGTTTTTACCCCAGACACCGCATACAAAAACAAACCCTAATGTGTAACGCATATCCAGGCACCAGACTGTTCCTCATTTGCATACGTGTGCAAAAATCTTGCACATGCAAATGATCAAATACCAGGGTGAGAGAGCAGGTAGTGGTGGGCGCGTACTGCTCGACACCCTGGGGACGAGGTTGGTATGAAGTATAGTAATACTTTTTGAGCCGCGGCGTGAATGGGAGCAATAACGAATGTCATGTGATGTGAGTTCCACCAATCAAATGACTAGGATCTGTATGTCAGTTATATAAAGGAACATATTTGCGACTAGAATCACGACTAGCACCAAAACATCTCGACCGGTTTCGGAGTCAAAATCTTGACCCCCCGAAATTCGTTCTCACGCGCCATTGCAAGAATAATAAAAGAAAATGCTCAGTTTTTCAAGTATGGTTGTGTGGATGTTTATATCCTTCTTTGAAATGCTCTCTCCAATTGATATAATATCCTGGAATGCGTTTTGTAGCCCAAGTTGGCGCATTCCAGGACGTCATGTATAGTCTGTTTGCCATTGACCTTTCCCGTTACTCCCTGTACAGCCTCAGCACTGTATTTTTTTTATCACTTAATATAATGTAATACAATGTATAAGAGAAGCTAATGGTTAAAGGAGTTACTTAATCATTGCAGACAAGTCCCATGAACACCGTGGACGAAGCTGCAGAAGATCTTGTATCGCAATCCAACGATACTTCCTCAATTGACGCCGACGCCTTCGATCAAATAGCGGACCTGCTTGATGACATTGTCAACTCTCAAGATACATCTCCAAAGGTAAGTTACTCATTTGCATATTTATGCCGCACAAGACTACCAACTTTCTAACTGATCCATCGGAAAGTTTGATGTAAGTGTAATTGTTAAGTGGATTGTGTGCATATTATTGTTCACAAGTAACAAATTAAACAGTCTGTTGTTTGACAGAAAAATTGACTGGAGCAGGTTGTGAACCTGCGACCTCCACGTTGCCATTCCAGAGCTTTCCAACTGAGCTATCCAGCCCTATGTTAGTGGTCCCCCATTTTGACAAGACATAAACTTCGAAACCTACAAACTTTCATAATGCTGAAACTTTGTTTGAGACGATTCAATGCATATTGACACATGAAAAAAATGCCAAACGCATGAAATGTAAAATAAAGCCAATAAGTTAGGTTTGAAATGTATCTGACACAGGTCACAGCAAATGTCGTCAATGTTGTGAACAACATCATGCAAGTGGACACCCGAGAATTCAACAATTCGGAAAACGCCGCCAACTCTTCATCCCGCGTTGTCCGCGCCCTGGAGAGGCAGGTGTGGAATGTCCTGGCCGCGGGGAAAAACATCAGTGCGGTCACTACCAGCGTGGCGGTCGTTGCGCGTCACTTCGACCCCGATGATCTTGTCAACGGGCTGGGGTTTGCGGCTATTTCTGGAGGGAGTGGCAGCGAATCCTTGGTTGGGGAGGATATAGGCATCTATTGCAGTTCCGACGGGGGCATCCCCGTGGAGAAAGTGGAAGCATCCATTGAACTACCAGAGGCAATACTGAAACTATTTCCCACAGGTAGGATATAAAAAGCGGTGACAGTAAACTATTTCCCGGCCCAAAAGTAAAACACTTGAAAAAATCAATATTGAATATTATAAGCTAAAACAACTGGTGCGCTTTCTGTAATGACTAGATTTCTTATCTAGTAAGTATACGCTGAATGCTCGCGATAACTGCAGGGAAGGTGTTTGTAATGTTTGCTATTCCCAGAGGGCCAGCCTATCTCCCTCTTCATAATTCAATGACTGACGCAATAACTGTCACTTGGGAGTCGGGCAGTGCTATCGTATAGGAGTACCCGTAATCAATGAGTTAAATCCGTTCCATTGTGTACACAATAGCATGAAAAGACTTCCAGTGAATAGTCATTCTGAATCAGTTGGACAGAATGCATTCGGACCTTTTTTTGCCATGTCTTTTTTTTTGCGAAAACAATTTGTTTCAGTTGGTCAATCTGCATTCATTATTTTTCATTTTTTTCACCATAAAAAAATCAAGGAGAAATCAACAACCAGGCACGTTTTCTGTATTTCGTATGAGTTTGTGGCAACTTTGCTGTGGTTTATGAGCTTGAATGGCTGATCCAAGAAGGCAAGCTTAACACCCTTTTCGCAACTCAGTGACTGACTCGCCGACTCTCACTTGCTAGCCGGGCAGTGCTATTGTTTAGGTTTACTTGTAACGCCAATGAAATGGCTAAGTCTTGCCCATTGTGTACACCAATGCATGAAAAGACTTCCAATGAATAGCCATTTTGATTCAGTCTGTAATGTTGTGGGCCGTTGGACCAGATTTACAAAACTTGCACAGTCTTTTTATTTAAGAATGTATTGTTTGAATAAATAAATTTGCACTTAGATCGTTCCATCTGTCTTATTAAACAGGCAGTGCTGTACCCATCAGCTTCGTCATGTATGAGAACAGTAATCTCTTCCACTCCCAACAAGTGGACAACGCCTCTTCAACGGAGTTCCCCACTGCCATCGCCAGTCGTATCATCTCTGCCAGTGTACCAAATGTCAGCATCAGCGATCTCCCATATGACAGTCCAGTTGTCATTGCTTTTCGCCTAAACCCTGTAAGATGTAGTCCTGTCTTACAAATATGTTTTTCTGTCATATAAAATGTTTCTTTTCTTTATTTCTCCCTAGTGTGATGTCTAGTTAAATAAGATTAAACGTTGATTCATAATTCACGCGGATACAAATGCAAAACTCATTTTGCATCACGAAACAGTCGCTGCAAAATTTGCTGGAGTTGACTGCTCAACATTTGTGAATTTGCAGCGCGAAAATTCGCGCACGATGTCACAAATTCAGATTCGCGAATGAAGTGGTCTTCATTGTGGTTATTTTAAAAACTGCAGGTGTTGACTCCAACTGAGAATACCGAGCAGACGGAGACCTGCGTCTTCTGGGATTTCAGTCTTCGTGACGGCATCGGTGATTGGTCCGCTGAAGGCTGCAGGAAAGGTCAACCGACCAATGGGAGAACAGTATGCCTGTGCGATCACGCCACCAATTTTGCCGTTCTTGTGGTGAGTCTTACCGAATAAGGGGAGAAATAGTTTTGATATTTAAGCTAGATTTCATGGATAGTAATATTTGAGAAGATGATTTCAACATTTCTGGTATATCTAAAAAAGAAAAGACCATTTTACTGAGCAATCATCAAGTCCAAAATATATCATCTTATTTCCCTGTCTTGTTGCAGAATATCCATGGCAAGAAGTTCACCAGTTTGGCTTTGGACATTATCAGCAAAATTGGATGTGTTGTCTCCATCGTGGCCTTAGTCATCACCATTGTCATATACTCATCGTTCAGGTGAATTTTAGGGAATACTTTAATTAATTGATTAGGTATTCAGCCAGTCACAAGTCAATGCAATGAAAAGTACTCGATATATTTCAGACATTTGATTATAAAAAAAAAATGGCAAACGACCGAGCGAGTTTGCAACTGAGTAAAATTATGTCCTAAGGCTAACTCTGAAACTGTTCGGGTCTAGCTTGACTATAGGCAATCCTAGCTTAAGCCGCCCTGAGATAAACCTGCAATTTCTTTGCGCCTTTCTTAAAGGTCCTGTTTAGGATCGAAACGTTTGGCCTTATGATGATTTGAATATTTCAGGTCTATCCAGTCAGTGAGCAGTTCGCAGCACTTCTATTTATTTTAAAAAATATTGCTTGTTGGATGATACAGGTCGTTGAGATCGAAGACCCCCAGCCGCATCCTCATTAGCTTCTCACTGTCTCTGCTGTGTCTCTACCTGGTCTTCGTAGCCGGCATCGAGCAGACGTCCTCCCGCGTGGGTTGCATCGTGGTAGCCGTCTTGATGCACTACTTCACGCTGACGTCCATGGCCTGGATGGGCGTGGAGGCTACTAACTTGTACCTCAAGCTGGTCAGGGTCTTCAATTCTGATGTGGAGCATTTTATGATCAAGGCGTCTGTCGTTGCTTGGGGTAGGTGATCAGAGATGGACTATGGACCGATGCATCCCATGGTGTTCTGACCAATCACTGCCGTGATTTATGTCCCACGTGCGTGCACTGAAGTCCGACATGCGTACACGCACATACAGCTGCATGACCATAGAGCTATATTAAATATAGCTCTATGAGCGTGACATTGGAGAGGAGCACGTGTTACTTTCCCAAGTGCGCACTGGGCGGAGCATACTGGATCAGTCCAATGTTGAGTCACATTGTTCAAGTCTGAGTCACTTCATTTGATGCTGATCGAGTCCTGAGTCACTAAGTTAACATCCAAGTCCAGGTCTTGAGTCAGCTGGTTCGATCTGAGTAACAAATTACATGATTGGAGTCCGAGTCACAAATCACTTGGTGCAAGTTTGAGTCCAAGTTTCACCACTTGCTTTGATTCCGAGTCTGAGTCACGAGTTCCATGGTTTAATTGAGTCTGAGTGCAATTCTCGAGTCACTTGGGCAGAGTCTCAGTTTGCATTAGTATGATAAACGCTGTATTACAAGGAGTGTCATCCCACAAATTAAACTTGGGAATTATCGGTTCAATAATTTTGTGTAAGTATTGTCGGTGAAGAATAATGTGACTCGTGAGTCAGGATCGAGTCCTCAGTCTCAAGTCCGAGTCATGGTAGTCGAGTCAAAGTCTGACTTTGTTATCAAATTGACTTTCATTTTACGTTAAGCATTTTCGTAATCATTCTCAAATTTCAGGTCTACCATCGCTCATCATAGGTGTGATACTGGCAGTTGATTATACAGTGTATGACAACGAATACAGGTGAGTCATAGCTGGGCTTAATGGGTTATTCAGGAGGGCTAAGTTATAAACACCTTTGCTCTTATACCAAGTTTAGGTTTTAAATATTTTGGGCAAACTTTAAATTATGCCAACACCAAAGGCTTACTGCTGTGTTTTGTTGTCAGAATGTAATAAGAAATGGTCTCCAATGTCGCATTATAGAGAGGTGTCGCATCCAAACGGATAAGTGTATGCGTAGGGTTAACTATTACCGACAACTTTGTTGTTTCGCTTCCTGAAAGCGTACACATACTGTACTCTCAGTTGCCAATAAAATATAATTAATCAAAATAATAATAATAATAATAATAATTATCGGTATTTAAGAACGCTCTTATTAGTAAACTAAATCACAGCGCTTACAGTATTATTATTACTTCTGATCATTGGGCGAATTAAACATTCCAAATACCATCTCAGCTCCCTGGGGAGTATACAGCTGGATGCTGCCTGTTAGGCGCAAGCAAGCTTATTCAATCACAATAACCACCTCTGCTGTCAGAGGTACCCATTTACTCCTAGGTGGAGAGAAGCAATTAGTGACAAAGTGCCTTGCTCAAGAGCACACGCACTGGACTCGAACCCACAACCCGCAGCTTTACCCAAAGACCACGAATCTAGTGCCCTTAACCACGAGGCCACAACACTCCAATGAAAACGTCGCAGAGCTGTAGCTAAACGTGCTTTGAAACGCAGACCGATTGAACAGATATGTTCAGCAAATCATCATCTTAATGAAATCATGCATGATTAATGTTTTGTCAGAAAGAAGTTCAATAGGCAATTTACTATGACTTTTAGAATGAGCATAGCGCGTAGTATAGTATCTGTGCCGTGTTCACGCGTAGCGGATAGCGAGTAGTGTATGACGTCACAAGACCACATAAACTGACCTGACTACCTATCCGGCACGTTATTCATATCCATTCACTTGCGAAGCCACTCTGGTTACTTTTTACGAAGGCCCTAATTGTTTCAGCTGCTAATTTGAAATTCATTTGGTTCTTCGCAGTTGCTTCTTGAAGCCCGGAGCTGCTTTCTTTTTCGGTCAGCTGCTCATCATAGGACTGGTCTTCCTTTTCAACGCCGTCATCTTCGTGCTGATCTCGCGCAAGGTCCTGTGTAGAGACAAGAAAATCCAGAGCACCGCCAACACGAGCAAGAAGAAACGGGACAGGATCATGAAGCGCCTGCAGAACATTGCCGCCGTCTCGTCCCTGCTGGGCCTGACCTGGGTCTTCGGTCTGCTGTCCATCTTCGAGGCTTCCAGCTTCGCCTTCCAGGTCATCTTTGCCGTCTGCAACTCCCTCCAGGGCTTGTTCATCTTCCTTCTGTTTGTCGTGCGCCAGGAGAACATCCGCGCGTCCTTGATGGTCCACCTGCGAGGACCAAACCGGGTCGGCGCCAACGCAGCTAGCTCCACCGCAATCAGCAAGCTTGTCAGCAGCGCTAAAGAACATGAAGAGCCAGGCTCAAATGCACCAACCGATGAGAGCATGCCCTCAGAAAAATACGACCAGGATAATGGTTTTTCCAACAGCCCCGAAACAGAAAAGATTACACACTTCTAATCCAAAACCTTTTAATGTTCGAGGAGGTGAATGAATATATCCATAGTTCAGTAGTGAATCAGTACAGCAGTTTAATATTTTTAAGATATGATTTAAATTGAAGCGAAACATTAAAAAACTTTTACTAAATGTCTTTGATTTGCCAAATATGTTTGAAAAATGTTTAAGTTGTTGCTTAAAGGGATGGTTTGTAAATTGCAGGATTTCCTGCGTGTTTTGGTTTTAAAGGTAATCAGATCATTTGCGCTTTATGTATTTTTTTTTCAAGCAACAACATTGCTCAAACTCCAAGTAGGACGCACAACAACTAATGTTGTTCTCTCAGCCCGGGCAGTACTTTACATTTTGAGGAAAAAGAAAATGTGTGCACATTTTTGGTGTCGTAAGGGGAGTTCGTTGTTAGCACTTCCGATTTAAAAGTTACTGTTTCGATGTTTGAGACGTGATTTTCAAAGTTTTTCTTTGTGGATCTGTAATGATACATAGGTTCCTTCATGCCTTAATTTTGCACGTAACCGTTTTGGTGCGATATGCCAGTGTAAGAGCTAAACAAAACGAAATGTGTTTCAGGGGTATGATTTATTATTATCATTATCAATATTTCTTTCTGGTTATGAAACCAGAGATTCTTCAAAAGCTCATAGGCACTGTAGCCCTTGCAAGCCTGTAGAGAGAAGACAATGAGATGAAGTTACAGTTTAAGAGGTCAGAGGAAAATCCTAGAAGAACATTTTTGGGAAAACCTTAGGAGAACATCCTGGCCGGGAAAACCTGAGGCATCAGGTAGGGACTGAAAACCCAATCCACGTCATGTGGCCTGAGCAGGAATCGAACCCGGGACACAGCGGAGGTAGGCGAGGATAGAACCGCTGCGCCAACCTGACTCTCGTTTATAGCTGTATATAGCTTGTGCCATCTTCACTTGGTTGTATAGGCCTCCATAAATTAGCTTGATTAGTTTTGACAATTTTATTAGGCCGGCTGCCCCGTCCGCTAATGCTTGCAGTAACACACTGGCCTCCAGTGCTATACACTGCTAGTTCCAGGCACACACTTGCACGTTTGTCCGACTATTTCTGTGCGCATGTCGGACATTTATCAAGGCTGTGATTGGTTGACAAATCATGGGGGCGGGGCTTAATTGATTCGTCCATCTAATTATATCTTTGGTTAAGATAACAACGGTGATTATTTTCAGGAACTGTAAATCAAGTAATTCGATTTTATACCGCATGCACTTTTAGTTGATTCAAGTTTGCTTATTACAATACCTCCATGTATACTCTATTACACAGATCATCTGTATGTCACTATATCATATTTTCTTGGCCTCAGCTATAGAATAAATTATCAGCGTAAGATTACCCCTTGATATTTTCCTTGATGAATTTGTTTGAAGAAAAGTCAATTTTTGGCCACTTTTGACAAAAAATTTAAGGCTAACCCCTTGCATTTTTTTCAATTTTGGCCCAAATATGAAATTGCTTGAAAGTTGCTAGAAAGATGCTTCAAGGGCCCTAGAACGCATTCCAAATCGATTGCTGGACAGGTGTGCTTTTAACGAGGAAATTCCGTTGAAAATTTAAGGTAAAATCGATCAAAAAATTAACCTCTTTTTCTCCAAAAATGGATGATTTTTGCCCAAATCTTCAAAATTGTGCTTGTTAGAGTATTGATTGATGTTCCTCTTGCTTCCAGTTGAATTTCTGGCTTGTTTGAAGAAAAGTCAATTTTTGGCCAATTTTGACTAAAATTGTAAGGCTAACCCCTTGAATTTTTTCAATTTTGGCCAAAAAATGAATTTGCTTGAAAGATGCTAGAAAGATGCTTCAAGGGCCCTAGAACGCATTCCAAATCGATTGCTGGACAGATGTGCTATTAAAGAGGAAATTCCGTCGAAAATTTAAGGTACAATCGCTCAAAATATTAACCTCTTTTTCTCCAAAAATGGATGATTTTTGCCCAAATCTTCAAAATTATGCATGTTAGAGTATTAACTGATGTTCCTCTTGCTTCCAGATGATTTCTGGCTTGTTTGGAGAAAAGTAAATTTTTGGCCAATTTTGACTAAAAATGTAAGGCTAACCCCTTGCATTTTTTTCAATATTGGCCAAAAAATGAAATTGCTTGAAAGTTGCTAGAAAGATGCCTTCATCCTCCTAGAACGCATTCCAAATCGATTGCTGGACAGGTGTGCTTTTAACGAGGAAAGTCTGTCGAAAATTAAAGGTAAAATCGATCAAGAAATAAAATATTTTTCTCCAAAAATGGATGATTTTAGCCCAAATCTTCAAAATTGTGCATGTTAGAGTATTGATTGATGTTCCTCTTGCTTCCAGTTGAATTTCTAGCTTGTTTGAAGAAAAGTCATTTTTTGGCCAATTTTGACTAAAATTGTAAGGCTAACCCCTTGCATTTTTTTCAATTTTGGCCAAAAAATGAAATTGCTTGAAAGTTGCTAGAAATAAGCCTTAAGGGCCATAGAACGCATTCCAAATGGATTGCTGGACAGATGTGCTATTAAAGAGGAAATTCCGTCGAATATTTAAGGTAAAATCGCTCAAAATATTAACTTCTTTTTCTCCAAAAATGGATGATTTTTGCCCAAATATTCAAAATTGTGCATGTTAGAGTATTGATTGATGTTCCTCTTGCTTCCAGGTGAATTCCTGGCTCGTTTGGAGAAAAGTCAATTTTTGGCCAATTTTGACTTAAAATGTAAGGCTAGCCCCTTGCATTTTTTTCAATTTTGGCCAAAAAATGAAATTGCTTGAAAGTTGCTAGAAAGATGCCTCAAGGGCCATAGAACGCATTCCAAATGGATTGCTGGACAGATGTGCTATTAAAGAGGAAATTCCGTCGAATATTTAAGGTAAAATCGCTCAAAATATTAACTTCTTTTTCTCCAAAAATGGATGATTTTTGCCCAAATCTTCAAAATTGTGCATGTTAGAGTATTGATTGATGTTCCTCTTGCTTCCAGATGAATTTCTGGCTTGTTTGGAGAAAAGTCAATTTTTGGCCAATTTTGACTAAAAATGTAAGGCTAACCCCTTGCATTTTTTTTCAATTTTGGCCAAAAAATGAAATTGCTTGAAAGTTGCTAGAAATATGCCTTAAGGGCCATAGAACGCATTCCAAATGGATTGCTGGACAGATGTGCTATTAAAGAGGAAATTCCCTCGAAAATTTATGGTAAAATTGCTCAAAATATTATCTTCTTTTTCTCCAAAAATGGATGATTTTTGCCCAAATCTTCAAAATTGTGCATGTTAGAGTATTGATTGATGTTCCTCTTGCTTCCAGGTGAATTTCTGGCTTGTTTGGAGAAAAGTCAATTTTTGGCCAATTTTGACTTGAAATGTAAGGCTAACCCCTTGCATTTTTTTCAATTTTGGCCAAAAAATGAAATTGCTTGAAAGTTGCTAGAAAGATGCCTCAAGAGCCCTCAAACACATTCCAAATCGATTGCTGGACAGATGTGCTATTAAAGAGGAAATTCCGTCGAAAATTTATGGTAAAATTGCTCAAAATATTAACTTCTTTTTCTCCAAAAATTGATGATTTTTGCCCAGATCTTCAAAATTGTGCATGTTAGAGTATTGATTGATGTTCCTCTTGCTTCCAGATGAATTTCTGGCTTGTTTGGAGAAAAGTCCATTTTTGGCCAATTTTGACTTGAAATGTAAGGCTAACCCCTTGCATTTTTTTTCAATTTTGGCCAAAAAATGAAATTGCTTGAAAGTTGCTAGAAAGATGCCTAAAGAGCCCTCAAACACATTCCAAATGGATTGCTGGACAGATGTGCTATTAAAGAGGAAATTCCCTCGAAAATTTATGGTAAAATCGCTCAAAATATTAACTTCTCTTTACCCAAAAATTGATGATTTTTGCCCAAATCTTCAAAATTGTGCTTGTTAGAGTATTGATTGATGTTCCTCTTGCTTCCAGATGAATTTCTGGCTTGTTTGGAGAAAAGTCAATTTTTGGCCAATTTTGACTAAAAATGTAAGGCTAACCCCTTGCATTTTTTTCAATTTTGGCCAAAAAATGAAATTGCTTGAAAGTTGCTAGAAAGATGCCTTAAGGGCCATAGAACGCATTCCAAATGGATTGCTGGACAGATGTGCTATTAAAGAGGAAATTCCCTCGAAAATGTAAGGGAAAACCGCTCAAAATATTAACTTCTTTTTCTCCAAAAATGGATGATTTTTGCCCAGATCTTCAAAATTGTGCATGTTAGAGTATTGATTGATGTTCCTCTTGCTTCCAGGTGAATTTCTGGTTCGTTTGGAGAAAAGTCAATTTTTGGCCAATTTTGACTAAAAATGTAAGGCTAACCCCTTGCATTTTTTTTCAATTTTGGCCCAAAAATGAAATTGCTTGAAAGTTGCTAGAAATATGCCGCAAGAGCCATAGAACGCATTCCAAATGGATTGCTGGACAGATGTGCTATTAAAGAGGAAATTCCCTCGAAAATATATGGTAAAATTGCTCAAAATATTAACTTCTTTTTCTCCAAAAATTGATGATTTTTGCCCAAATCTTCAAAATTGTGCATGTTAGAGTATTGATTGATGTTCCTCTTGCTTCCAGGTGAATTTCTGGCTTGTTTGGAGAAAAGTCAATTTTTGGCCAATTTTGACTAAAAATGTAAGGCTAACCCCTTGCATTTTTTTTCAATTTTGGCCAAAAAATGAAATTGCTTGAAAGTTGCTAGAAATATGCCTTAAGGGCCATAGAACGCATTCCAAATGGATTGCTGGACAGATGTGCTATTAAAGAGGAAATTCCGTCGAATATTTAAGGTAAAATCGCTCAAAATATTAACTTCTTTTTCTCCAAAAATGGATGATTTTTGCCCAAATCTTCAAAATTGTGCATGTTAGAGTATTGATTGATGTTCCTCTTGCTTCCAGATGAATTCCTGGCTCGTTTGGAGCAAAGTCAATTTTTGGCCAATTTTGACTTAAAATGTAAGGCTAACCCCTTGCATTTTT